ACACACACACACACACACACCCACCCACCCCCACCCCACACCCCACCCACACCCACCCCAAAAAACAAAAAACAGCGCGACCCTCCTCTACTTCATCCTCATGGCCTACATCGTCCTCGGCATCCTGCGCGAACTCCGACCGCTATGGTATTACCTGCTCTCCGGGATCTTGTTCGTGCTCAGCCAGCTCGCGTGGTTTTTGTTGGGGAGGGTTGTTTGTTCGGTGCGTGTTTTTCTTGTATGCTTCCTCTAGTGTCCTTGCGCCGTTGTCACTTCTCCTGTTCCTGGTGCTTGTTCATCAGAGTGCAGAGGGACGGGCAGTGGGATGGACGGGTGTGCGAATGGAAAAATGCTGACTTTTGTGTTTTGTGGTTTGGGAATGGATAATGGAATATAGGGCTCGGGCGCGAAAGTGGACGGGTCGTTCATCGCTACGGTGCTGGAAACCGCGGCGGTGTATGTGCTTTATCTGGCGTGGAAGAATATCACGGAAGGTACGTTTTTTGTCTTTCGTTGGTTGTCGTTTGTCGTTTAGTTTTCGTTCTCGTGGGCTTTTCTGGTCATCTTGGACTCTTATGGATGGGGATGTTGATGTTGATGCTGACCCGATGTCGAACAGAATCCTGGGACGAAGAGGTGTATTACCCGCGGTGATCGTCGATCGAGCCGTTCTTCATCTCCTCTTTTCTCCCTGTGTTCGTGTTTGTTTGGTGTAGGGTTTTGTGTTCAGTGTTGTGCTGGAAGGTGTAGGTGTTGTGCATGGGAGGTGTCGTTGTTTGGAAGGAAGGAAGGCGTTCGGTTTCTCTGTGCATTGTTTTTGCTCTCACCCCCCTGCTCTATTGACGTTGTTGTTTGTCTCGTCCCTTGTGCTCGTGCTCGTGCTGGTTCGCTGGTCTCCGCCTTTGTGTTACCCCAATCCCCCCCCCCCCCCCTCCTCTTCATTCTACACTCCTCATTCCTCGCGCTTCACGCGCCATGCTTCACGTTTCATCCTTCGTAGTATATCATATATCGTATTCCTGAATCTTAAGACTTTCAGCCCGATCTTGACCGGTTGTTGTTGCTCTTGCTGTTTGTCGTGCTTCCTGCATCCCAATTCCCATTCTTCATTCCCCATTCCTCATTCTTCATCCTCATTCACGCTGTTTCAATTCGCCCCCGTCTGCGCAGTCCAGTACGAGTGCTTCAACAAACACGTACATATCTCATATATCCCTTTCGTTCTTTCGCCCCCGGTTTGGTTTGTTGTGGTTCGTGTATATCCCCTTGCCCTCTTCTTTCGCTCCCGTTTTCTTTCTCTTTTTCCTTTTTCTTTGACATGATCTTCGCTATGATCTCTTTTCTGGGGAGGCTCAGGTTGGGTTGGGACGTGGGACGTGGGGTTGGGATTGGGATGCGAGGTCGAGATGTAGTTGCGTGCTGCGTTATATCCATTCCATTCCATCGCGTATACATTGCCTTTCCATTTCGTCATGTTGCGGCGAGGGCTCGATCGTTCGGAGTCCTTTCTAAATCGTACTTATGCCCGCTTCGAACTTTTGAGTTTTTTGGGTGGGACCTGGGTGTTGTTCGCTCGTCGATCGATCAGAGTTGAGTTGAGTGGTGCGGTCGGATTGAGTATTCTCGTCGGAGTCGAGCTATCTCAGGCTAGTGGCCATGGTTCAGCCGACTAAACTGTGAGATTCAGTGTCCGGTTCCAGGTGATTTGACCTGACCTGACTCGGGCTATTCGTCTTTCGTTGACCTTATTTAATTATGCAGTCTAAGTAGTGTGCGTGAATTCACTTTGAAGATTCAGAGGTCACACGGGCGGACAAGACTCTAAGTAAATTGATTGTCATGGAATGGACCGTAAATGAAGAAATATTATGGTCATGAAGGATTAGAGTGTATCAGTACTAATTTTTCGTACGAAGTCCAGTACACTATCTAAATGTCAGAACGGGACTCAAAGTGTAACGTTGTAACGACCGTCTGCAGCCTTGATCAAATCCGAAGCGCGCTCAGCCACGATATACGTCGGAGTCTGCGTATGCGCCGCCGGGATCCGTGGCTACGTTCCAACAAACGAAAGTCAGCGTCACATCGAAAATCAAGATCTCAACTCGGGTCCACGAAATAAACTCACGAAGATCGTAGAATCCACAACCCTCAGCCCGACCGTCTGCTTGACCGTCAAATCCGAATTCAACGCCCCACTCCCCCTCGACGTCTCATTCCCCGTCTTCCCCATCGGCACCGTACACGATCCATGCGAATTCGTATACGTCCCCGCCCTCGCATACGCATCGATCTCGTCATCCGTCTGCGCCTGCGCGAACGTCCCATATTCCGCTACTATCCAGTTCGACCAGGCGGGCGCGGCCATGAAGCGTCGCGCGGATTTGACGGCCTCGCGCATGTTGAAGATGTCGAACTCGGTGGAGAGGAGGTTGGGCGAGAGGATCGGGTGGGTGAAGGCGGAGGTGCTGTTTAGGGTGATGTTGCCCCGGGAGGTGATGGAGACGATGTTGGTGAACATGGTGAAGAAGCTGCCGTTCGCGGGCTCGGGCTCGGTGAACGACAGGAAGTTATCCTACGGGAACGCTCAGCATCCGTATGAACTGGCAGGCTGAAAATAACTGACCGTGAATACGAACTCGTAGTGCGCTGAGGTGGGTCCCGCACTGGGATCCGTCGTGTTCTCGAAAATGCTGGAGTTATCGGGCAGCCTCAACCATCCCCACTGGTTACCGGCAGAAAGGACGTCTGCGCCGGTACGGTTGGCGAGCCACTCGTTCAGGGTTTCGTTTTGGAGGGTGGCGTTGCGATTGAGTTCGTCGAGGGTGTCATTGGAGCTGACGGACCATACCGAGGTGAGAAGGGGGTGATCCTGTGATGTTGATGGTGTGATGAGAAATGTGTGGTGCGGAAATGCATGAGGAAGGTATACTGACTTGGAAGTTCGTCCCGACGTCGGGGAGATCGACGATTGTTTGGATCCCAACAGCGGATAGTACATCGGGATCGCCGATACCAGACAACATGACTGTGGCGTATCAGGACACACTCACTGGTGTTAGAGATAAAGATGCTTACGAAGATGAGGTGTCTTAATTGGACCAGCCGACAGAATCACTTCGTGGCTCACGTTCAACGAATACACAGGGCCGGAAGCATTCTGAGCGAACTCGACACCTTGGAAGACCGGAAGACCGTCTTGGGTCCCGGTCTGCACGACCTTCGTCACTTGCGTGTTGACAACGACGTCGAGGTTGGAGCGGCTGAGAGCTGGGGCGATGTAGTCCCTCGCCGAGCTTGAACGTGCACCGTCCGCAATCTGTTCGTTGTTGGTCAGTGAGGGTCATACGAAAACTCTTACGAAGAGGTCGTACCGCATTCTGTGACCAACCTACAACATCGGGATCAAAATCAGCGATCAAGGTCCAACAGCGTCATGATATACACGCACTGATTCCAATTGAGTCACCCGAGTTCATATCGAGGTTGAACGGATACTCGTCCGAAAGTTCGGCAGAGGCATTGAGGACAAGGTTGTCGATGGAGGTGTGAATGCCGGGAAGACTGGTGCCGAGAGGTCCTACAGTGTATGAACTTGGTTAGTGACGATCATGACGAAGCGGAGTAAGCGGACGTACCTTTGAATCCATGTACAGCTGGGTTGATTTCTCCGGTCGTGTTGCGATGATCAGCGGGTGTGGTCAGATTCTCCATCTAAGTTGTATACATGAATATTCTAGCGCGGTATGGGCAGAGATGTCAAAGGTACGAACCTTGATCATGTAAGGATAGAGGTTGTCCCAAGACCAGCCATCGTCTTCAGTAATGTTAGCCCATCGGTCATAGTCATCACGGGTACCACGACTGTACGCCATGAAGTCTAAATATGTGTTAGGATAGCCTTTGTGTACAGATGAGCGTAGCGCTCACTGATGGATGTCGAGCCGCCCAAGACAAAACCACGAGGATACTCCAATACACGGTCGTTCAAACCCTCGACAGGCGTCGTCGTGAAGTTCCAGTCCTGCAGCATCGAAATCGAGTCAACAACGTCGTATAATCCATGAAAAATGTGGCTACTCACAAACTGAGAGCCGATCAGTGCGCCACCGCCAAGTCTCGGGACCTGAATGTTGATGTTGTTGTAGTCACTGAGGTTAAAAGCCATAAATGATGGTGCCTAGTGATAGTCAAGAATGCAGTACGAAGCGGACATAGGCTTACCTTGATCCTGCCTCGATCAAAAGCACCTTCACGTCAGACGATTCAGTAAGCCTGTTAGCGAGTACGCCTCCAGCAGCCCCAGCTGGAACCATCAAAGCGCAAGATAAAGTCGGTTTAGCATACCCGTATAGTCGATTGAATGTGTCGAGAGATCATTGCGCACCTCCAACTATGATATAGTCATATGTCGTATTTAGAGGAAGTCCTGTTGGGTCTTGATAAAGCGCTCCGAGGGCAGAGGTGGCGGACAAACACAAGCCTAAGAGGGCTGAACGGTCTGGGCGCATAATGAGAGTTGTGGGCGGTCAGAACGTCTATAGGTTAGAAACTTGGAGGGCTAGGGAAAATGCTAGTTAATGGCCACTGTTTCACGACTTTATACCATAAAACACTCATTCAGCCTAGTCAGCCCTGCGTATGTATACACGGACAGGGATTACGGTGAAACGTCTGTGGAGAGATGATTTGCGTAAAGTTCACTACGTGTTGACCGCGCGAGACCGAGAACAGAAGGGGCTCGCCAGCTATACAACGGGGACGGCGGTGAAAATGTAAGTTGCATAGAATGTCGTCCAGTCACGCAACCATCCATCCTCCGAGAGAAGGCGCCGTCGTTTGGTCAAAGGACCGAGTGCAGTGTGCGAGGATAGCCCCATGAAGAGCCTAATAGGGTGAAAATGATAGATACGTTGGTCATCATGCATTGAAGGGCCGCGTTTCAGAGATGTCCCCTCAAGTCATGCTTGAAAGCCTGTACAGCACATTTCCGACTCTCGAGGTAAGTGCGGCGCCAGGTAGTGCAGCCTGAGCCTAGCGTGGGCCACCGCTGGTATTTATGGTCGAGCTAGTCGCGAAGATGAACGTTGCCAAGCTCTCGCCAGAGAAAACAGACATCGCTGGCAGGGCGGGCGTCAGCTGAACGTGGTGGCAAGGAGTCGTGATGGGACAGACACGAAATTGCCCGGAGTTTGAACTAGGGCCATGTGGCAAAGTGAACCCGCTATGCGGCCTGGCAAATGATAGATGGTCGAAGCCAGCCTCGACAATAAGATTTATCTCGCCATTGAGAAAAGAGCCATTGTGATTTACTACCGAAAGGCGCAGGTTGCAAGGAAGCACAAGTAGTATCCTTGCTATAAAGTCGGTGAGTGGTGATGGGCCATGATCATCAGTGCCAATCATACCCGAAGGACGATGCGCCGTGCAAGTAAATTAATAATAATATATAGCTCGTCTAGTCTCATGAGCGCTGGCAGAGTCCGCACCGACCTGTTAGACGAGGAGACGAAACGACGAGAGATGCGAAAAAGTGGAAGAAACGGAGAGGGCAGGAAAAATAAGTAAATCAAATCAGCAGCCCGCCGTCAGTCTCATGATCCCTCTCTGAGGCTCTTCGCCACTCATGAAGCTTCAACGACAGCTTGCTGCTTGACATTGTACCCTAATTATTCGACATATAGTCCCTGTATACTGTGACTAGACTTATAACATCAAGCAAACATCAAGTAAGCCTTATACGAAGAGAACCGGTTGTTGCTGGTCTACGTCTTTTAAGTAGTATCACGAGAGCAAGGAGAACGTCCTTGACTCGGATATGCCCATGTTGAACTGATCGAGGAGCAATCGGAGGTCAAAAATTGCAGTCCGGAAGATCGGGTCAAAAAGTGGCGTAATAATACTTAAATACAATTATGCATAGAGCTGGTACCCACTCCTCGCAGACAGCTTCAGCCGCATGATGATGAAATAATAAATCTAGTAAGATGTAACCCTATCGCCCATCTCCAACGGACTCTGCTGCGATGACTCCAACCAAGGTACTAGAAACAATGATACAATCATGAGCACGATCAGGCATTGAGAGACATGATGGTGTTCTTGTGTGCATCAGATCGTGGGGTCAAGACCACCTTGAATGTAGCCGGCTCGCTACGAGAGGGCGTTAGTTTAGGTCACCGGTGGAGTGGTAGACGATAAACGTACGCAGTGATACCGCTTCTGCAAGCAGACACGTCAGGGAGAATAGGCTTTCCACTGGCATCTTTCGGTGGTGTGATGTTGAAGCCCCAGAGCAGACTGATCATAGCGATCCAAACGGACTTCGTCGCCAAATGTTGGCCAGGGCAGACACTAAACGTCGATTCCGTAGTTGTGTGAGCAAGATATTCGGGGGAGAAGGATGCAGATGTTGCATTCACTCACCGCCTGCCAAACCCGAAGCTGAAGTGACCCTCGTTGAGGCCATCTACGCCGATCTTGCCTCCGTTCGCGGGCACAAAGCGTTCGGGATAGAACTCAGAGTGGTTCGGGAAAAGCTTTTCGTTGTGGTGGAGAGCGTATATATTCGACACAACCGTCGTTTTGGCGGGGATGCGGTAGCCCTTGTAGACATCATCCTTCTCGCTGTAATGCGGTGCTGAGACTGGTGCTACAGGCTTCCATCTAATTAGGCAGCGAAGTATTAGGTGAAAGTCAACCGAGGACATCATGAATTACGCACCTCAAGACTTCCTTGACTAAGGCAGAGCAGTAAGTGAGTTGCTCAAGTTGCTGGAACTTCGGCGGGGTGAGTCCATCGGCGCCCAGCACGCTGTCGAGCTCTGCCTGCGCCTTCTTCTGAACGTCGGGATAGTGCATCATGGCCACCAAGAACCAGAGCACAGTTCCGGCCGTGTTGTCCGTACCTGCCTCGAAAGGAGCACCGGCGACTGCGAACCAGATGGTGAGTATCCTATCAAATACGGCGGATCGAAGTTGATACGGACCATATGCCAATGCCTTCTCATCGAGTCCAAGTTTCTTGTAGTCCTCCCACAGGCGAGCGGCAAAACATTCAAGTTGGTCGCCATTATCTAGCCTGTTCTTAACACCATATAGCAAGCGCGTGTAGAACTATCGACAATGTTTTAGCCTAGAAGAATTTCCATTAGCAGAGACACATCTCACCTTGACCTCGCCGTTGTGAACCTCTAACGCCTGTTTTCTCCATGGTGCAAGGACATCGGGCAGATAGTCCAACCATGGGAACGTATCGACGGCGTGTTTCAAGGGATGGAAATCTTCAGTACCCGACTCCAGCATGTGAAGGAGGGTCGTGAGCTCTGCGCCGTCTGCGGAGAATTTCTTGCCGTAAATGAGTTCGAGCAGCGTCTCCGAGGCGTACCACTTGAGGTTGATGTAGGTGTTCGTGGGCTGCTTGATAGTATCGAAGAGAAGTTTCATCGCTCCACGCTCCTGAATGTGCTCATATGTGCCGACGACTATGAACCGTGAAAGATTTAGTGAGAGGACAATCGAAGGCACAATATCAACTTACCTTTCGGGCTCATCATCTGTGTGACAGCAGCACGCTGCTTCTTGAGCATCGCCCCATACGGAAGAAGAACCAAGCGCTAGCAGCCCGGGGATGAGAAATGAATGAGGATATCAAGCTCAGGCTGGCGTACCCTATCAGCGGAGCGATACTTTCCGGCGTAGATGAGCTGCTGGCGCGAAGAGTAATTGGCCGAACGCTTTACAAGCTAAAAAAGAAAGGGTAGAGCTACATCAGTAACGGAGATTGTGAGGACATACATCATTCCGACTTACCAGCTCTTCGATATCCTCGAGGTCATTTAAGATGAGCATCTCGTTACCTGCTAGCGTCAACCTGATCATGGGTCCTGTAAAGCGCCCCTCAGAATATGCTAACATCTGAAACCATCAATATTCCATACCGTATTTCTCTGTCAAGTTGTTGAAGTAGACCCATGAGTCTTTCATAGGAACTTCGAGGAGATTTCCAAGGAAAGGTAATGCGCGCGGTCCAGGAGCCAAGTCCTTTGTCGACTGGTGGCGATACAGAAGGCCAGCGGAGGCTAAAAGCACGGTACCGACTGCATAGGTGATCGGTTTGTTGTCGAGATTGAGGCTCTCGTTGATAGTGTTGAGAGCTGGAGCGAGGGCGGGAGCAGCGCTGGACAGGTTGGCGAAGAGGGACATGACGGGCCGTGTAGGGAAAGGTGATGTGATAGACGACTCTCTCTTATGTATAGAGCAAGTTCGTGGCTGAGCGGTCGAATACTAAGCTGTTACCATGCCTGGATCAGCATCGTGCCCACAACATAAAAATCTCGAACGGCGCAGAACAAGCCGTTTGAGGAGCTTAGTAGAACGCTGTTTGGTCATGCGCAATAGACGACCGGCTATATCCTTGAGATACTGTGGTTGTCTCTTCCCCGCATAGGCGACATTCTGCGCTCATAAAGACCGCTGGCCGTCTTTTTTTACATCAGGAATATTAGCAATCGATATGACTGAGCGCTTCAGAGACTCTGTCAGGCTCGAAGTATGATCAGGCATGGAGCCATCCAACGTCGTGCGCTAGCTATATATCTCTTCATTATACAGTTTATAGCGCTTATGAACAGTGATGCCCAATTGTATAGCGCATACAAGAGCAAATGTGAGGGGACTAAACCAACAGCGAGCTGCTAGACATGATATGAGTTCTAGCAGATGGTATCCCCCCAATCGCCACTTCGTTGCAATGCGAAGCACTGGTCAGTCATGCATAACGGCAATTTGGTCCTAGCTTTGATGCTGACACCATCTCAGAGAGGCAGGGTCGGTAATAACGATCAAGAGCACCCGGACGGCGAACGTGTGGGGCACTGGGTATACTACAATACACAGTATGTTTATCAGCACCGATGGTCGAGCAGCGAGATGTGCACCAACACCTGCCAATCGGATTAAACGCTGTCTGCAAGCGCGAGTATGATTCCCATTGGCGAGAGAAGGTTATGGTACTTCCTAAATCGGATACAAATCAACTGAGAGCGCACCTGGGAGACGCTTAGGTCTGTGGTCCTCGAGAAGAGCTCTAGTCATTGCCTTCAGGGACTTCTCGATGTTTGAGAGGCCCAACGTAGGATAGGTGTTGCTGGGCTTGTGCAATCGAAACAGCACTGCTGATAGTATGCACTGTAGGTCATGTGTAAAGTTGATGCCCCATCCCGTTCTCCGCCGGATAGAAAACCATCGCTGAGAATATCTGAGTAGACATCACCGCAAAGCCCTAACAAGTCGTTCTACATCTCCAACGAATGGAGATCCAAGTAGTAGTAAGTCTTCATAGGAATGGGTATAAGTAGGTTGATGCGACAAACAAATGGAGGAACCGGGGAAACCGAACTTCGAATCGGTGGCGTCAGACTGCCTAAGCTTTTCCAGCTCCGCTCGGCACTGGCCATGCCAGCAAGCAATCCCCCGAAGGAGACAGCGAATCGTTGCTTCTCCTTGCCTACTCGGATTGGAATTGCTATGTCTCTGAACCTTTGATAATGCCTATTATCCCATGCATGCTCTCATATAACGGAGAATACTTGCGCCACCTTTATTGGCTTTCTTTGCGACTTGTTTTTCATCACACCGGTCAGTGAACCATTCATCCCCAGCTTCCAATATAGCTAGTAACTAAGGAGTCGTCACTCCAGCCCAAAAGCAGTGCTCCGTGGTAACCTTTGAAGTATTTCCTACCGCGCATATTATCTACATCCTAATCCATCTGCGGACACACAACCTTATCCAAGAGTGAAACCGATTTGGAGGCCCAGAGGGTTTCGTATAATCTCTGATCAGTTCGCTGTACGACTTACTTACTGTTTACCGATCTCCAGCGCGATTGTATACTCGTCTCCACCGATACATGGGATGATTGATCATTCTCCGCCCAAACGTACAGTGGCCCGCAACCGATAAGTCTTCTCCCGTTTGGTTTCCGCATGAAACCTCAAGCTTCGTATTGTCGTGTATGAGATATGCAACATCTCCCGACCAGGGAGAATTATCAGCACAACCTCCCAATTTGGCACTAAAAATCAATTTAGTGCTTGAAAAAACTGCACTTCGTCGTAGAGCTGATGGGCTTCATTGTTTATGAGAGGTCGAAAGATTACCTGTTAAGTCTCGTCGAGCGTGGGGCAGTGAAGGCATCGGCAATGGAGCGGTGCCCACCATCAGCGGTGTGCAGCCTTCGGGGTCGCAAATCAGGTCACCTATAGACCTGTCAGCCCTCAATTAAGCCCGCGAACCTGTGCGAGCCAGTCGTCCGTTACTGTCACTGTCAGCATAATAGGTTCCGACTGTGTGCGCTCTCCTTCCTCCTTCCCATGGTTTGTCTGCTCAAAGCCATTAGCAAGCGACCTTCGTGTGCCTCTACGTTGCCGACACACATGAGCGAAGAGCTGAACGACACAGTGCAATGGCTCACAAATGGAAGGAACATCGAGAAGATGTCTTCCTTTCGGCGCCAAATGTCGTCCTAACCCTCTAGAAACTCGCGCTCGGGGGCAACGCTGAAGCGTTCGATCGTGAGAGGTCATAGCTGACCTGATCAATGTCGTCGACTATACGTTTTCATTCATGAGTTAGAATAGATCTACTTCCCTGCACGGGCGGCATTTCACAAGCAGTATTTCTTTGTCTTTCTGTCTGACGTGATCATGTTCCCGTGAAGCTTGTTTTATCCCATATTTATAGTTGCAGAAGTACTTAAAGTGCTTGCCTGTCAAAATCAGGTTGATATCCCAGTCCCCGAACTCCATACACTACCATACCTATGGATTCTCTCGTGAAAGATCCTCAATATTTCCGTAAGTTCTCTGACTCTGTCGCCCTGATTATCGGTCTTGCTCATGAGCGTGTATTAGCTCAAGTCGCCGTCTCCACGCCCGTTAATGTTGATTGGATCGCGGGTATCACGCACTCTAATGTCCAACAGGCTGTCAATGCACTTCTCGGTGACTGTTACGGCCATACGTCGGCTTCAGACAAGCATGTCGATCAGAACGATGACCTAGCTTTGTTCAAGGTCTTGAACGATGTACGCCAGCATTGGATTGTTCTGTGATGAACGTGAATGAATTCACAATAACCTGACTACAGGTTCTCCCGACCATGTCATCTCGCACAAGACGACTCTGGATGAGGGTAGCGCGGCCCTTTGCCCAGATGCTCCATATCTCGGTAGGTCATTAACCATTAACCATCATCCTCGTTATCATTCCTCTGCTCACCGGACTGCTCCAATATATAGCAAATGTCGCTTTCTACGCAATGCACCTTCCTCGTCTTTCTATACGCCAGGGTCTTCGGCTTCTTGGGTCCAGAGAAGGGAAGTGACCCGCCGGCCTGCCTTACACTTGACGGGAGTCCGATAGAGTTCAGCTGGATAATCCCTAACAAGAAGGTTGCAAAGGGGAAGCCAAACCGCAACCTTCGCTGCGTCATGGAACCATTGTGCGTATTGTTTCTCGGGACAATCAATGGTCATCGAGACATGCATGACTGATAGACGTGCAGTGACCCTCGTGGATCAGGGTCTCCACTGAGAGGATCTTCGGTCCTCAAGTACTTCTCTTCGTACGCTGGCTCGCTGGGTGGCGTTGTCAGATGCGACTGGGATGGCCTGCTGTGGGTTGAGTCGACCGAGGGGTTCTTTTTCCCTCAAGAGTTGAAGAGTGATTATGTTCAGGATGGTGGTCGATTTGCCATGGGTACCCCTCTAAACACATGACTATCACGAAATGTTAGTCGTACTAACTTATATGCTGTCAATAGGTTTCGACTTCACGCACTCCGGTATCATCACCCTGAAAGCGTACTTCCTATCTTTCGAGCATCCCCCTTGGGTTGGCTCCCCGGAAACGTTCAAGACAAAGAGCCCCCTTTGCATTGGAGATACCGAACTTTCACCTCTTCGTGACTTCGCGGGACAAATCCACCCGTCCTTCGCAAAATCCTGCGACATGATCATAGATCACATGCATTCCTTGGAGACAAAGGAACGTCCTGTCTACGAATTCGCATCAATGGATTGCAAATCCCCCGGATCCAATCGTCTTAAAGTGCGCCGTCTTCTTACCTCTGCTAACCAATCATCCTTTGACATGCACGCGTATACCAGCTATACACTCGCTCCCTAGCGCGAACAAACTTCTCAGCTATCAAGGAAGACTTCACTCTCGGCGGAAGAATTCATACTCCAGAATTGGAGGGCGCGCTCTTAGTGCTCGAAAAGCTCTGGAACAGCGTATTCCCTGATTTCTCATCCGCAATCGACAAGCCCCTTGAAGTAGCTGATACTGGAGAAGACGACAACGGCCATCCCCAGGGCGGTCTGCCTTACCACTACGAATTCGCGATCGGTGATGCGATGCTCTACCCCAAGGTCTACATCCCTGTCCGGTAAGTCGTCATATTTTCTCCATCGAGATGCTGCCCCAGAACTCAACGGCATCGACCATCGGGGTTAGATTCTATTCCACGAACGACCTCGAAACTTCCCGTAGAATAGAAAAGTTCTACGATAGCGTTGGCATTGAAGGTCCCGAAGGCGGCGAGCAAGGTCCGGGTTGGGTAGAGCGTGAAGTGGCCAAGTGCTTGTAAGCGTGCCTCACCCTCCCCAATGACTGATGTGATGCCGACGCTTACTGTCCATTATCCTTTGACAGCGAACATAGAACCGACCTTGATAAGCGCACCGGATGTCGAACCTATCTCAGCTTTGGCCTGAGGAAGGGTGGATGGGAGGTAACGAGCTACTTCTCCCCTGAGCTGTTCAGCAGTGGGCATACCGAGATTGAGTTGAGAGCGTGACCAAACATTCATACGTGCTCTGTCAGGCTGTCCTCGTGAGAATGCGAGCTTCCCCTTTGGAGATGTGGCTCCCATGATGGTTTATTCTTACGATTCATGTGTAGATATTTTTATGGTGGGTTGTTCAGCTATCTGTCTCTTTTTAGATTACCGTATTTCGTAGGTCCGGCCCTACCATATCAAGTCTCTTTGTGTATCGGTGATACACTCAAGCACGATCATTCAGTTGAACTTTTCCGGCGATTGTGGGGGCTTCACGTACGTATCCTCAAGTAGAAACAATAACGTCTTAAAAAGAGAGCCATGACCGAGAAACCCAGAAGTAGGACAAGTCCCTGATTAACTTACACAAAGGTGACCGAACACGGGCGGAGCGCTGACCAGACGATGAGTCAGGGTCCTGAACACACAGGGTGGTCGATCGATAGAGAAGTATTTCCTGTTTTTCTCCATCCATAAATTAAGCAATACCTGATGGACGTGAGAGGTCCCAATAGAGGTGTACAAAAATAAGCGCGATGGGAGTCAGTGGTTCCCGAGTAAAAATTACAACACTGTCGAATGTGACGTCGGAGTAGCATACGGTGCTGGAAGGTCTGTGATATTTCGCGTGGATTTCGAATATCATGTTGAGAGGAGTAAGGCCTGGAGGGCAAAGGGTTGATCATTAGTTGTGGACAAGACCGTTTGTAGCGATTAATTACCACGAGTCTCAGAGCTCGAAGTATTCTGGCAACTTCGTCCAAATCTGCTCTCGAATGTCGCGCAACGACTCATCGGCGGCGTCCTCGCATGAGTAGCACATGTCCCGCTCGCCACTACCATACCCTTTCTTCCAATGTATTGCGAATTGCCGAAAATACTCGAGAATATCCGTCGTGGTGGCGGCGCCATGTTCTGTGCTGAGCTCGTTTAGCACCAGAGTGATATCGCACTGTTGGGACAAGTCCGTCTGCCCACATATGAGGGGATAGATAAATTCCCGCGCAACCTTTCGAAGTTTCTCCTGCCCTCTCATGACACAAAGGAGATCACCTCCGCTCAGAAGATCCCACTGTGCCGTTCTCTTGTTGAAGCCCGCATCGTACAAGATATTGTCCTCTTTGCGTCGTCGCGCGCGGTCGTCAGCGACATTGAGACGACTGAGTTGATAAAATGCAGCGGGAAGAATGCTCGGTATATGAAAATCGCGGGCGAGCCTTATGGCGGATGCAGGCTCTGGAAATCGGTCGTCGGTATACCAATGAACGTTGCTATGCTCCGTGGTACGCTCTATTTCGCCTTCCAGGGTATCCCAGGCCAAGATGGTTTGGGGCCAGTCTGATTCGAGACGCTCGACGATGCAGTCTCGGATGTGGCTAATTTGGTACTTTGTGGCCATGGACAGCATAGCTCTGACGTCGAACGGTGTTTCTGGGTGAAGGCGGGGATGAGGTAGTTTACTGTGCATGAACAAATTTTGAGATGTGAAACGCTGTGAGGAGAGAAGACGAGAACGCACTACCCGAAGTATAATGCCTTCAATACTGCCTCAATATCTGCAGCGCTGTCGGGCATTCGAACCAGAGGTACTCCTTCGAACTGTTCCGTGTTGCCCTCAGCGGGAAGTGCCAGCATGTCGCGAAATATGGAGGAGTGTATGCACAGGATGGACTGGTGTACCCGGAACATGAACCATCTCGTCACTTCCGACTCTGCTGATTGGACAGCCGCCAAACATAGGTTTCCTTCGGCAAGGTATAACGAATCGTGCTTCTGAATTGATGTCTCTTCCATGACAGGAGGTAGAATCCGATCTAGAGTGTGCGCGCGTATGAGAACTATGGCCAGTGAATTTTGCACGCCGGAAAGTAGCCTTTCGGCAGAGCATATACGTAGTGGTTTAGAGAGTTGGAGCTCCCGCCAGAGCTCGCTCCCTGACTGGCGAGAGGGATATGCACATCGCGACATATAGTATGTCTTAGTACTGCAACAACTTGGACGATTCGACGTATGTGATCCGTGGCGATATAGCCGGAGATGTGCTTTGCTTTTAAACAGGAATACTATTGACTGACCAAATATGTGGTGTGCGGTTTGAAGTTGAACTACGATGCGGACCCTGGAGGCGGGTAGTACATACTGCGTCAAGGAACAAGTTGAAAATAAATGTGAAATACCGTGCTGTCGGAGTGTGTCGGAGTTTTCGGCTCACTCCGGAGCCCAGCCCGCTCACCAACGCCACAACATTTCGTTTTCTCTGCTTGAATCCCTCTGCAGTATAAGGCCAAAGAGATCTGACTATATCTTGCATCAACCGTTCTGAATAGTAGAACTCCTCCTCTACTCATCATGTCCAAATCGAAGGGCTACCAGCATTCCGAGTCTCTATACTTCTCCTCTGGCGACATTTGCCTCTCAGCACCCTACGCGCAGGCCTTGGAGTCTTCTTCAGCTTACGGTCTTATCTTCCGCGTCCACCGATTTACCCTCTCACTACACTCCCCAGTCTTTCGGGACATGTTCGATCTTCCAGAACAGCCTGGAGCCAACGTGATGTATGACGGCGTCACACTGGTTCAAATGCCGGACAGCGCAGAGGATATAGAGGCTCTACTCTATGCTTTCTATCACGGATAGTACGTTGGGGAGCAATTACTCTCAAAATCTCTCCAAATTTTATCTGTAGAAGCTCAGCTCATGTTCAATTAAAACATACATTTACAGTGAGCTCCCGTTTCCACGACTGCATCCTGGTACGCCAAACGCCGTCAAAGGCATCCTCAAGATGGCGAACAAGTATCAAGTCGACAAAATCCGTCGCATCATCATTGAACGTCTCGAATCAGACTGGCCGCAGTCGCTTGCGGACTGGCGGAGGCTAGAAGCCGAAATCGAGGTTATGGGGAGCGATGGTTGGGCACACGTCGAGGACCCTGACACCATGGTACACTTACATCTCGACCGTAGACTCCCCGAGCCTGCCTCAGCCATCCGCCTCGCGCAAGAATACAACATCCCGAGCATCCTTCCCGCCGCATACTATCAGCTATCTCGACTCACCGTCGAGTACGACACGGAATCAGTTGAGCAGGATGCAGAGGCGTTCGTCATGACGCATGGTATAGTGCAAAGAACGGCACAGTGGTCACTCCTCGAGGGAAGGGACTTCATGCGTGTCCTTAGAGGCCAAGTTAAGCTACAACAAATTCACTTCATCTTACAACCTTGCCCGGACGCTTTCCCGCAGCTTTGCTTCATGCACTTGGAGCGGGATGAGGGCGCCTTCATAAAACATCTCTGGGACATCATGGAAAAGGCGTCAACGTCGGACATCATCAAAGGATATCAGTCCGTTTTGAAGGAACTAGAGCAGAAGGCACCAGTGTGCTCAATCTGCCGTCAACGAGCGGACGAGCTATTAGACTGTCAAGGGATCTGGGACAAGCTTCCATCCATTTTCGGAATCGAGTGAAAGATTGCGTCGAGGTGAGTTTCACTACATAAAACGTGATTGCGAGCTTGAGCGCTGAAACTTATTGGCGTAGTCCTCACTTCTTCGCCTGTCGCTACCACTCGACATTTCCATTTTCTTATGCACAATTACGGGATCGATACTTCGTTGTTTTTATGTTATTTAGATTCGTTTGAAACCGTACGTGGATCGTATGCTGGCCAGGTAGTACAGCTCTATCAATGAAGAAAAATCCAGGTCATCGCGATGTAGACAGCGCATAAGTCCAAGTTTCGGTACGAGGTGAACGAAGCATAGCGAGACTGGACGGACACAGAGTCTTTAAGTCGTCCTCACGACTAGGGAAACGTAACAGGATGTGTCACGACGTAGGTGATGCGCTTGATAGGAAGGCGATAGAGGGGGAGACTCAGTAGGGTCTAGAGATAAGTTGGATATCAATGGTAAAATGAGCCTCGAGCGACAGAAGGAATCTAGTGGATGACAAGGGCAGGGAGGAGCAGCCGAACGAGTGCCATGGTGTTCGTGACTTCACTGTGATATGATAACATCGCATCAGTGGAAGATATAGAGAGGAAGTTGGACACTCACCATCACGCTCTCGAACAACGAAATCAAGCAAGCTCAAAGAACTCGGGAAGTTTGCTCCAGAACGTCTCTCCGTCCAAACAATTTTTACTCCGCATGAGACAGTTGTGACACACTTTGTGCTGCGATGAATATACCTCCTGCATGACCACCTTCAGCCCCTTCGCCATATCCGACCCCGCAGACTTCACAAGCCTTTCCCAGAGCTCGCCCGCAAATAGGCCATTTACCAGAAACTCGCACGTGCCGGGACCAACATTGGTATCTCCCGGGCCACTGCACATGTGCGTAATAGCGCTGAGCCTGGCATATTTGAGGATATTAGCCTTCCCTCTCATAACCCTCCGCATATCCTCGCCATCAAAAAGAGACCAGTGCGCCGTCCTCTGCTTCGGACCGTAGTACTGCGAGAACTCGGTGTATTCGCCTGGAGTCCTCCGTGCACGTTCCCAGTCGTGCTCGATGCTGAGGCGGGAGAGGTGATAGAATGCAGCAGGAAGAATGCTGGGTATATCGCAGTCGCGAGCGAGGCGGATTGCCGATGCTGGCTCGGGGAGGATGTCGTCCATTGGGAGACCGTCGACCTCCGCGTTCCCGTATTCGTCATAGAGAGGGGCTTTCATCACTTCGATCTCGGCCTCGAGCCTATCCCAGAGCTGGATAGACTGTGGCCAGTCGGACTCAAGACGCTCGATGATACGACGACGGATGCTGTCGACTTGGTATTTGTTCGCCAGGAGTAGGATGCTTCTGACCGCATCCGGTGTGCGAGGGTCGAGTTTAGGATGCGGGAGTTCACTACGAATGCGTACGGTAATCAGTACTGCTGTCACACGAGGACTAGGGTAAGGACAATAAAAGGAGTAAATCGCGTACTAGCCGTGATAGAACGCGTTGATTAGACTTTCGAGAGCCTCCGCGCTGTCAGGCATCTGAACGAGTGGCACCCCATCGTAGACTTCGTTGGTTCCAGGCTGTGGCTCTGGAAAGGCGAGCATGTCCTTGAAGACCGGAGAGTGTAAGGAGAGAACGCCTTGGTGAACACGAAAAACCAAAATTTTGGTATTTTCAGCTTCGGCGTTCGAATCGCCGTCAAGGCGGGTTGCAGCGGGCCTGGCAGAGAGACAGATGTTACCATCCGCGAAGTACAGAGTTTCGTGATGTTCGAGGGTTGAGGACATGACGAAAATAGGTTCTACAATAGACGAAGAGGTATGCGTAGATAGAAACTGTAGACTCGAGAAAAAGAGCAGGTTGACGATAGGAGCAGGTTCAGTTGAGGTGTGGCGCGAGGCGGTGATGTGGTTTAAAGCGGAGATTCAATTGGTCATATGATCCGCCACAGACCAATTTGAACTTCCTCTCCGCCATCATCACAGTCGCAGAAACTTCAAGCTAGCTTGTCTTCAGCCAGTTGATATATCACAATGAATGCATCTGGCTTTCAGAGACACTCTTCGCTATACCTTGCTGACGGAAACATATGTCTCTCGGCCGCCTCTCCGAGATTTATTGCTCCCGTGGATGGCGCAGCCGAAGCAACACAACCGGCTGGATTGCTGTTTCGCGTCCATCGCTCCGTACTTGCTCTTCATTCGCTAGTTTTCCGAGACATGTTTAGTATGCCAGACATGAGTGGCGCGAGCGAGACCTACGATGGTGTCGCGCTTGTTCAAATGCCGGATAGTGCGGACGACTTGGAAGGTCTTTTGAAGGCATTCTACCATGGATAGTAAGTCCAGTCTCCCCACAGTTTCTTTGAGCCACTCTTTGTGTTCCAGCTCACGCTATAGTTATGGGCTGAATGATACGTCCTTGCAGTAAACTTCCGTACCCAAAATTGGATCCGCGCACGCCAGACGGCGTACGAAGCATTCTCCTCATGGCTAACAAATACCAAGTCGATAGCATCCGCCAACAGATCGTGGAACGGCTCGAGTCCGATTGGCCTCAGAGCTATGTGGATTGGCAGCGACAACAGGCAGAAGTTCAGGTCCAACTCGAGTACAACAAACGCATCGACGAAGGACACTTCCACTATACAAAGCCTAGCCGACTGGACAATGCCTTTCCAGAACCAGCGTCAGCCATTCGCCTCGCACGCGACTGCGATATTCCCAGCATCCTTCCTGCAGCATTCTACCACCTCTCTCGACTCAACATCGACGACGACTGGGATACAGCGAGGAAACCACTCGATCCGACAGCGCCTCTCTGGGCGGCTTATACGCCTACCATGCACAGAACCGTGAGGTGGTCACTTCTTACTGCAGACGACCTACGATGCATGTTAGCAGGCAAGGCGGCTATCCACAAGCAAGTCGTTCCGTCGACAACTATAGGATTTTGCCCGCAAGACTACGGTGACGGCATGGACGAAGTTGACGAGGACGAAGACGAGACATGTCAGATGAGCTCTAGACACTCCGATGGATCTTATGGTAAGAGGCTCCGGGAGCGGCTCGTGCGTGATCGGGGCGTCGACCTGTTGGAGTGTATCAGGGATATGCAGAGGGATCTTACCGAGCGTACGTTATGTGTAGTCTGTGAGGAACGCTTCAAGACCAGACTGGATGGCGATGCTATCTGGCGGAAGCTCCCTGCGTGGTTCGGTCTGGTGTGATAGGCACCACATCGTGGAGGAGGGCACAAAGTACGCTTCCTTTTTAATATATATTACTCGTCTCTGACTTCTTCACGAACAGTTTAGGTCTCCGTGCGTCGACTTCAATGGCTCGACTTAAGCTTTGTAGTCTGGCAAGCGCCTCAGTATATCTGCATCAGCGTCAATATTGGTACATCTCCCTATCAATAATCGTGCCACTGTTGATTTTGTTCGTGCTACCCTACCTTGGGCCGTTGTCAGCGTTCTTGCGAACACTGCGCATACAGCCGTTTCCAGTATTCGACCTGTGGCGCTCGACTCTGCCCGACCTCGTGAAGTCTGAATCTTCTAACCGCATCATATACGGATTCAAAGCGGGTTGGATAAGACCCCCGAAAGCCCCCTCATGGGTCTGTTCTGGCCCCGGACTGATCTCGAGCTCGGCGAACAGCAAGCTCGATGGCTCTCCGCGTCCGAAAGATACGGTAGCCAATATACAGCATACTTATTACTTTCGAACAGCAGCGTCGAGTTTATTGACGTCGACGGATCTCGCACCGCCTTCGTCCCCGCGACGGGAACATATACTTACCTCGTCCCAAAGCGCGTGTCGTCCCCGTATTTATGCAGATCATACCTCTCGTCAAAATGTCCAGCCTCCGTCCCCGAAAACAAAATTGGATCGCGGCCTTCGTCTCTGCGTCTGGATAAGACCTATGAGGAGTCCTAGGACTGTCGGGTGCCCCGTTGAAGTCCTTCGCTGCTCCCTTTTCCCGTTCACTGACTACTGACTACTTAGGCCTTAGGTGCGGCGTTTTATGGACTGGACAATCGAAATGTTGGCCGTACATATGACGATCCTGTCCGTTTACTTTTAGCTTTTTTGCGGAATCGGATAAGTTCAAGTCGTCGATGGTCGGTCAGTTCATATACTTACGTTCATCTCCGACCCGGCCTGCTTCCAGTCAAGTTGACAAGATTCCGTTCATCTCATCGCGCAAGTTCGCCGTGGATCGTCGCCAACAACTACCTACCCCAAAATAAACACTTATTTTCTTTTTCTCCATACCGTATATGGATCACGTCCTCCGCCGCTCCCTCCTCCTCCGTCCGTCTGACTCCTATCCAATCGAACACGCTCGAATTGGTACCGGATCGGAATGGAGACGCCACACGAGGGACCGAGTTCCCTTCCCCTTCCTTCCCCTTGAGTCAACTGTCGAAACTCTACTCCATACGTGACGAGCCGGTGAGAACTCAAAACTGAAAGAGTCCGGACACACGGAATGGAGGACAGGGTAGGGGGTCAGTCCGGGGAGACGCGGTCTCAGTCACGGTGCGCGTACGGGTCGTTGAGCTCCGTGTTTCGTCTGAATCGCCGTCCTTGTCGTTGTCAGCTGCGAAGAGGCATGCATGAATGAATACGGCAGCATCGACGAGCGACCCTTGAGGTTGCAAACGGGCGAATGAAACGATAAGTATTCAGCCAAGCAGTCTAAGAGAAACATTTCGTTCACCGTCCGTCGGATGCACAGGCCGCGTTCGAAGGAAGCGGAGAACTCCAGAGGCCCTTCCAAGCGCCTGTGTCACCGCTGAGTCCAGGTTGAGTCAAAGCAGACAAAGACGCTGTGTCGCCCTCATGATCGCATGATTCCTTCCTTCCTTCCTGTCGGTCGGGTAGATATCAGGATGCCGTTGAAAACGCCTTGAAGTTGAAGCGATGGTAATAATGCCATAATTTACTGGGTTCTTGGATATCGATATCCTGCAAGCTTTGAAGCTTTTGTGAGCTGTAAGGAACGACCGTCGAGTGGCGCAGCGGTGAACCGTGATGATGGATGGCTCAGTGGCTTGATGCACGCCCTTCTGAAACAGATCGTCGGAGGCGTCTACTTATGTGGCCAGCCAAGCCTAGCCAAATCCACCCGATACAATTCCCCATAGCAACAATATTTTCCACCATCAAGTCCACCGAAATCGTTTCCGCGGTGACCGATCCCGAGCCTACACCCGCAACGATCAAAGGATGCATGCAACCTTACAGCAAATTGACGTATTTACCTTCGATTGCGATTCTTTTTTTTAGAGTTTCCTCCAACCGGTATCATACATACAATACCATAATTTCCAGTTGCGGGGGGTGCTAAGGGCGGGTGAGCAGTGAGCCCCTGACATACTTATCCTAGTTAGCGTACTAAGCTCAGCACAGGAGACGACCCTGCCCTGTGCGTTCCGTGTCGTTTCGTCCCCTCGCCAGCGCGCCCATCTTCTATTGCATCCCTACTACTGTACCTACTCGCCACAAGTTACTTGCCGTGTCGTCTGGACCTGTCTGCTCGTCTGTGTGCTCGACTTTTCCGGTCGCGGTCGCTGCGGCTTTGAAGCCCTTCGTCAGTCGGCACGCATAACCCATAAGTAACGTTCCCGAGCAGATCCCATCTCTCTCTCCTTCCTTCCTCCGAAATTTCCAACCTCAAATCGGTGATCCATCTACATACATACCATAATTCCATCATGGCCCCCGCACGCACGATGTCCTCCGCATCTGATATCGACCCTCTGTCCATCGCATGGGCCCCGCCGCCGGACGAGTCGCCCGAAGCGCGGGCGGAGAGGTTGAGGGAGGAGGAGGCGGCGCAGAGGGTGAGCGATGCGATTGATGAGAGTTTGAGGCAGGAGAAGGCGTCGTTGAAGAAGAGGACGAAGCCGGTGAAGATATTGTTGTTGGGGCAGGCGGAGAGCGGTGAGTGTCTTTTTTTTTGAACAGCTTGTTACGATTGGGTTTCTTTCTTTTTTTGTATGGGTTGGAAGCATGTATTAGTCGTTCCGAGAGCTGACGGTTCGCATCCTTATTTCTGGTCGTGTACTACGCCACAGGCAAAAGTACAACACTGAAAAGTACGTTACATCTAACTTATATCTCCACCCAATCTCCCTCTCCTCATCTCATCTCACAATACCTCCCGATGCAGATCTCCAAATGACCTACGCCCCCGCCGCCTGGGCCCGCCAACGCGCCTCCTGGCGCGCCGTCATCCAGCTCAACCTCATCCACTCCATAAACCTCATCCTCGACATCCTCGCCTCCGTCGCCTCCACCCCCTCCGCCTCCTCCTCGTCCACCCATCACAATACGAACCACAGCCACAATCATCATTATTCGCACGACGACGAACAGAGCTTCGCGTCCCATGGCCAGTCGAGCGGAAATGCTAGTGGGGGAGCGAATAATCATAACCCGCTCACGGAGAAACATGCGCTCTTGAGATTGAGGTTAGCTCCGCTCCGGAGAGTCGAAGCTGACCTGCGTAAACACCTCGGTATGGCGTTCGCGGACTATACAGAAGAAAACGGCGAGGACGGGGAGGGCGTGAACGCGCCGATATCGATGGACGCAGAACAATGGGCTACGCCGTTCGATCCGCCCACACGTCCTACGGGGAAAGAGAATAGACGGAAGGTGAATGAGTTTTTCGTCAGGGTGAGACGGGGGGGAAAGGCCGGGAGTTCGAAGGAGGGTGGCGGGGGCGGGGGCGGGAAGGATGGGAGGGATGGGAGGCCGTCGGTCGCGGATGAGGCGACGGAGGTGTTGATGGGGTGTGCGGAGGATATGAAGGCGTTGTGGGAGGATGGGACGGTTAGGGGCGTGCTTGAGGGGTGGGGGATTAGGTTGAGTCAGTGGAGTGGGTTGTGAGTCGTTCTTGTTTATGATTCTTTCGTCGTCTTTGACGCCCCTTTTCGTTGTGTGGAACCACTGTGGCGCAGCTTCCTTGATGATATCGATAGGATAGCCTCCCGGTCGTATACACCATCCGACGCAGACGTAGTCCGCGCACGACTGAGGACTATCGGCATCCAGGAACACAGTCTAGTCTTCGAGGATGGCATCAAGGTCAGTTGTAGCTACTGCCCACTTCGGTTACCGGCTCATACATGTGAATACGATACTAACGACGTGTGTGGGTAGGTCCAGTCCCGCAAAGCCTCAGACGCGTCCGATAGGCGGAAGAGCAAGGATAGCGCGGCGTGGCACAGGAAGAACGAGTCGGGCGGGGAATGGACGATTTATGATGTTGGGGGATGTCGGACTTCTGTATGTCTTCTGTCTTCTGTCTTCTGTCTGCCGTCTCCTTTCTCTTTCGTCCTTCACTTTCGTCGCCCTGTCTCCCTCCCTCGTATCCCGCCCCTCTCCGCCTTCGTCCTTTTCCTCTCCCCGACTGCGTCCTTTTCCTCTCACCGACTGCTCTTCTTCTCCCTATATGCTTTGGTCCCCCGAACTAATGACTCAATTGACACCATGCACAGCGCCACGCCTGGCTGCCCTACTTCGAAGATCTGACTTCGATCATCTTCCTCGTCCCCATCTCGTGCTTCGATGAACAGCTGGAAGAAGACCAGACGGTGAATAGACTTCAGGATTCGTTCGCGCTTTGGACGGCGATCGTGGGGAGTAAGCTTTTGAGTGACGTGCGTGTCCGTTTCCTCGCCTTCCTTCGTCGCCTTCTCTTCACCTTTGCATTCTCCTCACCTTCTCCCCGGACGACCAGCGTAGAGTTGTTGTTGATCTATTTGTGTGCGTGGTATAGGTCATGATCATCCTCTTCCTCAACAAATGCGACCTGCTCGACCAGAAACTCAGGAGCGGAGTCATGCTTAACCATTTCTTGACGAGTTTTGGGGAGAGGAGTAATACGACGGGGACGGTTGTTAAGTGTACGTTCCCCCCGTTCCTTTCCCTTTCCCTTTCCCTTTCCCTTTCCCTTTCCACTTTTCCACTTCCCACTTTTCGGCTTTTCCCATCTCCTTCCCTTTTACCCCTTTCTCCTTCCTTCCACGTCCCACCTCGGTCGTGATGATTAACGTGTGGCATATACTATATAGATCTACGAAGCAAGTTCAAAGACATCCTCATCGAAAAATCACCAAAGGAGAGGCCGTTCTATGGGTATCCGACGAGTGTAGTGGATACGATGGCGACGCGGTTGACGCTTGGGAGCGGTATGTGCTCTCCTTCCTTCCAACCTTTTCTGCACGCGCTGTTTTCCTTTGAATCGTTTGCTCCTACTCCGTTTTCGATTGCCTTTCTTCCCCACCCCCTGAGACGAGAACGTGACCCAATATGCTGACCGATGGGTTTCGTGCGTTTGATTCGAATCGAACAGTCCGCGACGGGATATTGAGGTCTCACCTGAAGAATGCGGATTTCTTGTGACAATGAAAGAGCGACGACCGGCTGGAAGTTATTCGACGTACAGCCATGAGGACCCAAAATTGGTATCTGCGGCGTGGTTCCCTTTGACTGTCGACTGGCGATTGACGATTGACGAGTGACTTCGGCACCTCCGTTTTTGTGCACATGCTAGGACTCGCCTCGGGTTACCCTCAGCTGGGGGTTCGGATCATCCGTTCGTTCGAGACATATATACTACGCCACACTGCCTATTCACGGACGACCCACGAATCTTGCATGATCCCCTCGCTTACGTCTGCCATCCTACTCTTCTCTCCGCGACTAGGATCCACTATCCACTATCTCTATTTCTATGCCTACCTACACACCTACACACCTACACCCTACACCCAACATATAACATATATATAGCTCCCATCCTCTTCAAAATTACCTGGGTCCCGATCTATCCTTTTATTCGCTCCGATCTATCCTTTTATTCGCTCCGATCTATATATTATATGCGCTACGTGTATCTCCGTGCTTTCTGCTGCCCTTGTGCTTCTCGGCCGTTGTCCTCGTCTCTTGATGCTCTACCTACTTTTCGTCCACGTCGGTGATTCGATTTTTGTTGAGGTTGGATATACATATCACAGCGCTTTCCCGACTACTCTACACCTCTACGCCTCTTTATCTACATACTCTATGCCGTACCCCACATCATGCTACCCCCCTACGCTTCGTGTCGTTATTGTAAATGATTATTACTATGCTCTCGACAGTATACGTGCTATGGAACCGAGGTCTTGTCGGTATCAAGTCCGAGTATAGTGTGTGTATGTGTTTGTTCGTCGTCTAATCTATCTTGGTCTGCTGCACGTCTAACTACTATATGTGCATGAGAATAGACCGTATAAGAAAACATTCGAGTTAGAAGGATGAACCTACACGGAAGCAAAAAATCCTAATTCAAGATAAGCACACCGCGGCAGCCCCGCTCGACGCGCCTGTGGCTGAGGGTAATTTAAAAGACGCGCGTGGGACCAAACAGGGACAAATAACGCGATCTTCAGTACCACCACCACCATCCCTCGCGTCTCGCCACTCTCTTTCTGCTGTCGCGTAACGTGTTACCCTCAGTCTAGAGTTCTTCTCACGCTCTGGTCTTCTGTGGGCTGTGGGCTGTTGGTCTCTTGTTGCGTATATTCGACGCGTTTGAAGACGCTCAGCTTGCGACGACGACGGTGAATACGGATACGGAATACAAAAGAAGAACAAGAAACACGAAAACACGATAATGCCGCGCAGACCAGCCGCAGCCTCGGACGACGAAGGTACCAGTGCCGGGTCGTCCTCGTCGCATAAGGAGAACCGCAGCGCGAATGGCGTTAATGGCGTTAATGGTGTGAAAGCCGAGAAGGTGAATGGGAAGGGGAAGGGGAAGAGGCGGGCTGCTACGCCTGAGGACGAAGACGAAGAAGGCGACGACCAGGGCGGCGAGGAGGAAGGAGAGGGTGACGAGGAGGAGGAAGAGGAAGAGGAGGAAGAGGAAGGGAGTCCGAAAGGGCGGAAGAGGGCACGGGTGAGTGAGGAGGGCGATGGGGAGGCGAGGCAGCCGAAGAGGGAGAGGGTGAAGATACAGAAGGAGAAGGTGCTCGAGAGGGATCCGAAGGACGGGTGAGCGTTCATTTTTGATTTTCTTTCGTTGGAGTCATCGTCCTCGCGTCGTTCTTGGCTTTGGGCGTGAAAGGCATGGCAGGACGGGAACTAAAAATAGACCTCCTATATCGCGGCGTGTCTCATTGTTCATATAGCATACATCGAGCTCTTCAGCTTATATGCTCAGACCTAGCTTCTGCCATACGAAATCTTTCTTTGAATATTCGTACTCACTCATTTCCATTATGTTCACTACAGCTACGTTGCCGGCTCCATCGTCCGCGTCAAACTGCACAACTTCGTGACCTACGACGATGTCGAGTTCAAGCCCGGTCCCCACCTCAACATGATCATTGGTCCCAACGGCACCGGCAAGAGCAGCATCGCCTGCGCAATTGCTTTAGGCTTGAACTTTCCGCCTAGTGTATGTCCCCCTCCCCCTTTCCATACTCTATCACACTGACATCGCCACGATAGGTCCTCGGCCGCGCGAACGATATCAACCTCTTCGTCAAACAAGGCACGGACGAAGGCTTCGTCGAGATCGAGCTCAAAGGCAGGCGCGGGAAACAGAACCTCGTCATCAGGAGAGGGCTCAAGTCGACGAGCAAGAGCTCGACGTATATGTTGAACGGCCAGAGCGCGACGGGCAGGGAGGTCACGATGAGGATGAACGAACTGAATATCCAGGTCGGCAATCTTTGGTGCGTTTTTCTCCGTTCTTCTTTCTCCTGTTCTCCTGTCTCCGTTCTACCTCGCTTTCTCTTTCTATATGCTGTGTGCTCATTCGGGTTTTCATTCGATAGCTCGTTCCTTCCGCAGGACAAAGTCTCCGAGTTCGCGCAGATGACGCCGGCGCAGCTGTTGAGAGAGACGCAGCGCGCGGCTGGAGACGAGAGGTTGAGCGCTTGGCACGAGACGTTGATCAATGCCGGAAAGGAAGCGAAGGAGATGCAGGAGGTCGGTATTTTTTCTTCTTCTTTCATGCTCACTCATTGTGCAGCCGCTTTTCCGCTCTTTGTCCAATGTATGCTTGTGAGCGCGATACTGACTCGTGTGTTGATGTGATTTTGCGTGTATATAGCTCCTCGATGCGGATAGGGCACAGCTGAAGACGCTCGAGGAGAGGAACAGACAGCTCGAGAATGAGGTGGATAGGTTCCATGAGAGGAAGAAGATCGAGGACGAGGTGCGTTCTTCTTTCTTGCTTTCTTCCCCCTTCTTAATTTTATCCGTCCACGTTCTTTTCTCTATCCGTCCTCTTTTCTCTATCTATCCTATACGACCACCTTCACTGTACCCATATTTTCCCTCTTCCCTCCTTCCTCTTTCCGCCCTGACCTGCCCCGCCCGTCATCCCATCCCATCCCATCCCGCCCTCACCCATTCCCTCCCCTCGCGTCAACGCTTCCATCAAATCAACCCACCCACTCACCTCCCTACCAGATCGCGATCCTCGAGCTCCTCCTCCCCTTCGCGCTCTACATGGAAGCCCGCACGCGCTACACGGAGGCGAAGAACCTGAAGCGTGATTTGCATGCGAAGGCGCAGGCGCTGGAGAGGAGGAATGGGCCGATGTTGAGGTTGAAGGCGTGCGTTGCTTTCTTTTCGTGTTTTCCTGCATCTGGGATTGCGGGGCACTGGCACTGACGATTGTCTTTTTTTTTCTTGATGTGGGTATGGCTCTGGGTGGTTGCGGCTGTGGTCGTCGATGTGGATCCTGGCGCGTGACACGAACGCCACACAGCTCGATGGAAGCAGAGTCGAAGGAACTCCAAGCGCAGCGAGAGAAGAAGAAGGGCGCGACGAAGACGAAGTTCAAGGCGCTCGAGAAGAAGTTGGGGGATAATGAGCATCTGGTGCGTTTCCCTGTTTCTTTCTTGTTTCTTGTTTCTTGTTTTGCGTGCTTCGTCCTTCGGGTTTCTTATTTGGCCCGTTGTAACAGTCCCAACAAGCCGAATCCATCGCGGATAAGCTGCAGAACCTGAAGAAGAACGAGAAGGAGCGGAAGGAGAAGATCAGGAAGGGTTTAAGGGATATTGAGAGGTTGCAGGAGATGTTGGATAATCCGCCTGAGATGGAGAATGTGGATGATATTATGGCTGATATTGTGCGTTTCTTTTTCTCCCTTTTTTCTTTGTGCCCCTTTCGCCTTGGCTTTGTTTTTGGCTCTGGTTTTGGTACTGGGAAAGCGGCGTACTGATTCGAAGGTGGCGTTCTGTAGACCGAGGTGAACCACAAGAACCAAGAAGTGAACAGGAAGAACTCGGACCTGCAGGAGAGGCAGAGGGCGGTGGTCGACAGGTTTGCGGCGGTTAGGGCGGATAGGAGCAGTGCTGAGCAGACGTGCGTCCTTACTTTTCTATGTTCCTTCTCCTTCCACCCTTTCCTCCCCACCTCTCCGTCCCATCCCCACATTATCAACGCGTCTGCTTACTCACCTCACCTCACTCTCACTCTCACCTCTCCCCAACACAACACCCATCCCACAGCCTGAAAAACCTGAACGACGAAGCCGCCCGCCGCCTGCTCGAGCTCTCCAAATTCGATAAAGACTGCGCGGACACCATCTTCTGGCTCAGGAGCAACCGACACCTGTTCCGGATGGAGATCTTCGAGCCCGCGATCGTGAGCTTGACGGTGCCGGATAGGAGGTACGCGAGTGCGGTCGAGGCGTGTTTTAGTGCGGCGCAGTTGAGGGTGCGTGCTCCTTCCGTTCTATTCCTCCCTCCTCGCTCTTTGCTTCCTTCCTGGTCGGCAGACTCGGAATGCATTGTATGGTTGAGTGACATACTGACGTGACGTGCTGTAGACCTTCGTGTGCCAGTGCGACGACGACTACAGGCTGTTGAATAAGCTCATTACGGACTCGACGGAGGCGTTAGGGAGGAAAGCGAGGATCACGACGTGGTTCAAGTCTGGCGACGGGGAGGGCGCGCCGGCGCCTTTGCCGCGTGAGCAGGTGCGGGTCTCTTCCTTCCCTTCCCTTTCCTTCCTGTCCACTGCTTCCACTACTTTGAACTGGTCGACGGGCAAAGATACTGACACGGTGTGGCGCTTGTTTCTCTGTTGTATAGCTCGCCAAATACGGCTTCGATGGCTATGCGGTCGAGTATGTCAAGTGTCCCGACGGGCTGTATAAGTTCTTAAGCAGGGACGTGCAGTTACACCGGACGGTACGTCCTTCCCTCTCTCCCGTCCCGTCCTCTGTTGCCTGCACGCACTCACGCTAACACCTTCGCTTGCAGCCCATCGCCCTGAACCCGATCAATCACCAACAATACGAAGACATCGTGTCCATCATCTCCAACACCGGCAGCGGCAACTTCATCACGAAGATGACGATGAACAGGGTGATGCGGTCCGCTTATGGACAGCGGCTCGCGCAGACGGGAACGCATGATTTCAATCCGGCGAGGAACTTCATACATACGCCTGGTACGTTTCTCACTCGATCATAAGTGAATGTGGGCGAACGCTGATTGGCGTGCATAGTTGACGATACGCTGAAGAGGGAAAGCCAGCAAAAGCTCAACGAGGCGGAGGAGAGGCTGATCGGGATACAGAAGGAGATCGACGCGTTGGCTATCGAGGAGAAGGACATCCGCGACGAGTTCAAGGCGATCAAGAATGAGCGGGTGCGTTCCCGTTTTCGTTCTCTCACTCATCTGACCTCACCCGTCGACACTTATTTATCACGCGGCTGATGCTGATTCTTCGGATTGCGCTGTATTTGTGTTTCTATGATAGGATCATCACGTCGCGAGGAGGGAGAAAGTGGTGAGGGAGAGGGCGAAGATCCAGAAGACCGCAATTTCGCTCGGTAGGCCCAGGCTCAATCATACCCACGATGATATCCACTGACAACGTTTTTCTTGAATCCCGATCCCGATAGAAAACAAGAAGAATCAGGTGAAGGCTTGGGAGGACGAGCCGCCCGTCGACGAAGAACGTGCGAAGCTGCAGAAGCAGTTGTTGGACAGTGCGAAGAAGAGGGCTGCCGCTGCGAAGCAGTACGCTGTGCGTGGTTCCCGTCTCGTCTTCTCTTATTCGATTCTGACCGTGATATTTGGTGCGTTTTGTGTCATAGGAACTCCTCCGTGGTGCTATCAAGGACCAAGACGAGGCCACGAAGCTCGGGCTGAGGTTCTTGCAGGTGGAGAGTAATATCAAGGCTTTGCAGCAGCATATCGACGAGAAAGATGGGGAGTATCGCGAGGCGCTTGCTCAGTTCCAGAGAGGTACGAAGTCGTGCCGCGCGTTCAGATGGATCATCGCCTCTAATCCTTGCATCGGCCATGAACCATAGCTCTCGCTGTGTACGAAAAGGCAAAGGAAGAAGGCAAGACCACCCTCGCCGAATCCAAAGAAGCCATCGCCGCCGCCGAGCCCCAACTCAGGGAGAAATTCACAACCATGGAAGAGGTACGGTCGTCTTCCTCCTTCCCTCCTCCCCCCTCCCCACCCCTCCCCCCTCTCCCCCTACCCCTCTCGTATTTCCTCTGCACGAGCGAGATCCTTCTCTGAACGGTATTTGTTCGTGTGAATGATCTTTTTCTGACGAGTAGTATAAACGAATACAGAGCGGGGAGGCGATGCAGAGGACCTCGGAGCAGATATTGGCGGAGCTGGAGACGCTGAGGACGCAGTTGGATTTGATATTGGGCACGAATCCGGGCGTGGTGGATCAGTATGAGAGGAGAAAGGCCGAGGTGAGTTTATCATTTGTGTGAGTCTGGAATATGAGTTGGCTGCTGATTCTTGAATGCTAGATCGCTTCGTTGACGAAGAAGATCGAGGAGCGCGAGGCGAAGGCCGCCAAGATCGAGAAGAATATCAAGACTGCTCGAGTATGTATTTGAGCTTTTTTGGATTTCTTATCGCATGGTTCTGACTGTTTGACACGTTCCTTAGGATAATTGGGAGCCTGCACTCGACGACCTCGTCCATGAGATCGGCAGCAAGTTCTCCGCCGCCTTCGATCGTACGTCTCCTTCATCCATCATCTCTTTTCCTGCCATCGTGCTTGGACGCTGAGTTGGACACACAAACAAACAGGTATCGGCTGCGCGGGTGAAATTCAGCTCCATAAGCCCGAAGACTACGATAAATGGGCGATCAACATCTTCGTCAAGTTCCGTGATCACGAGCAGCTACAGCAGTTGACTGCACAGAGGCAGTCTGGAGGGGTGCGTTATCCTAGATTTCTGTTCGCCTATGGACTGCGTGCTTATGGTGGTTGCTTTGTAGGAACGCTCATTGACGACGATCCTGTACCTCATGAGCATGACCGAACAGGCTCATGCTCCCTTCTCTCTCGTCGACGAGATCAACCAGGTCCGTTCTCCCTTGCGTTCCGAGGCCTCTCATCTCACCACTGACCGCATGTTTCATCAGGGTATGGACCAGCGCGCCGAACGTACAGTCCATAATGAGCTCGTGAAGACGACCTGCCGTGCCGACAGCGGTCAATACTTCCTCATCACGCCCAAGCTCCTTCCCGACCTCAACTACCACAAGATGATGAAGGTCCTTTGTGTCAATAACGGGGAGTGGTTGCCCGAGGATAGGAGGGTCGGCAGTATGATGGGTATGATCGAGACCTACGTCCAGATGAAGAGGGGTGGCGGAGGGGCCGCTAGTGCTTGATCGTTCAACTTGCTAGTAGAGGTGTTTCAGACCGATTTCGCGAAGACTGTAGAATGCGTATTGTAGACTCATGCTTGCTCCTCCGTCTGTTTGTCTGATGTGTATGCGTATGATCCTGACTAATCTCTACATGCTACGGTACATACTGCACATATATATGATTAACTGTATGGATTGTTTCATTTCTTGACATTTCAGACTCAGTGCGCTTCGTGGATGGACCTGAAATTATAAGAGATCAGACACAGTGTCCCTGAGCTAACCCGGTCACCGAAAAAGACAACTCACGTCAATTCAGTGCAAAGAACTTGGGGAGTTTTTCCCATAATGCCTGCGTGCTCAAGGCAGACTTGAGAGCATGTCTACAGTCGTGACAGAAATAGGTCTCGTCGACTTCCTTCGAGAACACGCAGAGCGCGGCGAGGATGTCTGTCTTTGGATCGCTGCATAGATTTATTCTACGGGACAGTTGACGAAGGTAGTCATCATCCATCTTGCAGTGATCCTCCAAATCCTCGCAGACGTCGATAGCCAGGATTCTCTGTGCGCGCCCGATTGCATATGCCCTAAGTGCTGCCTGGCCAGTAAGCAGGCACCGCATCTCTTCGCCGCTCAGCAGGGACCACCGAACAGAACGAAATCTCGAGTAGGCGAAAGGAAAGAAGATTTCGCTCTTGCTAAGTCCGCGCACGATGTGCCAGTCGTCGCTGAGGGAGAGCCGTGAGAGGTGGTAGAACGCTGCTGGGAGGATGGAGGGGATGTTGCAGTCTCGAGCGAGACGGATGGCAATTGCGGGTTCGGGTAAGGCATGACGTATTCTAGCGCTTCCTCTTGGTCGCCCATCGTTGAGATTTCGGACTCTAGCCTTTCCCAAGCTGAGACGGTTTGAGGCCAGTCGCTTTCCAGACGGTCCACGATTATTTTGCGGACGAAGTCGACTTGGTACTTGTTTGCCATCACGAGTATATTCCGCACAGCGTCTGGCGTGTTGGGATTAAGTCTCGGATAGGGGAGCTCACTAGACGTGTGGGGTAAGTACGTGTGTGACCATAAATGTTCGTGCATGAAAGTATTAGCATATGCGTAGAGAGAAATTGAGACGTACTATCCGAAGTAGAAAGCCTTCAGGAGAATCTCGAGGTCGTCCGCATTATCCGGCATCTGAACTAGAGGAACACCCTCATGGGTTTCGTTGGCGCCTTTTGGGTTGGGAAGCGCAAATGTGTCGCCGAAAATAGGAGAATGTAGGGATAGGATAGTTTGATGAACGCGAAAGAGTGTGCCAACGGGACCTGCAGGCTTTTCAGCCTCCTGGACAGGAGAGGCTGCTTCGCTGGAAGAGTTAGACGCCGCGGTGAGATTCAACTTGGGGGCCGCAAGACAGACATTCCCGTCTACGAAGTAAAGCACAGAGTGTTTCTGGTAATCGGATACAAAGCTCATTTGGAGGGCGTGGGCGTAGGCTTGGGCAAGTACAGCGGCGGATCAGATAGTACCAGGTGACGGTAAAAGTTCAAGAAATGTCTCAGTTATGGCGCAGAACATCCACGGAGGTGTCATAATTCGAGCTCCGCCTCAAGCTGATGCGATACAGCTTCATCGCGAACAAACGTTTAGGAGTTGTGAAGGTAAAAAAAAATTGCACGCCCAGGGCGAGTTGACAAAGTCCACCAAAAGCCTACGAGTGTCACCGTTCACCGACCAACGGGACCGAGTAAAGTACGGATATTTTTCGAAAAGCCTATGGCAGCAGGTTGAGTCATAGGACAAGCATGAACGAGAGGCATATAGGACACAAGTAAGTATATCAAGTCGTTAATCTGCATCGTCAAACAGTGGGAATGTGTCACGTCAGTGTTTCATCGAGGGGGCACCGTAAACAACGACTAGCTACTTACCTCGGCGGACGACGCCCTCACTGAAGCGCGAAGAACTCCGGCAGCCTTCTCCATAACACTTTCAAGTGGCGGTCGATTGCTTTCCCATAGTCATTGGCGCAGTCACCACATGCGTCCAGCTCAATCTCCTTCATGACCTCGCGATATACCTTGAAGATATCTGAGGCTGCACCCGCCCGCACTCTATCGCGCAGTTCATGCGAATATTCGTAGGTTACAGGGCAAAATTCTTCAGGCCCTAGAGGTTGCCCGCAATCGCGCATAGGCATGCCTACCGCTCCCTGTTTAAGAATCCTGGACTTTCCTAACATCAAGCACCGAAGGTCCTCTGCGCTAAGTAGAGACCAGCGAGCCGTCCGAGCGTAACGTCGAATGCCGTTGTATACCGAGGCGACGTCGTCCTTTTTTCTATGTGCGCTGTCCCAATCGTGCTCGATATTGATACGTGCCAAGTGATAGAACGCTGCCGGGAGAATGGACGGGATGTTGCATTCGCGTGCGAGGCAGATGGCGGAGGCGGGTTCAGGGAGCATGTCGTCGATGAGTGCTCCGGGGTCTTTGGCGCTGCGACTACGGTAGCGGTGCTGCGATTGTGCCCTCTCAACTTCCGCCTCCAATCTTTCCCATTGATCTATGGTTTGAGGCCAATCCTCTTCGAGTTGTTTGACTATGCGTTGGCGTATGAAGTCGACTTGGTACTTGGTTGCGATGAGGAGAATACTCCGCACGGCACTAGGTGTACGAGGGTCGAGTCTGCGATATGGTAGCTCGCTAGGTCATATACGCGGCGATAAGTATATCTTTAACGAAACACGCTTGAAAGGTCCTCATAAATGGATTTAACTTACTAACCGTAGTACAAGGCCGTAAGAAGAGACTCGAGATCTTCGGCACTGTCTGGCATATGCACAAGAGGCACGCCATCGTATTTCTCATTCGTATCGTCTGTGCTCGGTAGACCGAGCATGTCGCAGAAGATTGGAGAGTGGATGGAGAGCACTGATTGATGGACGCGGAAGAAGATGCCAGCAGCAAGTGAATGATCAGGAGCAGCTAGCGTTTCTGCACTAGAATCACTTTGCGAGGCAGCTGAAGCGTGCGATACCGCAGAGAGACAGATATTACCATCGGTGAAATATAGTTTGGGATGGCGCTGAAACTCTGACATAGATTCTATTGACAGTGGGGTGTGGACCGCCTTTCGTGAGCCTGAGGTTCGTGAGGGTTCGTGTAGATTCAACTGATTGAAATTCGACAGTTGTGCGCGAACACGGTCATTGCCGAGTGGCACTTTTACCCACGTAGTTGATCGCAGACTCGTTGACAGGCATTGGAAGCGGTATTTTACATCGGCAGCACGGAGAGTTAGGGCAGATAATTGCGGACGTATCCTATGCCTGCCATATCGTGTCTTTCTGGGCATGCATGATCTCACGGGCTACTCCGTACGAAGGATGGTACGCACTTTCGCATACCACCGTGACCCAGGCCACCCTGGACCGCTACCTTCGCCAGAGGAAAAAGAGGAAAAAGATAGAGGGTTGTATTGTTGTCATCACTCTGTGAAGTCACCCCTGGGACATATGTTACAATCGGAAGAGGCCTACGGTTGCGTGAATAATCGAGGATCGACGCAATGAATGGGTATAGGCAACAAGAGGCTCATAGTGGCTCTCTGCTCGATATCTCTTCCTCTAGAGCCGAGACGGCCCATCACGACAGGGTGAGAAACGTGTGCGGCTCTGGGAAGCCTAAGTCGCACGATCCTCGCCTTTTCAACAAATAGCTAGAACATTTCAGTCAGATCAAGATCAAGGTGATAATATTATGAAGGACTACAGACCATATCAAGGAAGCGCAAAGTACTCTGGCAATTTCTTCCAAATATTAAGCTGATTCTCAATCTGCTCCCTACACTCCCAACAGAACAGCCAAGATTCCATGAAATACTTCTGTTCACGACCAAAAACCTTCAATAAGTCTGTATCCGAGGTGCTGGCGTCTCGGATCCGGTCATTGAAATTCTTGAGGTTCTCCGGCTCATCCTCCAAGGCGCATTCCTCCCAGTCGTCAGTTGCGTCGCCACCGTCACTCCGTCGACAGGGGAGAAGGCCACTGTGACACGCGCGGTGCTTCTCAATAGCCAATTTGCCAACCAGCAAGCACCTAAAGTCTTCCGCGCGAAGTAGAGACCATCTTGCAGAGCGAAAGCCATAGGAGAGTTGTGGCTTGCGAACGTCCGTGAGTTTCTTCGGCCCATAGCTGCGCACGAGGTCCCAATCGTCCTCGATTGAGAGACGAGATAGATGATAGAAAGCAGGTGGGAGAATGGATGGGATATTGCACTCGCGTGCGAGCCGAATGGCGGATGCGGGTTCTGGGAGTGCATTATCAAGCTCGAGGGAGGGACCACGAGTCCCGTTCCACACTCCACCACGTGCATCCTCCCTCATGCCTTCGATTTCGTGTTCAAGTCGCTGCCAAGCTTCTATGGTTTGAGGCCAATCTGACTCTAGACGCGTCACGATGATGCGGCGTACGAAGTCGACCTGGTATTTGTTGGCCATCAAGAGGATGGACCGTACTGCATCTGGCGTGCGTGGATCGAGTCTGGGAAACGGAAGTTCGCTTGGAGACAAAATAAAACTCAGGTCAATAAAATCCTAAGAAATGAAGGATGGCGAGTTCCAAAGGGATTCCAATACTTACTAACCGAAGTAGAATGCTTTCAGCAGAGATTCCAGGTCGTCTGCTCGATCAGGCATCCGAACTAACGGAGCTTTGTCGTATGTCTCATTCACTTCAGGAGGGCTGGGCAATGCAAACAAGTCCTTGAAAATCGGAGAGTGTAGTGACAAGACGGATTGGTGGACGCGGAAGACGATTTCGAGAGGTTGAGCAGGCACATGTACCTCGTTGACTTCTGTGCTGGGAGTTGGAGAAGAAACATGTGCGACGAGTCCGTGTGTCGCTGAGAGACACACATTTCCATCTGCAAAGTAAAGAACAGGGTGTCGTTGGAATGTGTCCATTGAAATGGTAGTAAGACTCGAGGTTCGTTCAAGCTCTGGCCTTGGCAACCGGAAGTGGGAGCAGTGGCGAGCACGTGATCTTACAAGGTAAACCCCTCGTGCAAGTGTGGCCCGCCTAGCTCAATCGGATAGAGCGTCAGACTTTTACGATCGTCTCGACCGTTGACATCTGAAGGCTGCGAGTTCGACCCTCGCGGTGGGCTTGAGGGAAGGTTATATTGGATATTATTTGTTTGGAATCAGAACTAGTGAGGATAGTTCAAGAACACATTTTTATCCCGTCAATATCATGAGAATATATCCTCCCGCTTCTGTCTTCAGCCATAGTACAGACTAGCTCACTTCCAACCTCAAGGCATCATACATCGCTCTTGTTCCAGACCCCGGCGACAGACCCAACGTAAACGTGTTCGGCCCCTCCAGCAACCAGTCCCTCGGGAATACATATTGATGGTCCACCACGAAACAAGAGATGCCGCTTCTGGTGATACATGACGAAGATACATTCGAAGGGATGATCCACTCGAGTAGCGATTGGTTGTTGACTTGAACGGTGAGCGGGAAGTCGGAGAAGGCGAGAGACGAAAAGTCTTCGTTGCCGGTGGGGCCAACCGCTCCTGCGAGGATCTGTTGACAGCAACTTCAGCGTCAGTCAAAATGAAGTCAATTGACAAAGAGACCTACCACTGTGAATATTGCATTGGTGGTATTCAGTAGTGAGATGGCTTGATCTTCATCGATCCCGAATCTGATGGTAAAGTTGTTTCTCTAACCGGCTCCAGTCAAACTCCAGTCATGTCTAACAAGGTCGTCAAACACCACTTACTTCAGCGAACTGACAATAGTTCTACACAATAGTAAAGATCATTAGTATGACCATCCATATACACACATGGCTATGGAGAGGAAGGCTAGTGCCAAATAATATGGACGCTCACCCAATCCACAGAGACGTCGTTCGCTCCGATCTCAAAGTTGACACCCTGTGGAAAGTCCTCGGTGAAATTATAAGCACCCCAGTATTGACGATATTGCATCGGATGATAGGTCTCGTTTTCGGCGGGAGCAAAACCGTGGCGATATTCTCCAGCGGTGCGGTCTGGTGTACCGAGACGCCACAGCTCAACACCTTCGAAAATCATGGATCGCGATTAGACTAGCCATTCGAGAATGTTTTAAATAGGTAACGAACCTGTGCTCTCCTCGACCCAAGTCATATTGGAGAGTACGATTGCTTGTGCCTCTGGTACTGTGATATTCCGGACAATGAAGGTACCGAATACACCTTGACAGGGATAAATATGTAGTTCATTACGCTCGCGATGCGGACTGACAAGCTAAGCTACCTTTTGCATACACTGTCAACCTATATGTTCCAGCCCGAACGTTCGGGATTTCGACGTGCCCATTTGAATCGATTTCTCCCCAGTACTGAAATGTGCTCTGGTCTAGAACGTTAGACTGGAAGTCCCAGCCATCGGCGCTGAGTACAGCTACAGCATCGTCAGCACTCTGCGGAACGGAGATACTTAGTGAGAAGGTGCTTCGGTTCGATGGTGCCACGAAGCCTGGTATCTGCGGAGCTATCGCGGTATAGAAATCGGCGTAGGAATCGAGGGAGGTGGCAGATTCTGCGTCCGCACGAAGCTCGGAGAGGCTGTGGAGAAACCAAATCAGTTTGTAGCACCAAAGGAAAGTAATCCGTAAATACTAGACCTCGCCTGAGAGCCTTTGTTGAAGTACAGAATCTGGGCCACATCAGAGAAGTTTAGAAAGTGAATGAAGGAAGAAGGAAGGATTACTTACCTGAGGTCCCCATGTACGGTCATATCCTTCAGAAGTCAAATTTGAGGTAGCGGCACCTTGGTGGCTAGATGCGAACTGTGACCAAGTGAAGTCAGAAACAGACGGAACACGAAGATAAAATCAACGCACGTAATAGTAAATATGAGGTATTCTCTGCAGGTTCGCAGAGCCCTCCGGTACGCCAATCATCCCATCTAGGAGAAGATCGTAGTGCGTCGGCCCTCCAAATAGTGTGTCCTGCGTCAGCGAGACCATCCATGCGCCGTACGCTGTTCCATCTTCGTCGACGCCGTAAAGCCCGTGGGCCTTCCTATACCTATATGCGTCCGCTAAAGCATACTTCGTCCACCACGTACTCGTTTCAACCATGAACGGTTCATCGGGTGTGCCACCCAAGCTCCATGTGGCGTCTTGAACTTGAACAGCAGGCGTGATAGCGTCCTGAGATGGTATTGACATGTTGAGCTGGGGATTAGTGGAAGCAGTTTTCCAGAGCGTGGTGTTGAATTGAAAGACTTCGCGTATCTCGCGGACAGGAATGCCTCCGTCCTCGAAGGGGAAACCAGATGATGAATTAGAATAAATGAGCCGGGCGAAGTTGTGGATTCCTGTCTCGTTAGGGCGAAGGAAGTACCACTGCTGAAATGTATGACCGATAGGAAGAACCTCTTGCATGAATGATCCGACGTAGGGTTGGCCGGAGATATCGTTCCCTTGGAGTCTACGGAAGCGTGGCATGAGCTCTTGGGTAGGAGAAATAAGAAGAATCCCTCACAGTTCGAACGTGGCGTTCATACCAACATGATAAATGTCGGAATCTGCGACCTGGTAGCTGCTCGGAACACAATGACACTCTGAGGCAAAACAAGTCAGGTTTTGCACGGTAGAGACGTAGGCAAGGGCAACCGACCGTAATAACCCCGTCCTGACGTATTGGACTGTGGCCCTTGAAGATCGTGGCCATCCAAATGGACATGACCCAAAAATCCCGTTGTCTTGTCGATTCTGTGAAACATGAGATTTCAGCGATGGTTGTTTCACAAAAAAAAACGGGAAAGACGCACGTAAAAGACAATCTTTCATTTTGAAACGTGAGAAATGTAGTATTCGCTGTCGCATTGAGTTGGGACAATACAGGGGAGGCAGTGGCCAAAGCCAGCATTAGCACAGTCAGTCGTAGCATCATGTTCAGAGGCTCGATGGCCGGAGACGGTCACCGGAAACGAAGTGTTATATACAATACATGTTGAAGCAGTCACAAGGCCATCAATGGGTTCATCGGTTGAGAACACTCAGGTCAGTCCGTCAGTGTAATGTCGGTACGAACGTCTCATCACTGTCCTTGCGAGGTCATTGACCTAGGAATATTGCGAGTATGACCCTACCGCCGGGCCGGCGTGGACTTTTAAAAGGCGACGGGGACAACAAGATTAATCACACACCGACAAGGTACCGACGCCCCTGACGATATTGCGCGATCTCAAGTCAAAGAGAGACACTTGCACAATACACAACCATCAGGATGGGTGATAGAGTTGGCCCGATGACGCACCGCATGATAATCATTACAACAGAGCGCGAAGTAAAATATATATTTCAAGTCTGAGGCGCAATGTCGTGGAAACACGCGACCTATCAGCAATCCGTGAAGTAAGACAAAGCAAGAGAAACTCACGGGTCTATGACTCCCTGCCAGCAATGGACAAGAATCATTGTATAGCACAACAGCAAAAAATCACTAAGACAACTCAACAGCAAAGTATTCATAGATCACCGTGACGATGAAATCGAACATCATAACCACCAATTTATTGATGGTCAGAAGAAACATATAAGGCGCTCCGTGGAAGACTCTGAATCCCCACTCTGACTGTCCTGATGAGTTGAGATCGTCAGAAGAAATCATCTAGAAACGGATCAGTTCGAGATGAAGGAAAGTAACTCGCCTTATGGAAGACGAGCCGCTGATCATCAAGTGTAATAGCGTGGTCCCCGGCCTGTAGGTCAAGAAAAGTTATACTGTAATAGGGCAGGCAAGTCTCGATATCGTCCCAGAATGGGCTGTCTTCCCCAGCTTCAAAGATATGACTGGCGGTCTTCAACTCGACGAACATAGAGGGCTGGGCACCACGAGCAGGGATCAAGGTGTTAAACTCCGGCGGCATCGCCGTGCGGAGAAGATGATAACCGAATTCGCAAACTTCTATGCGTGGCAAATCTGTATCACCGTGGCCTACCGAAGCCAGCGGAAAAGCGGTTCGATTGCCTGCGGTACATGTAGGAGGACTGAGAGATAGTCAATAACATAAATAACACAAACGAGAGGTGAATTCTAACTGACCACAAGAATGCTTGGTCAGACTCTAGTACATCCAAGAAAATCCGAGTAGATGCAGGTCCCCAAGACTCCCACGGTATCTCCATCCCCAGGCCAGTGGAGCTCTCAGCAAAATGTATGATGTCTCGCGCGCAGGCGACGAGCCTGTAGGATCCCAACGCGTCATCCATACCATAGTCAAAGGTGGCAATCAAGAGGCCAGGATGCATGTGTGGGATAAAGGTGGAATGATAGTGGACTTTGTCGTAGTAAAGGAAATGGTCGTTTAGAACAGGTAGTTCTAGTCGTACCGCGAGTGTGAGACCACCAGCCTCGGTATCATGGCAGTTCCCTGGGGTATCACCTACGACCGTATCCCGAAGTACATAAACATTCATGTAGACTTCGCATGCGTCCTGTGGTGGGTCCGTCGCAACAAACACTCGTGGAGATAGGAAACAATATGCGTGTGGAGCATTCTCGAAGAGGTCACAATTCTATTGGGGAAGAAAGAGGAATCACAGTGAAGAATATCAGTCTGGGCATCAAGTCGAGTTCGAGCTATGAATCGAATCCCACCACAATCATGGCACCCGACTTCCACTTCCACACAATGAGTCGAGGGGGGTATCTTCCAAAAGGTAGGCCAACGATGTCGCCGCAGATGATAATTTTCGCCCGAGGAGCCCAGCCTGTTTCCGTTGTGTGAGTCACACGGTAGCGTATTGTCGAGGATGATGCGTCTGGGTGACCTGTGTTACTAGTCAAGCTATGAAGATGAATTGCAAGCTCCTTGTCTGTCGTTAGGAACGGAGCGGGATCAGGAGCGTCGTAGCCAACATGTTCCCTCTGTTGTTCAAGAAGGACAAGAAGATCCTGGACGGGATCAAACATGAAAGTGTACACCCATAGACTGGTATCTTCGAAGTCAATCCATCTCTCTGGACTATTCTAACGGGGAAGCCAAGAGACCGAAATATGGGTCCAGGTGTGTGGCGATTGGTCAAGATCCTGCACGTCCTCCGCATAGACACATGCATCCCCGATGTGGAGGACTTGGTCCGGATTATACGAGCTGGAGAAGAGCCTCGAGGCGTTCTGCAGAAGATGTTTCGCCATCGAGACTGACGTCGGTGATGCTATCGGCACCAAGTTCGGCTTTGAGCTGGAGAGCAGAAGAGGTAGTGACGATCCCGTGTAAGAGCTTGCAACACTATAAAGGGGTTTTAAATAAAAGAAAAAATATCGAAGATAATCAGATACTAGACGTACGGATGAGCAACGTAGAACATCCCGGAAGTCCAATCTTCTGAGGATCTGCTCGACGAGGAGTTCAGTGGGAAGCTCGAGGAGCCAAGAGCTCGAAGGCATGGATCCTACACGGTCACGGTAACATATCCAAATATATGTCAGTGTTTCATAACAAACGACTGTCAAAGGCTAGGGGATGAAGATCAAAAGACCGTCCTGAAAGACATCTGACTGCATCGTCTTGATGTCCATGCCACTCAGGGTCTACATCGACCGATAGTCCATAGTCAATGTTAAGTCAACCTCATCAAGTTGCCCCACTGTGTAAAGTCTACGTCAAACGCCTTTGTACACAGACTTGTGAATTGCTGAAATACCCTGAAGCGCGTAGCTCTGTCTAACGCATGCTAGCGCTACGTTGCCGTAAAGAACCTGGATGGTGGGCCCGCAAACTCTCGGGAAGGAGAACTCGACCGAACAAATTTCAGAAACCGGAAAGTGAGCTCACCAGATGACTGAAGATTCGGCAAGATCGTAGACGTCTCTGATGTACAATCGACCGAGGACGAATGGAGATGCAGGCTTGTATGGTGAGGGTACCTATAATACGTGTGCGTAGACCGACTACTTATACTGAGGGGCAGGAGAGGGAGTAACTTGGCGGATTGCTTCTTATACTTAGAAGGGGGGATTTGTATCGAAAGGAGAACAATGGGATACACAGCGAGAGGGTTTCCATTTCTCGAGACAATGGGGATTGCAATAAGGATGGACGTCTTTGTTCGGAATTTGCTTGAACTCGATCTTGAATTATGGCAACTGCCGAATTGGATATCACGAATACGCTTGGTTCATCCGGGCCACAATTTCTTGTGTGGCGTTTGTATCTGTCTCGACTGCTTATTCAAGATGCAGTGCATCGTATTGAACCATTCGAGGACTCGGGAAGTCGCACAGCAGGCTATGTATCCTTCGGTCATTGAACTCTTCGAAGGCTAATAAAGCCCAATCCTAAAAGCTACAAAATTCCCTCGCTTTATCCTAGTTTCGTCATCTACCATCGCCCAACCATCGCCCATACCAACAATCAAATCGTAACAACTCGCAATCAACACCCAGCTGGCACTGTCGCGTCGTTACGATGGTTCGCAGCATTGACACCCAACCCACGGCTAGCGAACGCGTTCCAGAGGATACACTTGTTCGCTCCGGCGAAGCGGTTAGCGTCGGCTTGGATGATGGCATCGCGGGCGGTCAGGACTGTGATATTAATCGTCAGCAATAGCGGCGAGGAAAAAAGTGGCAGACAAGAAAGACGCGACGTACAGGTGGGGTTGCAAGGCTGTAGAGGCAGAGCATCGATCATGAGGTGAAGGAAAATGGTGTTTCCTGCGTTTCCGCTGGTTGATGGACGAGCGCATCAGCATCCTCGACAAGTCCGATCATACGAGAAAAATGGATACGCACGTCGGGTCGGTACGAGCAGTGGAGGAGAAGCCGTGCGCGTTCACGAGGGATGCCAGGACATTGTGCAACATGTTCGCCCAGACTTCACCGATATCTGTGTGGCGAGAGAATAATTGTGATGTCAATTCACGAAGGAAATTGCCAAAACGAGTGGACATACTGTGCACTTCGTTGAGGGTTCCAACGCTGGCGTAATTGAGAGGGTTTGTCGTCCTTATTTGATAACAGCTGTTGAGAAAATGCAACCCTGCGTGGGAGTAGACAAAATACGCACGAAGACGTAGAATATGGGTGGGTCCTGATACCGGCGGGGTCATTGGTGACATACTGGCCGAGCACATAATCTTGAATCGTAGGACCATCCTGCTCCAACCAGCTGCACATCGCGCCGTCAATATCGTGGACCATAAAAACTGCAAGTCGGGGAGAGGTAGGACGTACTTGGCCATGGTGTCCGACCATCCCTCACCCATACCACCAGCCTCAGTAGTCTGCAAGCACCGACCAGTCCCACCGCCGGTCATGCGGTTGGTGATCCCGTGTGTGTTCTCGTGGCTGACGATATCGTTCTCGAGAGCACCATCGCGCTGGGGCTATTGTTCTCGTCAGTAATGTTCTTTCTCAAGCACTCGTAAGACGCAAGAGATGCATACCGAGGTCTCGGTCCAGAGGAACATCCTCATACGTCCGGATTGGCCGCTATATTCCAACCACGGTGCATCAGCATCGAAGCTCCATCACAAACTTGAATGTTAGAAAAAAGACCCACTCAGCCGGCGTCGCAAAATCCGCATTATTCGTCCCCGCCGCATCCTGCACACTAATCGTAACCCTATCATTCCCCGAGCCACCCTTCCCGAAATTATTGTTCTGGAAATTGAACGCGGACTCCGTGAACCCATACTTGTACGAAACGTCATGGATCGTGTTGACGACGTAGAACGCGTTGGTCGTGGCGGCGTGGACGTTGACGGCGGTGGTGGGCGCTGTGGTCGCGTCTTGGACGTAGATGAAGTTGAGGCCGGAGGAGGATTGGGAGGTCGTGCCGGTGGTCTGGGAGGTTTTGAACGCGATGGCGTTGTTGCCACTGAAGAAATGCAGGAGGTCAGTATGAGGCTTTGAGAGGTGTTGAGCGGGAGAGATGTTTACGCAGTGGTGGTGGTAGTCGTAGTGCCGTCGCTGTTCCACGCATCCGGAGACGCCGTCGTGTCCGCCGGGTCCGTAAGCGTCTGGAACCCCTCCGTCAAGATCTCCTCATCGATAGGCAAAACGCGGAACTATAACCCGCACGCAAGGCCATCAACATTCCGTACCACACAACATATTTAAAGATATCACTCACGGAAGCCCTCGACACGAAGTCCGTAACCGACAAAACCTTATTCTCATGCGCATCCACAAACGCCTCGAACCAGTCCCCAGTCGTATCATTCTGGATCTGAATGACATGGGTGAGGGCGGCGCTTCCGTCCTCGAGAGCGAGGAACTCGAGCGTGGGAGTGTGGGAGTTGAAGGTTCCAGAAAGTGTTTGTTCGGCGGTGCTGATTGCATCTTCGAGGGAGACGGAAGGGGTGGAGGATGGGATCGTGCCTAGACGAAGGGTAGAACGATGTGCGTCAAGTACTGAGAGAACAGGGTAAGCAGGTGACCTACTTGGTGCAACGAATGAAGAGCCGAAGGAAGCGACCTTTCCATCCATGTTGAACGCAACATTAGCGACGGCGTTGGCAAACGCAACACCATCCTAATCAAAGAAGTCTAATCAGGGACGAATGGACGAGGGAGAGGAAAAATAAATGGGCATACGTGTTGCTGCTTGACAAACGCATGCTGAGCGGCCTCGCCAACGAAGCTCGACTTCAACGTCACAGCATCCTGGGAAACGTCGAGTTTGGTCTGGACGAAGGAGAGTGCAGCGTCTGGCAAGTCGAACTCGTCTCCACGAGCGGCCAATGGGTGATCCAAGCCATCCACACCGAAGGTCTACAATCGTGACGATGTCATGCCACAATATTAGTAACGATGATGGAGTAGGTGATAAACACAAAATATGGGTCTTAGAGGTGTACACACCTCGAACGTCGACGCCGGGTGGAAAGTGTCCAACTTCAGAGTAGCATCGCGCCCCACAATACGTGTCCTCTTGGTCTCATGGGAGATCGACGAGGGCCACGGGGCAGCGACAGCACCAGAAGTACACAGTAAAGCCAACGAAACCGAGGCCAAGAGCTTGACGAAGGAGAATGCCATTGCTGTTAACGCCTAAGTATATGCTGAGCTGAATACTACGTCGCGACTGGTGGGAAGAGCTGGATGCTGAACTGAGAGCGAAGATCCCAGGTCTGACTTTCACATCCTCTGTTCTATAGGATATATATACACTTTTTTAATAGCCAGGGCTATCGAGAATGGGAGCGTCCCTTTCGGTTACAGATACAGAGACTCGCCTTCTCAGTCCCAGCAAGCAAGCACGCGACACATTTTATCGAGCAAGCTGATCCGAGAGCAAACCATGCTCTCCATCCTTGGAAGGGACGCCATATACCACCTTCTCCCGCCGAAACCATTGGCAGGGACACTCATCTAGCTGGGTGTCGTGGGCGTATCTATCCCGCAACGGAAGAAGTACGATACGACTCCTGTGAATCCCATGGATTTCACCGAGAGGACGCCAAGACATGGTTCTGCAAAATAGAAACAATGGTAGCCTTTTGGACGAGATGACCGAAGGCTCGCGTGGTCGAAGTGCGCCAAGAAGAAGTGAAAGAACCATCGAAAGCGTCAAGCCCAGGCAACGTCTTGCAAAATCTCTGGGGAAGGAAGGTTGCAGGTACGGGATGCTAGTTCCGTATGGGATTGAGGAGGCGAGAAGGAGAAGACGCCAAGAAAGTGCATGCGGAGGCAGTCTTTGTGCGTCAAATTTATAGAAAGAACTTCTTGAAATCATCTCATCCAGCGAAGGAGCACGATGTCGAGTGCACGATAAGGGAGAGACTTTCGACGGAGCTCAAGAATGCCATCTGGCGGGTGCAGACTCGAGTTCCATGAACGGCCCGTAAGTCAGCAGCTGGATATCCGGGCAAAAGACGACCACATGGATAGGAGGGTTGTCCACGAAAAGTAGAACGATGCACTGTCAGGTGCAAATAAATGGGACGGAAAATGTGAGAGGGTCTGAAGATGATGGCTGTTAGCGCGAACGAGTGTTGTCCGAAAACGCCCAATGAAACCAACTCGGCGGATGCCGATGCCAGCATGTCCGCTGATCTCGATAGAACTCAGAGCATTGCGCTCTGGATGGATCTGCTCTATGAACATGAGGTATAATTGACTGGCTATATGTATCGTCCGCGACTGATAAAACAAAACAGTGACACCTTCCCGTAGGTTGAGAAGCAAAATGTATTCCTTGACTGTACTAGCCCACCGTGGGGGTCGAACCCACAGCCTTCAGATTAACCCGCCTGAGACAGACTAAGAGTCTGACGCTCTATCCGATTGAGCTAGGCGGGCTGTGTCTGAACACTTTTTTGGACGATTATGTTCAGAGCCTTCCTAAGCGGTCTCTGTACCACCACTCTCTTTAGGGGAAGCATGGGGAAGCACTGCCGGGTATCATCCAACGAGCTCGGCATAAAAAAGTTAATGGCTACAAAACAGCAGTACTCTTGTGTACATGTACTCATGGTTACGATGATGTGATCCCTCTTCAGTGTCCTGATATTCGTTTACTAAACGGCGGTTCGTAACAGAGAAAAAGATTAAACAGAGGCAGGGGTATACATGATGATAATACAGTGTTGAACAAGTGCTGGTACAGGTTTGATCCGTCCATGCAGACCGGCCAGAGAACAGTGGAGTCCGAGAGATATAGAAAGAGCATGCGCGCAGTGGGACATCCGAGCCTAGGGGCCGCTGTATTCCAGGACCGAAAGAAGGAGACTTTGAACTCGAGGGCGAGCAAGAACAGAGTCTGGAAGTTCGACATAGATGATCCGAGACGAGGGCTTCATGAAACACAGAGAAGCGGACAACGTCCAAGACTCGAGGAAGAATTTTAGTCATTCAACAGGCAGGCCCCAATTTTCAACGAGGGTGTGACTGAGTTGAACGGTCCAGGATCGACCGCGAAAGAGCGTGACATCCTGCGCAAGGTGATCAGCCAAGGAAGGTCAGCTCCACCTCTCGAGTGTTGTTGCAGTTGGCACACCTTCAGCCTCACGTTCGTATTCGTTCAACTTCTTCGAGATGTCGGCTTGCCGTTTCCCCCCCATAGCGATTGTGGCTGACTGGTACTGAGATGCACGTTCCTATGATCATAGCAAAGTAAGTCAGCGGTCACCAGAGAAGACGATACCGATACAAGAACATAGGCATTGAGCGGACTATGGACGATATATGCGCATATATCCGGCATGGAGATGACCGTTCAGTTTTGCTCTCTAAGGTTGGACACGAAGGACGTATCTCCAAACGCATACATGGAGCGCCTGATACGTGCCAAGAACCAGTAGCCCCTTCCCAAGTCTGCCTATCGCTGGCAATAAGAAAAAGCACACACCGTGTACCCCAACTGCTCCCTCAATATCTCTACCCAGATCTTCCGTATCGCATCTTCATTCTCAGCAAATTCGAGCCTGAAGCGTTCGCTTTGCTGGAGCCTAAAATATCAAACCGGTTCCAGGGGCTAACAACTGGCGGAGGAAGCAGCAGTGGAAAACGAAGGACGGACGTACACTTCCTCTCTGAAGTCGACGAGTTCCCCTGTTCGGGCGGAGAGCTGGGTGGATATATTCGCATATATCGAGGTTTGTCCAAAAGTAAGGAACGCATTTCACCAACAAAGTGCCATGTAGGAAAACACGTCGCGAGATGTGGTGGTGAGGGCCGAGAGTGCAAGACGTACGAGAGCAACGAAGTCCTTCTCAGCAGTCTGCATGAATTTCTTATCCTGCGCTTGCCTCTTTTTCTCCGCAGAGACTATTCCGGGTAGCACACAATGTAGGACGGTTAGCGACAGAAGGCGTTGCTCGCTGGGAGACTGGAGTCGAGCAGCGGAACCTGGTGCAAGAAGATAGGGGCTATCGTCCCGGTCGCCACACACCTTGCATTTGTTGAGCGAAAGCGATCATCATCCTGTAACAAAAGCCACAGTGGTTCACAGAAACATGAAACGAAGGTCAAGACCACAACGTCAGTTCCATAGATACCTAAAAGAGGTTGAGCAAAGCGTACGTATCGTCACTCCCACTGGAGGACTGCTGAGACGGAGCGAGCTCGTCTTCCTTGGATTGTTTGGCATTCTTTCGTCCGGGCATGTCGTTGAATACTGTGGTATATTTATAAGGCTTGGATGATGAGGGCGACGAGCAGCAACGTAGACGGAGAAGCGGCGAGTGTGGGAGTATTGGTGATGGTGGTCGGGACGAAGGAGGTGGCGGCAGGTGGCGGCCTGGTGTTCGTGATGTTTTTGCGACCACCTCCCGAAGGACTCACGTACTATATTCTAATTAAGGAACATCGCTATGGGCATGTGGTGTAGTTGGTTATCACGTTCGCTTCGCATGCGAAAGGTGTCCGGTTCAATTCCGGACATGTCCATATGACATTGAAAAATGGTTTGTTTTTGTACTGATCAATGTTGGTGTCCCATATTCGTTTTTCTCGTATCGAAAAATCAGACGACGAGAGCTGCGGAATATCGTGGTATATGTGTTTTTCATTTGATTCGAGCGTCCGCCCGCCCAAAAGTGGCATGTCGAACTGGGCTCGTGTGGGTATCCTAGGAATGCTCGTGATTATAAAACTGCAATCCAATAAAGAAGAACTGTGCCCAGTGAGAAATAAATAGGTTGTCTGACAATCCCGAATTATCCGATCCTCCCCACACCGCCGACAATCACCAGAACCGCATACTCTCTGGCCTCGCCTTCTGTTGAGCCATCCGTAGCGTGTTCACGTTCGACGTCAAACTCGAGAACTACAGAAAGAGAGCGACCCGTCAATAATGACACGAAAGTCACCGCGACCAGACCTGAACGACGAAACGTAAGATAGGGACGTACCCCATTCCCAACAAACACCTCCGCCCTCTGCGCAATCGCCATATCCACCGCCTGCGCCACACCCCTCTCCTCCTTCCCCAACCTCCTTCCCAAATCCCTACTCGTCCTTATAGGCTCCTCATCAACCCACCCACCTAGCCCCTCCAATCCCCGCGTCAACTCCTCCAACCACTCTCCCTTCCCATTCGTCAACATGTACACTCTATCGAGTCTACGGAGCGGGAAGAAAGATGCGGAGGACAGTGGGAGGGGTGGATGTGGATGAGGAAGGGATTCATATTCGCGGCGGATAAAATGGACGCGGGCGAGGATTTGGGGGATGGAGGGATAGCAGTGTTCGAGATAAGCCGCCGTTCGGTTTCCTGACGAGTCGGGATCGAAGTGGTCTAAGAACTCAGGGAATTCGTTAAAGCCTGCAATCTATAGATTAGTTTAATTTCGATCTTACCAGAATGCGAAGATAGAAAGCATGGTGAAGGAGACAAACAGACGGACCTTGATACCTCGACCCCCAACCCTCCAAATTCCGACAATGTTCCTCATAGTCTCCTCTCCTGATATGTAACGCCAACAGCCCCTTCAACGGCTTCACCTCCTCTTCCCTCTCCATCTCTGCCTGCCCACTCGACTTGGGGCGAGCGAGACCGCTCAAGAACGACAGTCGGCTGGGAAACCTTGTTGACCGCAGTCCCAAGTAGGAAGTATGAATGATATCGGGATGGATGAGGTCCCGGTTCTTAACCAAGGCGTTGGTGATGAGCGGAGACCATCGGAATTGGGTGAGGCTGGGAGATTCGGAGTACGATGGCCAGATGGGGAGGAGATGGTGAGCACTGCCGAACAAGCTGGGCGCACATAGAATTAATTATTTGATACACCACACCACAGAATCATCGTCATCAACCAGCATAACGAACCCGGATCCCAAAGTGGGAGGTCTGTAGGACAGAGCAAAAAACCGACGACTCACAAAAAATTGAATATCTGAAATCCCTCAATGTCAACCTCCACACATCTCCCCTCTATCCCCCTGATCCTCTCTGCCCACGCCTCCGCAACCGTCAACGCGCTCGCTCCTTGTAGATGGTCGGATAAGTCGCTGCTTCGGAGGATTGTGCGTTCCGAGACGGGGCATACTTTGTCGAAGAAGGGTTTGCCGACCGAGGGCGTGCCACCGGGGAAAGGAGACCTGCCTAATGGGCCTATATGGTTTGGAAGAACGTTTTGAGTTAGCGCGCGGTGGGGTGAAGGGCGGTGGAACGAAGGTGGTAAAGATAGAATATTTATATAGGAAAAGTTTGTGAGATGAATAAACCTGAGACGAGCGCGGTCATGGGTATTCGAGACGGGATGAGGTGGTTTCCGAATTCCGAGTAGACTTTGTCGCGTTCCCAAGTATACTCGTCGAGCACATTACTGCGAAAGATTAGAGACAGTAGTCAGTACTGAAAGGTCCAGGAATAAGGAGGTGTAACCTACGTGCGGTTAACGAGGTAAGCAAGGTGGGCGTTCATGAGCTGTTCCTGCATGGCATTTCCCCATCCAACGTCTATGTAACAAACAAATACACCCCTCATGAATGATACAGCACCAGCGCGTTAGGATGAATTATCAACGTGCTCACGAATAACATGGTTGGCCATATACAAATATTTTCCCTCCCCTCCCTGAGGAAACGGTAACAGCATATTATGTTGTGGCAACTTCTTCTCCCTTTTACGCCACGCTTCGTACGTCGGCGGGAGATCGTCAGACCGCCAAACCCAACCAACATACGAGAGAACTACAAGGATAATGGCTGAGAGGAGCAGTCTGGGGTGTCGACGAAGGATGGGCAGGCGAAATGGTAGCATGAAGGAAGACTGGCTTGAAGAGAATATTCGTGAGCGAACGCGACTAGTTTGTTTCTCCTGAACTGGGTGCGGAATAGCACCTGCGGAAGAGTTGTCGAGGGCCATGGTGTACTCGTATACTGAGGTAGATGTGGGCGTAGAATGCGAGAGTCGAAAGGCGCCAGCGGCGCGTGCACCGACTCTTAAGCCTCCTCGAGTTCAAGGGATGGGAACAAGTCTTCCGTATGGTCAGTGGTCATTGCCTGATCGCCATTGTAATGGAGAAGTCTTGCTCAGATCGGTAGACGGATGTATATGACCGGACTACGATGTATTCCGGCATGTAGTCTCCGCCCGTATTGGGGAATACACTGCTCAGCTGGAGATAGAACGGTAGTTGGGCGGCCCCGATCAAAAATACATCGATTGCAGGATGCAACGAGGCCAGCAAACGTTTCCAGCATTCTCTCCAAGTATCGTCAGGGTAGACAGGAACGAATGGTAGCTGAGCCGGAGGAAGCGAGAATATACATAGTGCGGCTCGAGATCGAGGAGGGATCGGTGTCGACGTTGAACGAAGTCAATAGAACGGCGGACACATATCCGACCGTACCACATCTGCGTTCAGCGCTTGCATGTTCCGTATCCAGTGATGGCAACGATCGGGAAACGAACTGTTCCTAAGTTGTCAAAGGTGCACGCCAATGCTTAATCCCTCCACAAGCGAAACCCTGTTAGGAAAGCACATAGGCGTTCCAGGTTGCGCAAAGAGTTCATGTGAGAGTTCAGAAATGACCAGGGTTTAGTGCACCAGCAAATAGTGCTGAAAACTAGAGCAGTACACCATAAATAGCCGCACATATCCCCATCGATGTCCTCGGTGAGCTGTACAGCTCGACCAGTGCAGCTTGGAAGACCGTGGTATTCAAGTTCGAGACGACTGCGATCACGTCTTGACCAAACAGACAGCGGTGAAAAGCAAGAAACTCAACGATGCCAAGACTGAAATGAGCTGCTAAGGTAGTGCACATCAGCAAGACTGCATCTGACTAAACCTAACTTTCGGGTCTATTCCGGTCTATCCGGTCTTTTGGCTCTTTTGGCGCAGACCGCTGTAGATTATTCATACTTTGATAGACGGAATAGGGTGAATATCCTGTTGACAGTCTTTCTCTGCTCATCGGGTGTACTTAGATGGCTCGGACCGAGTTCTAGCGGCCTAAATTGCCCCTTGCCACAAGATGTTTACGATAATTATCGGAAGAGCAACGGAAGGGCACACTATGCAACAATGAAAAAAGTGGTGGAGGAGATGGAATTCGTTGCAGCTTCCGTCGTCTGCATTGAGTGACGGGCCCCTGCCATACTACCTAATCTACAAAGACACATTTAAAGCTGTCTTGGCCTATCGTGACCACCAATATCCTCCGCCCACACCTCCTTTCCAAGATCGCGGCAACCAGACTACTTTCGTAGCACGCTTTTGACGCGTCTGAGGCGTTTGCCTGAGTACCTTGGTGCGAAGGAAGTGTGTGGTGGTGTAAGTAGTAGAGGGAGTAAGGTGACGTGCCGGAGTGGGCGAGGTGAGTAAAGACGCGGTGCTGTACGCAGACGTGCAGAGATGGGTTGAAGAGGACGAGCTCCGAGGGCGTTGGGAAAAACAAGGTCTCTCAAGCGCCGCCCGCCCTAAACTGGCACGTGATCTTGTTGACTCGCTTGGTGAGCCCGGACTGAGCGCCCGGCTTGTCTATGCCTCCTTCTCTCCCCCCTCACCACTCGATATCCTTTCCCATCGCCCACCTTGTCGCTGTACCTCTATTTTCCTCAGCAGCATGTATAGCTCGACTTATCCAGCGTTGAGTGCCATACCCAGGAACATTATGTCGTCCACGCGCTGGCACTGGACTCGCGGCCTTTTAACTCGTTCTTCGTGAGGTCTATCCATTCCCAAAGGCAATTATTCGTGTTTATCTCGATACTATGTAGGTGTACTCGTCGGGAATGAGGTTTATGACACATGTCCAGGTCTCGTCGTAAGTTATCACAGCCTGAGTCGTTTTATCTCTGACCAAAAACTCTTCGACCACCCTCGACCTTCCGTATGCGTACCATCAAGCGTGCCACCAGAGTATCTGTCGAGGCCTCCTTGCATACGTGAGTGAGGCAGCCTTGTTTGATTTACAGTACCGACTATCGTGTGTACAGCGCTCATCGTCCCTGTCATCTCCACCGTCGAGTCTGCTGCCAACCCCGTACGTTTTCACCTATCTCTTCGATCTACTAGTGGCTAACTCTTGTTGGATTTATAGGTCATTGGTGCTGTCCTTCGCCGCGATGGTCCCTTAACTGGTGCTGTCAACGGAATCGTCGGCGCTGTTGACAGTGTTGCCGACACTGTTGAGGGTACTCTGACCCAGTGAGTATTCATCGCTGATGACTGGGAACTTACATCTACGATCTCAGTGGAATTATCCATTGCCAGACCGACTGCCTTACTTATACAGGTCTTTCAGCTCGTTCCAACCACAACGACGTCTCGTGTATCGTGCCTTCATCGATTGGTTTACAAGTACCCTTGTTTACCGATTGTGTGAGGATCCCGTCGTTCATAATGTGTGTATTTCGTTTCCCTCCCGTTTACATTCCTCCCTTTTTATATCCCTGTTGCGTATATACTCATGCCCTGACACCGCGGCTCATGTATCGCTTCTATATAGGGTAGATTTTAACAGGTCAACTCTCTAACAAGACCGACACCCCATCAACCCTCGCATTCGACCAACACCCTTCCAGTGAAGGCCAGTTCGCAAAATTCATGGACGGGTTGACGGATCCGGAGAGATATGGCGAAGTCGCGGCCATGGATTTAGTTACTGGGAAGATGCGTGAGGACGTTGGAGCGGCGGTAAAAAAAGGTTCGCGGATGTTTTTCGTCGTGTGTCGTTCTGTTGAACTTCCGTGTACGAACCTGATGATGTTTCGTTACAGCGTTTAGGTTCACGGTTACGACGAGCTGCTACCACGCTCGCGAGCATGATCATGTATGCTTGGACAGATGAGATAGAGAGTTCTTTTTGGCAGGATAGAGCTTCTCGTACTCATGTAGCATACCACTGTAGTCATCCGAGTCTTCAGAATGTATATATTTAGCGTAGTCAACCAATACTATTTATTTTTACGCATTTCAACACAAACCAAGGGGTCTTTCGGAAGAACTATTATGCTCTATCCATAGTCGAGGAGTGGGCCCGGCAGTAGATATTGTGCTCTACTAGCCGCCTATTGACATCTATTCCATGCCTACCAGAAGGCAGGTCTGTATGGAATAGATGCTGTCAAATGATCTATTTCCGTCTCCCGGTAGACCGAATAGACCGAAATAGTTAGGTTTAGCCAGATGCGGTCTTGCTGATGCACAGATCACAATGCGCAGAGCAGGCCGTCCTCAGTATGTGTAAGGGGAAACTGTCGTCGAAGAGCAAGATCGTGAATGTCGAATGGATTTCGCGCTCGACTATTATGCATTGAATCTCCGCTTCAAACGTAGCGAAGCTGAGTCAATCGTCCATGCGCCACTGACAACCGCCACGACGTTGACGAACTTGACGAACGGAGACGCCGTGTGGACCGTGCTTTTCGGGCACAACTACTACTATAGTGAGACTTAACGGCAGGTATGTGCTCAAATATTGCCTCACACCAGGTCCTTGGTCAACTGAAACTTAAATCCCTTCATCCTGTCAGGCTGCGACATTGCGACAGTAAATCTCTTCCCCAGTACCCTACCCGAACTAATGCACGCTGACATATCTTTTACAATGATATTTTCAAGGATATGTCCTCACCAGATATCCGCCTCTCACAGCGCCAGGCTCTAGAGAGAGAAGCCCTTCGGCTGCTGCTCGCCCTTCAGAGCGTGCACGCTCGCATCAACCAGCTCACTCCAATATTCAAACTTCCATCCGAAATCCTCCTTCGCATCTTCTACATCTCCTCTTGCATCGATGTGCCGTGCTCTTTTGGCCTCGGCTGGATTCAAAGTACCACCCATGTATGCCGACTGTGGCGCCACGTCGCCCTTGAGAGTGGCACTCTCTGGGCGAAAATCTGTACGGATATCGGTGCAGACTGGGCCGCAGAGATGTTTCGTCGCGCTCGCTCTGCACCCGTGGACATCAGCATGAATAAAGTCAAATTTTCCGTCGACGACTTTCTGTTTGAGCATCTTCAATCTCCCGACAATATGCGCAACGTCCGCACTCTCAACCTTGTCGGTCCTAGCAGACTTATTGAAGGCCTTTGTACACCCGCACCATCGTTAGAGACGCTCTACTTTAACTCCAGACGTTCAGAGCTTGGTGTCACGGTGGACTCGGAGAACCTCGCGACCCTTCCCGCACAACTTTTTAGCACACACGCTCCCAGACTCCAGCGGGCCAAATTCATAGATTGTCGCATTCCTTGGGAGAGTCTAGTGTTCCAGCAAAACCTCGTCTCCCTTACTGTCATTATTCCGCGTCATAATCCTGATGCTTCGCCCTCTACGTCCCAGCTATATGGATTATTGAAGAGAATGCCGCTGCTCGAGGAGCTCAACCTACGCAATATCCTTCCCACGACCTCGTCAAATCTGCCCCTTCGCACCGACGATCCCGCGCTTCAGCTTTCTCGTCTCAAGTGCCTCTCCCTGGGCGGGCCCGTTTCCGATATATTGCAGATCCTAGGCATGCTCGCATTTCCTTCGACGACCAGCCTGAAATTCATTTGCCAGCCATCTCCCAACCAATATCCCTCTCTCACAGACATGATACCTGTCGTCGTCGCCCAAGTCAACTGCCCATCGCACGCTTCTCTTCCTATTAACGAGATCCGCATCACCCAACAGAAGCAGAGCCGTATTCTCTCGGTCTCACTCTCAATGGCCATACCCGTTGTCGGACACCCTGAGTCTGAACCCGGATTACACAATGTCTTCACACTCAAATCATCTATCCGGGGACCTTCGCCGACGATCGATTTCCTCACAAAGCTATTTCAACAACTTGGCCCCCACCGCATCTCCGATCTACTCTCCCTCGATTATTCTGGAGGCGGAAGAGCGATGATTCGTGATCTAGTTTGGGGGAGACTATATTGGCAGATGCGAAATGTTCGGAGGCTCGAGGTGTCAAACATCTGTGCGACGACTTCTTCGGGGTTAAAACTTCGCCAAAGCCTCGTCAGAAACTCCCTCCTCCCACTCGATATAACGCGGTGCGTCAACCCCGACTTGGGCTATAGCCATAGCCAACTACTCTGGGAACCAGGAACTCCGGAACTTTCGCAGGGTGTACATCATACCATCTTCCCTGCCCTCCAAACGGTCATATTATCGAATGTCCAGTTCGATCTTGACTGTGATGACTTCGCGGTAATCTTCTTCGAGAATGTGACTAGGGACATGGAGTGGAGAATGCAGTGGGGATGTCCTATAGAGGAATTGGTTATACGAGATCAGGATGGATCTGTGGAGGATTTGTTGTGCCTCGCGAATGTAAAGGCCGCTAGGGAGAAGTTGGAGGGAGTGGTGAAGAAGCTGGTGATTATTTCGGGGGATCACGGTGAGGAGTGCTGAACGGCGATGTTCCCAAATATGCAGGCGATGTGTCGACGTTCTCTTATGATCAAAATGACTTTTGTTGTCGCGAGCGTAAAACATGTTACGTTCAACGTTTTGGTATGGTGTACAGCGTGTTGGCAGCGTGGGTATGTCGACGGAAGGCCACAACCACGGCGAGACCGGACTACGGCTCGCGAAACTCTGCTCCGTGCTAACTTGCGCCCGAGTTGTACCATTGTCCTGAGAGAGTTTTTTACCCTTGCATCGGTCGTCTGTGGAGCTCGAGTATTGTCGCTATCGTCCTTTGAAGTACGCCGCCAGTCGTTACACGTTACCCCAGATCCTCTCAGCAAAGCCCTTCTATACTCCTGCCTGGCGGGTGCTTGGCTCTCAATCAGTCATTCATTATGCGGTAGTCCATTAAGATATCTGAGGCTGGTATAATAATAAGCGACCCGAGAGTCGCCACAGTGGCGAGAACGGACTATTGTGGAGGACGAAAAGAGTGTACGTGAAGTTCCCGGTTCTCTGTGATCGGTGCACCCGGAAGGATATAGTGAAAGCCGTTTTTACTAACGAAATATTTCATATAACCATCGAACTTGGTCTTTATTAAGCCTTTACGAACAAGCCAGTCAAGTCCGTGACATCCGTCTGCTGAAATACTCGCCAGCATGGAAGCGTACTTTGCTGCTTCGTCGTAGGATGCGTCGCGAGGGACCTGTGTGGCAAAGATTATAAATATACTTCAGTAAATGGTGAGATAGTCTAGGGACAGACTGAAACTCGTACGCGCAAGAAATTAACTTCTCCGAAGGAGTATAGGGGAGCCCACCCTTATGGTTGGAACGGTTCTACCTGAGGAGTAGGAAGAATCGTAAACTTCGAGACAAGCTGCGAATATTGAGACGTTCGACTTACCGTGCAGAGTGGTGGGAGCCCAAAGATTGCTCTGAACGAGTCCCATAACTCCTCGATGGCCCGTTCTTGCTGCTTATCGAGTACGCTCCTACACGGAAGCTGACGACATGAGAGTTCGCCTGAATGTTTACACATGCGCCTCCTCTGTAGCTCACGTAGACACTCGAGGGGATCGATCTCGAGTTGCTGCAGAGGCTTCCAAAATGTCCCAGGCAGATCAAAATACTCCTCTGACTCTAGATGCCGTTTTGGTCTACCGAGAACCCCAGGCTTCTCAATATAGTCGTTGCACGAACTGGAGTGTTGTTCGAGATCGCGCATAACCCATGCATCGATGATGTGAACCATCTTGACGAACACAAATACATCTTTCGAGGTCAACGACGGCCATTCGGCGTTAATTCGTGAAGAGTCCCATGTACGCTGCCAATGCGATTTGGCATCTTCGATGATAGACCTCATAGGCTGTGCTTGTGTCGTGTATACTTCGAGATTGATTGGTATAAATGTTGTCTCGTACGGTCTCTTCTGGCAGAAAAGACTGTAAAAGGCGGACGGGAGGATGGACGGAACGTCACAGTTGCGAGCAAAGCGTATGAACGCTGGCGCTGACGGCGCAGCTGCATCAGCCCATGTTTGTGGCTTTTTCGATCCGGAGTTCTCGTTACGAATCGCAGTGTCTTGACTCAACCACGCTTTCGTGGTCGTTGGCCAGTCCGCCTCCAGCCGCTGCACAATTTGTGCACGAAGCCGTACAAACTTGTACTTCGTAGCCATCGAAAGGACGGGTTCGATTATTTCGAGGGATTTGACATCGATCTTCGATGGAAGCCCGCTTGACGAGTCAAAATTAGCAACTATGCTATGGCACCGTGCCGCAAAAATGTACTCACAAGCCATGAAATGCTGCGTTCAGCAGACTCTCCAAGTCTGCCGCAGAATCGGGCATGAGCACCACCGGAACGCCATCATAGACTTCGTTCGCGGCCACATCTGAGGACTGAAGCGTACCCTCAATCATCGTTGCAAAATGTGAAGACCAGATTGGAAGCATAGATGTGTGCAACCGAAAGGCAACGTATACTAATAATGGATGCGAGTTGTGCGGCTCTGTGTCGTTTGAGTCGGAATCGTCGCGACCCGGTTTCTGAGGCGCTAAGAGAGCAAAGTCTCCGCCGGGCATATAGAACGAGTCATGGCGTTTTATCGCTGAGATATCAATAGACATAACAAGTTATGGAGAAAAGCAAGGGAGATAGGCTGAGTGAGAGACCCTTTGTGACGATGTAGTCGCTAGACGAAAGTTCGCGGCCGTCGGTGACGGTGAACAAGTTCAACACGCGACGTTTGTGCGCACGGGATTCGCCGGGCGGCGAGGTGCCACAACTTTGCCACACCCGAAGAACATACTTCCCTGCCGGAAAACACACCCCTCAACACTTTTGAGACACCTTATTCTACGTTTTCGTTCTCCAGGAACTATATATTAGCTAGCCCACGACCCAGCCTAGTTGAAACTATACAAAAGCATCTACAATCCGATCGAATATCCCTGCTAACTACAGTAAGCTATTCATACACATCCTAGTTCTCATCGTTCGTTCATTGTTCATCGCCCCCACTCTCTGCAGCCCCCACCTCCTCCAGCCGTCTTCTGTCCCCGATAGATACAGTACGTAAGTTATCCAGTATTGATGTCTGTTTATTGTAGAGTATGCGGAAGGGGTGACGAAAAAAAGAGTTATACAGCGAATATGTCGAAGAGTATGGGCATCGATGATGGATTATGAAGATGCATATATCTTCTGGGTGTAACAGTCGATGTGCGACTGTCGGAGTTAGAGATGAATGCAATAGGATAGAAGATAAAGTGGGATGAGACGGTAGAATTCCAGTTAGAGGGACGGGAGATGGAACATGACATGAATAGGTGGGTTGACGATGAACAGTGAGAGAGCATAGACGAAGGATGAGATGTGGGCCAAGCAAAACGGAGATAATAGTCCATGTATGCGAAGGCACAAAACATCCTACCGTAAAGGTTTCCACCCATCTCCAGCCGGCCACTTCATTTCGTCCCTCTCAATCCCACCATAAGGATTATCATCATCCATCCCCCCATCCGCATCTACATCCGCATCTCCATCATAATCCACCCCAACACCATCCAAACTCTCGCCACTCTCACCACCTCGTCCCTTATAACCACTCCTCCCATCCCGATCGACCAACCTCTGCTTGCCCTCCTCGTAGAACAACCCTCCCGGCCTCTGCGTCACGCTCGTCCCAGGCACATACCCCCGCCTCGAAAGTCCCGCCTCGGCCTTATACCGCGCCTTATCCAACCCCAAATCCTTCCCAATCCCACTAAACGCCTCTCTCAAACTCGCAATACTCATCGGCCCATCACTACCACCACCACCCCCATTCGCCCCATATTCGCGCTCCCGCGTCGTCGAAGTCGTACTCATATGTCGCGTCAACTTCGGGAAGGGTGATGTCGACGACGTAGGCTGCGCAGAAGCCGGAGCCGCGAAGAAAGAAGGATGCAGAGGCGACGAAGGCGGATATTGCACGCTTTCTGGTCTCTTGCGTCGGGGAGGGGGTAACGTCGGTGTGGACGGTTGATGCATCGACTTTGACCGCGTCATCCTCGGGGTTGAATTCGGTGAACTGCCATCACTAGGCGAGACGGGTGATTCTTCGCTCACGACGGGCACTCCGACGCCGATCCGCGATACTTTGCGATCTGGGTGAAGAGGTGGTGGTGGAGGAAGGTCGGTGGTCGTTCGTGATGGAGAGTACGAAGGAGAACGGGAGGGTGACTTGGATGATCGGGCGGGGCTGGTGAACGTTCGCCGTGCGGCATTGGGTGTCGTAGGCATAAAAGGTGATTCCGATAGCGAAGGCAGGGAAGCACTAGCGACCTGATCGAAGCTCTTCGTCGAGTCGCCCGATGAAGGCGGTGGACTGTATGCCCCAGCGCGTCTCACGGTACTTTTCTTCCTCGCAGGAATAGGCGGTGGAGACCTGTGCTCGTCCGCAGAAGAAGACAAACTAGTACTGCTCGATCCTCCGAGGCTGCCTGAGCTCCTCAGGCCAGAAGCACCACCGACCCTGGGAGGACTCATGCTACCACTATGACTCCCACTCCTTCCGGATCTTCCGTGACCATGTCCATTCATGGTCAACGTGGCAGAACTGCTCTTCAACACCTGCAACACTCTGGCTGCCTCCCTCTCCGCCTCCGCCTTCTTCGCGTTCTGACCCGCTCGGCTTGCCTGCAGCGACTGCTTCATCAGCGGAGACAGGGCGTGCGGAACTTTACTGGCAGGCGGAGGTGGGGCGGGAGGTTTGAGGTGAGCTTGTGCGGTGGTGTGGGACGCGGCGGGAGGAGGGAGAGGTGCAGATTTAGCAGCACCGGAAAGGATGGAGCCGGTGCGAGGTGGAATGAGGGGTGCGGGTTTGCGCGGTGGTAGGGGTGGGAGCTTGCGGTCAACATGAGAAGGAGAGGGTTCGGCAGCGAAGATGGAGGTTTGTGATGTGGAAGCAACGGGTTTGGTCGTGGTGTGGATAGACCGAGATCGGGTCACGAAGGGATTCGAGGATTTTGGGGAGCTTGGTACAGATGGCACCGGGATGAGGGGACGTTGGTTATCGGGGTGAGAAGGCGGTGCAGGGTGGACTTGGTCGGAGGTGAGCTGGGTGAACGGGTTTGTATCTGGGCCTGGCGCATCTGACGAATTTGAGGCGTGACGAGAGTGAAAATTTACGGTCGTACGTTTGAAGGCATTCGCAGGCGCTCGAAAAGGGGACTGTGGCCGGCTCTTTGAAGGCGAAGGATGGACTGAGCGGGAGATGTGTTAGTAAATGGGAAGACAATACGATGAAGAACATCAAAGGTAATGGTCTATATGTCGATCGCGCGAACCTTCTACGCATGGCTATGCATCTGGCATCCTGTCAGGTATTTGCTCTATTTGCTCTATTCCCAAGGTGGAAACGATATTGCCGAAACGAGCAGTTCTGACCACGGTCATTGAGCTGTATTTAGACCGAAGCATACTCGTTTCGGCAGCATGATTTCCCTTCTTGGAAAATGTGAAGGTTATTTGAGATGAAGCAGAGCTAAAGCACAGAGAGCTTTCGCCACACGTAGAAGCTGCTTTAGAGTATTGTGGCCCACACCCTCTAGTCTCCTTAACATCAATGCATGGGACCAGTTACTGAGACTACATGAGTTCACAGCTACCCTCCGAGCCCGCACTGCTGGTCCTGATCAGCGTGGGGCTACTCATCCACATAGGCGGTCCAACGCCACACAAGTCGTCTACGCTCATGGACAGAGCAGATGTGCCAAAGGCTGGCACGATGGACGTAAGACCTCCAATAGTTTTGAGACTACCGCATTGAACGCCAGAAAGTGTTTCCCGACATCAAGCTATATTCCCTTGGCGCCCAGGAGCCACACCTCCTATCCGGGCGCATCTTCAACGGTGGCCGCAAGATTCGTCTGTACCACGAACAGACAAGAAAGGATGATAACACAAAAGCTCACCCTGAATGAACACCATGTTGCGGTCGACCGCATCTCCGCTCTGAACGTGAATCACGAGCCGAAGGATAGCAAAGAACTGTCCAGCGCTGAGCACAGCTTCCTGGCCTGGAGGTGGTGCAAAGAATTGCAAGATCTACAGAACGATTCAGCAAACCTACTAGGCCGCCAGAATATGAACAAGTGCGCACCGCGTCCAGCTCAGAGAGAGGTAATTCGGCATAACGTCCCCGAAGCCATGCACGGACCTCGCGGGTGCTGATCAACGGCTTCTCGTGTTCTGTGGGCGCTGGGTCGGGCGCGACGAGGTCAGCTAGTGATGAGGTGAAGAGAGCGTATTCGTCATCGTTGAGAGCGGAGGCGTGCAAGGTCAGGGGACGCATGGGACGTCGTCGACGTCGTACAGAACGATGAGCAGGTCGTGGTAGACGGTGAAGGGCTGTGCGCCTCCACGGCATTCAATATCTCGGAGGAAGGGCGTTCTGACGTAAGCCACATTTCCGTGTGGCGCCGAGTCTAAGGTTTGTGGCGCGGTTCTACTTCTTCGTCTTGACCGTCATCTACGTTTCGACGCAGCAAGCCACGACTTGTATTGCGGCATTATTATGTCTATCGACGTCTCGAACATTAAACGCCATGAATCATTCTACGCTGCTGGTGGCGACGTCGTTCTTTTAGCGTCTAAATCGAAAGACAATGACTCCGTCAACTCAGGCTACGTCGCCTTCCGACTAGACACGTCAACCCTCTCTCTATGGTCTATGCCCTTTTCGGAAATGATACGGTCAACTATCCAGTCCACCAATTCAGATGAAAAATACGATGGTGCTGCCGCTATCTTCATGCCCGACTCTGCCTCGGATGTCGAGAGCCTATTGAATGCGTTGCTTCACGGATTGTAAGTCAATTCCAGTTTGTATTTGTCACCAAAGTAGCCCGAGACAGAAATATCATTACAGTGAGCTTCCCGTCAAGCTTGGTGCAGAGGCGCTGGACACCATTGGACCTGTACTCTCAATGGCGACGAAGTACAAGTTCGAGCGACTTCGTGCGCATATTGTGCAGCTCCTTGAATGTGATTGGCCAACGACTACCGCTGCGTGGTTGAAGCTCGATGCCCCCATTAGCGAAAAACACGCCGAATTTGAAGAACCGCAGAAGCCCCGTTGGACACCCCGCCGCCGGCTTCCCGAGCCACCTACGCCGAAAGCCCCACCGGCGACGTGGGCAGACTTCGCTGCGCCATCCGCGCCGACATTCATACGGTTTGCTCGCGACCACAGCGTTCCCTCGATCCTCCCCGCCGCTTTCTACAGTCTTTATTGTCAAGAACGACCGTATCGGGAAGAACATGTAAAATTTTACCTCAAAATTTATCGCAAAATGGCTGCTCGCAAAACAGGGTCCTGTAGACCTTCCAGTCCTCCGATCGATCACAGCAAGTCCTATTGGAAACGCACATGGGATCCTTCCAAAGTCCAATCTAGGTGGCCATCATTGACGGCAGAAGACGTAGAGGTTTTCGAGAATATGGCCCATATCATCGACGACTGGAACAGGCGCATGCTCAAGCGGCACTGTAAGGAGTGTAAGGAGGAGATGAAAGCTAGTGGGAAGCGGGCGAAGATTGTTCGTCTTCCGAAGATATTCGAGATGAGAGCGCACGAAATCGAGGTGGATCCGCTCAAGTGTCTACGCAAATTTGGAGACGAGTTGTGGTCGTATTCTTATCTGGACGGATATTATCGGCCTTGCAAAGCGTGCGAGAGTATACTTCATACGGCAAAAGAAGCGGCCATCCAGGACCTTTGGGATTCGTTCAGAGCACTATTTGGACTTTCTTCGCTCCGTATGCCGGTGAGAGGACTCCTCCTGTCTCATGTCTTTGCTTCATCAAATTTACTGATCGAACCAACGATACCTCAGTCTGAACTCCCTCAGAATGAAGATCCTGAAGACACTGAGTACGAAACCGACGACGCCTTAAATGCCGATGCCAATAAACTCTCGGACGACGATTGATATTCTGCCGAAACGAGGACTCCACGTTTGCCCGTTGCTTACTGGTGGCGATATTATTTAGTAAGTAGAAGCTAGCCTGAGTCTGAGTTCTTTGGACAATGATTTGACGCGATTTTGTCTTCTTATACCTTCCCATATCTTATTATTGACTATATCGACTGCGTTTTCAGTGTCAGTTTGATGAAGTGAGAGGAAGAGTCGACAACTGTTTGGGATAATGAATGTATATAATTCGCGAAATGTGAACTGTCTTGCATCTTCTCCACGAATATGTGGTCCATTTCTGAGTGCATTGCGACGAATATTTATTGGCTCTTCTGATGGATGATGTGCTATACTAGTAGTAGTACTGGTCTGGTCAAGATGTTCAACTACTTAGACGTTTCGCCGCCACCGTGGCGTGGCGCGTGTGTTTGGTCGTATTTGACACGTGTTCAGCTTTTTGTCCGTCGAGATCAAGTCGAGATCTGTCCTTGTTCTCCTTCCTACGTGGTCGTCGAAGAGACTGTACGTACGTCTCGTAGTTGGCATCGCAGTGGTGATTTCCATGTACGTCCTTGGCAGCTTTCAAATTCCGGATATGTTGTCAACGCGTAAAACAACCACTAAGTCAATCTTCTACTCGCTCGTCTGACAGCAGATCCAGGCCATCTTCTCGCCATGAATCAACTTACTCCCATAGATCGAGTTCCACCAGAAGTTTTACTTCAGATCTTTTCGTGGGCCACTCTGATTGATAAACCTATGAGTCGCTATCTCGGGTGGGTTCAGACGGTCACCCATGTGTGTCAATTGTGGCGCCACATCGCGCTCGAGAGCGCGACCCTCTGGACGACGATCCGTACGGATATGGGCACGAAATGGGCAGAGGAGATGCTGAGACGTTCTCGCTCTGCAACCGTCGAAATCCATCACAGCTCTTGGTCCACCTTACCCTGGGACGACTTCCTCGACCGTTATCTGGCGTTGCCTGATAACCTGCAGAGTATTCGTGTTATCGATCTTCGTGGTCAGGAGCAACTCCTCGAATACCTTAGCGCGCCCGCACCGTCCTTAGAGACGCTAAAAATAATTCACTACGATGTTTTCGGCGTCAGACCCGACAATTCCCTCGCTCTTCCCTCGAACATCTTCGCCTCTCACGCACCCAGGCTTCAGGAAATCTATCTCTCACACTGTAGCATTCCTTGGGATTCTCCTATCTTTCATCACAACTTGATCCTCCTCACCATTCATGTCCAAATATCCGAAACCACTCCATCCGTATCCCAGTTCGAAGGACTCCTAAGGAGGACACCGATACTCGAAGAGCTGACTATCGCGCATGCCATTCCTTCGGCCTCCTCTTCACGCCTTCGTAGCGTCGATCCAGTCGTGGAATTGCTCCAGTTGAAGGTCCTTTCCCTATGTGGGGACATCCCCGATATGCTGCAGGTTCTGGAGCGAGTAGCAATCCCCCCCACAACTACTCTAAAGCTCATCTGTCATCCTTTGTTCGACGCCGATCTACACCATTTTGAAGTCATACCCATCCTAGCTGCGCGTATGGACACCCCCTCATACGCCAATCTTCCTCTCGAACTTCGCGTCACACGACAGAACGTCATTCTCAGAATTTCACTTTCAGCGTTCATGCCCGTCGCCGGGCGGTCTGAGCCAAAATTGCACAATGTCTTCACTCTAGAATCGCACATGGATGATATAATTCCCTTCTTGACGGCGCTATTTCAACATCTCCCAAGACACCGCATCACCAGCCTTTTCCTCGATTTCTCAGGGTGCGGACCAGCTCTCTTCACAGACGATGTCTGGAGCGCCCTTTTTTGGAGGATGCGTAACGTCAGTCACCTTGAGCTGCGTAACCTCCTCGGCGATGAACCGGACCTTCGATCGGACGCCGAGAGCCTCATTCCTCTGGATATATCCCGCCCGATAGAGCACGAGAACCTGCAATTTGAGCCCCGACGACGACGAGAGTCAGACTCTGACCCGGCAGCTGCCAAAATAAAACGTCCCATATTTCCCGTGCTGCACACCCTACTTCTCTCGCACATCAAGATCTATCGTGCTCGTGAACGTTTGGTGGTAGGGTTTCTGAAGAAAATGGCGAGGGACATGGAGTGGCGCAGGCTTTCAGAATGTGCTATTGAGGAGCTGATTATAGAAGATGAGCTTGGTGCTCTGGACGAGATGATTGGTACTGAGGAAGATGCAGTGGTGTTCGATCGACTCAAGAGAGTGGTTCGCGACGTCAGAATTGTTTCAGGCCATTCTGGTACCCAGTTCGGTATTTGAGTTCTGTTTATTCCATGTTTAAATAAGTACCTACATAGTCAAGTCGAGTCTATTGTGCGATACCAACGATGCTCAGGCTAGGTCTGTCGATCTATTTCTACTCTCAACCTGCGCCACACTCCTTGGTGTGGCACCTCGCTATGTACGCGCTTGTACGCGACGCGACGCGTCACGCGCGTCAGGGTCAGAGCGTGTTGTTCAACTTTTCTCTGTCCTTCCATCGCGCTATAGATTTTCGTTCTCATCTCTTCGACTGCAACACGCCATGGACTTAACCCGACAGCATCATGACAGTCTTTACTTTCCTGATGGAAACATCATCCTCGCGACGGACACCAAATCTACATTGCCAGTATCGCAGCCTGTTGATGGCACCGAGCTTCAGCACGGCGGCGTCTTGCTCTTCCGCGTTCACATGTCCGTGCTCTCCTTGCACTCCTCGGTCTTCAAGGACATGTTCGAGTCACTTGGAACGGCCGATAACGAGATGCATGAAGGGGTACCACTGGTCAAGATGCAGGATACCGTCTCTGAACTTGAGTGCTTTCTAAAGGCCATGTATTGTGGATTGTGAGTACACGTCTCTTCGAGTACAGATTCTTGTTATGGTTCCGACACATCGTTCCCACTATGTAACAGGGAACTACCTGCGGCGCTTGACCCCAACATGCCCTTCAAAGTTCAATCAGTCCTCAAGATGGCGACCAAGTATCAAGCCGACGCTCTCCGTCTACGTGTCATTCAACACGTTGAGGCTGACTGGCCGACAGATTTTTATGTCTGGGAAAAACTCGACGCTCGTATTCAAGCGCAATACTTTCACTGTCTCCGCTCCGCGCGCTGCGATGTCGACGATGATACTCCACCGTACTATCTTGACGACCACCTGCCTGAGCCGGCATCTGCTATTCGGCTCGCGCGCGAGTATGATATCCCCTCTATCTTGCCCTCTGCATTCTATCACCTCGCCTCCCTCAGTATTCTGGACGATTGGGACAAGATGCGTGTTGTTCCGGAGGATGGGGGTCCCATAGAGCTGGAGCGCACCCAGCGTACCGCGCGGTGGTCCTTTTTATCTGCGGAAGACTGGTTGTGTTACCAACGAGGCAAACATGCGATGAATCTGCGTGGATCATATGCATACGGAACACATTGTCCATGCAATCCACCATGCAACACACAAATCATTCGTGGCATTCTAGTTACCATACCGCCTCTAGAAGAGCTAGATAATCCTCTACGTCATATGTGCGATATTGTCGTGCAGTACGAGGAAGGCACAGATGTCGATTGCTGCAGATCGTGCGCGAATCAGATGGTGGTTTACATCGAAGGTGGTAAAGAAGTTCTCTGGGAACAGCTGAAGGGATGGTTCGAGCTTCCGGATACTGGTATGTATTCACATTATCTTCGTGTGGGGCTGTTTTTTTGGTTATTGAACTTACGAGATTATATCTTCCTAGCTTAATGACGAGATTCCTCGATCTAAGATCACCTCGAGTTGCGCTCTTTGTTTCGCTTCCCAACCTTTCGATAGTGGAGTCCGTTGTTTGAGATTTATTTATTTATTTTATGTTTCGATATTTACCTGCATAGTCATGTCTAGTCCATAGAGTGTGCACTTACGATCCTCAGCTCAGTTTTGATCGTCTAAGCTGCGCCGTACGCGCCTTGAGTACCTTGTCCCGCCACAGATGTAAGTACATTCGAACTCCGCCACGGCACGGCACGCCACGCGTGCCAGTCTTGCCATGCATATGGGCATCAACCTAGCACCTCCTTCCTTCTGCTCTCGAACTCGTACTTCAAGGAAGCTCAAGCTTCCTGGGGGCGGAGACGTCGCTGCTATGCTACCCATCAACTTTGAACGACATGATTGCCTATACCTCCCCGACGGCAACATCTGTCTAACCTCTGCTCTAGTATCTGACGAATCGAACTCCGATTCGTCTGCACCTGGAAATTTTGAACTCGAACGGCGTCTGGTATTCCGCGTCCATAAATCAGTGCTGGCCATACACTCTCCTGTCTTTAGTGATATGCTTGCACTTTCTGCAGACTCCAGCGACGCTGGAAGTATCGATGCCGAATACGACGGAGCTCCTCTCGTGTTCATGCATGACACCACTCGTGATCTGGAAGTGCTGCTCATGGCGCTATACCACGGATTGTGAGCCCCCGGATTTCTCGCTATGCAAAATCTCGCTAGTCACGAGAACTATCACTCTCGATTTGATTCAATACTGACGAGTGCTCATCGTTTGCATGCATATAGCCAACTCCCGCATCCCCCTCTCGACCCACGAACTCCCGACTCCGTCACGCCCATCCTCTCAATGTCCTCAAAATACCAAGTGGACCACATCCGCAACACCATAATCGAGCGTCTCGAGTCCGACTGGCCACAGTCTCTTTTCGAATGGGACCTCCTCGAGAAACGCATAAAGTCCGTACGCGATATGTACGACGCCCTGAAATGGAGGACGCCACCTGAAGCCGACTCAAGCAATAGTGAAGGCGAAGTATTCATCATCCGGCATCACTTCCCCGAACCATGTTCCGCCATCCGCCTCGCCAAGCAATACGATATCCCGAGCATCTTACCCAGCGCGTTCTACCGTCTTGCTTGTATATACCTGAACAATGACTGGCATCGGCCGAAGACGGACGAGGAGCAACGGCGTTGGAGAAAAGAATTCCTTCATCGTTCGGATCTACTCACCGTGTCCGACATGGCAACAGTTATCCGCGGCGTTGAAGCGCTTAAACAACATCGTACCCTTCAAATACCTTTCGAGCATACGGATCATGAGGCGGAGACGTGTAAGGCGGAGAGGTTCCTCGAACATATGAATACGGTCCGAGGGAATAGGATTGGTACTGGAAAGGGGTTGCTCAAGACGGATATTCTTGGAGCGTTCGCCTATTTCTCGGAGGATCTGGCGAAGACGAAAGTGAGAGGGAAGATAGCTGCATCTTGTACGACTAAGATACAAGGGGAGATCAGTAAGAGAAGAAAGGAAATTTGGGATGCGTTGCCCGAGTATTTCAGGATGAGGCAGAAAGAGACTTGGGATATGTTGCCCAGGTATCTTAGGGAATCATGTGAGTGGCCCTGTTTTCGTCGTTTGTGCCCTTACTGATTAGTTTGAAATGATGCAGGCTATAAAGGGCAGTCATCGGAGCCTCTTGAGACTCGACAACTGAGCGTTCATGATATGGACCGACTGCGAATTAACGAAGCTGTTGACTTGTAAGTAATTCTTCTGGTTCCGATTTTATTTTTGCAAGTCTTCCGGTTGGCGAACTCTTGACTAAACATCTTTATACGAAAACAGCCTTGATGCGCCAAGACATGGTGTTTTTGCAGTCTACCGGTTGAACAACTCTGACTAACCATCGTTATACGAAACCAGCATCAATGTGGCAGGGCATGAACGTATCAGTACAGTGTAACATAACCATACAATAACAATCAGAAGATGCGAGACGCCCTAGGGCTAGATATAAACCCACTGCTACCCTTCACGCACTCGTGTCCATCGCCTCCTGCCCCTGCCTCAACATTTCCATGCTCCTCCCAATCCCCGCCGTATCCTCCCCCATTTGCTCCAAAAATCCTTTCACATCATCAATATCGCCTACTCCCGCCCCCATATCTTCAATTTTCGCCCTTGCACCACCTGCACCGCCCTCCTTCGCCATCTCCTCCCTCTCTCTCTCCACCAGTTGACCCACCGCCCAACTCAGATACCCCACCTTCCCTCGCTCCCACTCTCGTTTACCGGCGTCGGGAACGGGTACATTCGTGTTGTTGAGGTCGATGGGAGGGAGGGAAGACATCTTGTTGTAGAGTCTGAGGGTTTCGGGTGGGAGGGAGCGGAGGGATTGGAGGGTGTGGGGAGGGTAGATGGCTTGTAGACGTTCGCGACGGGTGGTAGCACGTTTAGCTTGAAAGCGTGCGGCACGGAGAGCACGGGTATATAAGCGTGTTACGCGCTTTTGCTGTGTGGGCGAGTGAAATTGAGTTCCGCTACGTCGTTGATACGAATTATGGACAGCATGGGAAATGATAAAACATACGTTCTCGATCTTCCGTCTCAGCTCCTCAATCTCCCCCAGTAACTCTAGTTCCCTCCCGGGTTCTCTCTCCCCTAGTTCTAAGTCCAAGCCTTCATGATGCGGCGCCACAATCTCCAACTCGGGCGGAATCGCAAAGATATTCCGCAAGCTCCACGTCTCAAAGAAGTCAAACGCGACGTCCGTATGATACTCCAACATCGTCTGAAACCTGACTAGTCCCTGCTCCAGCTCGACCGTGCCATCCCAGTCCGCCGATCCGTTGGAAGAAGCGGACGGAGAATTTGGGTTGTTAGGGTTTGAGTGGGCAGCTTGGTGTGCTAGGTCGCGTTCTTCGTACCACCGTGTAATAAATGTTTCGACAGCTTCGACACAGCTTAGGACTTGTTGGTTCGCAGCGTTGATGATGCCGTCGAGGATAAAGTGTGGCGAAAAGCCGAGTAGTTCTGGGAGGAGTATAGATGGAACTGTGGCGGCTGAATTGAGAGGATTCGGAGCGGGCGCCATGATGTGTTCTCCCTTGTATTAATCAAAACAATATGAAAATCAAAAAGTCTGGAGGTGCCGAGGTTTGTTCGTATATCGAGAAGGCCAAAGGATGGGATAAATGTTGTTTTGGTTCGAGATCAACATGGTTTGTGCGAAACGTATGCGGCAAACACGCGACGCGTCCGTCACATTCTCCCGTGATTCTGGTCACATCATGCCTCTTAGCTTAGCTCTCGCCACACTTTCTTTCTCTTGTTTTCTTCTTCATTTTCGACGACGACCATGACCACCCCTGTAGCATCAACCTCAGACCCTCAACAGGGTGATCTCAATGCTAAAATATTTCAACGACTTCATCCACGCATTTATCTTGAGAGGTTTATCGCCGAGTCTGTACGGCCAGATGGACGAACATTTGATGATTGGAGGGATTTGAGTGTCAATGTCGGTGCGTTTCTTTCACTGGCTTTGAGACCCTTCGCTAACTGTGACCGTTTTATCCTCTATACGTGTTACTCTATTTCTCTAGGTTCGATAGGGACCGCTAATGGCTCTTCCCTCGTGAGACTGGGTGATACGACGATTGTGTGTGGCGTGAAGGCAGAGATCGCAGAACCGGACCTGGACAGACCAGACGAAGGATGGATAGGTTTGTGCTCTTTATGGCGCTCCTCATTGTTTCGACCGCCAGCATACATCATTGGCCGTCTACGGACTGCCCAACGCCCCCCTCATACGTTTACTGAATTTTTGCAAGTGTACTAAAATCACGTGATTGGTGTTCTTCCTGAAGTGCCCAACATCGACCTACCGCCAATATGTTCCCCAAAATTCAAGCCTGGCCCACCATCGGACGAAGCACAAGCATTGTCTGATCGACTTTTCGATTCTCTTACCTCGTACGTATGCTTTATTTAGGTCCCTACCCGCGAGAATGTGGCGTCGAGGGCAAGCCCACAAGTATTCTGGAGGTGCTCCGTCTGTTATGCTGTCTCATGTGGCAGACCCTATGAATATCTTCTTTCCACCTGTGGAGATATTTATGATCTCGTCCTCTCCCGCGGTTTCAGGTCTCTGTGACCCATCGCCTACCTTCTCATCTGCGTCTTCTGGGTTGATACCTGTACTGACGATTTATTCAACTATGCTGCTCCGTTCAGATCAAATGTCCTCCCCCTTTCATCCCTCTGCATAGAACCCGGAAAATCAGCATGGGTTCTCTACGTAGATGCCACCTGCATAAACTACGACGGCAACGTCTTCGACGCCGCGCTCGTAGCTATGGTTTCCGCCCTCAAAAACAGTACGTCTTCTTCCTTGATACTGGCCCTAAGCACAACGAGTAGTATGCACTGACCGATTGTGATTATGTTTTGTTCGTGTGACGTACAGCGCTTCTGCCCAAGGCGACCTTTGACCCAGATACAGAGCGGACGACGTGTTCTCGCAAAAAGGAGCTTATGAGTCCTTTGGAGCTATCCGAGGGCTTGCCGATATCCCTTTCATTCGGACTGTTCGACTCGTAAGTACAACTCTCCCTCCCTTACTTCGCACCGCCTTTCTCCAGACACAAGCCCAACTGATCTGTCGCCCTCTCTTCATCTTACTCGTTACTCGACTTATATACGGGGTATGCTCCGATACAGCAACATCCTCGCAGACCCAACATCCTTCGAAGAACCCCTCCTCGATACCACGATCTCCATCACGCTCAATACGTCGACGAAGCAGCTGCTGGCGGTGTCGCAGCTTGGAGAGGGGTTGGCGGGATCGGATGTGGTCGGGAAGTGTATACAGGAGGCGAAGAGGAGACTTGAAGACGGATCGAGCATATATGAGTTCTGAGAGACGGTTAGGTCGAAATTTTGGCCCTAGATGTTTGCCAGATGCTTGTTTGATTCGCAACGCCGATTGATCTTGAAGACGAGTCATGGACACACCTTTCGCTTCGCCACTGTATTGTTGACTTCTGTATCAAGCGCGGTTGTGTATTTCTCTGTGCGCCATACGAGCTCCATCTCCATTGAGATTCTCATCATCGGCTTCGTGCCTTCGTAGATTCAGATGCGTACTCAAGGTGTCGATGACCTCCATACGTAGCCAAAGACAGCGAAACCGAGGAGCGAGTATCACTTCGAACAACGAATAATAATTGAAGCTATAAGTCAGAGGGCTGTGTCAAAGCGAAAGAGAAGAGTACAACAATATAAAAGAGCAAATTGGGCCTCTGCGGTAGTAATAAGCAGCCAAGAGAAAGGTTTGAGCGCAGACATCGTCCAAAAAACCAGACAGCACCATCAGTCCAACACAATAACCTCACCCGCCGCCTCCGCCCGTCTCAGCTTGTCCACCTCAACCACCCTCGCCTTCGATGCTTGGATTCCTTCATCATCCAATTTCAACAACTCCTGGCACAGCCGAGCACCATGTTTGTCGTGGCAGTGAGTTGTCAGGATGTCTAGGGAAGCTGAGGCTGGAGCGACGAAGATCGGATGTTCCTCGTGACCGTTCGTGTTTCGATATCTGTCAAATTGGTTCAATTCAGAGTTAGGAAAACCGTATGGAAGGAAGGAAGGAAAGAAGTACTAACTCGCATAGTCGACAGGCCAAAGATGAGCTATCAAGCCTGTACACCAGTTCCATATGTACACGAGTTAACTTTCCCGGTGCATATCTCTCATCTTCATCTTCTTCGCCTTGCCAACTTCTAATCACGTCGGAGAGAACAAACTCGGAGTCTACTCTCCGCCGTTTTCTCCGGTGTCGATCCATAGCTTGCGTTGAGCTCTCGGAAAGTGACGATGGATCTATGTCGGCTGCTATGAGGTGAGGTGCGTCCTGTTTTGGAGTCGTGGAAACATTGAGAAGCGATTGAACTGATCGCGTGAATGGTATGGGAGGAAAACCGAATGTGTTTGTGGGGGGTTCGGGTGAGGAAACGTGTGGTGATGTGGAGACGAGAGGTGTCGACTTCGTAGAATGTATAAATGGAGATGAGGACGGTAAATATCCGTGCAACGAAGGCGAGGCAGAACCTGCAGCTCCCAAATGATGTTGAGAGTACCGTGTTAGTTCTACAGCGATCGCAGCATTATCGTTTGGGAGAAGTAACGCACTTGTGGGAAGAGAACGCTCCTGCTCTACTTGACGATCCTCATACTCCTTATGCATTCCATACCTTTCCAGATCCAGGTCCAAAACCTCCATTGTCAACTTCATGTTCGTCTGCATCCTCTCCTTCTCAACGTTGAGTTCATCAACCTCCTTGTCCATCTGCTCCATCTTCTTTTGTAGCCCCTCGCATGTCCCCTTCATAGCCACAAGTTCCGCCTGAAGTCTATCCGTCTCCCTGGCCAACGTTGTGCACTCCTCCTCCGCCCTTGTCTGCCCTTCCCGCGACTCCTCTACCTGTCCCCGTAGTCTCTTACCCTCACCCCGCATTCTGCTATTTGCCTCACCCAAGTCAATAGCCTCACGCACTAGTCTTCCATTCTCGACCTTCAACGACGCGTGTTCCCGCTCTAAACCCTGCAATCGTGCGCAACGAGCATGCGAACTCGCCATCTCGGTGAGCAAATCTTCCATCCGCAACCGTCGGGTATCATTCTCCGCATCCACACCCTTCAACCGTCCCACATCTTCCTTTAATCGTCCAACCTCGTCCTTCATTTCATCTCTTTCCCTCACCAACCCGACGATCTCCTCCGTCATTTCCTTCCTATTGATCTCCAGCTCCTCGTTCTCCTTCGTTACTCTCTCCAGATGAACCCTGACTTTTTCGTTCTTCAGCCGTTCTGCACTTTCCCTCCTCTGTGTCTCCTCTCTCTCCTTAATCAACTGATCATTCTTCAGAACCATGCGCCCTAGCTCGGTCTTCAGCTCCTCATTTTCCTTGGCCACCCTCTCCTGGGACGCCTTCCGCTCTTCGTTCTCCTTCACCACGTTCTCCATGCTGATCTTGAGCCCTTCGTTCTCTCTTCGTGTCTCCTCATGCCTCACCCGCAGCTCGTCCTTCTCAGCCACCAACCCGGCCTTCTCCACGGTCAATCTCTCCAGACTTTCCTTCATTTGATTTAGTGAAATTATCGCGTTCGCCACCTCTCTCTTCGTCTGCTCATTCTCCCTTCGGGCCTCCTCCCGCCCCACTCGGAGCTCCTCCTTCTCAGCCACCAACTCGGCCTTCACCATAGTCAGTCTCTCCAGACTCGCCTTCATCTGATTGAGTGCGATTATCACTTTCGCCACCTCTCTCCTCGTCTGCTCGCCCTCCTCTTCGAATCTCTTCTTCTCCCGTTCGAAACGCTGTTGTCGCTTCTCGTATACGGTGACAATTTTGCGGATGTAGAGCGCCAAGTGTTCCTCCTTGTTATCAGGAGATTGAGAAGATCGGAGTTCGCGGAGTTCGTGGAGGATTTTCTCGTCGGTGAATTTGGAGAAGTCGAAGTCGAGATGGATAACATCAGGATGTGTACGAGGTTCAGGTGACGGAGGTCGAGGTTCGGATGGAGCAATATCCGTAAGCGAGGGTAGCGAGGACTGGGCGGGTTCGTCGGATGGAATCGGGTCGACGGTGGTCGTACATGTGTCGGGAATTGGAGCTGGTGAAAACAGAGGTAAGGGTAACGAGGTCCTTTGAGCGTCGCTGTTCACCGTTTCAAGCAAAGCCGTGGAGGTCAAATGTGAAGACTGTGGCGCGCTGGTTTGTGATGTAGAAGGATGGGTATCAGCTGATGTTATCGGTAGCGGTGGCTGAGACTGAGCATGGTTGAAGACCGAAGATGTAGGAGGTAGGGATACAAATCGTGGCTCGGAAGGTACAGCGGTATCGAAAGCAAGTAGACGATAGGTTAGAGGTGTCGAAGAGGAGGGCGTTGCGCCACATTGGGTATCCTGTTGGAGCGGGGTCGAGTGATTAGTCTGCGATGGTGGAGGTGCAGCCACATTTGCCGATACATATTGCGCTGTTGTGTCTGGGTGTAGGGGATCTGGAGTAAGTATCGCGACTGCTGAGAGGCGAGTATTTGAGGCAGAGAATATGGTAGAGATAGAACTCGCCTGTGAGGTTTGCGAACCATTCAGTGACTTTGTTTCTCTCTCTTGAAATGCGGTGTTTGGTATCTGTGTTATTCCAATACCTGTGCAGATCATCGAGAGCCACATGTGGTTCTTGTCCAGTATATATTAGCATCACGGCATGCCACACATGTCTCTCAACCTCTTCAAGGAGCGAATGCTTGCGATTGCCATACGAAATGAACAACTGCGCAGGAAAGTAAGTTATAGGTGGAGGTACATAGTGATAAGAATACTCACAGAAAAAAGATATTTGGGAGGGATCTTACTATTTCGACAGGTCGCATCGAAGGAGAGAAGAAGCAGAGGAGACACGGATAAGGCGAGTAGGAGGGGCATATACATCTCAAGGTCATCGTCCAGCCCTCCCTCAAAAGGCCAGGCCGGACCTCTCGCAGTCGCCGCCGCCTGAGGCTCGGTCTGAAAAGGTTATCAGCGCCAATGGTATATCGACTATGCAACAAGATAAAGTATGGCCATATACGTACACCTAGAAGAGCATGAATCGCTAATGCTGCAAGACCGAGATTACCGCTAACGGTTTGGCGCCGGCCTTGTTGAATCCCCTGCGGGCTCTTGGAAAGCAAAATGCGAGCAAGGTCCGGAAACCGCTGCTTGACCCCATTGGTTCCCTCCGACGAAGGAGAGGGGACCGGAGGAGAGGATGCAGTTGAAGAAGAGGATGTCTCTGGAGGAAATAGAGCATTGAGATGCCGCGGCCAGTCGCTCAAGAAGGACTTGAAGGTCTAGACATATGCGCGCGCCAAATAAGACTCAGGATGGTCAGAGCGCAGTGAGTAATCCGGAGGGCGTACTGCATGGATACGTGTGTTCGCATTGAGCTCGGTCATTGAGGCAATGTCAGGCAGATGGTAAGACTGGGAGGCTGCAAAGCCGGAGTGATACGCCACGGTATCAAAAAGCTGATACACCCAGAACACACGGACAATGCTATTGAAGGCCCTGGGCCTCATATTGCGCAAGACCTCTGTGGGACCGGCAGGGGTAATTTGGCTGAGGCCAAGAGCAACCCAGACTTGCATTCCGTTGTTACCTGAGTGGAAGACGCCACACCGAGCGAATTCATCCAGCCGCAATGCAAGATTCTTTAGAAAATCGTTCGTCAGGTATGTTAATAGGTCTGAGCACGAACTTTTAGTATTACCTCGAGAAAGGTCATATACGCAGTATAGGCAGGCTCAGCATCTACGACACCGGTCTTGTTTTCTGGAGAAGCAATCCACTGCTGCAGCGTTTTATCAGAGTTGATGGACGAAGTTTTCCAAGGCATTGCCTGGAGAGTTGTCATATCGCCACGACGACTCTTGGATTGTTCTGCTGAGTTCAATCGAGCTTCGGCAGCATCGCGTTCTTGCCGGAGTGGTTCACATCTATCTAGATGGCGCTGTGTCCAGGAGGCGACGATAGAGTCCGACATATACCAGACGGTGAGAGGAGATAGAGTAGCGTAGGTCACCGTAAGTAGATGGAAGCCTGACCGAGCAATTCCTCGGAAGCGCAAACTTGAAGTCGGCTTATCCCGTGTATCGGCTTTTCGGCACAAGTTCAGGTGAGGCGATTGAGAGGCAAAAAAAAACATGGCTATGAAAATCCACGTCGAATGATAAACGCAGACGAATGGCTTTCGTCTGTGTGGATCTTCAAGCTGAACAAGCATTGTCCGAGTGGCTACTACAGTCAAGTCGGTAAAAGAAATATAGTAGTAATTAGAGTTTGGCTCGTTCATAATATAGCTACCTGATGTCTGTTATAGCATATAGTGATCTAAACTACTAATTTAGAGTGGGGTGTAGACAAGTTCCTTTTATGGCAAATGAACTTTCCTCCTATGGCAAGTTGGGCTCCTTCCTTTCCCGCGCGTCTGCGTCTCGATCCCTTTTAGCTTCTCTGTGCAGTCCTTTATCCTTACACTCAGGCAGTCTGTCTGCTATCCCGTGCGTAGCACGGGCTCGCTGCTTGTAGTAGTTCAATGCACGTCGCAACACTGTTCCTTTCCAGACCCAGTACACTCATCCAGCTCGCAAGGAGAAAAATAACAGTGGTCCGCTGCCTATTCATTCTTTTTTTTCCTCTTCGTGCATCCCTTTTATCCCGATGGTGAGCACTTGGTGAACCCTCACAGAACCTCTTCGACTTCGGCCGCACGGCTTTGCCGGCAACCGTGACTTTACAGCGTCCTATATTGAATGATTACAGTCAAAGAAACCGGAATCCACGGGCAATCGGAATCATTCAGGCGCGACGTCGATCGAAATGAACGTCAAAGAGCTCGATGTGACTGTACGGATTCATATACCATATTTTCGAGAAGCGCAATCGACGCCGGGAAATCGAGTGGAAGCAAACGTGAGATAGGAGGACGCATCAGTAACCGACTCTCTATCGAAACCTCACCCTGGGATGAAGCTCACCTTGTGAAACCGGTTGTAAACTGGAGTGGGGCGGACGGGACTTGTGGGCAAGCAGGTCGGATAGAGAGGAAGAAGAGAATGTTGGCCATGGTAAGGAGCATGGATGCTTCAGCAAAGGCGCGGCCTTCGAGTGGACGCAGCAAGAGAGAGGGATCAGTCACGATTAATAGCAATTAGGATAGTTTGTAGACAACGCACCAGGACACGTCCTCTTTCCAAATCCAAACGCCACCACACAGGGGTCAAGCTGCTGTGATATTTTCTCAGAGCCGCTAGAGGGAATAAATCTGTCTGGATTGAACGTGAAAGGGTCGGGGTATAATTCTGGGTCGTGCATAATGGACCTGTAGGCGGTGACCGAGCGCCACTGTCAGCATTGAATTGACAGCGCCACAGCGCCAAGCTGGTGGCGGAGAAGGATGAACGAAACGTTTGACGTACCAAACGTTGGCGAGAACGGTGCTACCCTTCGGGAGCAGGTAGTTATCGTATATGTCGTTCTCAGTCACCTCGTGTGGTAGAGCTATATCGTAGAGCAGCATATAGAAAAAATGATGTGAGCTTTGGGGGTTACGGCAAGCTAGGCAACACTTTACCAAGTGGTCCAACACACGCAAACCGCAGTACTTCTTTCATAACGAGAGGCAGATAATCCAGCCTGTCTAAGTCCTCAAGTGTCAGATACCTGGACTCCTGATCATGACCGTCGTCGAAAAGAGAGTCGAGCTCCTGTTGACCGCGTTCTTGGACCGCCGGATATAATGCCATGAGTAAGATGAAGGAAAGCAACGCCGATATCGTCTGGAAAAGCAGTCGCATTAGCGCCATCCCTAACATAAGAATGCCCGTTACGACCCGGAAACACGAACCGTATCAGCTGCTCCAGCATACAGCCCCGCTGCGCAGAACTTGACAATGTTTTCGTCCTCGCCGCAAAGCGAACCCCTTCCGTCCACTCCGGCTTTGAGGAGTTTCGATGTGAATGACTCGGTGTATTTTCCCGTTGCCTATACGACGCCCAATGTCGTTCCGAGAAATGTTGGTGAGTAAATCTGTCATAAAAGCCCCCGAAACAGGTGGAAATGCTGTGATTCGAGCGATGAGGGTAGTTGCACAGATATGGCACTGGGGACAACATCGAACGAACGATGCTCAGGTACATGGCCATACGGTGGCCGGTGCTGCCTTCGCCCAAATGGGAACGGCCTTCCCGGACGAAGACCGAAATGCATATTCACGCCGGTCTCAGGGCCGAACAAGCATTCTAGACTAGAACGGCAGGGGTACTACGAGTAAGAGAAGAAAATACTACTTACCATCCGCTCCTTGACCCATTCATGGGGTGCGTCCGTCAGAGAGTCAAACCTCTCTCTCCATTCATTGGCCTGGCGCTTGAAAGCGGCCCCTGGGAGCCACGATGGGACATGTCGCACTGTGCACGGATCGTCAATACTGCGGTCCACGAACGGGATATCAAGAATGAGAGTAACGAGGGATCTCAGCCGTAAACGGTGCGGGATGGGAATATGGGATCAAGAACCGAACGTACGAATGGGATAGTAATTCACGAGCCACCTCCCGGGTGCCATGGCTTTGCCCGAGATTTGAGAAGACTCCTTTGCTCCCTCGAGAAAGAAATCGTTCCTGTCGGCGATGGTATAACCGAATGCAACCTTCATGATCATAGCTCCGGCGTTTCTAAAAATGACCAGTTAGTTCATGCCCGTGAAACGAAAGGAAGGCCAAACGAAACATAGAGAAGGACGGAACAGTTATCAATCGCTCTAGGCGTGCACTTGAGACACCGGACGAGCCATGGAGTTCACTCGACTCGATCGGTGCTGCGGTACGAGTGGGGCCACCGGAAATCAGACAAAAAATACAAGGACTGACCTTCTTACAAGCCACTCAACCATCCTTGGCATCTCTGCCAGCCCTTCAACAAGTGCTTTTGTCTCGTCGACCAAGAGGCTTTCGTACTCCTTCGTCGCCTTTGCGCTCAACCCTCCTTGCAATAATTTCCTATACTTTCGGTGTCGAGGATGCTTTGCGGAGATGTTAAACACGGTCTTCCCACGGTTACACATGTTGGGGTCATGCAACATAGATGAATAAGGTCGGTCAGAGTAGATGGAAGCACGCCCATTAAGGAGATCGTGGATAGACCGGTATGAGTTCAAGACGACGATGCGTGTGTTGTAAACTCGGAATGACATGACGGGGCCTGGACAAGAGGAAGTGGGTAAGCGGGATTACGGAAAAGGACAGGAGAGTTGGTGAGTCAAAGTGGGTGGAGAGTATGACATACCGTATTGCTGGCTCCAGGCATGATACTGCTGCCACGGCTCAGTGGCAGAAATTTTGGAAGCCATTCCACCAAATAAAGTGCCTGTTGGCCCAGGTGGAAATCTTGAAGACCTACGTCGATGGGCATGGAAAACTGAGAACAGAAGCGCTGACGCAAAGGCTGCAGAAACCAGTAAGAAAGGTGACAGAGACATGTCTGGCAAAAGAGGTGAAGGTATTTGGGACGGTGAAGAACGGGAATGTTTTTTCGTCCTCACATACCCCGTTATAAGGCAATTCTGAGCGGGGAGCAACGGTACCGTACAGCCCGAGCCACAATTCGAACTCGACTCGCGAGTGAAGAATTAATCTAAGGCTGAGGGCGATCAGCGCGGTTTCGAATATCATGAAACTTCCCTCAACTACGGGGGAGACTCGGAGGAGAAAACAAGTACAGCAACGGCCTAGAGGCCCCAAAGTGAAATGGAGAGAGGATGAGATCTTGCGCATCGGAAGGGACATACCAGAAGGAACAACATATGATGCTTGATAAGCACACCCATCCACGTCCCCGTAGCGTCGAGAGCTGAACGTACGTATTACACCATGACGAGTCAACGGAAGGCGGCTGAGGCGGACAAGTCTGTGCTTCACGAGGCAAGTAAGGCTGGGAGACTACTAAAAAGACAGCAGACTATACCTGGACACATGTACGTGAGGCAAACCAGACGTCAACTATCTGGGTCTCGACCATGGAGAGTCATCCCGTCCCAGAGGTGTAGGAGTGCTGATGCGAACAGCGGTACTCCAAACAAAATCATAAACGCATCAAGATCTCTGAACCTTCATTGTACGATGCGTCCGTCGTGCCACTTCGCTTCAGGAAAATGTTCAAGAGTGAGCCATTTGACCCCCCTATCTTTTACGACGGGTCCGAACACAAAAAAGCAGCTCACATGGAACCTAGGATTCGTCGTATCTATGATTTGAGGCTGTGGCCACGTCGGTATGTCGGAAGTGATTTGTATATGCCATTGCGCCACCTATGCGTGAGCATTTGGTGAGATCAAGATGATGGGCGCTTTGATTCGTGTCGTGCTGTTCGATGCGCATACCTGTTCACCATTCGCCTGGTTAGCAATCCACTTATGGTACAAGAAACAAGCATACCTATTACAGGGTTGTGGTTGATGATCCGGGCAAGCAGCACAGCAGAGGTCAGCAGGCCGTCGTTGGCACGTAGTCTGTTGATTATACGTCAAAATATCCAACTGTTAGAGATGCACACCAGCTCTTGGAGGTAGCTACCCGCGTATGTCGTTCCAAGAATATGCACCGAGTGGATGCGTCTAGAAGATCCCAAACAACTGTTTCGAAGTTATAAATGTAGTTGTGGGCCAGTAATAGTTTGGGTTACGACTCCGATTCAGGCCGGTGAATGCGGCTAAGGTACCAACTGTTGCGGGGGAAGCTCCTGAAGTTCCATTCCGCCCTATGATGATATCAGAGGTGGATTTGAATGGGAATATGCAATGAGGTCACTCACCGACAAGGAGGACGTGTTGGCACAAACATGTTTCTTCCACAACCGGACCGAATAGATGGAGACGATCAGGTCGTGTGCTCATGTCTACTCCGTAGAGGTTTTTCGGCCATAAGCGTAGGATCACTGGTCAGATCCAAGTACAGATTCCTTGACGAGTCACCAACAGCCTTCGAGGCTTGGTTTTCTTTCCCTGATAGCAGAACGACTCGTTGATACTAGCTCCTGCCGAGATGAAATGGCCGTGAGTCGAAATGGCGATAGAATACCCTTATTGTACTCGGAGGAGACGGATATCGAGGTCCCTGCTGTGCAAGCACCAATAAGTAAGCGCCGACAGCGCCCGCTTTGAAGAGATAGAGCCAACTGGCGGCGTCACATCTGAGCGCGCAAGGGTTTCATTTTGGGCATTGTCGGGCTTCGAGGTGAGCGCCCAAAAACTTAGAACACGAATATGGTCCCTGTATTTTGCACCGCAGAGAAACGCCACAATGACGAGCGAAACAGACCATGGAGATACAGTAACGACGAAGCAGTGAGCAAGAACTTGAAGAAGGACCGGTTGACGAGCCTGAATTCAATCATCCCTTGTACCGAACAGCCTCGTAGGGTGGATGCGATCGCTGTGGGATCATACGAGTATTGATGACATGATACCAAAACCATTCCACTTTGTAGCCCGCAGACACAGCATAGGATCCTCTTTTCTGCCAACCCAGAAATGAATCACCAGGAGATTCTGCCGTCATAGAACACATATTGCCCTTGTCTGTATGAGTTCGGAGCGTGCAGAACAAGACTGTTTTCATTTCTGCCCGTGCAGAAAACTGGATCCAGCGCTGTGAGAGTGGCCTTCTCTGAGAATCCAAGGCCAGAATAGCCCATGTCTTCAGTTTGTGGTATCAGGACGAGACAGAGGAGGTCAGAGTTACAGACAACGGGCGTTCGCGCGTGCTCTTTGCTCGGATGCATCGGATTCTCAATCGGGCCGGAATCGGGCCTTCGAAGCCAGTTTTTCTCATTGTGTCTGCTGGTCATCTTATTGTTCCTATCAAGGAAAAAGGAATGACTGTCAATCGGGCGTTGGAAGAAAAACAACAAACAGTTACACCTTCCCGTAAGTTGAGAAGCAAAACGTATTCCTTCATTGTACTAGCCCACCGTGGGGGTCGAACCCACAGCCTTCAGATTAACCCGCCTGAGACAGACTAAGAGTCTGACGCTCTATCCGATTGAGCTAGGCGGGCTTGACAAAGGGGCTCAAGGAGCATCCATACTAGTCTCAATTTTATCGGAATCTATAGAACACGAGTTCCTCCACGATTGAACAAGCTAAAACAGTCAAACACTGATTCAGAAGGCAAACACTTCACAGCACCATGTTTGTTATAAATGGCGCAACGACTGGATTACAAAGATCACTCGAACCTAACCACCTTCACCACCTCCCTCATTCGCTCGATATCCACCCTGCACTGCTCCATCATCGACACCTTCAGCGGACGCACGACCACTAACTCCTCAAACACCAACTCCTCGAGCGGATCTCCCTCCTTCTTCCTCTCTTCCATCTGCCAAATCATATCCTTCAAAAATCCCTGCCACGCACGCAACCCAGCGTTATTCCCCTCGGCGAAATCCACATTCCTGAACTTCAAACTGCGTAAGCCAGGGAAAATAAGCCTTTTAGTGCTCCCGCTCTCCGTCCAAGTATCATGTAGAGTTCGACGTTGGAGTGGGAACCGATCTGGATCCATCAAAACATTGAAGCGAAGTGGAAGCGGTGACGAGGACGGCGGGGTGGTGGCATCGGTGGGTGAATATCGCAGCGTGAGTCCGGAATATTCCATACGACGGATGTGACGGAAGGGAAAGAAGATGTTGAGCCAGTGGAGTTTGGCCAAAAAATCGCTTTCGAACTCGAAATCTAAGAGTTCGATGACGCGGTTATAGAGGGGGAGAGCACGGCATAGAGACTGAATGATATCGACGGAGGCCAGGTATGGGAGGTGGTCGTCTAGATAGCTGAAGGTGGCTGTGAACACATTGACCCGTTTGTTACTAGTTCCAAATCGTGGAGTCGTACCAGGGAAGTTCGGGGTGTACGACGGTGCATCGATAAAAACGGATATCGTTAAACAGTCGATGTCCTGGATACGAAACTCCTGAATGGGTAAGTCATCATACGCAGAGTCCTCGACGCGTGCTACGAGCACTGGGATGATATCGAGTAACCGCTGTCCAGGTGGCGATCCAACGTCCGCGATGCAACCAAGTGTGAGGTTGGCAGTATGAGGAAATGATATGGACCGCAGGAATGCTGAACAGTCGCCAACACGGCCCGTCAGGATCAAAGTCTTCAAATGAAGAAGGGTTACGATTGGAGAGTCGTTGGCTGGAGACGTGTCTATACCGACAATCGGTAGGGCGTGCGACAGCGAGAGCGTTTCCAGCGAGGTGGCATTGCGAAGAAATTCCAATAGCTGTTCATGAGTGGGGTGCTTCTCTTCGCCGTCATAGACGGGCACCTCTGACATGTCGGTCTCGCAGGAAGGGTAGACGACCGTGAGGTGGGTGAGGTTATTGAGGATTGGCGAACCCCATGGGACGCTACAGTGAAATAGGTATAGTGTTTGTAGTTTAGGTGCAGATTCACTGAAGACGTGGGCGGAAAGATCGACAAAGCCGAGACGGTAGAGAAGAGAGAGCTCCTCTAACGCCGGGGCTGGATGCTCCAAAAGTCGAAGAATTGATGCGCCCCCAGTCAGGTCCAGAGTGCGTACGTTTGCAAACACGGTGGTTTGGGATAATTGGGCGTATAGGTATTTGTCAAGTGATGTGGAGATATGTCGGGTGAAAGTCCAGGAGAGAGACACGGGTGTAGTTCGAGAGCGTTGAAACATCTCCTCAGCCCATCGTGGGCCAAGCGATGTGCAAATGTTCGTCCAGAGCGAGGGAGTTGCGAGAGCTATATGCCGCCAGTGTTGGCAGACGTGCGTGAGGGTTCGAATCCATCCCAGATTGGCGGGGATTCGCCGGTCATGGTTGACAATGGGACAGTCATCATACGCGATATCTGCAAATATCTGAAGAATTATTTCGGGTGGAAGAGTCTTAACGGTCGCCAGGCCGTTGATGCGAGCTCGAACGGACTGCAAGGCGTGGCAGAGGCGCGTCTCTTCGGCTTTCAGATCGCGACGATAGGCATCGCGATCTGCGTATGTCGCTGACTGAAGATTCATCGAGCAGTAGAGGGAGGGTTTATGTTAAACTAGAAGCGCATTATATCATGTGGGGATCCAGAGAGAGATCTGGGATGCCAGTCTGAGAGAACAAAGGAGTTTAAGGAGAACAAAATTTGGCGTGTCGCAGCGAAAGTGACCATCCGGCAATTTCCGAGTACTATCACATGGCGAGTGTTCGGCAGGGTAGTAGTGTTCGGCACCCTGCCTTTTCGACAGCTGCAGCCGTACATTTTCGAGCACAAAAAAATGTGCATGAGACGCAATGAAGCTACCACAAGACCCTCAGCAGCATCAAGAGCAAAAATTTCTTGACTGTATGCTCGAATAAGTAGACCTTGAAAAAGCGTGCCATTTTCGGTGAACGGGTTCTAATACCCCACAAACTTATCCGATTCCTTTCGGGTGTGCTCAGAGCTATGAGGAGGTCCACTCCGCAGATATTTTACATTTTTTCAGGATTTATGAGAGGAAGCAAGATGCAGGATTTAGGGACCGATGACGAGCGCCACAGTGCCCAACTCTACTGCCCCTCGAAGTCAGATGAATACTGCCAATATCGTTCTCTAACTCTCCCATTAGAACTCAGAGACGCATGCGTCGGCGATTTACCCGCCTGAATCTCTGCAAGAGTGTGAGGCCAGGTTCTGCCCTTCGAGCCGCAGAAAACCATTTGTGCGAAGTGCCGAACACTCAGCTAGTGATCGTACTTCTTCTGAGTTCTCGCAAGTCGCTCGATCTCCTTCGGCTTTGGCACACACATAGTGTACCATATCTAGTACAGACCGACGAAGCCTTTCAAGTTTTGGTAAGTGAAAAAGTCTCTCAACGCCGCTGCCGACGACGAGTACCGTCCTGGGTGCAGGTTTATCAAGGACAGTCGATGAAGGGTGTAGAGATGTAAGACGTGTACTCGGATACAATGTTCTCTACAAGACATTACATAAATACAAGAGACCGAGGATGACAATGCCAGCCAGTCTATCTATACAGAGCCGATAGTATCCGCATACGATAACAACAAAAACAGTAAAAACAAGTGAAGTCCAGAGAACAAAACCAAGAGAAAAAAGGAAATCCGAGGTAGAGCACGAGTCCAAAAAAGAGAAACATCATTTCATTATCCAACCTATCCCCACCCACTCCCCTCCCTCTTCCGTCCCCCAACACCCAAGCCGTCCGCATCAGCATCGCCCTCACCCTCCTCCCCGTCCCTCTCATCCACCAAATCCCACTCATCCTCAACCTCCTCCAGATCGTCCATACTCTCCTTCCTCATCACAACTCCCGCTCCCGCTCCCGCACCACCACCACCACCCTTCGCGTCGTCGCCCTGCACCTGACCGGATGCCGGTGGGATATGCTGTGACGAACTCGTCGACACTGTCGATCGATTCCGATGCGCACCACGCCCATGATCGCGAAACGCACTAGCCTGGGCTTGAACCTGCAATAACTGCGCGAAATCGAGTGGGAATGAGGGCGGGGTAGGTTGACCGAGCGGAGGCCTCGAAAACGTCGCGTGCGAACGTCTACGAAGTTGATTAGTACCCGCACCAAGAACCCAAACCGTTCAGTACTTGTTCAGATTCAAACGACATGCGAGTGTCACTCTTACCTCCCGACATCGCCCGCCCCACATACCCTGACGAGGTTCGCTAACACTTCCCCGGCTTGACTCAGTCCTACGTCTACGCCCTGTGTCCATGCGAGATAGGCGACGTCGTATAGCAACATCGTGTACGCCGTCGTGAATGATCCGTGGGCGGACGTAGATGATGATGCGGCGGCGGCGGCGGCGTTGAAGGGGTCTTTGCTCGAACCCCCACCTGAGGTGTTAGACGATGGGTATGACCTAGGTGGGTCTGCGGTGGAGCCCGTACGAGAGCGATTACGAGGTGGAGATGTGATAGGTGAATAAAGCGACGGGAGTGAGGCTTCGATATATGACGCTGAGAGAGATTCGGCCATGTCTTTATCGACGTTCAGACTTGGTTGTCTTCGTGAGGAGGAAAGTTTGTGAGGAGGTGATATGGTAGTGGTCGTGTTCGATGTCGTTCGGGAACGGTGGGATGGGCTCGGACGGGTTGGGGAGGTTGTCGAAGAGGGGGGAGAGGTGGAGGTGGAAGTGGAGGTGGATGGGGGTGGAGGTGTGGATAGATTTGTGGGAGGTGGGGTGGATGGGCGGGGCGTGGCTGGGGAGGTTGTGGAGACGTGGAGGCAGTGTTTCGAGGTCCATCTGTAGATGAATTCAAGTCAATATGGTCGGACAGGTCCGAAGCTTGCATCGCAGAATAGATGGAGTATATAAGCGGGGAGGTAAAATATCGAAGGACAACGTACTTTGCCCAACTCCCGTTTTCCGTCCCCTTGATGCTCCGGATCCACGGCTGCCCTACGCCTAACTTCTTCCCGCTCCAACTCGTTTCGAACGGAAGCTTGATGCCCAGGTAAAATGTCAGAAGTCCAAGAAAATGAATAGTGTGGGTTATGACTGCGTTGACGTGGTCAGGCGGATATCCTGAACAGTATCCGAGTCGTGATGAACGATGTCAGTTCAGATACACAGGTCCACAATGCGACGGTTAGGAGAATAACTCACGTCGAATATCGCCTGGCACGGGTAACACCAACCCCTCGATCGTCCACTCTCCCTTGATGCCAGCCTTCCTTCCAATCGGAGGCCTCCCTCCTACCTCCACGATATTGAATACTTCCACTAATTCAGAAACTAATCCAGAACGGGCGCGTGCTAGGGTATCGGAGAGCAGGGAAAGCTGTTGCAATTCTCGGGATATCTGGGCATCGAGAACTGTATTTGAAGGTACCGGTGTAGATGAAGGAGATGTCGGGTTCGATTGATGTGTTGCACTCGATGTAGATGTGAGCGATAGTAGACGGGCCTGGGATAGAGTGCGACGACGGGTGGCGAGGGATTCTCGAAGTGAACGTAAGCGTGCACGACCTAGACCACGACAATTAGGGTGTTTGATGTGAGTACAATCCGATGAAGTCTTTGAGTACTCATGAAAAGAAAAGAAGCAGAACGAGCAAAGTCTCTTCAGAAGGAGGATAATGTGGCGTTCACGTACTCTTGTCGTTCTCCCGCCTTAGTCTAGCCAACGCCTCCTTGACATCCTCCAGCCTCTCACTCCCGGTCGCCAAATCAGCTCTTCTAAGTCGGTTGGGTGCTACCGACTCCGAGGAAGAGGATGCTTTGTGGACATGATCGTCACGGTCGGAGGCGACACGAGTGATTTGAAGACGGACATCACGGATACTGGACCCGCATTCATGTCAGTCAAGCTCGAACCCATATTTCGAGGACGACGATGTGATAAATGAACCAAATGAGCTCACTGAGAGTTTATGCAGTTCTCGCAGTAGAGCTGCCGTTGCCTGAGTTCGCAGTTGGCACATTCCATCAACGTCGAGGACGACGAGCAAGAAATTTAAAAGGGCCACGCGTCGGATGTGGCACTTCAGCAGGGGTATAAGCTCGTGGGAATCGAGGCTGGAAGTTGGATGGAGTGGCGAACGCATGCAGAGCATATCTTCGTCCGCGTCGTCCACGTCGTCTGCTACTATGGTGAGCATCAGCTCTCTAAAATCTATAACAATGATTATTATTAATGGACCCTATTGCAGTCCGTCGCACCACTCGCCACAGGTCCCGCTAGAACTTCGTTCACTCTAACCCAACCCTCCCAACCCTCCGCTCACGCCGCCACATCAAATCCAGCAGGCGCGACAGCTCTACCTACACCGCCCGAACTCGAACAGACCCTCGCTCTCCTCTCTTCACACCGCTCTGTTCTCGGCTATCTTCTTCTTTCACGCGACGTCGCCGATGTCGAACCAACGTCCTCAATGAAGGAGCCACATATGTTCGGTATCATAAGACATTCGGGCGTCGTGTTCGAAGGAGAGCAGGGGAGGAGATATGCGAATGCTGTGGGGCGGATTGTGGCGAGCACGCAGGCTGCACTGGAGGAGGTCAGTGAGGAGAAGAACGAAGGGGATGAGATCCGGTTTATGAGGATTCGGACGAAGAGGCATGAGATTATGATTTCGCCAGGTGCGCCTCTTCACCTTGTCGAGCTTCGTATTGACCCTTACGATTACTGCGACCTTAGACAAGCGATATCTCCTAGCTGTCCTACACGACCCAACCACATAAATCGTTGTCGGTGTAGTCCACCTGCGCCCTCTGCCCTACCACTTCCTGTACATACCCTACCGCACCCTTCGCCGACCCAGCTTACACCCTTAACGAGCATCGTACCCATGACCCGTCACCACTGCCCTGTACGTGTACTCCGCCTGCGCCCTCTGAATAACCGCTGCTGCCGCCTCAGACCCTGGATTACAGCTTCATAATCGCCTTGCCCTTCGTTTCTTTGCGGATACCATTCCTTATGTCTTTATCCTCACGTTTCTCACTCTGCACGCAATGTATTGTTTAACCTTTCTCAATTCTGGCAAATGCTCCAGTATCCACACAGGTGTTCCGTCCCACTGCCCGTAAAACCAACGAACCAGCCTTCAACGGAGTTCATTCGCGCGTGTTTGTCGTATGTGGGAACATAGCGAAGCGATAGGTTGAAGACACTCCATCTTTTCTTACTTACCCTTCACTCTGGACTGATCCTTGTGGGTGGTATGTTGGGTGGCAAAACCGCGCCAGACTTCCACGAGTATACGGAATCATCGACGGAGCCCGCAAGGTTTCCCTTTCGTTTTCACATGCTATAGCTAAACTACACGCCCATCCTTTTGTATAGAAGTCCCTGATCATTGGCTCCAAGATTTCGCCGTCGTGCTGTTCGTAAGTTCTCAATCCCACCGTTCGTGCATGCACTTCAATTCATCACTCACGCAAAAAGAATGTAGATCCGAAGTAAATGTCGATTGCGCCCCACCAGCCGCTTCTTGATAACTCATCCACATAGAGCTCTCCCTTTCATCTTTTAACCCGGATAGCCAGTCACCCCCTTCAACAACACCCCTTCTCTCTATCTCACTTATTGATCTATCCATCACTCGCTCGCTCGTCATGCTATGAGAGGGACTCGACTCCACGACTCCAATCGAACACTCTTCTTATGACGACCCAACATGGGTATCCCACCTTGCCTAACACTACCATCCACGCACATCACACAACGCAAGACGGTGAATAGGCTACTTCACCCTCATCAGACCTTCGACGCATGATCGCGACACGACTCGGATGGGTGAGCCACGAAGAAGGGGAGTATTGACCATTAGGAGGAGGCTGAGGGCGGGGGTGACGGGATGAATGAGTGTTTTTAGAAGGGTGGATATTTGGTCGATTTTTTTTCCAGTTGCGTTCAGCGGTTTCGCTGCCATGCAATAATGTTAGATTTTGACAGTTACTGTCCATACGTCCATTTGAGAAGACCGGATGACCGGAAGACCCTGTTTTATGGACAGGTTTTGTATCTGAGTATTGAAGGGTCTCCAGAAAGTACCGGATACATCTTCGCATACAACGTAGAGAACTGTTTCTAGACATGAAGGGACGTTGGGTGTTGGGCCACTTAGAAGCATCCGGTGGCCTGCATCGTTCCGACTTTCGGCGAGATCGGAAATTCGGATAAGCGCCCGTTGAAGTCGTGCCACCGGCGGACGACTCGAAGTCTTTGCAGTCGGACAACCACGACAACCCTGTAGGAACATTGCAGTCTTTACAGCAACAATCCTCCCCTAAGATGTCTTAGAGCTACCGAGCTGTCCATCTGCGCACATATTGGCCTTCCACCGCACTTATGAGCCATCTCATGTCGTAAGCTCCAAGTTCACATTCGCTGCGAACTCAGCGCCGCCGGCGAATGTAGCTCGTTATTGTTGATACCGGTGCGCACACTTTCTTATCGAGGCTCACTAGAAGCTGCAGGCTCTTCCTGCTCAGCGTACACTACGTGATAAATAGCGTTCAGCTAAAAAGTTAAAACTCGAACCAACTTCGAGGCTGGAGCGGCGTTTATCATCCCTGAACTTGTCTATAGATTCCAGCCATGCTTACCACCCATTACCACCTTCCCCGACCCCTGGCTTGGAAGATGGCAGCCAGCAGGCGAAATACTTCCGTAATCCCATCGTGCTCCCACTTGTGGCGTTCGACACATCACGAACGATGCAACTAGAGTCGCCCGTACGACTCCCGGCGCCCCGTCTAATGGCATAAATGCAACGCTTCATCGCATCAACGCGTCAACAGCGATCGCGACAGACGCACGATCTCTCTGGGGAGAAATCGTTCAGGCCACTTGAGAGCTCGGCCAAATCTGACAGATATCCCGACCGACCTTGCCCTGGTCGGATTGCAATATCTGGGTATTGATGGGTGGCGTTAGTGCGGGGATTGATCGCGATGCCCTTCCTTCACAAGTCGGGGAACAGGTTGATGCGATGAGGAGCAATTGCCAATGAAATGTTGTCCGTGTCGTCGTCGGCAGCCGGTATCCTTCTGTTCATGAACTCTTCGCGTAGATGGTGGCAGCGTCAAGCAATTTGTGGCGGGATTCCTACACTAAGTTTGCAGGAGAAGTCGTGTCCAGAGTCCATGACTCCTCGTGAGCGGTACTTACTTGCGCTTGAGCGTTGTTGTTTATTTTCTAACTACCCTCTGTGCACTTATTGTTTGCACTTCAGAATGGATTAAAGGTTTTATCTCCGCCGGCGCCTGACGTCGATCTTTCCCTGCTCTCAATCTTCCCATCATTCCGATATCCTCGACAGCAATGAAAATGTTCAACTCGGTGCAAACTCGGCGACCAGGTCAGTCTCCAGATGACCTTTTCTTCCTGCCTTTCGTGCGCCTCTTCCTCTCCTGTTTTTTTTTCTCGATTTACCTCCGGCGCTAACGGGCTTCTTTACATCGCATCAGTTCAGCGTAAAAGTCGAGTTCTCGTCATCGCTGTCAGTGTCTCTTATGTGCTCCCCTGATTGATCCGGCGGCGGATGTCGGCTGCAGCTTACGATTATGATGCTATTCCACAAGGGGGATATGTTGCTCACGAGCATGGCGTACGGTTCATCTTGGTCGCGAGACCTTTTAATTCCAAGCGGTTCTGGTTTGCAGAAAGTTCACGATATACGATGATGGTGAACTGGAGGAGGATGAGGAGAGGTTATTCGCCGACGAAGCTATCATCGACGAGTACGCTGCTCTAGTCGTATTTTGCGCCACTGGCGGTGCTCAGAGCCCTGAGAGACTCCTTCCTTGCGCCACGTTCGGAACATTGAGTCTTCTAGCTCAATGTCAGTGGCTGACTTCCAGGTATTATGGCCATCAGATTGTCCACCACCCGTGACTCCAGTTCGCCACCGGTCAACATGAATGCAGCACGGTGGCATCATTGTTGTGTTTTTTGGCATATCTACCCGGCCCACTTGTCTCGAACTTGACGCCACCAGAAATGTTGGCAAGCAACATGACCCACTGTTCGTCTGAGAGTTTTACCTGCATGTCATATCGCGCAAAGTCTGCAGACTATCGCCATTGCGGTTATATACGACATTTGGCGACTGTACTACCTGCCTCAGCTACGCCTGTCGCATGGGGCACGCAAAAACAGCAGAGGCTGATACGATCTATACGAGCGCATTGTCGGTCTGTCTGATATTCTATTCGAGCTGCCACTTTCATAATCTTACCCTCTGTAAGCGGTGACTGTGTATCGAGGCCAGTGAACACGAAAGTTATGGCTACTTACCATCCTCTTGTCTTCGGCTCGCCGATGTATTTTATCAACGACCAACAACAACACCAGCCCCGCTACCTGACTGTAGAAATCCTCGAGTCCACGGCGAGACCATGGAATAAACGGTTCCCGGTTCAGTCAACGTTCATATCTCTTCTCGTTACAGGTAGACCATGTTGATGCAAAGTTGTTCAGTCCATATCGCACTCTCGCCCTACTCCTGCTCGATCTCGCCAGCTGGTCCTCCGCCCATATTTTGGTCCTTACTTTGGCTCGGTCAACTATCTCTGCTTTCATGCCAGCTTCAGGTTTTACATTCGCTGGAAAGATCCTCCAGTGCCATACGTGTCATCGCACCGCACGCACCGCAAATACCGAAGGCTGACCGCATTATTTCATACCGTTCACTCTGTTAAGGACTAAGGAAATGAGGCTGAAGACCTGATTTTCTGATCCATTTCGTGTGACCGTAGCACTCCTTCGCTGCTTCATCCGTGATGGTCTCAATGCTCTTGAGGAGATATTTATCCACGCGATATAAGCAATCCTAAAATTCCAGGACTGAAGGTGATCGATGAGGTCCACATACCGGGATGGATCCGGTACTAAAAGTTTCACGGGGAAGCTGAAGACACGGGTTGACGCGACCCAGTCTGTGAGTATCCACAATCTTGGCCAAAACCAAGACCGTAAGTACCAGTACAGTCATGCACATTTTTCGACACGACTCCCATAGCACGTTGTTGAACTTCATAGGATTTGGTTCGGGTAAGGTCGGTATGAAGACGCTAGAAGCGCCTTGCAGATCTATACGGCAGCATCCCGCTTCTAGCTGCTTATCTTCGCATTTCGCATGGAATGCATTAAACATGAAGCTGTATGGAAGCTCGTAGGCTAGTATATATCGACGTAGTCGGTCAAGTTTCGATCTGAACAGTGAGTGGTACAGCTGACGGGCCGGGTGCCACATGAAGCTGAACGTCGACAATTGTGACGCTCGACGAGCGCTTTACATTTTGTACTGAAATGACAGTGACTTCGTGGAAGTCTGGGAACACCTAGATAGAAGTGTTGGCTGAAGTCGGAGAAAATGATGCTGCGCACAAAGAGGGCTAACATGCAGGCCAGCCGTTTGTTCTGTAATTCCGGGGTAAGTAGAAGTGGGAGGATCTCCGTGATGTGGGGCGTGGGTAAGAAAACTAAACCTTCAAGGATCGTTCAGAAGCAGAGCGTCTTGCACAGCACCTTGAGAACGTGGATAGGAGCAGCGTTCTTGTGATCCTTAAAGATGTCGTTACCCAACGCCACAAATTCTTTAGGCATTGAGGTCGCCGTCGTCGGCGGGAAGGAAGGGTATCTCAGTGCGCATCCGTTACACGTTATTAGACCCCAAGTATGTCGTGATATCGAATAAAGTTCAAGAGTATAAATCGGCCTGTTGAACGCGAACAACTCGCCTGGCAGTTGCTATATGAATGGAAATCAGGAGTGAAGGAAGTTGAGCACGTTTGATGTTAGTGATACGACATTCTTTGCTAGAATGTCCCTCCTATGTGCCATTGCACGCTTCAGAGCACAGGCGGCTACATGAGCGCGTGCAGACGATGCTAAGATATAGTTAGATTCCGTGCGCATTCTACGATAGATACGCACAAGACGCGATCCGGATATAGACGGCTGAACCGATCGGCAGTAAATGAAGAGGAGATAAACGGAAGTAAAAATGTTCCCCTTAAGAATGGCCAATAAGGGCCTCAGCGCGCATGGAATAGAGATAAATCGGGCAGAGCGCGTTGATATCAACAGGATATTCGTCGCATTGTTTTTCAAGAGGGCTGAGCAAGTGAGGGTAGAAGATGGGCCACATTAGTATGGCACGCGCCACACCGGCGAACGCTCGACCTACCTCCTCCTGATTTTATCTGACCGAGCTTCTTGGGCTTGTTGTGCGAGATTGCTCAAATGCATGCCTAGCTTGGAAACCGTCACCCACCTGATTCAATACTGGAAGAGACTGGAGGTCGTAACTGTGAGCCACCTGAATTCAGCTGAATTCGTCCAATGGTGACACGGATCTGTCACAAGGGGTGACACCTTTTTCGCCTGTTCCAGAATCTGCAAGGGTTTCTGCATTTTCCTTTGATCGTCACCCAATGGACCCTCACCGAAGACAAAGGAAATCGATGAGCCGGAAGCTCACAATCACTCGAGCCAAACGCAGCGGGGGTATGCTAGCACGAGGTCCTGGGGTTCAACGAACGTGAGACTCTGAAACACGACGCCATGCAGCAACAGAGGTCCTCGACCGCGCACATGAAGGTATCGTTGCGACCAGACATACCTTCATATGGAGTTCGAAGATATTCCAAATGATGGGTAATTGGGGTCAGTTGGTGACTCTGTGGCATGGACGATAACGCTCATCTCACACGATTCAGAACCACGGTAAGTTGTCCGTCTTTTCGCCCTGCGCTGTGGCAGGTGGTCGAGCGCAAGTACGATACGATGAAATGGGAGGCTAAAATACGGTATGAAGGTAAGCACACGGAATACAGCCGGTCTAAGGGTCTGGACTTTGACAGTGAAGGTCGCATAGGAACGAATGGAAGAAACCGAGCATAAGCGTGCGAAAAACACAGAATGAACCTTTTTCTCTTCTTCTTGGGTTGAGCTTACGTTGTCTCTCTTAGGCACAAAGGATTCAGAAGTGTTGTCTATTCGCCTAAAAGCGTATATATTCGTGCGCCGTGATGATCTACTCCTCCTCTGCTTCGTCTTTGATGAAAGAACATTCTTCTGTAGACTTGTGCTTTGCGTGGGGCCTGATCGCAGCGACATTCATGACTTGTCTTTGACAGTCATGGAGGAGTGCAGTCGCACATTTCGCCACATATGGCGATGTTTTCTCAGCCTGCATCTGCAATATCGTAAAATATGAAATAATCTGAGATCGCTCGGGCATTGGCGATCGTCACTGCTGAGGGCCCGACAGTCCGGACAGGGCGGTCACATCATGGCACTTCTTGGGGCTTCGCTTCTTTCAACTCCTCGTCGGAATATATATTGCTTGACCGCTGCATTCGAAATGGCTGACCACCCACCCGACTACTGCCCGTCATGTCTACTGTCCCCGTCACCCCTCCCGCCACCGAGAGCTGGCGCGGCGAGCACGAGAACATCATTCACCTCAACCTTCCCCAGTCCAACGTCTCTCGCTCTAGAAGACAAGTCCAAAGACCGTCCCTCGACATATCCCCCTCATTCGACTGCTCAGACCAGTCTTCCTCTCCTTCCTCTGTACCTTCTCCCGTTGCTGTTCAGAATTCTCAGCCTTTCGATGCCGATGATGCCTGGAATCTGATACCTTATCACGTCTCCTGGGGGCACGAATACGAGGAGTACCGTGCCGGCACACTTCCCGGCCCCGAGGGTAACTGCATATTCTTGCGATCTCCTACTCCACTGAAGAACCAGCGCGCGACGGAGGCGTGCAAGAAGTGCCGTGAGCGCAAGGCCAAGGTGCGTTTCGTCCCCTCTTGTTGTGTTTCATGTCGGACTTACAAGGAATGCTTTGATTGACCCTCTCCCGCGGCAACGTGTTTAGTGCTCTGGAACGCGTCCTGCGTGTTCTCGCTGCAGCTCGCGCGGATTCTCTTGCCAGTACGCATCCGAGCTCGAGCCTCAAAGCGCGCCCGTCAAGAGTCGCTGTCGCCGCCGTGACACTGCTGTCTCTTCCAAGTCTTCCATCTCCCGAGTCGACCCTGCTCGCATCGCTAGCGGACAATTCTCGCCTGATATGGTCGACTTCTCCATGGTTGGCGAACCTTCAGTCAAGCGCGAAGAGGTCGAGAATACATACGCCCTCGGTATACCCCTCAGCAGCTACTTTCCCTATTTCGCTCCTACGAGCCCAACGTCTATGTCTTTGGAGTCGTCGACGCCGTCGGAGGAGAGCGAGGAATGGAACTTCTCCGCACCCATTCATGCGCATACGTCCGAGTCTCCCTCCAGTGGCGAAGGCGACGAGCCGGTCATGTTGTCTTCCTACCCTCATGAAGTCTCTCCGTATTCCCGCGACAACTTCCATCACGACGACGTATCGCTCGCCCTTCTCAATTCGTCCATCATCGCGCCTCTACCCCGCCGGCACTCAGCTTCCACGTCGCTCCTTGCAGCCGATCACTCGCATCTTATTCCTTCCATTTATTCATCTCCCTTCGAGAACGTCGAGCCCAACCATAACGATATGATCGTCGCAGTCCCGTGCATTTCTTGGGACTCGCAAACACTTGTCCCGACATCGGAGGAACAATCGCTGGCACAGCAGTACGAGGTCCCCACTTCGTATCACCTTCCGTAAGTTCTTCGAATCTCACGACCGTTGGTCTGTCCATGTCTTTAACATCATTTATCTCTCGCAGATCCGACACGACGCAACACTCGACATTCTTCCCTTCTTACTCCGAGTCAGCCAATGCCTATGCCGGCAGACTGCCTCCATTTCAGTTACACGAGACCTCCATGGCCACTTATAGGCCAAGTACCGGCGTCCAGCCCACTTACGGCGGATCTTCGTTGGAGCCCGCGCCTTATGTCGAGTGGTCTCAGATCTCATAGGCTCCCACAAGTTATGCCGTCGCGGATCTCGTTGCGTCTTGATGTGTTTCGTATGTCCTGCACTCGACTTCGTTCTTGTCGTTCTGTTTCATCGTCTGCGCCATTGTTCTGCGCTCCATATTTCTTTCTTTTGTTCGCTTTGTAATGCTCTCGTTTTATGTCGCCACCTCGATTCTCTCCAAAGTTCTCTTCGCTACCACTTCTCACTAATCTTCTACTCTACACTCATCTTGCTTGTCGTCCGTTCCAAGGATCCCGCACACAATCAATTGTCTTCACCTGACTCTGTCCCTTTGATACTTTACTCGTACACAGAAGATCTCCCTGTTGAATCGGTATATCCTTCCAGATACATTCAAACACCTTCCCACTCGCACTCCCTTTCAGCTATCCACATTCATTCGCTATTGATCGTATCTTCTGAGATCTTCCCTTCATTATGGCCCACCCTTGTCCCACGCATACGCTATACACCCATATTTAGTCTCAAGGGGGGTATTCCGATTCCGTCACGATGATGGGATATTCAGTTTTCACTCTACCCGTCTCCCTTTGCTCTTCTCTCGCTTTTTCGGAATCACATGTTTCATGAGTAGACCTCTTTGCTCTGGTACCGACTAGTTTTGATGCTCTATTATACGGTACATGTCAGTAGTAATGTCGAAGGCGTCTCGCTCCGTATTATATCGTATTAGATACTATATCTTGTGGAAACCCCGTATGTGTATGTTGCCGTATATAAAATTTTGTATTACTCGCCCTTTACCTTCGGTCACGGTCTTGATCTCGCTGGCCCTCCTGACTTGGACTCGCTCGAGACCTCTCGCATCGGAAGACAGAAAGAACATCTCTACAACTCCTTCAAGAACCGTCTTACGCATGGGCGTACGGCGTATCTTATAATTTCTCCTTGTATGTAGCTCTTCTCATCTTATGCCCACGTACACACACGCTTCTTCCAATACTTCATAATGACTGGCCTACATACATCAATGGTCGCCTGTGAATGCCATTCATTTCGGTTCAATGGCTGCTTTGGGCCTAAGGTGCGTTACTTTGTCCCTAAAGGGGATACAATTATTCGAATGGATGTTCGCACAGTGCGTTTCGTTGTCCTCTTTAGGATTGAATGAGACATGTTGTCTCGCGTGAGTGTTCAACGAAAACGGAAATAAGGAGCGCAGCGACAAAGAGGCGCCCCGTTTCGGTCGCTCTTGTGCGATTGACTTACTGCTTTTGAAATACAAGCCATGCGTATTGACTCAAAATCCTGCTTGTACGCATATGGGGTCTCCTTTGCGTGAGCACTTTGCAATTCAAGCTCGTACTCTAACGTCGTCTGACATCCCTTGTGAAGTGTCATTGTCTGGAATGGAACGATAACGGCGAGAACGCATCTCCTGCACTGCATTCCAGGGTGACCGTGAACGCATCGGAAAGACGTATGATCGCACTAGTGCTTTTCTGAGGAGTCGCTACTTCATGAAGAGTACGCTGCACGCGCAGGTTGAGCCAGGTTGAGTAGGAGTCGAAGTTCACTTCGGTAGCTCCGGGTTCATTACCGGTGCAGTTGCCTCCATTCCTTGGCCCTCAGGTTCGGAAGTCGCACTGCGTCCGGGTAGAGAAGCAAGCAATTCGTTTCTTGTGCAGCGGTCGAGATTATGTGAGATTGCACAGCCCATGCCTGTCCTAAAGGAGTTCAGAAGAGACGATGATTATTGGAAGCCAACGCCACAAACGCCACAACTGTCCATTTGACTTGCAAAAGTACAGAGCGTCGGTGCGTCTTCGTGCGAACGCTTCCCTCTCTAGAGTCTGGACCTGTGGAAGCAGAAACGACATCAGTCAATCATGCTATTTTCTGTCTTCCCAAGGAATCGCTGAGATCAAAGAAGATCATGTATTGTTTTGAGAGGGGATACTATTCGGAGAGCTCGGGCCCTCTTTTCGACGGGTTTGAAGGCGTTGTCGTTGCGTTGTCGAGAACCTGCGCAATTGATGGTGATTGAGCGCCGAGCAGCGAGATGCTCGACGAGCGAGAATGAAGCGGACAACGTCGTACACCCAATACCTAAATGGAGAAACGGGTAAAGTATTTGTAGTACCCTGCTTTTGAATTGTCGGGGTTTGAACCGGCCGCAGGTTCGCAACCTAGTTAGAGGGATGTGGCGGTGGCCCACGCGGACTCATTCCGTAGTCGAAAGAGAGATTCTACGTCTCTGAACCGTGAAAGACTAAAGATACTTTCTTATCACGAATGAACCACCCATTTGTCGTCACGAAAAATTACTGACCTGCTCGTAGGGAATCCTGATGTGGCTGCCAGTGGTGACTCAACTGCAGGTCAAGGATCCCTGATCCCTGATCGCCATGCCGTCCACAGGAGGTGATGTGTGCGACTCTGATTAGAATCAGTGGCGTTCTTTGCTGAATGTGGTATCATAGAAGGTTCTCACTTGACGTACTCCTCGGTCTGAATGCCTCGAAAAGCGTGGAAGGCTTTACCCTACTGGTTACCTCCAGGACTTCGTTAGTTCATGGGCACTCGAACATTCGAAACGCACGATGGTAGAAGGGGATCAATGGGGCCGGTGCTGCCACAAGTCCGCAAACTCGGGCTATTGTTATGCATCCATCAGTGCAGGTTCTCTAACCGCAACGGTATGTACTGATCCGGATAATTAAATGGCCGTGCGGAGCGCACGAATCACGACTCACCAATGGGCAGTCGAATGAGATACAAGATCGCCGAGGCTGCAAGAGGGAAACCAGGGTATTCTTATGCATTTTCCACGAGCGTCTTCTGCCGGCTCACGCTGCCACAATTGACGAGTTCGCACGGCAGTACTGTACTATTACTGGATGTTGTCGATCTTCAAGCGGCCATATTGCGACCAGCGTATGTGTGGATTTAATGTTCGGTCAAGCTAGCAATCGGTAACAACATCAGAACAGTATGTGTGAAAACTATGACATACCAAGGTAGTCTTAATACAACATGATGAATCGGGAAGGAAGAAGTCATTACTGGGCATTAGTCGGTCGTCGGACAAGTTATAATGCGACCCTCGAGTCCAGTAATTACGGTAGACTGCTTGTAACAGTCTCAAGGATCTGCGAATTACACCCTTGTGTGACATGTGGTCGTACCGAGCCCTACTTGCGTATTGATGACCGATAAAACGCACCAGAGTATTCTGGAATCAAAAAAGCAACCAGTTACGTCCTACGAGAAGCACAGCCATAGAGTCAGAACGGTGAAAGTAACTGCCGACTAGGCTTTTGTAGGCTTGAAGAGAGGGTCATCAGATACAACGATACTCTGAGACAAGGCCTCGTCTCGCACAAAAATAGTGAGACTGCAGTCTGACGGGGCGAATGGATACCTCCCAAGGGCTGCCTCTTACTGCTTCAGAAGATGAGAAATTGAATAGAAGTCGACGTCACGGTAAGGACCCTGCCGCGTGCGGACGGCGGTAAAATATTCTGTGGCTTGATGTAAACGATCCAATGAGGCAGCAATTTTTGATTCGATGCCACGGGGAATCACCCCATACGGAGCGTATCAGAGCCATCGCCAAATACAAATCCCAACAGCGGGAGCGTCGACCTGCGTCGACAGAAACTGTAAAGCAGAGTGCGTCGACAGAGACAGCAAAGCAAAGTCCTTGCTCTCGGACAAGAGCAGGAAAAAACATGGTCTATCTCGTGTGTAAACATCCCGGCGGCGGCGAGGTTGGACCCAGAAGAACTTCTGCAGGTGCAGGTGACAGGCGGCACGATGAACCGTACCCGTGCCTATAGAAGGTCATAACAGGGTATATGAACTTGACCAAATAATAGGCGCAGGGTCCCAATAGCTGATCGAACGTAGGTCTTGACGGCCTCAGGCAGGCAAGGAGAGCAGCAGACGTGTCTGACACGGTGTCTACTGCTTTGCTACTCGGGCTGAATATCAGCGTCACTCCTATTCAAGGTGCGCATGGATCTCCGTTGCATGAACCGATGAGACATTAGCAGGCCTCTAATAGAGGTCCATTACGTTCAAAGACTTGGATAGAAACTCTCACCGTTCGCATTCGTCGCACTGGAGGACACTAGGCACCAGTGATCATATTAGGAACGTACAATATATGTGTCTGTTTTTCTTTATGTACAAATTACGCGCCTTTTGAAAGTGTTGCCACCGCGGCGACCAGTCCTGACGGAAGATATGTGGTCAGAAATATAGCGAGCGTTCTGACAGGGCCACCAGTCCCGAGACAAGCATGGAAGTGACAAGCCTTGAGCTGATGCCCTCCAGAACATGCCATGCATCGATTTCGCACCATATCCTTTCCTTCTCCTATCCACATGTATATGAATTCTCTGGTTGTCCGGTGTCGTTCAGTTCAACGAAGTCTTTTGATAGAGAAAGAAGTAAGTACTCGCAAGACGCCGCCGGTGTCGGAGGTACGACAAGACCACCACGCGACTCGCGCCGCACGGAAGAGCGCGACGGAGGCAACAGAAGGTGTAAGAAAAGAAGCGGCGCCGGAATTGGAAATTGTAGTTTACCTTATCCGCCGTTTAGAAGCAAGAGAAATTGGATTTTGATGGAAGATGTTCTCAAGCGGCAGCAGGAGCCTGGTCCAGTAAGCAAGATTGGGTTGGGTTAAGGATCTGGGGAGATCTATAGTTCTTGGAAGCGAAGCATGCTTTGGAAATCAACAGCGGGGAACTGAAGAACCTCAGGGAAGAGTGATCAGGATAAGCGACCTCGTGGTCTCGACCTGTCTCGACGTCGCCGAGTTGTGGAGGTGTCTTACACAGCGCGCTTTGAGGAAGCAAATGCAGTTACTCCGATGATCCTTGTTTTGGGCTACTTGTGTTTCTAGTGAGGGCAAATTAGACAAGTCTTCCTGTAGTACACAGGCCTCTATTTCGCGCTTCACTCATCGTTGTCAGTCCCGCGAATAACCGAGCACTCAATGCTGTAACGGCATGAGGATAACTTCGCTAATGAGGCCACGTCAGAAACGTGTTTCGGTGGAAGAAGTACCACGAGTACGTAGGCGAGTATGTACGTTCATACAGTATACATTCTCGAATGGTGTTTTGGTCTGGTCAGTTTGGCAAGCATACTTGGTGTGTCCTTGCTGAGATGACAACTTCGAGCAGCGACAGAATACTTTGGATAAAGCATATGTTCAGTATCGAAGGACTGAGTTTGAAGGAGGCTGCGAGAATACCACGGATAGCGGGCCCCCGTGCTCGAATAAGCGAACTTGGTTGCCTCACGGATTCCAGGGCGCCGTTTTGGCAGCGCTCAGGCACGCCACTTATGGTGGCCCTACAGACCATGGGTGAGAACATGAGCAAGAGGTATGTTGGCGGTATGACCCAACTCCAGTAGTTTATGTCCCGAACATATCCCCGTGCAGGATTGGTGAACCTGCACCACACTGAGCGTGCGCAGGAAAACCCGGAGATATAGGCATAGGTCAAGCAAACGTGAAACCCAGCTTTTTAGAGCTCGAGATCACCGCCCTGGTTCCGAACTTCTGTTAATACAGAGAGCGGAGAACGAGAACCTCGGAGAACACGGCATCGCAAGGCATGACACGAGATCGTGATGTTCGGTAGCATTGGCGGAAGCGGAGCGCGAACATGAGGATATGAACATGCGCACTTAGGTACCTCGCAAAGCGCAACGGGTGCTCCGAATTTCGTTTTCGCGAAACACAGAATTGCAAGGCCACATACATTGCCTGTGCGACGGATGGCTTCGCGCGAGCACCCGGTGAGACTGTAGTTGTTTCAACATAAACACTTCAGACTACCGAGAGGCTGCAACACCAGGGTACTTTAAATTATACGCACGAAGCAGCCGCATGATGCACGCGGGATGCCCTAATAGTCATCCGCTGCGGGACCAGAGTAACAGGGTTACTACAACCGAAACGCCTTGGGTGACCAAGCATGGATACGAACGTGAACGGGCGAATGATAAAAAGGTCACGAACTTCATTTGTCCACTTCAAAGCGCAACATGCTGAGGAATTTCGTCCAGTACATGTCTATTGTAATAAAGGTGTGGTGCCACACGTGGATCGAGCGGCATATAATAATGGGTTAATGGGACATCGATCCACGAGAAAAATAATGCACTCCCATTTGAGAGATTGCCATCCACATCAAGTGCAGGAGGACTCGTGTGGGTTCACTCGAGATCTCCGACTTTCCGGGTGTCGGAAATTAAGGAGACGCTTTGAAACGAGGACACGGCCGGGAGCAAGCGGTGAAGTCCTAAGCATATCGTCTTCATAACTCAACCACTCTGCGAGAAGGATGTGTGCTGAACAGTACCTCGTTACGCACGACGGCCGCAAGGGGCTACATGCATCGGGGCTGAGGTGATCGACATTCGTCCTAGCCACATCCACGGGAGACGGAGCCACGCGAACGACGGATGATCTGCTCGTATGTGGTCATAGAATTGATTTGTGTTTTCAGACAGAGTGGTCTTCCGTCATGCGAGGCAGCTGGGTACTGCTGGATGCCAATGATCGTTGCTTTGATGGGAACTATGATAAGCTTAAGCCACGGAACGTCAACATGTAGCATGTCAAGACGTACAACAAAGGACCGGCCTGTCAAAGCCATGCTTCCAGCAAACGGAGACAAAACAGTCCATTGAGTGGGTTTTGAGCATGCCCCACAAATCCCGACGGAAGGATCTCAAGGTTCAAGAATATCAAGAAACCTGTCACTTGTGGCGTATAATGTTGTACTTCAAACTCAATCAAGCGAGGTCAGAAAGTGTAACAGGAAGTGAATTCTGCGACGCCACCGCTTGTGTTCTGGGCGTCCTCGGTATGAGGACCTGAACCAGGGCCTTGAGGGCTTTACGGTGGCCATATGTCGGCCGCCGATGCTGACCGCACACGAGGTAGGTTTCTGTTAGAGCGGAAGAGAGTGGAAGACGTTATTTGGGATTGAGGTAGTCCAAAAGAAGGGGACAAAACAGCTACCGCAGTCGATTGTATAGTTCTGCGTTCTCCCGGTAGCGAAACATACCGCCCATAAGTGCCGTACGAGAGTGTGCATATGCAAAGCCTAGCAACTGCCTACACAGATCATCTGCATGCTCCTATAAATGCTGCGAAATTCCAATAATAAACCTCACCCACTATTTTCGAACTTGCTTTGACGAAGCGACGCGTGGTTATGGCTCAGGAGTTCCGAGCTCGGCAAGTATCGGAGCCTGCTCCGTACATGGAGACTAGTTGTCCGAGGAAGAGCACTAGATAGACAGCATCTCGTTCAGTAGCTAGAGTATTCGGAAAACTAGCAAGTAAGGAGCATACCGTATTAATCAGAGCGCTATGAGCGTGTTATTTGGAATTTCAGGCGTGCGGTCGAGAGTCAAGCGGAACATAGAGTCAAGTACCATCTCGATGTGACAGCCCCAAGACAAGAGGCTCAAGTAGACCTGAATGGAATATCTACTGGGATCAGTCAGTCATAGAGCTCGACGAGCACACTGTCGATGAACGGAGACGGTAGAATCTGCAGGAGAAACAATCATCTGTGATATAACAACGCCGTTGTCTTAGGCTTCATCAGGCTGTTGGAAACCTAATATGCAGCGTGATTTAGCAGATCATGCGTCAGAAAGATGCAGAAGGGCCCTCACAATTACTCCGGGATACAGAATACGGAGGCTATGGCCTGGTGCGAAATAAAGCCAAAGTCCTGATACCAGATGTGTACGATTCAATCTAGACTTTGACTGCTAAAGCTTGTTGGCGGTACGTACAGATAAGGGCATGAATTTGTGCTGGTATAAGTCAACGATTTGCTGGTCCCTGGCCTTGAAGGGATGATACCGAGCCAAAATGACATACAATCGAGGGTGTTCACTGGGAATATTCTGGATGGACACGGAGAGACTAAGCCGTCGCGTTCGTGAGGGTGAAGGGCAATGAAACACTTACACCTTTTCCAGTCGTTGTAAACCTGCATGATTAGGCCCAGTCGATGACGACCTTACGACCCTGATGTGGGACCTTGATGATCATCGTCAAACGACATGGACATTCAGAGATTCACGTACATGAAATCGACGCCACTAACGACTTCGCAGTCCTATGGACCAAACACAGTAAGGCGAATAGATGCCTGACCTCCGACGAGATGCTGTCGCATACGCCTTTGAAGGATCAGGACGGGTACCTCCGTCGTAGCCACAGGAAAGAGAGCACACCGCGAACACCGACGACGTGGTTGTTTTTGAGAAGTCGAAGCTGGTTCCAGACAATGTCGACCCACTTCTACGGGAGAAGAACAGGTTGATTGGTGGCGCGGCGAGGCGATGGGGACATCGAAGTTAGTCTTAAAGTGGCCCAGAGGGACTAGACTGAAGCCTATCTGTTTAGTGGCAACACCGGGAGTTCTGGGAAGGAAGACTATCAGCGAATGATACTGAGGCAAAATTAGACATGATCGAGGATGTTCAGTGGTAATATTCTGGATGGACACGGAGAGATTAAGCCGCCACGTCCTCGAGGGTGAAGGGCAACGGAACGCTCACATCTTATCCAGTGTTCCCAAACTTGCATGAATTGAGACCAGTGGATGGTGCTTCTACGCGTCTAATGTGGAATCTTGATAATCATCGTTGATGAACTTGGACATGGACGTTCTGGAATTCACGTACATGATGTCGACGCCACCAACGTCGCCGTTCCATCGACCAAACACAAGACGAATACATATGTAACCTTCGGCGAGATGCTGACGCATATGCCTTTGTACTTACGGCGAAGGTAACTGTCCTGATTCTCCAAAGGAAAGAGTACACCGAGAAGACCGACACTGTGGTTGTTTTCGAGAAGTCGAAGTTAGCACCGGACAATGTCGACCCACTTCTAGGGGACGACGGAAAAGTTGACTGGTGGCGCGGCGAGGCAAAATGATTGCATGACAACTACCCGTCCAATGCGAGGATGTAGACAGAAAGCGATCGTTACGGCTTGTTGGTTTCCTTGACAAAAGACCGATATTAGCGTCGAGAAGGGGTGGCCAAGTAAAGACTTGAAGGGAGAAAGGTTTCTAAGAATACGACACCTCTGCTAGCCTGTGGCACAAGAAGTAAGTATCCGTGCGGTTGGAAGGGACCAATGTGGATGAGATAATACAAGGAAAAGGAGGGAGTCGAGGACTTACTTGTGCAAAACATGGATTGTTAGGCCGTCGTCTATACGTTCTGTGAGGGTGTTGTGAGTATGATTATCGGCAGAGGAGCACTGAGACCACGCTTGACGGTATGTGTGCGCGAATGGTACTTGCTCGATCGCCACAACCGTATGCAGGTTAAAGTTTGGTCGTAAAGAGCGCTTCGACGGAAGCCACAGGGAAACAGTCGATGTCAGGCTCTAATCTGTCCTCATGTTAAGAAGCGAAAACCACAAGATACAGCCAGTGCTGTGCCCGAACGGCTGCCAATAAACTTAGCCAAGCGTAGAGGTGCCATGATGAGTTCTTTGAGCAGCACATGTCCGGCGGTTCAAATCGGCCAGTGGGTCAGACGGAGGAAAAAAACCATACAAGATCGATTCGACGAAAGTCCTTCCGGGACAAGGGTAATACGTGTTGTAATAAATCTGCAAAATGAAGGGGAGAAAGATAAGTGAGCCGAACAAGATACGCTGACATTGACGACGAAATACGATGGCCAACGAAGTAGTAAAAATAAACTCACAAATCAAGAATACACAAATCCACCAGTCGATACAACCATCCCACTATCCTCCATATCTACCAAACGCTCTGGTTCCCCATCCCCGCACTCGGTATGCTCTGCGGCATGACCGTACTCCTCGGTGCACCCGCCCCGATCTCACCCGCCGCAGCGCCTCTCGCATTCGCGGCGGCAGCGAAAGCGTCAGAGTCCTTTCGATACTCGATCTTTTCGACGCGGACTTCGCCGTCGATGAGTTGGTAGACGTAGGTTACGACGACTGGGCCTTGGATGTCCATGAGGGCGAAGGAGGGTATCGGATCGCTATTGATGTAATGGTAAGAATAGGTGTTGATAGGACTAGCTTGGTCCAGTGAAGGGAAATCGTGGAAGGAGGAGCGACGTACCCAGTGAATGCACCAGACCAAGCCCCTGTTGCGGAGCCCGGGTTGACAAAGAAGTGGCCATCATATTCGATGGCTTGGAATCTTCGTAAATTATATGGCTTTCAATTAGAGACGGATGGTCATATCTCGAAACGAAGAACGACGCACGTATGTGTGTGTCCCGAGATGAGAACGTCAACGTCCATTTGCCTGGCTATCGAGCTTAAAGAATCGAGGTCGCCCGTGGGTATACATTGATGGCCGTGAATGACGCCAATCTTTATCGGCGAGTGTGTGACTGTTATCGACATTGGGAACGACGCGCTCTGTTCAGATTGCACCGTAATAAATTCAACAGTTATTCATTATCATCAGCTCTCAGTCAAAGCGCCACCCGAGCGACCACAGACAAGCCCAGACATTGAGACATACCTCATCATAGTCTCCTCGTACAACATGCACATCTGCCGCGACTGTCCTCAGATATTCGTATGTCTCCCTGTCACATACATTGCCCGTGCATAGTATTTGTTGGATTTTTCCCGGGACCAGAAGTTTCTTGAATTTTGCGGGAAGGTCATGAATGCGGTGAGGGATGTGAAGGTCGCCAATGACAAGAACTAAGACCATGATGTATTCTGCGACGGATAAAGGTCGCTCGACGTTGTGTTGGACGGCGTCGGCGAATGTTAGAGACGAGTACGGGCGCTTGTTGGTACGGCGCCTCGTAGCACGCGCCCGGGCCGAGGCCGAGCCGTGACGCGTCGACTGTTCGCGTCTCCAATTTCCAATCAATGTCATTCTCGCGCTTGTCCAGCTCATCACAAACAACCATAGTGCTTTCCTACCTTTGCTCATCTTGCCCTCAATACTTGTGCTAGATAGTACTCATGGCTCACAGCTTAGCAGCAGAATGCACTCCGCTCAAAATCGAATATGACTCGTGCTTTAACTCTTGGTTCGAAGGCTACCTCGAGCCCGCCGTCTCAGCGTCCGCCACACCTGACCAGAGAGCCAAATATTCGAAACAGAAGGCGGAAGAATATGAGAACAAGTGCGGGAAGATATGGTCGAGTTATCGGGAATGCGTACAGGTTCGTCGGTTGGTTCTCGTTCCTGATGCTCTTGGAGCTTCGTCTCGTCGGTAGAAGGTTTGGGATGGTTGGGCGCAAGACCGCATTGCCCGAATGCAATGGATATTGAACTCCGACACGGGACACCGACGATCTTTCCATTCCTTTTGTTTTACGTGTCTTGTGTCTGTTCGCTTTCTGATATTACATTTTATGCTCTACAAATGCCCTCGAACTCAAACTTTCCGTCCCTGCGTCTTTCTATCCAAATTGCACAGAAAGCCGTAAAAGACAAAGGCCTGAACGACCTTCTAGACGAGGCGCGGAAAGAGAACCCCCTCAAAGAACCGCCGTCCAATCCGTCTTCGTCGACGTCGTCTCTGGAAGGATCTGCGCGCTCGTCCGCATCACGGCCATGACATTGGTTGTGGACAGGGAAGGTGCGGCGGGTGTATACTATTGTTATCGTGAGTTGCACCGTTTAATGATCGCGGACGACGTAATGCTATTAGGGCTTGAGCTGACTGACCTTTCGTATAGGTTTTCTAGCTTTGTTATTCACGCATATTCACATCCGGCTTTGTATCAAATCAATGCATCCTCTGCTCAACATTGACCCTTTGTTCGACCGATCGTGAGTTAGGACTGCCCTGGCCTCTTCTCGTCGCTTTATTTCGCATTCCTTGCGGTCAGGTCGTCACTGGTGTGGTGTTCTTGGGCCACAAGATAGGAGTTCTTTCTTCGAATGCAGGTCGGCGTTCTGGCCATCCCCTATCTAATATGAAGCACCAACGGCATTCCGATGCGCAAAGGAACGCGAAGGTCGGCGACGATTTCAGGTCTGTCTTGAGCCATGATCTTCTCATATTACGCGCCTCGAGGCTCGCAGTAGTAGCGCTTCTCCAAACTTACTGAACGTATGTGATACCCATAGAGAAGTCTTTCCGGAACTCTAACTACAAAGGGGCTGGTGAAGTTGGCCAATCTGTGCCGCTGTTATTTCGACCGTTCGGCGCAGGAAATTCTAGTTGATGTCGGTTCGGAATGAGAACACGCGTGAGAAAATCGCCAGAGTGGCGCACAGTGCATCAACACGGACTACAACCTTTACCACCGTTCTTGCTCTTATTTATCTCTGGCAATCTTGGTAGCTCCAATTCCGGGAGTGTGAAGAATCTGTAGCTGGTAAGGAAAGTATCATAACACCAAAGGTGATCGACGCTTGGTTGGCGCAGCCGGTGAGCGCGCCAGTCGAAGGAGCCGCGCCGCCCACCACTGCGCGCCGTGGCGGGCGGCGAGGCGACGGGCCTACTTTTCGCGCAGCGAGGCTCCGGTAGCGCGTCGAAGACCTTATCTCGATGCCCGCGCAGCGGCGGGGGTTGGTCGTCGCGGCCGACGCCGCCAACTCTTCAGTCCTCGTATCCATTAACGACGTCGATGTATGCTACTATAAACAATAAATTCGATTTCCCCCCTTTACTTATGCCACTGTCGTTCAAGCTCGAAATGACGGACATCTTCTCCGGGATTCAAACACGCGGTCACATCCACCACATCGGGCATCCCTGTACCAAGATGTTTAGCCATTCCCTCTTCCGACGAGGCTCACTCTAATCAAGCAGCACGACCACCATTTATGGACAGTCGTGCCGAGCAGCAGGTTTTCTTTACTGCAATGAACGTCAAGCCGGTGGGATTTATACGTACAGTGATAGTCCCACTGCATCCGGCATTACGCCACTGACTTCCGACCCAAGATTTACGCATCGAATAGATACCACTCATGCTTGGTTGGCGCAGTTGGTAGCGCGCAGGTCTCATACCGCGTTATGAGGGAGTGATTACTCTTGAAATCCTGAGGTCGTCGGGTCAAAGCCGACACTGAGCAATCACTTTTTCGAAAGCGACGAGGATTTGGACATGTTTCATTTTTATTTTTATTTTCATCTTTTAGGCGTGAAAAGAGGTGGAGATGCCCCGAACCAGGATCGAACGCGCGAAATAGATCGAGGTCGTCGGGTCCTTCCTTCCTTCCGAGCAACCATTTTTGGCTAGGCAGCGGCACAACTCTGAAGCAAGCCCATCGAGGCTCCGAGTATGGATGAAACGACAGAGAGAGCATCCCGGACAAGTCTGTCGGTGCGTGAATCAGTGGCGAGCTGTCACATTCTGCCACGCATTCCGGAGTGATTCGTTTTTTCCCCTAAATAAATCTACACATTTATATAGCGCCAGAAAGAGCCAGGGGCGCTGCGTATGCATTCGAGTACAAGTACATACAGGTTGTGAAGAGCAGATAAAACCTATCCGTTAACAATACCGATGTCCACATTGTGTACTCCAGGAGAGATTTCAACATCATTCAATTAGGCGAGGATACGGAAGCACAGATCTGTCCTCGCCCTGTCGTCTACCCTTGTCTATGCCGACCTACAGCTCCCGGCCGGTCTTGTTTTTCTTACAGGTCTTGCTACGATGTTAAAACTCTGACACACCTGCGACCAACAGTCATTATAAGACGCTTGTCTGTTACTTTTTGCATTCAGAATGCCATCGGGCCAAGACAGACACCGAGCATTACTCATTTTGGACGCTGCTGGGGCAGAGCGCGTCGTACTATCTTACTTTTTTTGCGTGAGGTTCATGCGATATAAGCGTGGTGGATCGTGGACTGGGGGTTACATTGAGCAAGACAGGAGATAGAGGATGTCATACATGTACTGTACGGAATATAGACCAAAAAGGAACAAGTGTTACTTTGAGTCTATGTTTGGTGACGGACACAACATAAAGAGGTGGATATGTGGTCAATTGGATCGTTGACGAGGCGAATGACATGTATAGGGGGCTAAGGTAAGTGGGCAACGTCCAACGAAAGTGTTCGAGACTCCAGACGTGGAATCGCACTGGGAGTTGGGTAGGTGCCATAAATACGTCCACAGAAAAAGCAAGACAAGACCTAAATGTGAGAAAACGAAACGAAAACAACAAACGACAGACGTGAGCAAATTTTTCGCAGACGCGGCCTCTCAAGAAAATCACTCGAACAGCATTCACCATCCCACCAACGTCCTACAACCGATTCCCAGAATACGCAGGCGGGACCTCCACAATCTCCGGCGGCTCCTCCTGAAACCTCGACCCGACGTCCGACGCATCTGTGTGCTGAAGTACCGTCACCGCCCTTGGCGGAACGGGTAACTTCCTTGACGTCGGCGGCGGCGCATTTCCACCTACCGTTCCTCCAACACCACTTCCACTTCCACCAGTACCACCAAACCCACGTCCGTCCCTCGTAGGCGATCCAAGATCCGCTACGGCACCCTCTCCATGCCTCGACTCCCTGTTATATTCCGAGCTCGAAGTCGTAGTTCCAGGACCAGAATTGTACGAGATGGACTGTGAACGGGCGTTTGAAGTGTGAGTGTACGGTTCCGAAGATGGTATATAGCCCAACTCCGCCGTCATCCCCGGCCCCGGCCTATCGCCGTAATCCCTCATTACAACGAAGCTATGTTGCCCGTTCGGTGGAGACCCAGGAGGAGAATAGAACGGGACGGCGTTATAGTTGTAGTTATAGTTTGAACCGTGGCCCATAGAAAGGGTATGATTAGCTTCGGACATTGGAGATGTGAGGCCCAAATCAACGGGGCCGCTGTATTGAGGTTTGTTGTTCTGGGAGCGGAGGCGCGAGCGCCGGATGAAGAAGAATATAGCGCCAAAGAGGAGGGCGATGCCTACAACGCCGCCCACGACGCCACCTGAATGGTCGGTGTAAAGGATAAATGGTAGGTTAGCACTCGGTTTGGAACGATGCCAAGAAATCAGAGGATGTGGAGGCGCTACACAAAGAGGGAGAGAACGGACCTGCGATAGCACCTGTGTGTGAGTTTTTATCGCTAGAGTAAGACGAAGGACATCAGTCGCCGCTCACATTGCCACCTCCGTAACCAAAACATAACATTTCGCCAATTCAATAGCCTGATGAATTACTCACGATCCAGGCAAAGAAGTAGACAAGTATGCTCCAGGATTTCCCCCCGCGGGCGTCCCGCCCGTCGCACTAGGCATATTCGGATAACAATTCGTATTGGTAGGAACTGTCGGGGGGCTAACTTTGAAGTCGACGTTACCACCAGAGCCTGTATAGTTCTGGTCGCCTGCGATGACGATGAGGTCTGTGCCGGGGTTGACGGGGACTGTCCAGTCGAAACCGGTGATGCCATTGCCGTAGCCTGTGTCGTTGTGGAAGGTGCTTGAGTAGCTGATGTTCCAGCTTATGCCGTTGGGAATGACGCCGATGAAGTTGGGGGTACTGGAGAGCCGATGTTAGCGAGATCCACATAGGCTCCGAGTCTGGGTAGAATGGAGGGAGGAGATGATGAAGGAGACTGACCCGGTGATATTAGGATTGGAGGCATTCCAATAGACCTCAGTGACCTCGCACGAATTGATCCCATTCGACGGATAGATGTAAAAGTACGGCCAAGCAGGATGAAATGTTGTCTTCGAATCAAAGCACGAATTGTCTGTCGAGGGCTTCACCGTCCACACCCCACTCGTGCCTCCAGAAGCGAACCCACTCTGATCGGATACCTAGGCGCCGAATCGGTCGATCACTTTTTTGTGAAGAGTAGTCAGACACAAAGCGTAACGCAGACTCACCACCGCTACGAACTGCGAATTCGCTGGGTACCTCATCTGAAACTCCAGGTTTTCGCTCGTCGTATTGAAGTGAATAGTCTCCACTCGACGGACCTCGACGTTATCCGCCAACGGTGTCGCTCCATAGGGCATGAGAAGCAAGCTATACGGAGGCTGGCCATCTGTGCCCGAGACCGACACAGAGAGTGTACCACACTGACTCGGCGCATTGTTGATCGTCCAATCGTACGCCCCGACAAGAGAGAACAGAAGGTAAGGAATGAGAGCAAATGGCCAAGGTGGGCGCACCATTGCGGCAGGGAAGGACGGGGAGTGAAGAGGAAGTGGACGAGGGCGGGGGAAGGGTAGAAGTCACCTCGAGGCGATGCAGACTAGCGTTGATGAAAGGCACGGGTTGGGTTTGCGCCCAGCAGGCAACGACACTGTTTACGTCGATCGAAGCGAGCGGGAGGAGATAATCAGTATACAATTTCCCGTAGAGGTTATGTATTGCAACGCTATTGCGGCTTTTGCGGAAAATGGTGCATAACGTATCCGTCTATACAGCAGTGTGGCTTTACTTCGACTTTGTTGTCGGCGCACACTCCGCCGATCGTGCACAAGGACGCCGAAGCACCCTTCATTACTCCAATCTGCTAATTTTGCGAGCGTTGTCGCTACGAGAGACGGCGGCGGCGCACGGAGAAAGCAAAACCCTCCGAAGGTGCAGTCCATCAAAGGATCACCACGGGCCTGAACGGCAGTGAATTGACCTGTGCGACAGAAGGAGCGCTAAGAGGGCGCTAACCTTCTGAAACGCATCAGCAGGGTTGCACGGCGATCTTCTCCTCCTCTCCTCTGTCTGCAAAAAGCGTCGGGTATGCATCGGTTCGGCCCAACGCCAAGTCCGTGACGTAGAACCGTGTACAACGTCCCACACAAGAGAAGACTGAGGTCTAGGAGACCCAAGAGAAGAGCATCAGTGAAGGAGTTTGTGGCCGATTTACTCGGTTTGCAACCATGTTTCGATGTCGTGGGGCCAATGCGGGAATGGCGGGCGCAATGCACCGAGAGAGACGTAAATGCTCTGTGGCGCCTCCCCAGAGCTCGTAAGGTATTGTGAGTGTGGAGAGAGTATTTACTGTGGATGGAGATAACAAATACATGAGGCTAATCATCTCATAGACACCTAGGGTCACGGAGCGGAAGCTCGAGAGGACGAGGAATACTCCTGTCAGATTACTGTATTAAGTGTTAGTTCGGGTTGATTAATAGGTAGAATTTGTTCATTCAGTTTTGAAAACTAAAAACATGGAGGCAAAAGAGGATCTTACCGCGCCAAGGACGATAGACGGTGCAAGGAGGTTGCAGGACGAGCGCGAGTGAGTGAAAAAAAATGAAAGAAGGTGCCACGTCGCCACTTAGACTATGGTCACGAGACCATGTTGCGGCATTAGGGGTTTTATGATACGGCCCCAGAGCTCATTTCTGTCTGGCCAGAGAATGCTCCACCTCGAGCGCCGGCCCCGCATATGATGAAAGCAGCAGCAGTCGGCGTATTCCGCCTCGAGCTCTCGGATGCTGCTGAAGGTGCTACAGCACATATTCTCTTCAAGTGACTTCAGGTCAGGCTTTGGAAGATGATTAGACAGGATCCCGAGAGTTGTACAAGAAGAGACGGCAATAAATAAAGAGCGGACAACACACGCTCGATACAGAGGCGGCGCGAAGTCTCTCGTGGGAGATTTGGAACTGGGAGCCACCTCGATCTCTGGGCTCATAAAACTCTGTCCCCAGCTCTTCGAAGCGCCCGTATCATAAAACCCCTATTCAGGCGGAGTCCAAAGCTCACAAATCGTCGCCACCACGGCACCACCTCGAACATTGACACAAACTTCTGCTTTGACTGTCATCATCCCGCACCGCCCTCGCCTGAAGTGCTCAATAAACTTTCTACGCTGCCAATTTCTCTAGTACAAAGGCAGTTTTTGGCTCAAAATGGTGAGGAATATCACCATACAGCCAGCTTCGTCGTATTTGCCGCTTTCCCTTCGAGCGGCGCTCTTCTCACCACGTTCGCGCTCCTAACAAACACGTACAGAATCCAAGGCAAGACAAAGGCTTTGGCCGTGGCTTGAAGATGTTTATGTGTAGTTCTGATATCACCTTGTAAGTGGGATAAGGTACATAAACGCAAAGGCCTGGCGAGCATCAGGAGACTGATTACAGCGATGCGACGGCTGTGGCCCCTCTAAAGGAGAGTTGGCTCCACCATGGTGTAGCCAGGTTCTTCCGAGGAGACAATGAGAGTGATAGGTATATTCGCGATATCAACTGATACCACACCATACTTTTTAGAGTACAGTCCTTCAGATCCTGGTGTTGCCAATGTTGACATGCACTGCCTTGACGTTTGTGTAGCTGACGGAGGAAAGTATTGGCCGACGATTAAGTCAAAGGTGACAAAAGAGAAGACATACTGGCTGAGGGCATACTCCCCAAGATCACGTCCATTTCCAGATTGCTTATAGCCCCCGAGAGGAATGGCCGCATTCACCTCAGAGGCGGAATTAATCTAGATAACCCATCCCGACAGCACAAGAAATATCGCAAACTCAGCTCCCGACGGCGACTCAGAGGTTAGCCTGAACACTGTGCTTACCCAAACGGTCCCCGCTCTTAATCTGTGCGCCACATCCAACGCTCTCGAAACATCCTGCGTAAAGACCGCTGCTGCCAACCCATACACTGTGTCATTTGCTTGCCTTACCACGTCATCTTCATCCTCAAATTTGATGATGACAGCGACCGGACCGAATATTTCTTCCTTGACGATCTTCATATCCGGCCTGACGTTGGTGAAGATGGTTGGCTGGATCCAGTAGCCCAAGTCGCCGTGTCGCTCGCCACCTTGGTGAACTGTGGCGCCATCGGCCTTGCCGGAGGCGATGTAACCCATGACGCGCTGTGCACAGAGAGAATTGCGAGACGTTTAGTATAAGAAGGGAGAATGAAAATTGGAGTGAAGGAAGAGAAGTACGTCGTAATGCTCTTTCGACACCACGGGGCCCTGATAGGCGTCTGCGTCGAAGGGATCTCCTAGTTTGAGTGACCGAGTCTTTTCGGTAAATCGCTTGAGAAACTCGTCGTAGATTCCTGACTGGACAAATATCCTGGAACCAGCCATGCAAACCTGACCTGAACTCCAGCTTCCCGCCCAACGTAATATATCAGAATCCAGAGCTAATCGTCGATGAAGGAAAGGGGACAAAAAACACCCACAAGATTCCATGGGAACTCCACCCAACTGCCAACTCCAGATCCGCATCGTTGAGGATTACGTTCGGACTCTTCCCTCCGAGCTCTAACGTCACATCTTTCAAGTTACTCTTCGCCGCACACTCCATGATTCTCCTCCCGACTCTCGTCGAGCCTGTGAAAGCCACCTTCTCGATACCCATGTGCAGAGATATGGCTTCGCCGACCGTAGGTCCCGTCCCGACAACGACGTTGAATACGCCCGATGGAAAGCCGGCAGTTCGTATAAGAGAGGCGAGGTACAAAGCGGAGAGCGGGGTGAATTCTGATGGTTTGAAGACTATGGTATTGCCGCAGGCAAGCGCGGGCGCGATTTTTATGCACATAAGGAGTACTACGGCCAACCAATCGCAGCGTGGCGTGAGCAATGCTTTCAGGTGGAATAAGAGTCGTCCGGATGCAAAAAGACTCACGAGGGAAGTTCCAGGCTACGATTTGCCCAACTACTCCGATAGGCTCGTGGCGGGTGTAGGCGAGCTTCCCCTTCGACGTCTCGATAGTCTTCCCCTGAATTTTGTCAGCCCAGCCTGCGTAGTATTTGATCGTATCGATGGCTATCGTAACGTCTCCATATTTTGCCCAATTGAAGGTCTTTCCTGCAGAGAAGTTGTTAGTGGCAGCGCGGTAACCGTGAAGTGGATGGTTCCGGTCGAGACCAACGAACCGTTGTCGAGTGCCTCTACGGCTGACAGCCTGTCGTGATGCTCCTCCATGAGTGTGGCGAGCTTATTGAGAAGTCTTGCACGAAGAGCGCCTGGAGCGTTGAGGCCCCATGTAGTGTCGAATGCTTTCTGGGCTGCTTCAACAGCAAGGTCTACGTCTTTGGTCGTTGCTTCTGAGACCTTGGCGATAATCTCGCCATTAGCTGGTAAACGAAGTAAGTGCAAGTGTTCAGAAAGAAAGAACGGGTGGGAAACTGACTAGGATTAATGACGCTGCATCGGAGGGATGAATGAGAATTAGATGTATTGGAGAGGAGGAAAAGAGAATATGTGCGCACTCGATGGTCGTATTGTTAGAACCTGCTATGAAATTGCCATCGATGAAGACGCCAGTAGGAAAGTCCACCTTGCCCTTGAAGACGGGCGTATCAAATTTGTAGGTGAAATTGTTCATGATCGTTCGGAGCGTTATGAAGAGAGGGTTATGGGTGAGAGTATGAAGGTTAGTCTATACGTGAGACGTCCTATATAACTTCGGTCTACCGGCGGTATGACACCAAGAAGTGCACAGTTTGAAGTCTCCATAGCAGCGGAACGACATTCCAGGGGAGGTTTCCTTGGCTCGCGATCGCACAGAGAGACATGATGGAGCCCAGGCTTGCTTGAACCAGCTAACGGTCCGCTAACAATGAGCGCTGATCGTCGCTGGGGTCACGAAGGGTGTTATATCATAGCGAGACAAGGGGCGAAGAGGCCTCCTATTCGAGCTCGCCTGGGTAGATCGGGTGACATATTTATTAGCTGCCTGAGGTGCAACATGCGAACAAGGGCGTGCGTCTGTGGCGAGGAAAATGTGACATTTATCGCGAAGGCCCTCATTCGCACGATCAGAGCAATAATCTCCACTGCATACTATCCAATACGCGATGGTCGAGCACCAGCAAAGGGACCAATGAATAGGGAACGGAAAGAAGGATAGGTGGTCGTTCAGTGTGCAGCTGCCATGTCCAAAAATTTCGGCGACGCGCGTAAGCGTGGGAGAACATCCACTACATATTTGCTTCCAGATTTGGTCGAGACGCAGATCATATCAACTTGCTGCAGACGCCAGCCTTCCCGACTACCTTTTCGGCGCACCCTCGACCAGCTTGCCTTAGACACTCCGAGATGAAGTTCTCGTTGCCCATGCACAACAGAATTGCGTTGCAGAGCTGAAATGATCGAGCCCGCCAGTCCTGGAACTGTCTCAAATTCAATTCATCGCGCCACATAATGTCTCACCGGCGCCACCCAACCCACACCGCCTCCAATCATTCTGAGACATATCTCAGACTGGCGGTCGCATCGAGGGCTGCGTTCACAGAGCGTAGCCACGCCCGAAGAGTATAAAGGCCAGTAAGGTTCGTCCACCAAAAAGTCCCATCACCTTTTTACATTTACCATCTCCTCTCCCGTTTTTTGAGCCGGGACGTGGGTGGGTAATCTGCCCCAGGCATGATCGCACCGTAACTACCGGCTCTACTTTTTAGTATACCCTTTTCACCTTCGTTCGTTCGGTTTCGGGTCGTGAATGGGTCGGTAATCTGCCCTAGGCATGATCCCACTTGTTCATGGCTCGATCCGCTCGTTCGAACCGGGCAGCGGGCGGATATTCTGTCTCCTCGAGGCAGCAATAGCACCACGCTGCACGATCTTTTCTTTCTTCCTAACGTTCGTTCCAAACTGTGGACGGGTGGGTAATCTGTCTCAGGCATGATCGCACCGAATAAGCAGTTTGGTTCGTTCGCCTTTTTCTTGAGCTGTGGACGGGTGGGTAATCTGCCTCAGGCATGATCGCACCGAATAAGCAGTTTCAACCTTTCCTTCTTGGTTCGTTCCAAGCTGTGGACGGGTGGGTAATCTGTCTCAGGCATGATCGCACCGAATAAACAGTTTGGTTCGGGCCACGGACAAGCCGTACAGCGTTGTTCGTTTCGGGTCGGGCGTGGGTGCCGGTGATCAGCCTCGCATCCACTCACTCCCGACTCACCCTTTTACCCCTCCCTCCTCTTTTTTCTCCTGGTATAGGGAGCACAGTTCAGTGCGAGCTTGCTCCCGGCGTCGGCCTCTCCGTGGCCCAGGAGACTAGTACCCTTCTCGGGGAAGCCAACAGACGCTCTTGTTTTGAGTATCTATATCTACAATATAATATTTTTGTTTGACATTCCGTGTTTTGAAGACCAGCGCGGGCACAAATCCGTGTGCTTCCCATGCGAATATAAGCAATCCAAATGCAACTCAAGTCATACGAATATACATCGCATATTCCTTCAGTAGCATCGACGGCATCCACTTTCCAAATTGTTCTGTACGATCGTAACTGACCGCAACATCTCATCAGATACCCGCATACGCACACAGCATCTCTCTCCAATTCGTCGTTCTCCCCCGGCTTCCCGGTGCTCAATCACAACAACTTTCAGGCCTCAGGCTTGGATTAGCCCGACGCGTTGGTTGGTAGAGGGAGGTGTGCGAGCCTAAGACTCGGACCTCGAATGAACACAGTAAGTAGGAACCGAAGTACTAAGGAGCGACGCCGCGGTTTCGGGCGGGCTGGACAAAGAGCCGATCAGTAACTTGAATCGTGAGGCTGACGCTCTCCGGCATGGGTCGTTTTGGAGATGCGTCTAACGCTCGTTGTTGCCACTAAACTGAGGACGATAAGTCTGAGATCCCAGTTTAATTTACTTACTCTGGCTCGGACATCCATCCTGGCCAGGAGTGAAGAACGACGGGACGACCTTGGCGGAGAATATTTTACTGCCAATATGCATGTGTGCGAAGTTGACCACTGGTACGCCCACTAAACCAATCATTCTTTCGGGGAAGAGTCTGCGATGGCTCCATGAAGGTGAGGATACTACTGGTGACCAAGTGTGGACGTCTTCGTCATATGAGGTTTGATCGTGGGCGCGAGACTTGAGCGTTGAGCACGGGAAACATAACATTCCCGAGAATATTCGAGCGACTCGATGATATGGTTGAATTGAGTCGCTGACGTTTCGCCTGTCAGGGCTACTGTGACGGCAATAGGTTCAGATACACATGTCAACGAGGTTGAGTAATTATACAGTAATTATACACTTCGAGAGACGAGAATCAGAGTGCACTCAGGTGTATGATCCAAGTACGCTCACTTAGATGCGGGTATTGCCAATGTTGACGTGCACTGCCTTGACGTTCGTGTAACTAATGACGGGTAAGAAAATCGTGTGTCAGAAAAGTCCTAGGCGACAGGATACATCTGGAAGACCTACTGGCTGAGAGCGTATTCCCCGAGATCTCGTCCAATGCCTGATTGTTTGTAACCGCCAAACGGAATGGCCGCATTCACTTCGAGCGCGGAATTGATCTAAACATTCCGAATGCGCCATATAGACACGTAAGCCAACTCTCGACCACACTCACAAAGCAAACAATATAGATAAATACTCACCCACACTGTCCCCGCCTTCAACCTTTCAGACACATCCATCGCCCTCGAGATGTCCTGCGTGAAGATCGCCGCTGCCAGCCCATACACCGTATCGTTCGCCTGCCTGACCACATCGTCTTCGTCTTCGAATCTGATGACGACACCGACTGGGCCAAAGATCTCTTCCTTGACGATCTTCATGTCCGGCTTCACGTCGGTAAAGATGGTCGGTTGGATCCAGTAGCCAGCGTCGCCGTGTCGCTCGCCACCTTGATAAACTGTAGCACCATCGGCCTTGCCGGAGGCAATATAGCCCATGACTCGCTGTTATCAAGAAGCGCGAGATCGAATGAATAGTCTAATGGGAGAGAGTATAGGGAAAGAATGGGAAAGAACCGTACATCATAATGCTCCTTGGACACCACAGGGCCCTGGTAAGCGTCCGTACTGAAGGGATCACCGAGTTTGAGCGACTGGGTTTTCTCCCTGAACAGTTTCAGGAATTTGTCGTAGATGCCGGACTGGACGTAGATACGAGAGCCAGCGGCGCAGGCTTGACCCGCACTCCAGCTGCCCAAGCATCGCCACGCATTAGCCTCCGTAATTAGCTAAGGGTGACGAAAAGGGATAAAGAAAGAACTCACAAGATACCATGCGAAGTCCATCCGACAGCCAACTCCACATCCGCGTCATTGAAGATTACGTTCGGACTCTTACCCCCAAGCTCCAGCGTCACGTTCTTCAAGTTACTCTTCGACGCGCATTCCATGATTCTTCTTCCTACTTTCGTCGAGCCCGTGAACGAAATCTTCTCGATGCCCATGTGTGAAGATATGGCTTCTCCGATGGTTGGGCCTGTACCGGTGACGACGTTCAGGACGCCCGGCGGGAATCCCGCGGCCTGGGTGAGGGATGCGAGATAGAGAGCAGAGAGAGGAGTAAATTCGGACGGCTTGAAGATGATGGTGTTGCCACATGCGAGGGCGGGGGCGATCTTCCAGCACATGAGGAGAACTAGAGATAGTCGGTCGCGGGATGGCATCAGCAACGATTCAATGCGAATCTAAAGGTATAAGGGGGTAAAAGGACAGACTTGGGAAGTTCCACGCCACGATTTGACCGACCACTCCGATAGGCTCGTGGCGGGTGTAGGCGAGCTTTCCCTTCGACGTCTCGATGGTCTTCCCCTGTATCTTGTCAGCCCAACCTGCGTAGTACTTGACCGTCTCGATGGCCATCGCGACGTCTCCGTATTTTGCCCAGTTGAAGGTCTTTCCTGCAGGGAAGTTCCGATCGTCAGTATAGAGAGGGGGAAGGAAAAAAGCATGGTAAAGAGAAACGAACCGTTGTTAACTGCCTCTACAGCGGACAACCTATCTTGATGTTCCTCCATAAGGCTAGCAAGTTTGTTGAGAAGTTTAGCACGAAGAGTACCTGGAGCGTGAAGGCCCCAAGTGGTATCGAACGCTTTCTGAGCCGCATCGACGGCCCGGTCTACGTCTTTGGGCGTCGCCTCGGCGACTTTGGCCATGATCTCGCCATTGGCTGGGCGATACGATTAGCACGAACTCATAAGATGAAGAGGGGAGCGATACTACTGACTAGGATTGATGATACTGTGATCAAAAGACGATATACATTAGATACGATGGAAGAGCGAAGAAGCAAAGCATGCGCGTACTTGATCGTCGTATTATCAGATCCTGCTGCGAACTTGCCATTGATATAGACTCCGGTCGGAAAATCCACCTTGCCTTTAAAGACGGGTGTGTCAAACTCGCGAGTGAAGCTGGTCATGATTGTCTGGTGGTTGTGGAGGGAGGGTGAAGGACGGCAAACATCTGCCTGCATGTGGGGCGACTTTATATACCCTCGGTCGAGCGGCGGAATGACACACGGAGAAGCACACCAGGCTTCGTAACAGCCCTGCACACAGTGACCTGTGAGCACCGTGAGGTCTTCTCTGCCGTTATCCTGAGGGAACCCAGCTACACACGTACCTTAGAATCTTGCCATGTCATCGGATTGTCGAGACGTGTTGCACACCATGAAACATCCACTAAATAAAAGGCACTCTGCCGCAGATTTTTATGTGGGGAGAAGATAAGTTGAAGGCGCTGCAAGGGGGGCATAACAGACGAAACCTCACGCCAGTGTGAAACATTGCAGATTAGGGGTTGTGGTTGACACGACTGCTACAGGTCAATCGACATGAGGCAGCTTCTGCCTGCGAAACGCATAAGCGCTTTGCGTCGTGCCTGCATCTGAAGGCGCACAATTGGAACAACAGGCTCAAGCCCGACGATCACCTGAGGTTCCAAGTACATAGAGAGTTTGGGGGTAAAGTAAACTCGGACGAATAACCACTCTCAAGTTCTATGGCGTTATTAGGGCTTATATGTTAGTTAAAACTTGAAACTTTTTGCGAAAGCTCATTGGCGGATCGGACAGATCTTCCGCCAACGAGTTCCAAGTAAACTTGAAACATATAAGGTCTATTGTGAGCATTATTAGGATGCTGCATCAAAAAAGAGCGACGTAATGGACACACATATCAGATGATTTTTGTCGCCTTCACAACTGTCAGAGTGGTATACTCATTGACTGATGCAGGATCGAATTCATGTATGTAGACATGATAGCATCATGTCGAATTACGGAGTTGGAGACCTGATGGCGAACTTCAGTAGCAAGTTTGATCATGGTAGGTCGACATGATAGTGCAAAAGAAACGAGAAGATCACTAATATTGAGTATAACATTGTCGATTGAGGAGTGGCTGCGATGAGCTAGCTGGTGAGGTCGAGGAAAAGAAAACCAAGGAAAATAGCGCAAAGCGTGGGAAGATTACCACTGCGCCCACCCTTCCGAATTTGGTCGAGGCGCGACTGACGCGTCTTCCTTTTCGCGCTTGCTGCGTCCTTCCTTGAAATCAGCAAGGATGCCTTTTCCATCCCAAAACTCATCAGATGCTTCAAACATGCCATCTACCTCAAAAGTTGGTAATCCAGAACGTTCCAAACCGGTGATCCCACCATGGGTCCCAGTTTCTCTCGTGCGTTTCTTCTTGTCATAGACTTTGTCTTCATATTCATACTGCTTTCAATGTGTAGTTAGTAGTGACCACGGCCGCGTTAGCTGTACCACTTGTCCTCATTCGCCGTCAACGTGCAGTGGCCTCGGTTTCAAATGCTGCCAAACCCAGTCCTTCGACTCCTCCACCGAGACGGACGGCAGGACCTGTCATCACTACAAAGTCTACATCCATATCGTCAAATACTTTATCAACCTCACCTCCAATACAATCACGACCGTCATCATCATCGTCCTCAGCACCCCCACCACGTCGCTTGGTACGACTTCCACCGGCGTCCGTGGCGTCCACAGCAGCTTCAGCGACCGTACTGTCACCCGTTGCCGAATCACCGCTTATATCAGGTTCCACCGAGTTTGACGACACGGAAGTAGTTTCAGAGCAGGAACTCGAGTATGATGGTTTCAACGCACCACTATACACACTCAAGGCATTCAGCATCGCGTCTCTTGTCGTACTCACTGGAGGTGTAGCCGGTATATGGGGTGTGAAGAGTTACATGGGCGTAAAAGATGTGTGTTCCTTCATTTCTCTCACTCTATCCTTTCACTCAATATACACATTTCACTCCAGACCGAAGAATTCGCCTCTCGAATGCGACAATCGATCCTCACTCACATGCCAGTCCTTACTTCTCGAATACATCGCGCACCCGAAGTCTCCGACGATCGAATAGCTGCTCCACCGTTCCCCTTGCCTACTTCTCTCTTGCCTAACCCGTCGGGTTCAGAGGAACCGCAATCCCTGTCACCAGTACCACAGTACACTATATCAACCGTCAATCTGGCAGAACCATGGACCTGGTCGGCCGCTCAGCAGAGACTGTCGGATGCATACGATCGGGGAGGGCTTCAGGAGTGGATGGAAGCTGCGGCTCTGGAGATGGAGATAGAAAGGGAGACGGAGGTGCGGAGGAGGGCGACGGCGAGTGGGCACGAGCGTGGTGGGGTATGATTTCAGGGTGCGTGTACTGTGCGACGTCGGGTGGCGCAGGTCTGAGTGGCGCCGTCGGTTACATGAGCGCGATCCTATGTACCCCTTTGGCATATACAGAGCTTGATTCTTGAACATAGACCTGGGGGTAGAGCGTTCTGTGGCGTACTGGATGTGGTATCATTCGATAAAAGGACACAGACAGCGTTACAATCGTGATCAAGCGAAGTAAGTACCCAATACCGTCCAAGCAGTCTACTGACGCGTAGACATTGCCGTACGAGAAGAAAGTTCTCTTGTTTTTAAGTACAAAGCATTTATACTGCGCCGGCGGAGCCAGGGGCGCCTTGTGTAAATACAAGAAAACAGCGGAGGACGAGACAGGTAAGTACTCGAAAACGAAGCTGACAAGAAGAAAGGTCCCGAGGTAAAAATCGCAGCCCAAAGAATCACAGTCCATAACCTCGAACGTATTTGCAAAGCAGATTACTCTGTCCAACAAGTCCTTCGCTAAACCAATGCCGCACTCCAGCCAAGACTCGTGCCAGCACTCACAAGATCATACAAGAAGTGAAGGCGAGAAACCACAGAGCGTCATTGGGGTCTCTGCGAGGTTAACAATGTGAGTTTTTCAGAAGTCATGCTGCCGGATTGGCCCGGTTCGATGGGGGAGCCGTAGAATGACACGCGGACTCACCAGTGCTCATGTTATAGCTAATCAGTAGCCAGACGCTTCAAAGCTTTTCTGACACTGGAGAGGTGTGGTACCGAATCCCCTCGGCGTATCGGATGATCAAGTTTCGGGATGCGTAGAACTCGTGCGCTCTGGTTCTTGTCGAAGTGTTCCAGGACGGACTTACTAGTCCTCGTAGTGAAAACGATGCGGAAATTCGACGGGAGATCCTGCGCTCGTTCGGCAAGGACATCTAGGAAATGATGAAGACTTTCGGACTTGTGTTTCCTCAGCCCGTCGATGACGATGACGATGGGTCCTGTGATGTCGAGTTCCTTGGAGGGTGCGAGTATAAACGTTTCCAACTGAGAAACGATGTCGCGTGTCTTGCGCAGGGCTCTGCGGGAGTGAATATTCTCCCACAATCGGCTTCGGTAATGAGGATCGAGGTCGGCGAGATCGCGAGCGACGGTGGGGAAAATGATGTCTGGAAGTTGGTCCCACGACGCAGCGTCGGTCGAGTTCGCAAAGATGGACGAAGCTAGACGGCCGAGTTCATGGTAGCGATAGGCAATGGTGTGGGCGATGGCTGACTTTCCCACACCGGCATCGCCTGTAAGCACAAGAATGCGCTTTTTATCTGGACTGGGGTCATCAACCCATCGGGTGATGTCGGTAAGGATGTCTTCGCGAGTCCCAGCATGGCATTGTTTGCGGCTTTGGAAGGAAACTTCGCCCTCAGCGTAGGGGAGATCGCTCAAGTCCACCTTCGTTTCTGGCGTCAGAGTATGGACTTCAGTGATTTGAGGCCAAACCATAGCATTCATTTTCTTACCGAGTCGTGTAACAGAATCCCAAATTCGTAGTACCGTTATTTCAGTGTTGATCGTCGCATGAGCGAGCAGTGCCGCCTTTAGTTCTGTGAATTTGCGTCCATACTTTATGATGGCGGCATCAGTTGGTGCCAGGCTATGCTTAACAGCACGCGTGACTAGAGTGAGACGAAGAGAAGATACAAGGTAAATACCGTGCGCACGAGGAAAATGGGCCTGACTTACGAAATCTGTCGCTGCAATACCCAGAGATAAAATAGCCACAGTCGATGGTTTGCTGAGCTAGACAAGCCATGATATTACTGTGGGACTCGATCCGACGGAGTGGCTCAGCTTCGTGTACGAAGGCATAAATATCGGCCAACATATCGACGAGGTAGAGGATATTGATATCTCGTTGAAGCTGATCCATGATAATCTAAGAGGCGCAATACCTCTCAGCGTAAGTAGACTGCATTAGAGGATAATCGAATGGTACACACCTTGTATGAAACAACCATGATACTGCACGCAGCCGTGGCGTATGGATGCAACTAAGTATACCACAAGAAATATTGAATTCTCAAGACGGTCCGCGATGTGATGTAAATCTCACCTCAACAATGGGCTTGGCAACTTCTGCGAACTTCGCTATATTCTCGAGAAACGGCCGCCAGGTATTCTCCATTATGTCGCGGTTGACATCGCTAGCTGACTGGACTTGCGAAAACGACACTTTTCGTACCGCACCAAACGATGGCTGAAGTTGAGACGCTCTCATCCTCGCGCGGCAGACCACAGCTGCCAGTTCAGAGGTATCCTGATCGACACAAAGCTCGACCTTGAATTCTACCTGTGGGAGCGCCGATTCTGCGAACTTGGAAGGCATAAGCGTATCGAGAGCTCGAGTAATTGCTATGGGGCACATTCAGTCATTGCACACAAAAGGGGTGTCAGGAAGATTGCTCACTTTGGGATGTGGACTCCGAATTGCACATAATGGATATTATCTCCTCTTTGTAGAAACCAATCAAAGTGTCGGCATGAAGCTGACGTTTCTTGAAGATCTTTACTACCAGTGTCGAGGACTTGGAGATATCGCTAACGATGATCTTGTGAGGAAAATAAGTTTAATAATGTCATAGTGACACTCACAACGTGAAATCGGCATCCCAGTACGGTCCAGTCTCCCCACCATTAATTTCCTCCGTACATTTCACTTTGTTGCCCACCTGGACAGTGGCAAAGTATTTTCTGTTACTCTTTTTGCCCTCCCTCGAAAGTCCTTGTGCTTTTAGATCTAGAAGTGCCGATATTTCCTTCAGGGTATTGGAACAATGAGAGAGAAGATGTCTATCTCACGCGTGATATGCACACGATCATTGTCTGAACTCTCCATGGATCTTCGTGAAATCGAGTTATTGAGTTCTCATATGCGGCAACAGCAGAGCTGGGAGACGACCTACTGGCTGGGAGGCGTGGGTGAGACACAGTCGAGAGGGTGACGGAGACAGAGGGGGGAAAGGTGAGGACGAAGGTGGTGGGGAAGGGAAGAGAGAGGGCACGGACGGGGAGTGAGGGTGATAGCGAAAAGGGTCGTATATATCTGGCAAGAGCACAGCAGCGGGTGATACCATCAACGTCGCACCTGGGAATTGCGCCCATACGGTTGTATTTCGCCATTTTACCGTAATGTATCAATACAGATAGATTACTTTTCTTGAAGCCCTAATTATCGAGAAACGCGGTGGGAATCTCAACTACAACCTATATAAATACGTCCGACACTGGTTGGCACATATACAAATCTGCATCCCATGCGAGCAAAGCGTCAACTAGTATCTATCAGTTCTGAGGCAGGAAGACCTATAAATAAGCGGTGAAGAGAAATGGCTGACCTCCAGCGAGAACAGCATACCACCCGCTTTTAGGTTCCTGAGTTCTATAGACGGAAATCAAAGACCTTGTTTAGTTGGCACATGTGCTACGAAAGAAAAAAAGCCGTCCATGTCTAAAACTAGCGCACAGTATTTCAATCATAGAAAGATAATCACCCGCCTCTCGATGTACATCATGTTTCATCAGGAGTCTCTGTCGCCACTGTGAGCGACACACATCAGTAGCGGGAATTGCGCGAGGACCTGGGCCAGACTTGTGAGGCTTTAGAAAGAATTAAGGTTACCAGGTCGGTACTGATTCGACTGCGCCACTCGTGTCCCAAGCCACAAGATGTTCAATACGTTTGACCCTGAGTAGACGATGGTAAATTGGGATCGTCGTTGTTGTGCAGGAGCAAGTGGTGAAGGACATGTTGAAACATGGTCACTATCATGATCAACGACCAACATTTTTGTGGTGTTTCATCCACAGAATGGAGCAATATTGAGAGGAAGGCCTTTGCAACGCCGCATCATGGTTGGGTAGACTGAAGAAGAGGCGGCTGCTCGGAGAAGCCCAAACAGGAAAAGACCCAAAGTCATCTGATTCATGGACTTCCTATCTTCAGAGTGATCTAATGGGGATGATCGGTACTAAGTTGGCTTAAACGCTATCGAACTTGTAGCCAGAGCTTCTTCTGTACCAGCGCGAAGTCAACGCAGAGAAAGGATAAAATAAGATTGATGAGTCATATCGCACTTGACCTTGGCGGAAGATTCAACCTCACCTAATTGTCATAACTTTTGCCTGTCGAAGGTTGTGAGCTAGACAGGGTGAGTGTTTGGACTGGTCAGCCAGGTCCGTCGGGGCCGGCGCTGCATGAGTGGCCAGGTAGCCTCAATAAGTACAAGCAAAGAGTGTGACTAAAAACGGCGCGGCGGTGGGTGGGACAGAAACAGAAATGCGGAGATGTCGAGAGTAAAAAAATATAACGAGCGAGCAGAGAGTACGATATTGAAAGAAAACAGGAGCAGCAAACGACAAACCGGTGACAGAGAAAACTTGGAGTTCTCTAGTATGCGGCTGGCGCCGGCCTTGGCGCCGAACCAGCACGATTCTGTCTCATGCCCGGGCCGTACGGCGGATATCTCGGCGGCGGTGTTGATACTGGCTGCTCCAGCAGAGGCCGTGGAAGCGTGGCTGTCTAAGCAGTATAACCATGGATAGAAAGAAGTTGTGGATGATAGGGCTCCGACAATAAGTCGGGAGTTAATAACAGCTGTAAAAAAGTGCTGTTAGTAACTGTTTATAACTTGTTATTAACAACCCTCCCGATACGGTGCTATATAGATCTGTAAAAAAGGTGTAAGAAATCTTGACGTCTGGACGAGTAGATACGCGTTCAGGAAAGACTCTTTCGAGTTCCTGACCAACTCCTGACGTCGTATTCCATCCTCTAGGGCCCCTAACCCGACCTAGACATGACTTACCCTAACCTACTCCCACGACGGCCACAGCTTCCGAGTCTACGGTGCGTGTTCTCGCCAACGGCCTCACATACCATGAGTGTATGTGCTGTAGAACTTGCTCTAGGAGTTCAAATAGTAACCAGAGACGCTCAAAAGAACTGCTAGTGCTTTGAAAGCCCTCCAGGCCAGTCGAAACTGGCAGCTCCTGAAGGAAAATATAATATTTAAATCGATTTAAATATTCTGTTTTTAACTGTTTTTAACTGTTTTTAACACCTGTAAAAAAGTCCCTCGGGGGCCGCCGAGTTACTAACACAGGGTATCATTGGCTCAGGACTTTTTGTCGGAGCCCTAGTGGATGAAGTCTGGAGGATGTTGTTAACCCGCAAATTTATATGTATTGTCATCCCTCCCGGACAGTCAATGATATAAGTATTCGGCGATCCTTCAGTCGTGCATAAAGATGGACATGGTGCCGTAAATGAACCAAGAATGTGATTGCCCATCGAGACCTCCCATAATAGTGTACACCAGTCGCGACTTGTTATAACGATGAGATGTCAACCTTTCTCCCCTCCGCCGAACTGATCTTTACAGCCTCAACGTGCTTATGCACCACTAGCGCGTCGTCAAACGTCGGATATACCCCCACCTCGTCACCTTTCGCAAATTCCATGAACGCCCTTCCCGAGTTATTCAAACCGTCCTTCTCTACATCAATCAACTCTCCATTCAACCACACCTTTTGTATTCCATAAACATGCATGAAGCTTCCGCCTGAACCCGTACTCTCCATCCTGATCCATCCCTCGTCACCGTCGATCGTCCATATCATTGTCGGTCGGGAGTTATTCCCATTCTTCTCTCCAGCCGAAGAAATTCCGCCGCGCCATGTTGCGGTGAAGAGAGCTCCAGAATCTTTGAGGATGCCGGAAAGGGAGTATTGGTCGGGTAGATGAGATAAAATTGGTTCTCCGGTAGCAGCATGAGAGGAATCAATGAATTGAATGGTGGGGAGTAGCTGCGTTGATGTTGCGCTGAGGGAAGTGAGAGGTCCAAGAGCCTGTATGAAAGTGCTAAGATTGTGTCCGATGAGGATGTCAGCGTAGGTGGCGCCTATCGGGTGGCGGTGGCGACGATCAACAGGTGAAGTAGCCTGGTGATGCAGTGTATGACGAACGTACCGTTCTCCGGTTCAACGCAGTAAGCGTCACGAACATCAGTAAACGGTGCCCAGTAAGGTACCTCTGAGGGCTTGCTGCCGATCTAAACCATTGGTGGTCACGAAGATGATATCGAAATAGATATGGAAGGGACCAGCGAAAGTGAGCACTTACGAAGGTCGAAGATAGTACCCTTCCAATTCTTCCCGCTTGGATCACTTCCTTCACCTTCTTTACCTCAGGTATCTGCCACCCCTGCATCCCTACCATAGTCCTGACGCCTTTTGCCCTCGCCATCCCAGCCAACTCTTTCGCCTCCTCTAACCCGTTCCCCAAAGGCCACTCCACAAAGACGTCCTTTCCCTTCTCTATCGCTGGAGCCAAAGCCATTTTGTGGTCCGGCGTCTTCACAGAGACCACAACAAGGTCTACATCGGTATCGGAGGCAATGGAAGAAGTGGAGCCGTGATACGGTTTCACTTGTACTTGAGGAGAACGAGGCGAAAGGGCGGTGTATTTCTCGGCAGCGAGCTGAGCGGACTGGGGGGACGAGGTGCTTAATGCAGTGATTGTGTAATGTGAAGAGAGGGGAGACGAGAGAAGAGGAGGAGCAAGGGATATGGACGCCCATCCTGTACTGGAAAGACCGACGAAGCCTACGCGGATGGGAGACATGCTGGCCTGCAAACGGTTGACGAAAGGTGAGTGAGAACTGAGGAATGCAGCGAGGAGATTTCGTAGGGCTTCAGGATATTTGTACTTATACGTGTATCCACGCTGACCCGTGTGTATGTTTGCCGGGTACCTTACCGAGTTTTGCGATGTCGGGTTTCACGTCGTCGAGCTCTGGAGATCTCATGGGAGTAAGTACCCACGGGCATGTGTAGAAGGCTACACAACCGAAAAGGAGGATGTTGCTTACCTTTCAAAGACGAAAAAAGGGTCATCAAAACCTTGAGAACTAGAGACAAATTAGAAGGCAGTAGCCAAGGAGAATGCGCCTGGTAGGTGCTGCTAGACGTACTGGAATTGAGCCAAGGAAACGCCCGTCAGGATATGAGCAACCGTAAAGCCCGACCGATTTCGAGGTTGAAAGTTCGGAGAGCCCGGTGACCCACACCAACCCGGAAAGATATTGCAGCGAACAGGCACTACAACACTCTCGTCGAACCATTCTTGTTGATCCTCAGACCCAAAGAAAAGCTGAAATTCCAAATTCCCATGTATGTGCGGCACAACATTGGAAGATCTCCAAGCCTGTCACCTAGTCCCATGATTGTACTGCTGCAGTCGATATAGTCAATGGAATGATGAGATTCAGAACTCTTCGCAAGCATCCTCCATCCATTTCCATAACTTGTCTCCAGTCTGTGGATTTGTGGCACCTGTATGTGGCGTACCAAGGCGCGCCCACGGTATGAGAAACTGTCATTTCGTCCAGATCGAAACCATCGCGAAAGGAAATTCACATGGAATGGTAAATGTGGTGACAAGAAGGTGAGGGCGGTAGGGAGCGAGTACCTTGCCGTTATACTCTGCGCACTGTGCTGCAGTACCTCCCCAGAGTTGTGTCAGGGCGCCCAAAGATGCTGGATACAATACGAAGACCCTCTAATTAGGCGACATCGATAACCAGAATATTGAAAAGAACGACGAAGTGAGAAATACAGGCAAATTAAAACATGAACAGGATCATACCAGGATACGTCGCTCGAAAGAGGGGAAGTATCGTTGTAGTTCGGTCTTTATATTCCCTGCGACATTGCGTAAACTTCTAAAAATACCACGAAATGACGGAAAAGACGTCCGCACCAGGGTTACAAGACATGACTACAACTTTGTCTCCATACCGTCTTGCAAGCTCGTTTGCCAGGACTATATTCCCCTAGTTTATCATGGTATACGTACACGACGGCAGATGTCAGTTGACCGGTCAGGTATATTAGAAGGAATCACGTACGAACTTCGACATACTGTACAATCCCCTGGGTCCTACCTTCTTCCTCCCCTTCTCTTTCAAGGCCATGTTATCGCTCAATGCATCCCATTCGATCCCGTTAGACATGTATGACGCTGAAGATGAAGTAAAAATGACTCGAGACTTGGTTGTAGAATTGAGCTCAGAAGCACGAGCGAGAGCGGGGAGGAGGAGCGTCACAAGGTGGTAGTGGCCTACATGAATGACATAGTAGCGTTGATCAGACGTATTACCATACCATGTCCGGAGGCGAGTATGCCAGGCAGGCGGGAATGGAGGAAGGATCAGGTTTGTCAACGCACCAATAACATTGGTGCCGAACTGTATGTCGTGCTGTTGTTCGGTGAGTATCGACAGCGGACAGGCCATTATTGCGCTTAACATGAAAAGGCAATCGTGTAAATCAGTACTCCGGCGCGCGAAAATGGAATGATAGGAGAGCATACGCATTTGCGAACACGATGTGCAGTTCCTGCTCTTTTCTATTGTGAAAGCGGTTCAGTACTGACACTCTCGCCAGCGCACTCTTGCCACTTTGATAGAGTGCTCCGACAAGACCGGAACGCCACGTACGCAAGAAATTCCTCTGCCGCTGACCGGATGTTCCTCAAATCTGCTAGATCAAGCTTAAGAAACACCGCTTCCTTCCCACTCGTTTCGACCTTTAGTTCTGCGATGGCTTTGCGGGCTTTCTGCTCGTCCCGAGTGGCGAGGTAGACTTTGGCATTGTGCATAAGAAGTGCCTATTCAGTTCAATGATTGATCAGGTAAGTAAGATGATGATGATTACGATAACTATGGATCATCATTCCGCAGTGCGAAAACTCGGAGAAATAACAGAGCTGTGAGGCCCACCTTCACTGTTTCCCTTCCGATCCCACTGTTCCCCCCTGCGATTCCCAAAGCAGTGGGATATAATCAATACGACAAGTATTCGGCGAGAGGAAAAGACTGTTTGAGTGAACGTACCCGTCACCATCGCAACCTTGCCCGTCAAGTCTGGCATGTCGTCGACGCTCCATTTTGACTTTGGCGGATACATCTGCGCAATACCGTAAAGTAAGTTCCGCATCGTAACCATCGTCCTAGCCAGTCCGATTTCCGATATAGAGAAAAGGTAAACGGGTCGAGAGCAGAGTCCTAATAGTGGTTCGACGAACAAGAGGAGAGGAAACGGGGGAAAGTTGAGAGTCGAGATCTGTGGCTATCGATAGGCGATATAGAGACGGCGGGAATGAAGGTGGGAGGCCAAGAGGAACTTCGGGTGTTGTGCGGGTGAGTCGAAGAAGAGACGAGATGAGATGAGGGCGGCAGCAGACGCTCAGCATCGAACTCTAGGCTATCAAATATGTCTCCTCGTCTATCATGAATTAATGTTCTCCCACGCAAAGAGAGCTCCGATGAGAAAAGTAAAAGCCATTCCGGAATCAAGCTATCGAAGTCGGCACGGTAATGTTAGGATTCTCTCGATTCGTGGGGGTAGTCCATGCTTGTCGACTGCGAACAATGATGGTCAGGCATTTCGGAACGTAGTTGTAGCGACATTGCTGGTAATATGTCCATAGTAATGTACCAGCTGACTCATTTGGATAGGCGCAGAGCTGTCATGGATAAGAGAGAGCGCAGAAGAAGACCAAAGGGGAAGGCATGAACATGGGATTCTGGGTGTCGTTGTCGTGGTCGAGAATAGAGCAAATAGCGTTTGCCACTGGCAAGAGCTGCTTTTAGGAACGGTAACGGAATGCCGAGTCGAGTCCTTGACATCTATTTTAGGTAAGAATGGTCGACAGCATAAGACGTCGGCTAAGGATATGGGCTCGAAGATAGTTGATGCCTTTGTTGTCGACCATGTCGGACGTTGTGCTCCAAGAGGCTCCAAAATGTTGGTAAATTCGTGTCGGAGTCACATCGGGAGAACGGGTAGCGGCCCGATTGTTCCGTGGTCCCGTCGCCACCCGCCAGTCGCCACCGTATGGGCTTGACAGTGTGAAGAGCTCAAGAACGTCCTGGGTATATGTTTATTATTATTTCCCCATAAGCCAACCACCACTCAAAACCTCACACAGGAGCAGCATGAAGGACAAAACACACCGCCACATCGATGCAATATCATTCTCAGAACTCCTTACAAGCCCCTTCCATCCACTCCCAGACTTTCTTGCCCAGCTCTGGGTCTTGAGTATACTTGTTGGGGGAACCGACGCGGGCCCAGGGAATGAGGAACTGTGCGATCGCAGAGAAAAATTGTCAGTGAGAGCTCGTCAATAGTAAGTAGATACTGAGAGGAATGGGAGAGAAGAACGGGACAGCACTAGGACGGGAAAGAGCTGATGGATAGGACACGAGAGAGATACGACATACCTTTCCATTGTATTCCTCACACTCTGGCGCCGTTCCGGCCCATAACTGTGTCAAAGCACCAAGAGGGACGGGATGCAGAGCAAACTTGTTCTACTCGGATTATCTGCATCAGTGCCCGTAGTAAAGGGTTAGGAGAACTCAGAGACTTACGAGGAAAGTTTGCAGGAAGGTGGGAAAGTATTGCCACAGGTTGGTTTGGAGGTTGCCTGTCGGATGGTTGAACGTCATAAAGCGAGTAAGTCTATCGTTCATCCAGGCAAAGGAAGAACGCACCGGGATTACAACTCGTTACAACTATCTTATCACCGTACCTCCTTGCCGTCTCTCGTGCGACAACGACGTTACCCTATAAATGATCAAACGAACCACACCGTCGACAACGAATACCCGCCTACACTGGAGAGAAATTACGCACAAACTTCGACTGATGATACAGCCCCCCCGCACCGACTGTCTTCCTCTGCTTCTCTCCACCGTTCTCATTACTAAATGATCCGAAGTTGATCTTGTTCGTGAAGTATGAACTTGAGGATGAGGTGATCACGATACGAGATTTGTGCTCTGGTGTTGATGCGTGGAGAAGTGCAGGGAGCAGTAGCTGCTGGAAGTGAAAATGGCCTGTGTTGTGATGAAGATGGCAGGATGAGGGGATTCGGAGAGGGTACCACTGTTTAAATACGTAATCGACAGAGAGTTCTGAAAAGACGAACCGAGGACGTTCGTGCCCCATTGGAGGCCATAACCCTGTTTCGTCAACATCGAGAGGGGACTCATCATGACGCCGCTGCGCAGACATCATAGACATGAGAATGCGAGTCATGAAGCAAAACATAGATGGGAACATGAGAAACGTACGCGTTCTCAAACAGGATGTGCAACTCCTGCTCCTTGCTACTTGTCCGCGTTCATCAGCATCCCCCTCCCAGCCCATGGCATCCATTCTAACGTCCGGATAAAAGATGAATGAACATAAACATACCTTAGGAACTCCTCTGCCGCCGTCCTCACACCTCTGAGATCCGCCAAGTCCAACTTCAAGAACAACGCTTCCTTGCCCGTAGCCGTCTTCAGATCCTCGATAGCCTCACGTCCCTTTGCTTCGTCTCGTGCAGCGAGATACACTTTCGCATTATGCGTGAGGAGAGCCTAGCGTTGGGTATTAGCTGAAGGTGATGGGTGAACCGTCCATGACGCGAAGAAACGCACCTTGACGGTCTCTTTTCCAATGCCAGTATTCCCACCTTCACAATCCACCACGAATGGACCAAACCATCAGCTTCGATTTCATCCTACCGAATGAGTCACTTAGAACGAACCAGTTACCAGACAGACCTTCCCACTTAAATCCGACATATCATCCACGGACCATCTCGGTTTCGGAGGGAAAGCTTGCGCAGTGGCGGAGATTATGTTGCCCATATCCGAGTCTTATTTTGCCTGGAAGCCTTGAGTTCGAAGACGAAGAAAGAGCAGGGGGAATAGAGAAGAAAGGGTTCGTTGGTATGCCTGTGCCATGATTTCGAAGCCATGTTATATACCGTGGTATCGTGAGGTGAGTGCGACCAGGGCACTTTCGTAATATTTGTCGAGTACATACATGATGGCGGCAGCCTGGCGCACATAGGACCCGGGTCTATAGAGGGGGAGGTTGGATACTAATCCCCCAGTTATGAGCCCTCCAGAGGGCAGAAGGTTGGATACGTTGGTAGGATGGTCCCCCAGCGGGATTCGGTCCCGGAAGCGAAGGTCGGATCCCGATCCCCCAGTGGAACTACCAAATTTGGATTAATATTCCATTTTTGGCCCTCGGCCGGCCTCCGGTTCCGTAATCCCCCAGTTTCCGACCGAAAAAAGTCGAGGTCGGAGGCGCCATCCCCCAGTGGATTTCCTTATAAGGAATCCCCCAGTAAACCCCGAAAATCATCGATTTTGGTATTCGACCTCCCCCTCTATAAACCCGGGTCCTGCGCACATGTGATCCGCCCTCTCGAGTGGCGCTTTAACCGGAGGTGGCAAAGAATAAAGCGTAGAGAGGATGAGGAAAGTGTTCTGAACACATGAACAGGAACCGGCGGAGAACGCGTGAGACGTTTCCTGCAATGATCAACGGGATCTTCCGGAGGTGGCATAACCTTTCAGTGGTGGTGGATGTAGACTCATCGTCCTGACCGCATCGTTATAAAACACTTCATTTCATGGCTGCATAACAAGTGCACGCCACACATCAGATTCGCTCCGACATGATGAGAGGCAGAGCGAGAGGAAATGAAAGTCGTTCGACGAGTGTCATTATAGGTAATTAAGAGCGCTCATATGATTCAAAGGTCGGCCTTGAGGACACAGAGGCGTTGCTGTTGGGGTCGTTCTAGCGGGATAGAATGTTGGAGATGCCTCTGTGAAACGGCACTAAGACACTGAAGGTGAGTGCGCAGATGATGGCCGGTGTGTGGCCGAAGGCCGAGAGAGAAGTGGGAAGGACGCGATGGGCTGAACGTCCGATCTTCAACACCAAGGTCTGCCTGTGGGAGACTACGATGGGCTAACCCGTGCCAACTTCCGTATCAGTAGACCACTTTGTATTGTAGCCGATTTTCATGTGTGCGCATAGAATGGTTGTTACAGTCTTGAAGAGTTTCAATGTATATTTATGATCATGCACTATGGAGACAAGATGGTTGGATGGCGGTGAGCGATGACTAAAGGGGATCCAAACTGCCAAATAACGGTGCGGCTGCCAAGCCTCGCCACGCAGGCATGAATTTCTCACATAGGCAAAAGCAAATCATACAGGTTATCAAAAGCCTACACAGGCCTCCTCCAACCAAGCCCACAACTTATCTGCAGTTTTTGGATCTTGTGTGTACGGATTCGGACTCCCGAGTCGTGCCCAAGGAATGAGGAACTACAGGTACGAAGGCAAAATAAGTAAAGAATCGGTGCAAGGTTAGTGAAGTATCAGGAAGGAGACGCTGTCAAAGTTTGGAGAAGGAAAGTGCTAACCTTCCCGTTATACTCCGCGCACTCGGGGGCCGTGCCAGCCCAAAGTTGGGTTAAAGCACCTTGGGCGGGTGAGTAGAGGATTGTGGCAGCCTATATCGACGGCCGAAGATATACAACGTGGAAGGAGGTTTTCAGTGATGAGTTGTCGGCGCTAGAGGCAGTGGGTGCAACAATGGTACACAACGAACCATGAAGCGTTGCTGTATTTTTGGAGCATGGCGGCTGAGCTCTGTGTTGATGTTGCCTGTGAGCGCGTGCCAAAACTGTGAGCGTTTCGTCCAGGCGTACTAACGTGTCAAGGGCGAAGCCGGGGATAGGGAGGAAAGCAGCATACCAGGGTTGAGGGACATCACTACGAGCTTGTCGCCGTACCTCCTAGCAAGCTCAGCTGCCACCACAACGTTCGCCTACACATAGTACCAGTTGGAATTTAGCGTCCTGTCCTAATTATCGCCGTCGCACAGGGTCTCTTACTTACAAACTTGGACTGGTAGTACAACCCCATCGGATCCATCTTCTTCCTCTCCTTCACCTGTTTCCTCGCTTCCGCCCCTTCTTCTGCCTTCTTCAACGTAGTCCATTTTATCTCATTAGCGATATAGGCAGCGCTCGAGGAGGTTATCACGATCCGGGGTTTGTATTCTGGTGCAGATGCGCGGAGGAGGGCGGGAAGAAGATGCGTTCGGAGGTGGAAGTGGCCTATTACGTTTACAACAAACCGGTGGCGGCGTGAGTGAGGCAAGGACAAGGACGGATAGATATGATACGCACCAACGACGTTGGTCCCGAATTGGAGGTCGTAGTTCTGTTCCGTGAACATCGTAGTGGGAGGGCCCATCACCGCGCTAAACGACATGGCGGGTGTGGTCCAAGTCGACATGAAAAATTCATGGAATTGGCAAAGGGAGGAGGGAAAACGTACGCGTTCTCGAATAGTATGTGCAGTTCTTCCTCCTTCCTACCGAACGAAGTGTAGGAACGGGTTAGTCAATTGGGTTCGTTCTTCTTTAGTATGATGATATTTTCAGAGACATACTCCAGAAATTCTTCTGCAGTCTTCCTTACGCTCCTCAGGTTGGCCAAATCCAACTTGATGAACAGAGCCTCTTTTCCGCCCGTCTGCTCTTTCAGTTCTTCGATGCATTTCCGAGCTTTCTGTTCGTCGCGCGTGGCAAGGTACACTTTTGCATTGTGGATAAGGAGGGCCTGAGGTTTGTCCGTATGTCATCATTGAAATTCATGACTTCAGTTGGCAATTGGGAAGCGAACACTAGGAGTGCGCACCTTGGCAGTTTCTTTGCCAATGCCAGTGTTACCGCCTCCAATACGAATGCCACGACATGGAGTTAGGCCACAGGAAGTACATGATCAACAGAGTACACACCGGTGACCATAACCACCTTCCCACTTAAATCTGGAATCTGCTCGACACTCCACTTTGCCTTCGGTGGAAACATCTGCGCCGACGCCATTAGCAGGTTATTGACCGACATGTTCACGTCAGAGATAATCAAGTCGTCAGTTTAGACGATAGGCGTCTTTCCAAAGATAAATATCGCCCAGTGAGAGCTAAGTCAAGAACAAAAGAATCTTTCGTCCGAGTCGTCGTTGCCATGAGTCTCTTGAGTGTGGGAGAGAACCGCAGCATTGGGAATCCTAACTCTATTTATCGTTCTGGTCCATTGTATGGGTCTAGCACAGTGACAATTGACTGTAAGATGGTCGTCAGATTTGGATATCAGACTTCGCGTCTGTCCATGAGAGAGTATACAAGTGGTTCATGGACGTCAACTCCAGAAGGAGGTGTGACTTTGAGCTCGCCCAAATTAATGACGCTCCTCCCGGCCCGAGGCTCCGTTAGCCAATCATGGTCCTCGCCACTGTGAATGTGGCGACAACTGCCATATCGACTTCAAGCTCTGCCTTGGAGTGGGCATATACATTGAGGTGCGAGTGCAATAAATATTACCGTATCAAATACAATGTATAATGCATAGTAATACACCCCCTGCAGCGTGGCCACCCCTCATCTAATCATCAGCTCCGTCGTTGCAGCGTCCCCGGCTTAGGCTCCTGACCACTAGCCCTAACCACTCCGGCTCGTCATGAACCTTTCCCAGAGCTCTCGTCCGAGTCTCCTCTGCGTCTCGCATCTTACCCGGGGAGAATCTAGGCGCTGATCCTGATTGAGATGTTCCGCCTGCGCCGACGTTGTACATACTGACAGACATGTCCGCATCAGCACCACCGACATCGTCGATAATGGTCGTAAGATGTAGTCCCGAGCTCCTGCTGCTCGTGGTCCCAACGTCATTGTTGCATCGGGATCCTGTCGGGTGATTGGTGTGGTTGTAATCTTGTGGGTTATCGTGATGTGTGAGAGAAGAGCGGGAGAGTTTGGAATGTGAAGACCGGATGTTGATCATTAGGCGGGAGGCGAGACATGTTGACATGCTGAGTGTTGAGATTGTTAGATAAGGCGCGGTGTGATAGCGATCTCACGACGTACATATTGATGAACGGGACCATCAATCCTCGAACCAAAGGCTACTCCCGACCCAAACACCCAGGTCAGCAGGCGAATAATTCCAGCTGTACATTCGTATTGAAGGATGAAAACTTTTACCTTCGCAGTCTGCGTCATTAAAAGGAAAGGTCAGTGAGTGTCATCGAGCCAAAGACAATAGATTGGAAGGAGACATACAAGAAGGATACCGATATTGACCGCGTTGGCGCAGAAGATGATTCTACAGCATGAGTGCCACCGCCACACAAACCCGGCCAAGATAGGTCATTCTCGAGGTTTACCCGACATATGAAGCAGTGAGAAACTCACAAGAAATACATAGACCCTATACCGATCCGTTAGAGTATAATTCAGCCTCATTCCACAGGTGGTGCTGGGTGATAAGGAACGCACCGTCCCTCAGCAAGATCTGCAACAGCCTTCCGCTCCGCCTCAGCTTGAACGCTTTATAGGCAGTGAGGCCAAAAACGGCGACATCGAAGATGAGGACGCCTGCCCATGTGACACCCAGTCCTGTCAAAATGTAAAGCGGTTCACAGCAGTATTAGAACATCGTTGAGCGTCGGTAATAATTGGGAGATCATTCGTCACTGGACAGAATGGAGATAAGGTAGGAGAGGACGTACTTTTGGACCTATCGTAGATTCCCATATAAGTATTCGTCAGAACATGATAGTAAATAAGGTGATACAAGTGAATGAGAAGACGCACAGATCATCTCCAAGCGCAGAGCTACATCCAACTACGCCCAGCGCGAACAGCCGCGCTGACGCGTCATCGAGTACGTAGGCATCTTTTTGTGTTATGAGAGCCCACTGTCATCGCAAGAACGTTGATCAGTTACCAAGTTCCTTTCGGACGGTCGTATATACGAGTACCCCGGTCGTTGATGCAAACGTACCAGTGCGAAAATGGTCCCCGCACTACCTAGTGAGTATAGGACTCCAAGGACAACTTTGGATTTGTCGTAGAGCGCATGGATGCGGATCATCAGAAGCCCTAGGAGAGTGGACGATGGTCGCAGATTGCTTAGGACCGCAGTACTGGGATATGAAATGGAAGGTGGGTTGAGGAAATGGTGTAAAGGACTCACAGCCGATGTTGATTTCCACGATGAGCGCGAAGTATTCGTGGTATACCGTGAGTTTAGGACATATCTGTTGAAAGACAACCAGTCAGCTGCTTTGGAACCGGTAACATAAGTCTTTGATTCGTCCCCCTGAACAGATTAAACACGAACGACAAGAGTATACAGGAGTATACAGAAGCCCCACTACCGGGAAGAGCAACCAATAATATCGATGAGAGACAGACGCACCGTCGCTTGATCGACCGTCAACATCGTTGCCACGATAAATGGTACGTGCCCAAAGAGCGGAAGATACCGATTGAGGAAAAAGAAGAAGGAGACGAGCGTGAACCGGTTTCGTGGTGGCCAGTAGTATTTAATTTCAGAGTTGAGGGTGATGAGATACTCGCTGTAGGTTCAAACGTTCAATTTCGAAGGAACAGTGCAGTCTATTGTTAGCTCTAAGGTAAACGCTGAGCTAGTATGAAGTGGGTGAGACGGGAGAGAGAACGTACTAGTATAGGAGCGCTATGGTTTCGTGGAATATGAGATGATGCTTGAACAAAGTGTAATGGGCAAATTGAAACTACCCACTGAAACCAGCCAGCTGTGTAGCCATTTGGATGAACCTGATGACACGCAAATGCTTGGTCATTTTCTTCTCCATAGAAACGAGATAGCAAACAAAAGTTGAACTCACCACTGCTGCCCAACGTCGCTAGGTCCGACCGAGTTCATTGTGGCGGGGGCTCAAGCGCTCAATGTTCACTGCACAGATTCAGATAGGCTCCGCACTAACGTCTCGCTAGCCTCATATATACCACTCCTTACACCAATGTTGATAGCTTTCCGCCCCCATAAGACTTGACAACGATGAAGAGCAACCGCGCGAGTACTCTTGGATTGCGATGATAGCAACAGAGCGCCACAGAATGAAATGGGGAAAGGGCATACAGAACACTTGCCTCGCATCTGTTTATACCCTGTTCATGATGATCGTGATCTCTGTCGGCCTTTGACTTCCAAGGGATGCCTTCAACTGCACCCGATGATTGAATAGATCACGACGGCGAGAGAAAAAAAGGCCCAGAAGCGATCCATGTTAGAAGATATCCACAGAAAAAAAGCTGCAAATCGAGACTGCCATTGTAGGATTGCGATCATAGAAACAAGGAGCCTTTTGTCGCAAAGCTGAGAAGAAAGATACGTTGACGACAATGACCGTCGTCACGAACTCCCGCGACTCGGCGATCAATGTCGGAGCACGCATATTCCCTCCAGAGCATTTCAAAGGAACTTGGGGCCCACAAGTGGATACGAGAACTTATTTTTGACGAGAAGTATCCGAGGTTGATTCGAGGATATGGAGAACGCTGGCAGAACTACTTACAATGTACAGTGGCGGTTGAGTATGAGCTCGAGGGAAAGGAAAGGAATCGGAGGGAATCGGAGTCTCAAAGAAAGTCTCACGGTCGGAACGAAGAGAATACACGTGGCCAAGTTGAACGCGAATAACTCAATAAGCGCTCGCGCCACTTGTGTTCAGTAACCACTGCAGTTGAGTCGCCACTTTCAGCGTCTGTCGCATTCAACGCCTTTACGATATTGTACTAGTGGTATATCTGGCAGAGAACACAGGATCAACTCCTTTGAATTCCTACGCACTCGGCTCAATTCTCGATCCGACCCGAGAGGATAGTCCCCGACGGCCGCCACGATCTACGATCGTCGTCCCTCTTGATAGTCCTCCAGAAAGACAGCTTACTCTACTTACTCAGGTGTTTGAGTACCGCGAGATATGGGTAACTCACTTTCGGCCCTCGCTCAAGCATTTCCCCCGAAACCACAATGGTCTGTCGATAGCATACCAGATCTTTCTGGGAAGGTCGTGCTGGTCACTGGTTCGTCCTCAGTTCCCGTTTTGTCACTATTGTATGGCCTTGATTCTAGGTCTTTATTGTAGGCGGTAACACTGGTATTGGAAAAGAGACGGTGAAGGTGTGTGCATAACTCACAAGCCCCACCCCTCCCCACTCATTTCGGTGTTCGATCCCAGGCTCTTCTGACCCATAACGCGAAAGTTTACCTCGCTGCTCGCGATGCCTCGAAAGGTCTCAAAGCTATCGAAGACCTGAAAGCGAGCACAGGGGGCAAGGAGGCACTGTTCTTGAAGCTCGACCTGGCGGATCTTAGGAGCGTGAGGCAGGCAGCAGAGGAGTTTCTGAGGTTCGTCTTTCGCTCTGTTTTTCAACGTACAAAAGGAAAGGGAGGAGAGTGTGCTGTGTTACCAGAGTTCTGTACCTTATCATTGTGTTATACGTAGCAAGGAGCAGGAGCTTCACATACTGTTCGAGAACGCGTACGTCCCGGCATCATTTCATCCCATTGCCCGTCACTTTATGTCTGAAGATGCTATTGTATTGCATGCCGCATAGTGGAGTTATGAGTTGTCCTGTTTCGATGCTGACAGAGCAGAAGTATGACTTGCAATGGGGGACGAACGTTCTTGGTACGTTTGTTCGGACTCACTACATCCCGAATGTGTACCGGTGAACTACCTCTGTGGATCCCTATCCTCCGTCTCGCTAACACTCTATTTATCCGCCTGTAGGACATTTCCACCTTCGCTCTCTCCTCCTCCCCGCCCTCGTACGCGCCTCTACTCTAGAGCACAAATCGCGCATCGTCATCACCTCATCCTCCGCGTCATATCTTACCACCGGGATCAACTGGTCAGCATTTAGTTCTTGACACTCACTCCCGCTCTTGTCCTCGTAATGCCCGTCCGGAGAACAGCTGCTGAGGGGACTCGTAGGAATGCGTTCAATAACAAGAATGGAGGAGAAACGGAGAGGGAGAAGTTAGGACCACCAGGGCTGTACAACCAGTCGAAATTCGTATGTCCCACGTCTACTTACATTCAATTACCTCTGGCTTGGTCGACTGACGGGGCTCTGGGTGTGGCGTGACTGATCTGACCGGATATGTAGGCTAACGTCGTCGTCGCACGAGAGCTGGCACGGAGATATGGAGACAAGTTAGTCGTAATGAGTTGTAATCCCGGTTCGTCTACCCTTTTTACTATACCACTGTACAATATGCTCATACTGTCATTCGGCGACAGGCAACTTGATATCCAACCTCCAGCGGTACCTTCCCTCCTTTGTCAAATGGTTTGCGGTGCGTCCTTCCCTTCGATTCCTTCCGGAAACCCTTTTGGCATTGGTCGCTGACGCGTGAACCACCTATCCCCTCCTCCTGCATATACCGACACACCTCCAGGATCGTTTCATCCTGTACCCTGTTCCGTATGGTGCTTTGACGCAGCTTTGGGGAGCCACAGCACCCGAATGTGTGGATTATAACGGAAAGGTAGATTTCTAACTATTTCTTTCCCTTCCCTTTCGCCTTGTACCCTCTACATAAACCCTTGTTTCGACAAATCGTCTGTTACTCTCCATTCATATAGTCGCTGACTTTGGTCGTGATTATTGCGCCTGACTGTAGTTCCTTATCCCCTGGGCCCGGCTGGGTGCTCCGAACCCATCTACCCAAGATCCGGAGTTGGGAGAGAAAGTATGGACGTGGTTGGAGGGGGCTTGTGATGGGTATTAGTCTGATTCATTCGTAAGCTGTAGACACGCTTTGTGGACGCTTTGACTTGTGGATGCATTGACCTCTTTCTTGTATACACCTTGACGGTGAGGATCAACTTCTGAGTGCCCGGTCGTTCTTCCTCTCCTCGACCCTTACCGAAGGTCACCATCAATCAGTGTTTCATCTGCAACCTGTCTCTTTCCATCATGACGAGGTTCCTCGGTGGTCTGACATCTTCGTCGTTGTCCTCGTATGAGCTATCTTTACATTGGTAGCAGAACAGAAGTTCTATTTACTGTGCGGTGATATACTTTTTGGTACAATTGCTCCTGAGCGCGGTAGATGTGACGACAAGGTGTGTTCTGTTCAATTCTCTATTCCCCTCGATTCTTCCTCCATTCTGCATCGTCATATAGGCTTCCTTCTTTTCCTCGCTTCTCATCCTTTCTCAGATATCCGTTTACTAGACTCCAGGATCATTCATTGCCTCGACAGATAGACAGATGGATGGGCGGCCGACCGGATGAATGAATAGAAGGGCTGGCGGATGAAAGGTGGGTAAATGGGATAGATCTGTGACAGCACAAGATATGCGTTTTGGTGTGCTCGTTCCATGAAAGTATCAGTCCCATTGACGACCATAGATGAAAGCTTCACTCTGTTCAGAAGGTTCGTCGTCGTCGTCGTCGCTTTCTCCGCCTATTTCAGCCGCGGTGTTTTTGATTATTCGCAACAGCGCCACGGGTCCTGATCCCCTTCAGAAGTCTGTTGGAGGATCCATGAAATGGGGCTGTGTGCGCAATAAATAACCTTGAAGATGTTACCCGGCCGAGGCCGTAGAGAACTATAAGTCATGCCTCCGATCGAAGTCTTCTGTTGCGGTCGCCACAGTGGGATATCACCGGTACACATCAAGAAATGGAGAACTGTCCGTGGCTGTGACCTCCATGGTTTATAGCGCAGAGTAGACGACCAACCCAGTTAAATATTCACTCTCACTCCAAGCTCAGTTTCTCCACTATGGTCACCGTAGGGCCTAGCGATCTCGGACAGCAATGGTGAGCTGAAGTCCAATGTCGTGCGAATACTACGTATGCGTCATGACAGCGAAATGAAGTTATGAACTGACTTGTCAGTCATGTTGCTCAACGCTAGGTTCCTTCAGGTAGCAACACAGCTGGCTGGTTGCAGTGAGCGCCACTTCTTGTCCCCTACTGTTTCTTACACCGACAACCCCTCTCGATACCACTAATCCGAAACGGCAGCGATATTATACTAGTCTGTAACACTCCGTGACCATAGCTGTCTCCATTCATCCTCGCCTCTTTCTAACCTCAATTGTACAGCGAGTACCTCATCACCTTCAGCTCTGAAATCAAACACTATTGGCCTCCCAGGAATCGCTTCACCCTTGTCACGTTTCTCTTTTTGGTCAACCGATACATTCCACTATTTGGGCACATCCCGTTCATATTGGCGGCATTGTTAACGTCAGACCAGGCTACAGTGCGTTCGGATCATCATTTTACTCCTCTATGCCCTTCGTCAAACATACCTATCGCTCGCCGTCTGTGTGCGGATAGTTTCACGTCATATAGTGGACGCTGACACGTTGCTCCGGCACAGATATGCCCAAAGCTTACAATATACCACGAATATTTCGCGCTTGTGCTGGAGATCAACGTCGGTGGTGAGTTTTCGAACTTCTTCTGATCCTCGGCAGTACATACACTCCCAGATATCACCACCGCTCCTCACCCATTACGGTTACTATTTATACCTTCGGTATCCGTACCGCTGTTTTTTTTCAATATATGTGACTCACCTCAACCTATGTAGGGATCTTGATAATGCGGGCGTATGCCCTTTCCAATCGATCCAGAGTCGTCCTTGGATTACTGAATTTGTTGGGTTCTGCGGGTACAGCTGTTGCGCTCGTACGTCTACCTCAGCCCTTCTTCTCAGTTGATACACTTTCTACCATTTATTCCTCTGTACTCTCTTCGACCTGTCACACATGCATGTATTTTCCCAGCCGTTCCGACTATGGTATTTCAATATTCCTCGTCGTCTGAATACTAACATTATCTCGCTACTCAAGTGGGCCATCATCACGCAGGAAGGCCCTTACGAAGTTGACAGCGTCTCCGCACACTTGTATGAGCTGGGAGCGAGTGGATGTATGTCACCTCTTAGTGATGCACTGTACGCTCCCCGCTATTGTATCCTAATGCTTTCGTACGGTTACTCACAACGATATTGGCTATACTAGATCCTTACGTAGGCCTCTATTTATTTCATATTTACTTCTACTCTAACACTCTTCATCGTCATTCCTCCGGACTAATCTATCGCATGGATCTACTTGTCGAATCATGAACTGACCTCACATCTTGTTGAAAATGAACTCGAAAGGCCTGAGCATAACATGGACATCTCTCCTCATGTTCGACTTCGTCATTTTCGGCATCACGGCGTACAAGGCATATACACTACGGCGCGGCGGGAGACTTTTACAGGTCCTTATAAGGGATGGTACGCTCCTCCAGTGACATGCTCTGTCCTCGCGAGCCAAATTGATATTAATCGTACTTGCGCTATAGGGTCAATGTATTTCCTGTGAGTCCCTCAGAGATATTTAGTGAAGGACTGTGCTTATTACTCTAAACGTCCATTCGGCGGTCTGGATCACCTCACGCAGAGTGATCTTCTCTGCCAACGCGGTTAATGTGGCTCTCCTTATTATACGTTCCCAATTTCTTTCCAATCTAAGACAGGGCTTTGACATTGGTCATCCTGTTTTTAACTCAGACTGCAAAGGTAACTCTACAGAACACACTATCTCAGTGTCATTGACACGGACGTGGTTAATAGCCATATCTCCGAGGCATGATGGTTCCATTTGTGAACATGTAAGTTTTACCACCTTCCAAGTCACGGATGCGCTATGACCATTCCAATTGAGCTCTAATTTTCAATCTGATCAATGGTCTAGAATTTCTGTCTGTTTAGCCTCCCGTCTCATGCTCAACATCCGAGCTTCGAACTCCAACCACAATGTCCAAGTATTACGACAGCTGCGCCGTAACTGGCAGTGGTCAACATTCAACGTCGACACTTTCCAGTGAACGTACATAGGGAGGAGAGTTAGCTCGGAGAGGAAGGGGATGATAGATATTGGTGCTTGTTTGTCATTGATTGGGAGAACCTGCGTAGAGATTGGAACGAAGTTGACTGAAGCGGACTCTCCTCTGAATATTTCCCTATGTGAAATGTAGTGTCTTTAGAACGGGTTTGGTGGTCCAAGTCTCACTACGATTAAGACATCGTAAACTTACTGACATATCTCGAAACACCCTCGTCTTCCTCATCGTACCTGCTCCGGCCCAATTCCACCACTTTCGAAGCTAGATACATTCTAATCCTCGTCGGTCGCCGAGTCTGCCATGTCGATGGCCACTGCATCAGAGGGTGTTGGTAAAGAATTTGCGTCTGAATCCCGATCTCGACTTTCTGAGCGCAGCCCGGGTAGATTATTCGTCTGGGAAGAAACGGGTGGAGACGTAGTATCCGCTAAGCATTACATCACCAAGACAGTGCTGGTAAAAGCGAAGATTAGGGTACACGCAAAGCCACCCACCAGCCTCAGACTCTCTTGGGCGAAACATACGGCATGCTTCGAGGCTTTGACATTGATTAGTCTGTTTCCTTCGAGGTTTACGGATCCTCTATGATTGGTCCGTGGATTCACGGGAAGTGTTCTAGTGCTGTGCACACATGGCGCTATGCTTGGTCGGAAGGTGGCTTGCTGCTTTTGCGCGCAGCAATCTCTTGGAGAATCATGATGATGCTGGACTCGATGTCTAACAGAAGATGCGCCTTTTCGCCAAATTTGAGGAGATCTACAACCAAATGGATCATCGAGACGACAAGCGAGTTGTAATCGAAGTCGATGTAGGGTTTATCTCCGACATGCAAGTGGTAGGTATCCACACACCATTCGTCTGAGTCTCAGTTGGTTTGTCATTTTGTTCATCGCCTCTGAATCCGACAGCTTCGCAAGAATTTCACTTGAAGTAGAATCATATCAGTGGCGAAGAAACCCAAGGCCGTTCACAAGGCACTCACAATATCGTATCGTTCGAAACGTTTCGCCCACCCACGGGCACGTTTGCGTTGTTATCGACTGACTCGCCGTCCGTGGCTGCAAATGAAGAGTTGGGGATCTGGATTGAGTTGTAGAGCTCATAAAAGCCACAGGTGAGATATCGTTAACATACCAATCGAGGGGAGGTGGATGACTTCATTTCGAGCCCCCGCCGGGCATGGATTTGGTGAGGTTTCACGCGGCAAGGTGTACGCACTGTAGACAGTACAATGTGGAGTCGACAAAGGTCGCAGATACCCAACGTGCATGGTAGGTACTTCATTCTGTACATCGCACGCATTCTGCAGAGCATAATTTTTCTGTTTTAGATAGCAAGAACAAGCTTTCTGACAGCACTGTACCGAGCAGTACTTATATGATGAAGAGTACTAGTACTACAGGCATGCCAGCAGAACCCAGGTTTTTGTGAGCTATATGCAGATGGCAAGAAGAGTCCGCTCATAGATAACAGTCTGACATTATACGAAGCCTTCAAGGACGCAGAAGAGGATATGACGATGACGGAGAGAGAAAGGAGGAAACAGCGTTCCGAGCGTCCGTATTTGGCTAATGTTTGTTTTGTCGCGTGGCGTGCAAGCCGCTTCCGTCACTCTCAGGCTTCGCCACCGCCAGACGGCCTCTACCCACCTTCTTCCCTTACCACTCCTGGGACTTCTTCTCTTGCTCCCTCGGAATATCGACGCTATGCAGCGAACAAACTCGAACATGCTCTTCGCGAACTTCAACCAGGACTTTACGTGCGTCGTGACCGCCTTGAGGGAATGTAGAGATGGGCAGGGGCTGACTACGTCGACGACTTTGTATGTGCGTGTAGATGCGTCTCGGTGGGAACGCGTAAAGGATATAGTATCACCAATTGCGATCCTTTTGGGAGGGTATATACTATGAGTGCGTCTCTTTGGTGTTTGTTTCGGTCTATAATCGCTGACTGACTGGTCTTTCTTCGCGTCGCGTCTCGGCTATCTGTCTGGCTACGATGGATACGGTTGCGCTGGGTGGTGCTGGCACTGTGTATGATTTGGATGGAATGACTTGTAGACGATGGAGCTCGTGGAATAGTAGAGATGCTATTCTGCACATCGCTCATTGCCCTCGTTGGAGCCGCGGACCAACCATCATCGAGTCCTCGGAAACTTCAGATCGTGAACACCAAGGTATGTGTTGTCTTGGACGCATTATTCTTACCCTCTATCGTCGGCGTATATTATCATAGGCAGTCCCTCCCAAACGGTGTGTCGATCCAGGCAGAAGGCTAACATGCTACTCGGTTTTGCATCACAGAGACAAAGCATGATTTGCGAACTCCTCTTTCCCTCATCCATTCTCGCCGTCAAGCTCAACCGGAAGACGCTCGTGATTGTGCTGGAGAACGAGATTTACATTTACGACATATCCAATATGAGACTGCAACACGTCATCGAGACAACACCGAACCCAGAAGGTGTGTTGCCCGTACCCATATCCAGCTATCCCTATTCCGTCGTACCTCTTCGATACGACTATCATCCTCCATCCGCGTTTGTGAGTGGAGTGCGTTGTGCGTAGTCAAGTTCCGGGTACCGCGTGCAATCTCGCCGGTAGTGTCAGAACATCGCTATGTGGCCCATTCAGGTGTGGCTACACAGCTGATATGGGGAAATGTCCCTTATATGCCATCCAGTCACCGTTCTTGCACGCCCGATATAATACGGGATGGTTCTCCAAAAGCTGCAACTATGGTGGGACTCTGGTTCTCGCGAACACGAAGGCTTCGCCGTCTTACCTACGAACCGCCGTGTGCGATAGTTCATCAACCAATCATAGTCTATGGACGAACTCAATCCATTATAGCGCTTCTATCACAACCACACTGACCTTTTACCTTTCTCCTACGCAGCCATCGTCGCTCTCTCCCCCTCAATCGAGAACTCCTACCTCGCATACCCCTCGCCCCTCCCCACACCCACACCCCTATCTACAACCACCTCCGGCCCCTCCCCCTCCCCAAACGCACCCTCAACCTCCCAACAACCCACCGGCGACGTCCTCCTCTTCTCCACCAAATCCCTCTCCGTAACCCAACTCATCCGCGCGCACAAAACTCCCCTGTCCTCCCTTGCCCTCAACAGCACCGGAACCCTCCTCGCCACCTCCTCCGAGAAGGGCACGGTGATCAGGGTGTGGAGCGTCCCCGGCGCGGAGAAGCTGTATCAGTTCCGGAGGGGAACGAGGGAGGCGAGGATTTATAGTATGAATTTTAATACGGTGGGGACGTTGTTGGCGGTGAGCAGTGCGCATGATACGGTGCATATTTTCAAGCTTGGGGTGCATGGGAATGGGGCGGGCAATGGGGGCGCGGGTGGGCAGCAGAGGGGAGAGGAGGCGAGCGATGTGGCGAGTCAGGAGAGTAGGGATATTGAGGGGCCGGGGTATGATGCGGTTATGGATGGGAAGAAGTCGAATGGTGGAATTTCGTACGTCTATCATCTCACTTCCTCCCGTCTATGTTGGCTGATTGCTCCTTGATCGTTGACTCCTGATGCGTTTGTGTGTGGCCCAGATCAACGCTCCGCCGTCGCTCACTCCATCTCACGAAGAACCTTACGTCGTCAATGGGCGGATATCTCCCGAATACACTGACGGAGATGTGGGAGCCTTCGAGGGACTTTGCGTACCTCAAGCTACCGACGAGCGGCGCGAGGTGTATTGTTGCGCTCAGCGGGTACGTTCGTCTCCTGTGTTCATCGCCCGTCACTACGGCTATATGACTGGGACACAGTTGATGAAATGATTCGTGTTCTACTTATAGCTCGGTGCCGCAAGTTATGGTAGTCTCATCCGAAGGATACTTCTACTCGTACAACATCGATCTCGAAAATGGCGGAGAATGTTCACTGATGAAGCAATACTCGTATGTCCCCCTTTTGCCTGAAACTTTCGTTTGCTATTCCTCCCTTCCCATCACATCGTCCGCCCAGATCACACGCTGAACTATTTCGTTTGCCGCTTTTGTAGGTTACTCGATTCAGGTGACGAGTCAACGAACGAATAGGCGTAGGGACCCCAGCATCTTCGGTCGTTTCGTTTCGTTTCGTCTTTTTCGTGTGGAGTTCAATGCATGGATGTGTTGATTGGACGGATAGCATCAGGCAGGATAATGTGCGATATGGGCTGCTCGGTTCGACATAGGATAGGACATGCGGGATCCGGGAGCATGAGGTGAGGAGTGTGGCGTGCAAACTCTCACCCGCGTGGCGCCGAGGTGACCCAACCTCCGAGTTCTTTCCCTGAATCACCGTTTACTGTGTATGTACTCGATTTATTCCCTCTCGTTCGCTTTCGTCGTGTCTATCATCGTGAGTGGATGCTCTATGACAGCTTGCTGTGGTTGCGGTTCAGGTTTATCTCTCTCCCAGTTCAAGTTGATTAACGTACATATTTCGGCACATACTGATTTCGAATTCATTCTATTCAAGTTGTTCTTTGTGAATTTTCCACAGCGATCTGTGACGTGCACGATTCTTATGCTCTCCTCTGCGAGCACAGTTCGCACCTTGGGCGGAGGTGGCACCCGGACAACTGGTTCTGGGGTACGATGGCGCTCTTCCGATGGTGAGATCACAAGAATGTGACCCCGCATCTTTCTGACTATCGCAGTAAATCACCATATATAAACATTAGAATCAACACATCATTAGACAACTCCATACAAGTCAAGCACAAGAATGATCTGCTATACATGTCCATCTTCCTATACAGCCATCTATGAGGGTTTGGGCTGCCATCCCTTTATGGCTAAACATCAATAACCTTTGCTCCCGTGCATGAATTCCCTCGAAGTTTTGTGCAGTCTGTTGTTATATGCATCGGACATCTCCCAGAATATTATGGGTCACGAGCCACATAATCCAATCGCCACATAGGCATGATCCGAACCTATTGGAGAGATCGATTCGGAGTCGCTGAAGCATGACTTCGTACAACGCGCTCTACACACACACAAATTGCGGACGATGGTCAAGCCGAAGAGGTACGCCGAGAGTAAAGGAGGATGGATGGATCTCAAGGGAACGACTGTCTTCCCGTCCATAGGTCTGACTGTGGGAGACTAATGGACGAACATAGCTAAAGGCTACATACCTTCGAGATTTTGTGTTGTCGCGATGGCGCGTCACTGACACATGCCGGAAGTGTCGTAGATATAGATCTAACTCTCCAGTGCGATGACGAGTGTGTTTTGGTCGAGCTTGCCGGCGACGATGGATGTTCGCCTATCATGCTTTATCTCTATGGGGCACAATCGCGGAGTGTCAGTCGCTATCAGGCCTGACGGATCATTCGCAAGAAAATGGGGAGGAAAGACAGAAGGGAAGTAGGTAACGAAGGTGGGTGCAAAGGTTGGCATACCGTCGTGTTCACGAATCGCAGTTCCAGGGGCTCGAGGAAGGTTGGTCGGCGGCTTCGACGAGAACGATTCGCGCTATGCAGAACTCCGTCTCGACCTCCATCTTCTGCAGGTCATCCCATGCAAATTATTCTGGGAAGAGGTCGTCGATGGGAAGCCAATACGGCTATACCGAACGAGCCCACTGAACGGATAGCTGAAACGCGTCGCGGTAGAGGGAAAATTGTCAGTCGAAGCAACGCAAAAGGAGATAAGACCGGGACGCACTCATGGAATATAGTCGCCCAGCAGGATCAGAGCTGTATCTTCTATCGCGATGCATCTGAGCACGAATGTCTCGTCCGAGTGGGTACGGAGACGCACAGCCTGCCCACATCTCAGTCGCATTGCGCTCATCATCAAGAAGGCCAGGACACAAGTAAAGTCCTGGTTGAATCTGTCTCAGAGCAGGATCGAGTTGGTACGTGTCTTTGATACTCTGAGACAATGAGAGAGAAATCCAGAGGGCATTGCGGGAAAGGTCGGTCGAGGCGGTTTGGCTGTGGCGCAGTTCGAGATGTGGCGTTTATGCGCCACGTGGAAACACAAACATTGGCCAAATGAAGACGGTCGGTCTTCCTTCCGATCCGCCGTTCCAGTCATCTCTCCCACTCTCCCTCTTTGTTCTTCACCATTCCACTCATCTTCGTGTTTCGTCGATTCCATCAGCACATGTGGCAGCCCTCGCTGATCGCAATGAGCTCCAGACGACCCGCCATCGCGTTCACGCAACTCCTGCCAAGGACTCAGCGAATCACCCCTCTATCCTCAGTTACCTCGTCGCACTTTTATTGTCCTAGTACGCAATTCTGCCGCCCAATATGCTATCTGAAGCATTCTTTCTAGACCGTTTTGCTTCTGGATTGACTTGGTGATGAAACGCTCGAGTTCCAATGATATAGCTCTAAAAAATGTGGGTTTCTCGAAATATGTTGAACAATCCTTCTTCACTGCCTACTGTCCAGACTCCACCCGGCTTTAGACGTTTGTTGAGAACGACCATCTCTAACTATCTATGAAAATATCACATTCTACTATTGAAGAGGCCTCATTCTATCCAGCTTGCTCGAGATCTGTCTACTGGTTGCTGTCACCTTTGGCCTTCCACGGCGCTGAAGCTATCAGGCCATCTGGAAGCAGAGCTGAGAAATCCATGCGGGAGACACCATCTCTTTCGATGAAGCGAACACCTCATTTTTGATCTGCTTGGTTAAATTCTGCCTCTCCTTTGACACTCTCACCGACGGATTATTTTACTGGGGTTTTACGCGGACACGATCATCCGCCACTTGAGAGCATCTACGACCTTGACTTTGCTGGACTCGTATCAGAGCTTCCTGTCTCTTTTGTAAACTTTCTGGCCATTGTTTCTACCCAAGAACAGAGTCAACTATTCATCGAGTTGTACCCGCTTGAGCGGCCGTGGCACACTGTGTTCTGATTCCGTACGAATGCAGGAGCCCCCTTTTCCGTACGGACCGTTCGTCGATTGGGGTCTGCTCAGCGGAAAACCGGCATTTGTATGGTCAAGATTAGCGGCTTTGGGCGGCTGCGGATTTATTTTGGCCTGCACGATCATTTTGACGACCCTTGACCGTGCAAAGCAGAGTATTTGGCCAAGCTTGGTCAAGTTTGGAGCTACCGTTCCACGATGTATTGCCTTCGTGGCCATGCCTGGCCAAGATTGACGCACCGTGGTCGTACGGTATATGGTCCATGGCCATCACTTGCTCATGTTTGGCAATTTTATCCGCAGAGATTGGCTAAGATAGACCGTGAACGACCAAGAGTGGGACCTCAATATCCTGATTCTAGGCTAAGTTAGCGAATAAGTACTCAGCGTGGTGACTTTGAGACTCGATAGTCTGTGCGGGTCTCGGTTAGTTGAGCGGTGTTCCAGATATACGTGATGTGTATATTGGAACATGCTAAAGTAGAAGATATCTAGAAGTCCAACATCGAGTAAGTATTAGATTTGTCGCGCACTGTACGAGGGGCGAGAGGTGGCGAGTTCTGTGCGCAAGGATGCAGGACGGCATTTTCCGAGACCATGACATCATACGTAGCCACTTACATTCTGCGAGGGTCGTCCAAGGGTCGTCCGTTCACTTGTTGTCTTCGACCACCACCATGCCCAGTCTCTTTCACGTCTGGTCTGGTCTCCATCATACTAACCGCCCTCCTCTTTACTCAAGAAATAACTAAGCTCTATCAAACACACCAATGTGACTGCGCTCATGGCGAACAGTTCGGCCCCGAAATTACCGCCCGGCGACTCGCACTCCATAGACGATCGCATTATCGTCATACGCGGAGGGTACACGTTGTAATAGGTGCGTGGTAGTTGACCATTGTCTTCACACTCTAAACACTGAATGTTCCCCAGTTTCGCCTTGCAGTTCTTCTCTGGTTCGTAGGAGACAATTCACTAGGTGCAGTACAACGAACTTTCCGTCCCACTTTCGTTCGTTTGGGCTCGAAACAATCATACTATCTTCTGTATATGTCTGTTCTACCTCTCTTGTATCACTTGTTCGTGAGTAATATAAATCTTCATCGTATTTCGGTCTGTACATGGGTTGGAGAACAATCCCGAGTTCGTCATAATAGTGTGGACTACCTGTAGAGTACGTATACAGTAGTACCAGTAGTAAGCCGTGTATGTCGTACCCTACCTACAGTAGTAATATATTATTTTTGCTTGTCTTCATCTGTGTGCAGTGAATTAGAGGAAAAGAAACGAGGAAAAGGTATTGCCTGCAGCGCACAGTAAGGTTGATCATGCTCGACGCCACTCGGCCACACTGGTCAAGTTTGGCCAGCTTGGCCGTCCTTGGTCGGGCACTTGGCCGACTTCGTCAAATATGAGCTTCCTTACGTTGTTGGCCTGCACCTTGGCCAAGGGACCGGGTACCCTCTGCCTTGGCCAAACTTGACGAAGCTGTATCGACCTCGACCGAATGAATGCAGGTTTTCCGACAAGACTATGATCGTGATTTGTATTCAACGGTATACACGTAGCGGCACGTCGTCATTATCCTCCGAGCAGTCGCCAAGTGGATATTGTGGCGAGCAGCTTCTAAGTCAATGCAGCATGTTTCAATATAGACAATGTCTTGAAAAACGATCAGAACCCGGCGCAGATACGCTTCAACCCAACAAGTCCTGAGACTCCACAATGCTACCGCTATCCCTCTAGCCACAGTAAAGAGTTCCATTCGAAGTGTATTCACACGCTGGCAAAACAGTAAAAAGGATCAATATTACGCAGACATCAGCGACTGTGACGGACGTACTGCCTTCGATGAATAGGTCACAGTGAATTTTGCCGGTACAGCAGGGACAGTACCCACACTCCTGTCCTTTCGTGGATCCAGCACAGGCCGCGACTAGTGCAAAGACCTCGTGAGTATAAACAAATCCTGAAAAGGTTAGGAGAGGTCGTACTCTGGGCGGCGCTAGGATCTTGTGCACTCGCAGTTACAGCAAGGAGAAGAATGGAGGTCACAGTGGAGAAGAGATACGAGAGCCGCATGTCTTGTTTGAAGGTGGGGTCTTGGATGCGAATATTGAGTAATGCTCGGGGACGATGCTGGGGAGAAGAAGCCGCGGAGAGACGAGACACTCTATACCCCAGACAACCAAAGGTAAGATTCCGTGAAGAAAGGGTACCAGGCACATAGTTAATACAGGTATCCTTAGGAGCTCAGAGTTTCAGGCTTTGACGTTGACCGGAGTGATGTGTGATTTTCCTGGGTCTAGATGTATTCAGTAGAATGATAGTTGAATGGGAGAAGGGATCGTATAGTTGAGGAACGGTCGACCGTAGAATGTATCAGTGGCTTTCATAAATCCGCAACGACGGGTTTTGATGACTGTTGAAAAATTCGGAGAGGGACTCAATCAACAGTGCTCAACACGGCGATTACGATAGGGCCCGGATCCCCAAACATTGAATGCCACATCTACGTACGACCAGGAACGATATACTGACGGACAGGCAGTAACGCCGTCGTCCTGACAGATCTTAACCTTTTCGAAAGAGCATTGAGTATCACATTAGGTTCACTTCTGACAGCGTTCCTGTGATACAAATCGACAAAGGGCGCATAGAGGACCTGTCGTCAAAGGGGAAACGGTCAAGGAGGTCATGACGTGGCAGCTGATGTGGCGATGGAGGGGGAAAGTTCCACAGCGGTGTTCACCTCAGTCAGTGCAAAGGGATCACAGATGTAAGCTCAAGGGGGTTTCCAAAGAATGTAATGACCTTGGGGCTGCACTCTGTCAGTGCGCAGTAACGATGTAAACGCTAGTTGATCTGGTGAACACCGAAAGTAGCGTTGTGAATCCTTGACTATAATACTGTCAGATGTCTGAGAGTATACAGCTCGTGATAGGGTCAAAAACTCGACGAGAATAAGCCATGTCAATGGAGACGACGACGATCGAGGAGCGGGTGTGACACACGGACAAGGTTTGAAAAATCCGCCGCTGTAGGGAAACTCAGATTCGTGCGGAGATTCAAATGCAGCTTTCGACTTGACGACGCGCGTTTACAATTTCTCTACTCTCGTCGATGCGGCCGACTGCCATCTGGCTGAACCTTTCCTATTCCTAGGCCAAATCCGAGGTGGCAGACCTTTGAACGTTCGCTGTGCATGGTCTAGGAAATAGCTTGGTATCAATTTGGTCTACTGATACTCATTACATCTCTGAATCGTTCCTCTGGTTGAGATGACTCGGAACGTCTCCATGCTCCGTCATTCCGGACCAGTCTAAATGCGAGCCTCACTTGATTTCTTCTTTCTGTTCTGGTCGTGCTCTCCTCTGGCTCCGTAAAGATAGACTCGTGGACGATCCTTAGGAGATTGGAATGCAAAACACGGAGGGCGCTAGGTACAATCATCCGGACCTATCATAGCCCATAGGGCATCCTCGACCCAATCGGACAACTCAGGCTGCGAGCTCAACATATGATCCCACCTGTTGCTCTCCATTCTTTGAAACTCATACTGCTCCTCGCAGTCCGCATCTGCCTCGGATTTTATCTGTGAAATGAAATGATACCTGGCTCGATAATCACGATCATCTCTACTCTACGACCATCGCCGAGTCTATGTTTTTTCGTGCATGACTAGTAGGGGAAATATGATCATGACCACTGCCTTGAACGTTTATGTTTCAGGCAATTTCGTCCAACCTTTTTCTGGGCATGTAGTTCGTATAAGAGCCATGCTTTATGTTCTTTCCTCCCACTCTTCAGTATCCGTTTCCGCCGACTCCAGAAACTATCAGAAGCACAGACAACCATGCATATTTCTCCTATTTTTACCGCTGTATTCTCAGCCATCCTCCTCGCTTCGTCGAGCAACGCGCAAGACGGAACTACTAGTACGTCCGTGCCCATACACCATCGCGTTCCCCGTCCTCCCCTCTATCTCTGATCTGACCCTGTACCATGCTCATGCTGAGATCGCCTCCGTCGTCTTCATTTTGTTTCTGAAGTCGCTGCGTGCGATGGATTGAGCGCAGGAGACTCTTGCAGGTTATCCGGTTGCCCACCTCCAATCAGACCTGGAGGCCTCACCTGTGATTCGTTCATCGAAGGGAGTGAGTACTTCCCCTAGCATTTCATGCTCTTTAAATAGATCGTTCACTCACTGCGTCGGGTTACATTCTTGATTATAGCTTGCCAGACTTCGAGTAACGATACTTTGTACTGCGTTCCTACGGCGCTGCCGTGAGCGTTTGAGACTATGAAGTAGACTTTATGCGGCTCGTAGGACGGAGAAGGATTTGTATTTCGGAACATGGCCACCAGTTATAATCCTGATCAAAGAGGGATCTTCTCTCTCGCTGCGACTATACCTCAAGCAACACGGGATAGCTTGCCGAATCGATGCTTCAATAGAGTAATGATGGATATACTACTCTTCAATATCACCAACTTTTGTTGGAACACCACGTGCAGTTGTAGCACTCTGGAGTCTGCATAGGAAGAGCATCTCCAACAACATAGCGTAAGACTGAGGGCATACATATCACTTTGTATTTGGGCTAAGATGTGAGTTTTCGCGAATCCAATTCGACCCCACAGCACGACACCTCCGCTCTGTCACCCATTTTCTCGACCGCGATGAGTCCTCAGGGACGGGCACGCCGCTCGGCACCAGTCACCTGGTCGGGTGTGGGATCCTGGTGTCAGTGGAGTGGCGACGCTTTGTCCCTCTGTCATGGAACAAAGCGTTGGCACTTCACGAAGCGGATCAACGTGTCTTATGGTTGCTCCGGCATTTCATCTCTTTTTGCGATCGTTGGCACCGCGTGCCCATCGCATTGTTCTATCCTCGCTTGGATACGGGCCATTCGCTGATGCTGCCCTTGTTCTCGCAGAGATATATAAACCTCGCGTCCCGCTTTCCGTCTTCTCACTTTTCGCCTCGCCTCGGTTCCCTTCGTCTCGTCTCATCTCGTCTCGCCTGCTCCCTGCTCTGTTTTTCTACCCGCCTTCCCTCCCTCTGCCTTACTTCTTACTTACTCATTACCATCTAGTAATCCCACGATGTCTACATGCCACGGAAACTCTCCTGACTTCTACTCGGTCCATCCTCGCTTTATTTTACTTTACTACACTCATAACTAATCTTTCGGCATTGATCATTTTTCATGTTTTACTTCGACTCGTACAGCTCGCGTGGTTGCGCGGGCTTAGGGTGTAGCTATCTTACTTGTACATTCTAGTTTTCGATTCTCGCAGCCGTACGTTACTCCGTAGGAAACCCACCCTCGTCCCGTCCGTCATGCTCAATACAGCCCGTTCGGGATTTTCCAGGGCGCCCTTCGGGCGCCCCCCTCGGTGTTCCCTCGTATACGCTTCAGTGGCGTTGGGTTGATTGGACTTATTATACTGGATCACCGCTCATTGTACTCCTGCAAAGCCAAGCTGTTGAAGTTCCCCGCCACTGAGCAACACGCCGAATCATCGGTTCAGTGGCACTAATTTGACTTGTCGCGTCTCTTGGGCCGAGCATTCGCCACACAAATTTCCTGGGCTTTCCCTGCTACGATTATCTTCCCCATACTCATCCCGTCCATGGAAAAGACCAAACCAAAATTTAAACGCGCCTCTACTGTTTCGAAAGTCCTAGAACACGACTCCAATAATAATGCCACATCTGGTTCTCGCGCACTGGACTTACAAATATCGTTCGGCATCCTACCCATCGAACTCACACACTCCGTCATCGCGCACGCACTAGGGAACTACTACACCGAGCTCATCTTCTACGAAGGGTCAGATCACAAGAAGAATGGAGAATGGGACGCGATGCTGGTGCTCTTACATGTCTCGAGGGTGTTCAGAATGGAGACGATCAGGTTGATGGGTTATCTCTTTGGTGGCACGGAGACGATTGTTGACATTCAGAAGGGGTGAGTGGATTCTCGCCGTTTCATTGATTCCAACGACCCGAGTTCACTTTCCTGACGAGCTGAACGACCGGTTAGAATCGTCAATCTCAAAGCTTACTACGGGCACTTTGACCGCTTTCGGCGGCTGCATTCCTCGGCACATAATGACGACTTTCTCACATTCGTCGAGCTCTCCGAAACCTTCTTTCCCAACGACAATCACTTCGCCAGATCTAAAACCAGCGACGAAGACGAGCACGGTGACGAAGAAACGAAGGAGCTGGGGTTCTTCCATTTGTGGGAGCACTATGTGTACAACAAAGCTTACGAGTTCGATCTCCTCCACGCGCGAATAACATCTTTGGGAGAAGTCGTCCTGGAGGATTTCCGGAGGGTATGGAACGAGATGGCTGTGGAGAAGTATATGGTGAAGAGCGTGGAGGGAATACCTGGTTATGTGCAGAGAGTCGAGTCGGACTCGGATACCGGTACTGCCGCCGGAGGCATCGGTGTTGAGGGAAGCTTGTGGGACGTGCTCGTGGGTAGGATCGTGAAAAAGTGTAGAGTCAATGGGGTTAGATTTTTGAGACGTGCGTATTTTTGCGCGTTTTTGAAGTCGGGAATACGAGGTTGATCTGTCTGGCGGATAGTGTGGTCATTCAAGCTGATGATGGACGAGATTGCCGAGACAATCGAAGGTGTACACGACGGGACTATAGACGATGTACGCTCTCCCTTTTTTTCTCTCACTCGTCGCTCGTTCCGCCGTATTCCCTCCTATCCCTGAACCAAGCCTCGCGTTTCCTTCCACAGATTACCTGTCATCTTCCCGCTCTCTCCCTTACCGGCCAACATAACACGTACCTCAATATAACCTATCAATTCTCCCTCTATCCTTTCCCCGGGCTCACGCATACCGATGTTTGTGATCATGATTTCGGAGACCTGGAGCTCTCGATAACGGGGTATGCGAGAAATATGGCTGAATGTCAGGTACGCCCGTTTCCGTCTCGCATTCTGACATAGATGAGATGGTTCTGACATCTGTATATGGGCCATGGGTTGCGATAGATCCTCGAATCAGTCCCCAATCCGCTAAATAAGAAGATGGCAGAAAGATGTAGAAGGTGGGCGGGCACCTTCTTCGGCGAGGGAGAGAGGATAAGCAGGGGCTTAGGGGACCGGAGTCGGGAAGAGAAAGTCTGAATCTCGACGCAAAGCTTTAGAGGAGTAAGCAGGGCTTTTGGAGTGGGCTGAAGGTGGTGTGGCGGTGGCGCTCGAGTTTTCGTCGTCGGTGTTTTATTTCTCGCATCTTTCTCCGTCGTCATTCCTGATTACTGATACCAGTGCGTCAGTATAGTGCATACGATGCTAGCCTGGTATTTTCGCTCCCTCGTTATACCTGAAGGCCGACAAATGGTGTCATTGCGAACTCTTTCGGCATTAGATGTTATCTGCAGCCTGAAAAGTGGACTTTTGGGTTGCAAGGTGATGCAAACGAAATGTAAAAGCGAGAATTCCAAGTGAATTTTCATTTTGAAGGGGAATATGTAGGCCGGCTGTGATTGGCTGATCACCCTCCTTTGGCCTGCGTCTGGCACTTACCGAGGGTTGGAAGCGAAATATTACTTGAAAATTGAAGTTTGCGACCTGCAAAGTAGCCGATCTGAAGCTCACAGAACCTCCCGTTTTTCAGGCTGCAGATAACATCTATTGACGTGTACTGAGCCTTGTGGGATATGTGCCCCTCAGTGGATCCGCATGGTTCCTAGCTTCAGGCTCGTGCTCGTATGGTCTGTGTTGCGGACGGTATGTAGTCCTTCGCGAGTCACAACGACGGCTCGCTCTGCGCTGCGATCATTCCACAAGTGTGGCATAGCCCGTGAATTGAAATCTCGGAGCGCCACGTCATGTAACCGTGATCCAAGATCCGCCTCTCCATGGAGTCGGGCCACGGCCCAGTCATCACTCTCGTCTCAGCATCGAAACTGCTCTCTGCTAAAGGCTAAAGCGTACTTCGGCGTAGATGTACGTCCGCTCCTCTACTAGCCCTTGTGGACTTGGTTTGTTCTTGCCCTCACGGTTCGTCTGGAGCGCTATATGCAAAATGATACGCCATCGCTTTGATCTTAGTATGGTGGCTAGGTCGACCGAGGATAACGTCGCAATTTCCGTATCCTCTCTGATGGATTGCCCGTCCTAGAGTGTATCTACGTGTACTCGATGCCTTTTTCGGGAGGTGTTTCACGGGATCGTACTGCCTCGACATTCTGCGTCACAGCCTCTGTATGGCTTCAGCGGCAATACACTACGATTGTATGTGGGCTGCGACTTGGTCGACTCGCAGCCCCATGGTTTTATCTTTAAATTCAACTTGCATTCTATGCACGGTGCCGGAGTACCGACACGTTCATTCTCTAAATATCTACCCATGCCGAAATGCTGGGCACAGGTGGGCGCGATTCAACGCATGACGATCTGACAATTGAACGTGCTTAGACAATGATAACTTATATTCGGTTTGCCGCCCGGCGTGTCTGGAGATGAGCGGAGCGGTATAAAACCTTCTACTTTATAAGCTCATATCCCTTCAGCTTTCGAGCTTGTCATTCGTAATCGAAATGCAGTTATTCAACGCCCTCTCCGCTCTCGCGTCCCTCGTCCTTTTCGTGTCGATGAGCAACGCATCCCCGTTCTCCGGGATTGGCCACAACGCCAGTACGTTTTCTTTTCCCGAACCAGCTCCACCCATTGTTTCTCCTTCTTTGGTGATTCACTAATTGTCTATCAATGGAATGACTTTTCAGCCGAAGCCTGCGTTGGCCACCAGCAAGGCGACTTCTGTCAATTTTACGCTATCTCCACCTGTCCAGGTACCGGGACAGTCGAGTCTTGCCTCATTCTTGACGGACGTACGTCGCTCGGAATTTCCTTAGCATATATGAGCACTCATCTTTCGAAGTCGATGGGTGTAAAAGTGGACGAAGATACTGACACGGCACGTTGTTTTGTTGGTTTGATTATAGATTGCGAGACTGCGTCCTCGGGCGGATTGTACTGCGATACCGAGGTGGACTCGTGAAGCAGGCAGTCCTGCATTTTCGTAGGATCTCTTATTATGAGTGTATTGTTTTCCGATGTGAGATACGAGAGAATTATTCCACCGAATATTATTCGTCGAGGGTGTGGCCTTTTCGTGTGACCTCTCGCAGCGTTGGCCCTTTCACGAATCGAGTGGCGTCGTGGGTGGCCCATCGCTTTCAGCATACACTCTCCAGACGCTTAAGACGCTTAAGGCGCTTGCGGTCGTTCAAGAGCCACCACGTACATTTCACCAAAGCACAAACGTGCTGACACACTGGTCATAAGGACAAACTCCAGATGTCTGGATTTCTTTTGTGCACAAATACATAGCATTATGATATAAGGCGACTTTATTTTTCTTGGCAGCTTTCCTTCCCCTATTTCGCACACTCCAGCTAACAAGGATACTTCCCAGGTGTAATACCGTTGTCACAATATAATACACCATCGTTCGACTCCACGCAATCTATCCAAGGAGAGGATCTCGGTGAGCGGTCCCTCGTCTCATAAAGAAGAAAAAGCAATCGTACACCCGATTATAACATCGGTCGTTGAACCTCCGTCTGTGGCGCAGCATGGACAATAAGCGCACTCAATTCCAGTGGGACGGCCAGCACATGCAGCAGCTGAAGATGAAGGACAATAAGGATTGATCCAAGGGTAGGCGGGAGAAGAGGGATATGATGGAGATGAGACGTACTGGCGCCGGGGGTATCGGGACCTACGGTGCTCTGAGCAGTTGTGACTACGAAGAGCAGGACGAACGAGGCAAACCCGGAGACGATGTTTAAGAATCGCATATTCTTATACTGAGGATGTTGGAGCGGGACAGAGGTGAGGACGCCGATACCTCAGACTTGGTCACAAAAAGAAAAGACTGAGGTCCAGAGGTATTTATACCTTTCCCTCGTAAGAGCTGGTCCATAAAAAAACTGACATGCACGCTTTTGAGGTTCCCATGGATTTGGTGGAGGCCATTAGAGGCCGTGGTGGATGGTAGGGTGACGTCTGCATGTCTTCGCCTGTACGTGTCTACTGTAGTTCCTCATATCCCATATACTATTCCGCATGGAGCACGGAAGACTGTAACTCTATTCGTAACGATTTAAAGATTAAGGCAAGGGCGCTACGGACGCTATCAGAGTGACCTGTCCCCGAGTATGTATCACAGTCAAGTGAGCCTTGGAAGGGCCGAAACGCCGTAGTGGTTACATTGAGTTGAGAACGGCCAGATCATATGCCTAGTGGTGATTTCTGGACTACTGACATAACGCTACGAACGTAAGACCAAAGACCGGTCGGGACAAAAGGCTTGATAGACGCACACGGGCATGATGTACCCCTGACCGTCTGCAAGTGGAGATGAAAAGATGGTTGACATACACTGCACATACATAAAGGATAGATGAGGTTTAGAGAGACACTGCGGTCAGAGTGGTGGTAGCCCGACGAGTTTTACAGACCTCTCTGGCTGAATGCACGTCACGCAACGGGAAGGAATATGGATCACACAACTCATCTGGAAACCATGACAAAATATTGTTATTCTTCGCCGTAATAAGGACCACTTGGGATTGTATGACCTGGAATCCACCTCATAGTCAGCTTCAACGGTTAAGGCTCAAAATCCAGTGAGTTGAAAGTTCCGACCTGCTTCGCTCTCGAGACACCTGGTGCCATCGCACCCTACATGCATTCATGACGCACTTCCACAAACACCCAGGATAAACTCTCCCGTCCCATAAAAGTTTATACATCCCTGCGCATTCGCAGTATTATTGAGGACCCCGGTCAAACTCCCAAAGTTGCATCCATCCGGTCCATCCGAGTCTGTGAAGAGCGTGAAAGTGCAAGGAAAGGCGTCCGTGCTCACAAACAACGAGGCGGCGCTACCAAGCTGCTCGTAGCACTGATTCTGGCCGGGATTGAGAGAGCTGGTCTGGACGACGGTGCCGGTGCAGTCTGTGCTAGAGTATTGGTCGAAATAGGCAGCGGACGCGCTCCTGGTGGAGATGATTGTTAAGGACAGCAATGAGAAGACGGAGAGTTTCATGGTTGCAGTATAGGTCTAATTGTGATGATGACAATACTTGTTTTAATATGACGGAAGGGAGAGTAAAAAATGAGCACCATACCTTGTTTTCGAAGCACAAAGATACGTCCAAGATGCGTATGAACAGTAGGCAATGTCCTCGTCAAGTTAGAGCTCCACTGCCCTAAATTATATAGAAAGAGGGCGTCAATATGTGCGTTTGATGACTCACGCAATCCATGTGGATGTGTGCACTCTATTATTGTGTTACAAAACGGAATAGACTGCCCGTACAAGGGAGAATATAACGGGCTCTACCGCCCGACGATCAAGGAGAGGGATAGAGAATAGCCTTGTTCAGAGTGCTCATATCGAGCCCTCATAAACGCTGTATATGAGCTCGTATATGAGCTCGATATGAGTTTGATATGAGCTCCAGCACAGCCAAGAGGCTTTGCCGAACAGTTTCTGCCTAATGGGGCAGCTCAGCTCATATCGAGCTCATATCGAGCTCATTTACGAGCCTCATATGCGAGGCCTCAATATGCGAACTTTGAGCAAGGCTAATGACATGATCCAACTACCAGCGTCTGAAACTATGAATAGCACAATGGACATACTGAGCCATGGATGCAGTTTGGCGTCGTGGAATAACACGGTTCTGGTCATCGTCCGACGTTGTGAGGCCGAGGAGACGAATGTTTGACTTACGTATGAAAGCATGATTGTGTATTTCGTAGAATAGGTGTACCTGGCCGTTCCGTTTATGACCAAGACACGTGTCAAGGAAACAGAAAAGCATGTTCAGCAGTATCGAGGGAAGTCGTATCATATGTTCAATAATTGGAAAGCCAACAGAGAGGTAGTCATTGACAAAGGCGGAGGAGAGACACAGGCAAGACACAGGACGGCGCAGAAATAGCTCGAGGGGTCGCATTCGAGAGGTTGACTGATGTGCAATAGGAGGACACGTTAAGGTTTGCGTGAAGCGTAGATTGGGGAGGGGAGTTCCAGAGTGGATGCACGGTCTTCCACGATTACCTCGTAATTTAATTCTGTACCATCCCCGCATGATGAGTACGGCATCCTATCATTAATAATCCGTGGACCCAGGAACTCGTCTGGTAGACTCCGTGGTGCAAAACGGAGTGGGGCTCTTTGACTCACTCAATCATTGGCCCAAGGTTGTTCCGAACCAGTTTAGGTGCAGAGAAGACATTTGATAGACGCTCCTCTCCAGGCTATCAGCGGCATTCTAAATAACATAAATGACACGACAACGGCCGCATTTTACCTCGGAGCAAAGAAAGGGAAGGTCATATAATCGGACATTGGCCATTATTTCCCGCACCCAAGCTAAACGGCTGCATTCGAACGTGACGTTGTAAGCTTTCAGAGCAAGGTCCATTGATGTGCGGTCTGTACGCCTTGCGACAGCCTTTGATCGCGTACATATCACTGAAACTGGAGCCAGGACAGAGCGCCCGCAGTGTGTGGTGTTAGGAGCGGCAATCTTAAGGGCCTACCACCGACAGTACAAGCACACCGTCCGAATCCATTGAGAGTGACACCAGTGCACGCATGGGGACATTTGAATTCCTCGCATGAAAGGATTGAAGTGGGGCAAGAAGAGACTATTAAATATCAAGAATTTTAATGTATACACCACATCAGGACCTAGCCATTCAAGACTCCAACGCCGGATCGCAGTAGAAGGTCCCGTTGTTAGAGTACTCGCAGTCTAAAGACCCGAAAGAAAGACGTTAGGTATCATCATCCATATGTCTAACGAGGAAAAAAATGAAGGTGAACATACGGCCTTCCACAATTACTTCACAGTGCGGCCCTGGACCATCTCCGCAAGGCGAGTAGGAACAGACGGAACCTTCGGCGTGGCCAACGCAGGCCTCGACTAGATTGATTATTCAGGGTTTCCGGTTCTCCTCAGATCGGCCTGAATAGGAAAGAGGGATGGGGACGTACTAGCAGCAGGCGTGATATTCTGTCCATTCGTCGTCGAGGCGAGAAGAAGGACAGACGCAACGGTGCTGAGGAGAAGAGGGAGTTGCATCGTATTACTAGTTGCGAAGGGTGAGTGTAGTCTGAAGGTGTAAAAAGGTGGTGAGCCTTGGTTATTACTACAATGTCAGAGGTGCGGCTTTATACTCGACTGTACTCAGAGTACAGGGCGGTATAGGTCATTGAAAAGACGGCCGGCGTCGAGGTGAAACGTAGCGGTCGGCGATTTGACACTCGATGTCGTGCGTTTGACTTGGCATATGATGAAGTTGTATCAATTTACCGACCGGGAAGACTCCGTTAGAGTGCCTGAGGGACTAAATTAATACAGTACTGGAAGGGTCATTGAATAGTGATCGACAGGTGAAACAGCTGTACCTCTTTACAGAGATCAGACCTCGCTTTGGGTAGTCGGGGGCGAAGAAAAAGAAACGGCTAAAGCGCAGTAGTTGGTAGCATTGTTCGAGACGAGTGCTGTAGTTCGTAAGCTCGAAGGAAGGAGGGACTAGAGCTCGATGCGAAGTGTAGAGGGAATCAGAGCTGATGCAGAGATTGTCGCGAGGTAATAGCCGACAATGCGCAAAGTACAAAGCCAGATAGACTTCGCGTGATCGTTACGACAACGGCCATGGCTCGCCACGGAGCAAAGAAAGGGGTCGAACTTCGAGCCTATGTTTCGATAGCGAATAAGTAAACTTGACAGGAATGCCATACATTCCCAGCCACAAAACCGAATGGCTACATTCGAACGTGGCCTCTACTGGTAACTGGTCAGAACACAAGGTTCAGCCATTTGTAGTCAGACGGAGATCAAAGGGACAGGGTACGTGTGATGTGCGACCATGTTCCTGGGGCGGCAAGCCTAAAGGCCTAACACTGACAGCACAGGCACACCGTCCGACTTCATCAAGTAAAGAAAGCGCTGGAAATTGGGCAAGATGGCCGTGTCAGAAGCAATATAATAGTTTAATCTCGAAGGGCAAAAGAAACTGCGGTCATACCGTGAAGACCTGAACCATACCGTAAAGGACTGAATCGCATACTGTGTACATCGAACGTGCACTTGCTAAAGCCCCAGCGATGCAAGTGCGAGCACGGAGACCGACACAAATGGGGACCTGTGAGTGTGCTCGCTCCGTATGTATACCACAGAATGAAGCTTGAGCTGTGATGGCGCTCAGTGGTCTGTAAGCCTCGTCTTAGGGAGCCAAACTCGGATCAGCCCTGGAGGCTATACTGTGACGGTGCGGTTCTGCTCTACTGAATGCAGAGCAGTATAGATGATTAAACTCAAAATTCCACAGGGTCAGAGGTCGTTGGTAAGCGTCGCCGCCACAAGTCCTGGGATCGAGAAACGTAGACCAGAGACGAAAATCCTACTGAGGCTGGTAGGACTGAGATCAACAGGAGTGGGCATATATGGAGCCATGAAGTCCGGGAGCAGCAGGAAAGACAGGGAATGCTCTATTCATGAAACGAGCATAAGTATCGAGGAGCGCAGGTACTGCCGGAGCCACACGCCAGAGCTGGCAGGAGACTAAACAGAAACTGGTAGTGGCAAATGCTCGGGGGGCATTTTGTTTTGGTTCAACGAGAGGCTCGACAACGTCCAAGATGAGGAGATGCTGGGCAACGTTATCCGGACGTTCGTCCATGAACGGGTACAACTTTAGTTAATTTTGTAACACATGCATCCTATACAAACGGTCGTGGTCGCCAAATCAGAGCGTCAGTAATCAATCCGAGATGTGTGATACAGAAGAGGACCCACCGAGCCTGGGTTTACTTTGTTACTCGAAGCAGCGGCGCTTGCCACCGCTACATCAACGATCGTTCTCTATCAGCTATCATTCCTAGTACTGCGTCCAAACTGACCTCTCACCAAGACCGCGACCTGCTCAATAAATGAATGCTCAGATGGCCTCCTCTCTCGTCTGATCGCCTAGTCCTCGACAGATCCTCTCCTCTTCGCTGAATAAAGTTCCTAGCCAGCGTCTGCATCGTTCGGCCATCTTGAGATGGAAAGGGTCACCGTTCGCTCCAAGTATCTGGAAAAGGGGAGATGTGAGGTGATCGGATCGTAGCGCATATATCGTACGAGGATAGGAAGCAATCCGGTCGGCGTTACGATCATAGTAAGCAACGAGAGTCAACAGATTTGCGTGGGCGGAGGGAAGGAGGGAATATTGTAAAAAGGTTGTACGAACCTGTAACTCGACCATGACCGCTGTGAAGCCCGTCACGAAGAGCTCCAGCTCTCCGAGGTCGGATACGTCAGACATTACCATCCCGGGGAACACGTATGAGACGTTCTGGACGGACGTTGAGTCGTATTTTCGGCGTTGGCGGTCGAGGGAAATGGCCGGGAGTGTACATGAAAGCTAGATTGAAGGCGCGGGATGAGAGAACTGATATGGAAAGAGGAATACGAGATGTATTGACGTACATCGTTCATTGTTCCTGCGCGAACGCCGTTGATGATCCTCTCTACGATCATCACTATGCCCTTGACCATCACCACTGCGGATAATATGATCGTAAGAGCACTGTATCAGCAACAAGCAAACACAAACGAGACGCACTTTTGAGAAACTTCAATCCTTTCCACCGACTCGCCCTCACGATCCTCCCGACAAGCACAGCCCACAACCCTACGCCCGTACCTCCTTCCTCTCCAACCCTCCGCACAAACCCTGGTATCGCCTCCACACTTTTAACCATCCTCTCCTCCACGACCACGCCCATCCACACTCTCCTGATATCCTCCATCTCGATCGGCCTCGAAAGCGGCACGGAGACTTTACACTGCTCCGTCAACAGCTGACGTTCGAGAGCCGTGTTATCGAGGAAGTTCTGCCAGAGGTCAAACAGACCGAGACCTTTTGTCGGTTCGTCTGTTTTGTCGTGGGATTCGTAGGAGTTGGAGAGAGAGTTGAAGGTTGAGAAGGGGTAGTTGTGGGCGACGAAGTGGAGATGGCGGAGGCGGTGGAGCCAGGTGTAGTATGTTTTGAGGTGTACGATTCTATCTAGAGAGGTTCGGATGGAAAACTAGGGAAAGAAGAGAGAGCGACTCACCCGTTACGAGTGTCGATGATCTCCCTCGACCCTGCAAACAGATATCCCATTAACCTGATCGTTTCCGTCCTGAACAACTTCGACGCGTGCAAAAGGGTGAATGGCACATCTGGCTCTCCATTTTCAGTGATGTTATTCCCTTCGTAGAGAATAAGATTGGTATAGTAATTTCCGAGAGCCTGGGCGATTATCGAGTGGGTGAGTTCGACGGGGAGGATGCCTTTCGATACTAGTGACTCGTCAGCGGGCTCAGGAAGGCAAAAGGGTCCATCGTTTGGAATACTCGGAGCTTGTAGCTTGGATGTGCGTTTGGTTTTTCGCTTCGTCTTTGCCATGGCCACACGAAGGGTAGAGAATTGGGCGGGATGGTACGAAGTCAAGAGCAAAAGGGCCAAAAATCAATTTGACGATCTCGTGTGGCGTAATAAACCCCTAACCCATGTCAGTGTGGCGGGCCGTGTGTAGCTCTCGATCCAAACCAGTCCAAACCTTCACCTACTGTCACCTGCAAGTCTGTATCTCAATCTTGTCGACAGAATCAAGCACCTCTACAAGTTAGGTATCCAAATTCATCTCAAGTGAATCAGATAAAAGCATCTCGAATCCTTCGTCTCTTCTAGAGGACTTTCATTGGTCTGTAGGCTCCGGATCGGAATGGACGACTCCGAATCATGATGTGTCCTCCCACCTTCCGCCTTGCTCTAGTCTCTCTCTAGAACCGGCACACTATGAACCACATCCCTTTACCACAGTGCGTATCCTCAATGTGTACCCTCTTGACTTGCATGCTGTGTTCGACTCCTCGAAGGATTTCCGTCCGCTATGTGGGACTCAAACCTAACTCCCGCTCAGCGATAACGAAGCTGTCGAATTATCACTTTGGACTATACACGATACATCTCAATACCACGCTGACCCATTTCGCAGATTACCTACACGGGCTCAAGCGCCGAAATGGACGAACGGAAGCACTTCACGAAGGCCTCCTCACCAACATTGTTTCTGAGAGTCGCCACCGCCTGATGTAGCGCGTACGCTTCCTTCCCGTTTCCCCTATCTGACCTATTCAACAGGTACGAATAAACCTCTTTAGCAACCACAAGCCCATCCTTGTCTCCGATCGACCACATCGTTGCGTATACAGTCCTGTATCCTGCTGCGAGCATCGCCGCCGCGAGATGCACTGCTTCCTCTGGTCGATTCTCGTCGCCCGTCTCAGTCTGGCACGCAGACAGGAACGCCATCTCGGCGCGTTCGAACGTCTTGGTCATGATTATTTTCAGGTCCAGCGCTCCGCCATGCAGAGCGAATTTGCTTTTCATCGGATCTTTAGTGTCCTGAATGCTGTGGCAGGCTAAGTGGCACCAATTGTATTCCTCCATCGCCTCGAGCACGGAGGCCACGATGGCGTTCGATCCGTTGAGCCAGTCGAGCTCGCGGTCGCTGATGCAGCTCTTGATCGCCCCGGGAGCCGCGAGCAATAGGGCGTGCTGGGCTGTGAAACAGCGAGGATACGGGGAGACTGTGAATGCTTCTCTAACCCTTTCACGAGAGCCGAGTGGGCGTGTACGAGGATACAACGTATTGGAAAACCTTGGGTTCATCTGGTGTGGTGTAACAGCCTGCGGCGTGAAGGGGGAGAAATGCGAGTGGACCTGTGGCACACCAGGTAATTCGCGGAAGAGCTTCTGGATCTGATTGCGTCTAGTATATGGTGACGCACAATTCCCGCAGACGCGGCGTAGAAATTGGACATTGTTTGGTCCCCGCGAGACGCGTTGAACCGGTGGTAGGCAGATACATGAATTTCTTGCACGACCATAGGCTCTCCGGTGACCGTAAAATCTCAATAAAATCTGGTACGTGAGCTGTAGAGGTGATAATGCATCTTTCCAAGAAGTTAGGTAGCGGGCTCGATCGACGCGCACAGGCGTCCCACATATGCCCCTGTACTTGGTTCCATGTGAAACGGTCCACTCGCCGTTAAGGACGACGATCCGAGCCTGGTGAGTACCACCCACCAACCGCAAAATCACTCCTTCTCAGTCAAATGCTCGTGCGTTTACGGGGTAACGGGTTCGATCGATGCATACAGGCATCATACATATGATCTGGTACTTGGCTTGACATGAAACGGTCCACTCACCATCGAGAACGATGACCTGAACCTGGTGAGTACCCTCACCAACCGTAAAATCACTCGTTCTCGGTCAAACGAGCATGTGTTCTCGAAGTAGCGCGCTCTTCCGATGTAAATCAATGTCCTCCATTGCCTCCAGCCCTTTATTTCATGACAATTGGCCCATTCGTAGTCGAGAACGACGGGTTCGCCCCGGTGGCATCACACTAGCTTAAACACTCCCTTCTGCTCAGTGCGCACAGATGTCCTGATGTGTGAATATGTGGGCAAGGTGTGCCGTGTGATGTTGCCACAGACAATACACCCACACATAGCTGGCCAGAAGGCTGCGGGGCTGACGGTTGTGTCGCCACAGGCAATACACTGGCAAACAGGTCGCCAGAAGGCTGCGACACTGTGATGGTGGTCAGAGTCATGTAGATACTCTCATGGCTCCTTCCCCGTACACCTTCGAAAGGAGGTGTAGATATATCGCGTCGAAAAAGACGAAATACAGTCGGCGGGTGTAAGATTCTGATCAGAGTGAGAGCTAGAGAGATGCGTATATGCGATCTCTATCGGGACGGGTGTTGTGAAGGAGAGTCTAACTTTCGGTAGACGAAGGTCGGGACAAAAGAAAAAAGAAAGAAAAAAGGAGTATATGCGTCCACATGCATTTGGATTTGGGCGCGGGATGATGCACCATAGGACACGAAGAGGCATGCACCCTAGCGACGAGTCATATGGTCTGTACGGGCAGAAATGAATCCAAGGAAGGTACTTTGTGTTCTGAGAGCCGGAAGAAAGATAGACCTGCATTCTACAACGGCTGGATCCAATTATGATTCGTTTACGAAAGCTCAGAAAAGAGGATACTGCTCTGTTTGTGCGTTCGAGTGGCCGACATACGCGCTCAAACACGAGAGTGGCAGAACGAACGAAGCCAACAGTGGGTGTATGCATGAGGCTAACGCAGAGTACTACGCGTTCTGATGATGGTGGTTATACAAGCACCACTTCGAGTGATCAAAGGAAAACGACGAACGAGTCGTCATCTGCACTGATAAGGTACGGATCCGTGGGGTTGATATGTGGCGTCGATAAATCAGGGGCGGTGTACGCATTCAAAACATGAGCATATGCTCAAAAGGTCGATATATGCGCTCTAAGCATGCCTTCGACAAAGCCATGGCATACCTTTCGCAACTCCAAAAAAAGAGTCAAGGCAGACAAAAAGAGGTGAAAAAAAGACACACGACAGACCCTGTACCCAGCACAAATCGTTCCCCTCGCCAGAGACGACATCCTGCATACATACAATCGGATGCATGCACGCATTCTGTCAGCCTGCTCCCGCTAGCTAGACCGGACTCGAATGCTCGGTATGAGAAGCGAACAAGGAATTGGCCATGACCATACGCTAAACCAAACTAGATGTAGCCCCCAGGGCTATTTTTAAAGTGCTGTAGAAACGTCTTGCGCCGGAGCGCAGCACGGAAGTGAAAGAACGAGGTCGGGTCATATAAGCTGAGCGCAGCGCGGAGTGAGCCTCGTAGATGAAGTCGCCAGCTAGCTGACGACGAGCGAGCTCGAGAGGAGCGGCGATGACGATGAAAGTGCTAGTTGATCGGGTCGGAGGAGACGATTTTTCGCACTTCGACGTATGTAGAGGCTTGGGAGCGAGAGAGGGGGGGCAAGGGAGTGTGAGATCGGGTGGGTGGCCCGAGGTGAGGTGAGCGGAGGCAGTCGTAGGGAGAGCAAGGGCATATTGAGCTCGGCGAACTGCTGCAGGAGGTCATGTACGTGTCAGTCCAGGAATGAATTACTCATGTTAATGCAATAGTGTGATTTGGCCGACGAGACCAAGTAATGTACGAAAGAGTGGCGTATAAAGAATTGTGATAAAAGAACGCACCGAGTGATGACCGACCCATCCGGACTGGACGAAGTTCTCTATGTCTCGCACAACGGACAGTACATGTTCCCGACTCTCTGCCGCCATATCCTCAGTCGCCACTTTTTCCATTCTGGCATCCGTTCCCTTCAACTCGAAATCCAAAATCGTCCTTCATCTACGGCTTCAGCTCTGTCTCCGAGACTGGCCGAGAACAAAGGATCGTCTAAGCCTCCGAACGAGGAAGTAGGACTAGTGGTTGGAAGGGTTGAATTGGAGTGGGTGTAGGCCTCAAGGCTCGAGTATGAGCTGCTGATGTGGAGCTAGCCCCGATGTGCAAAAGTAGGAGGCATGTCGAGTATGGTTCTTTGAGTCCGAGAGGTGTGGGAGGGTGGGAGTAGAAGATGCCGGGCTGTAGATTTTGTCGATAACCTGACGAGCAACAAAGGAAGATGCATGTTGGTCACGGTGTCGGATAGAGGGTATGTTGAAACAAGCGTCCTGCATCGTCTTCGCAGAATGGGTTGAGGCGGCTTGCCCGATATGGATTCTTATCTTATCTTATCGCTTTCCACGCTCGTGAGTGAGTAGTAGAAACGCTTTTCTTCCTGTTCTGCACTCCTTGATTCCTCTTGTCGTTTCCTGGATGGATGACCCTAGGCTAGTCTTGCTTGGTTCTATCAGCATTGCTTGTCTTGGAAGAGCGTGGTGGTGGATACAATTTTACTGGGTACCCGGTGTCGTGGTTCGCGGACTGGTCGTTCACCGGAATTTGCTGCCTTCTTCTCTTTTCAACCACCACCTTCCGCACGCAAGTCGCGACTGTGAGTGAAGGGGTTGAGATACATATCTCATCCCCCTTTGCTGACAAGTCTATTACTCTGATTGTCTGCCTGCCTGTGTCTCTGTATGTCCGTCTGTCCGTCTGGCCGACAGTTGTTCCATTTAGTTTTAGTGCTCGTACTGTGCTACACTCGCTGGCTGGTAACCATGGAGACGGTGAGTAATCCCTCGGTTATGGTTCAATTTGGGCTCGTTCTCTCACTGCACGGGTTTCAAATCACGGGAGGAGTTGTTCTATCAGCTATGGCGACGGTCTGAATAAACAACTTGGTTAATCTTCAGTAGAAGAAAGAATAGGTAGGTAAGTTTGAGCCCGCATGGATCCTCCCTTGTGCATGCGTTTGCGATCACTCATCTCACGCCCTATCTTGGAGGTTGCGGGCTCAAAATGAAGGCAGGAACATGCTCAGTCAGCCGCAATCAAGATTCGGACAAGAACGGTCCACACAATGTTCATAACGAGGACAAACACGTCGGTGTGTTTTCGCTTTCAATAGTCCCTTCACAAAAGTACGTTCGCGTTCGCTCAATATCGGTTAGATTTCTAACGTTATGGGCTCCAAATGGCGGGACGGGCCAGGATTATCGACCCCGATAAAAGCATGATAGGAAAAGGCCCACTCGTCGTCGAGAACAAGGACGATAAATTCGGTATGGTTTCGTTTCCCATATACCCCTCTCGAAAGTCCGCTCGCGTTTGTTCAATTCTTTCTCGTTTTCAAATGTAGCGGGCTCAAAATCATGGCCAAGCGTAGCTCCGTCAGCGCCGATACAGGTTTGGCAGGACACCGACCCCTCGTCCTCGAAAATGAGGCAAAATATATTGGTGAGTTTTCGCTCCTAGTAACCCTTCTCGAAAATGTGTTCGCATTTACTCAATAAACGTTCGAATTTCAAAATAGCGTGCTCGATATGACGGGACAAAGTAGGTTCACTAGCCTTGATAAAAGTTTGGAAGGAAACGGGCCACTAAACGGTGAGAACGAGCACGAACAGCGAGGTAAGTTTCACTCTCAGCACCCCCCTCCTCGAAACTCAGTTCGTTCTCGCTCATTTGCACTTGTTTTCTCATGATAAGTAGCTCGAAGTGACGGCTCATATGGGCTATCGATCCCCGTCCGCGGTTTCACGCACCACCCCTGCAAACGGACGTGATCGAGGCGAATCTCCGAGGTGAGTCGTGGCCCCAAAATGCTCCTCATCGAATTTTCATTCGCGTTTGCTCATTTGCGGTTCTATCCGGCTTCATATAGGCTCAAGCTGGCGGGAACGGTTAGTTACACCCGTGACACACACAGTTTGACGCGAATCGACCCAGTAATGAGTGAGAACGAAAGCGAGCATGCCGGTGAGTTATGGCTTGAAATCCCCCTTCACAAAATATGGTTCCCATTGGCTCGATTTTCATTCGATTTGCTTTGCGATGGGCTCATAATAATTGGACAGGAGTAAACGCTCAATCCCACACTTGTTTTTACGCAAAAAGGCCTGTTCGTCGTCGAGAAACGTGACGAAAAGTCTCCACCACCAAGGACTGAGTCAAATCAGCGCTGATTTGAAAGCGTGGGAAAGCTCCGTGGCCCAGCGACCATGGTGCGTCTTTCTATTTTACTTTTCTCTTGCTCCTTTTCCTTTTGTTGGAGGGCACTTATTACGCTATTTAGACCATGTTTACATTTTTTTGGGGGGCCGGTGCGCCCTCTCACGGTCAAGATATCGACCTTTTCGCCGGGGAGCCATCCCGTACCCCTGAGTGTCGCACTATCGGAAATTTAAGGTTCGGTATCTAGTTTTCTCTGTTGCATGCGACTCAACTAGTCCATATGGCACAGTAGATGTCATAGCGTCGCTATTCGAAGCCATAACGAGCTCGGAATCGTTTTCTGGGATAAGTACCACCTTACAGCAGTTTTTACCAAACAGGTAAGCAAGCTCACTCGTTTTTCGTGTGATTACCTTCGTGTCAGGCTCAAAATGCTCATACAGACGTAACCTAACATTTACGAGCAACGCGTAACCGATATCAGGTCGCTCGCCGTCGTGAACGACGTTCGTGGGGTACCCAGAGCGGCATGGTGCGCCCCCCAACCATGGTGCGCTTTTTTTTTTTGATTTCTTTTGCTCATTTGTTTTTTGTCGGAAGGCACTCCTCACACTCCATCTGGAGTGTCGACATTGATTTTGGGGCTGCCGGACGCGTTTCGCATCCGGAATTCGAGTTTTTGGGTGGGCGACGTTACCCACCCACCTCTTCGCCCCTCCCCCTGATCCTGTTCTTTCGACGTGCAGTTTTCCTTGCCGTGTGTCACTCCTCATACGTAGGAAATCCCGTCGACCCCTCATCGACGTCGTTGGGTGCGGTATTGGGATCGCGATCTCGGTTTCTGTCTGTGAGGAGCGCGCTGTGGTACGCTGCGCCCGACAAATATATAGTTAGAAAGGATAGCGTGCGTGAGTTTGAGACCGTCCGGTATTCAGTAGACGTGAGTCCACCGAAGGCACGACGACAACCGCCGCATGCGCGCTTGCACTACCGCACACTCTCATAACTTCTTTCGCTACTGGTGCGACCTGGCCACCTGATGCATCCGAGTCTGAGACGGCGCATTCATTGAAATCAACGAGATGCTCGGTTGCAGAAGAGAGGCAAATGGCTTTTTTGTCTGCTCCGGTTTCTGTTAACAGTTCAAGATCATATGTGAGAGGAAGACGCCGGACGAAGAAGCATATATTGAGCTAAGTGGGTTATATAGGCACCGCACCTAACAGCGAGTCCTCCAGACCTCCTCCAGATCCATGATTCATCGGTCAGAGAGAGGTCATACTGGACGTATATAGACGAGTCAATCTGGGTCAAAGTGAAGCGTTTATGTGAATCAGAGACTGACCGAGCGGCGGTATGGTGTCCGCTGGCAGGTGTATGGGCCACATACACTCACCGTCGACACCTAACGATGTAATCTCTAGCGCTCCTCCTCGCCTGTTCGAGAATCAGTCAACGGAACCTCCACGCGTTTCTTGTTCTTCTTTCGGATGTCATAGAAGAAAGGAGATATAGAAAGGTAACTCTGCGCACCTGTTAGGATGTTCCGGACGTCCACAAAGTCTACTATACTTTTTGAACGTCCGCAACGACCTCTTAGTAAGAGGTCGGTGTGCTGAGTCTCTTGAGGGTCCCGCGCTAAGCTGGAAGCCCCAACATGGACTGTGAATTGATCTCTACTGGCCTAGCGCTAACTTTACTGCTCAGAAGTACCGGTCGACGGCGTCACCAAGGAAAGTCGTCCAAGCCGGAGGGCCACACACATATACGAAGTTTGTGGTGAGCTCTTCAGATCATGTTTATGGCTATATACACTAAGCACCGTCGCTAGAGGTCTTGAGCACCTTCTCCACAGACCGATTGCCTCTACGCTCATACATCCGCATCATAACGTCTATCGCTCTCTCTGGATTCCAGCTTGGCCAGATACAGTTATCAACCTTGTGGCTGTCGACCGCCACGCAGAACTCGCCCTTCGCTGCCGCCCTCAGGAGCCTGCTTGGAACAGCTCGATCCTGGGTCGCAATGATTCTGTCCAGGTCCGCATGGGTGTAGAACGATACGTCCATATCCGATAGCATCATCTTGCGTCTCTCCAGGAACGCACAAATCAATGAAATCCAGGTCTACTGACGGGTCGAAAACCGGAACGCGTTCCGTCGAGGTTAGTAGCGAGCAGACTTGATACGGTTTTAGCTGAGTGCACTTGCCTGTCGGTCCCCTTCAATGCGAAAGACTCTATTCTTTACCTCCTCGGAAGGAGAATGGCACAGTACGTGCGCCACAAAGCGCGCAATATCCCGGCGAGTGGTGAACGATATCTGCGTGTCCCAGTTCTCACCGATTTCTATCTTGTTTTGGACAAAGTCCATACGGAACCAGTCACGTAGAACGCATCTGAAAACGCAGCGTAACGACGCGGAGGACATATAAATACCCTAGGTTAGTTCTCTGGAGACTTTTCATATGTGAATTATATGACTTACTGCTCGAAAATGAAATCTGTCCAGAATCCCGTGTAGAATACAGCATAACTCAGGTCCATCTCCATCGCCTTCTGCCTCACCTTCTCCTTGACCGCGAATATATCGTCCGTAGTCTCATTGCTTCGCGGACCCCACTCGCTCGGCACGAACAGCTTAACTCCCGCCTCGCGTGCTTCTAAGCATAAAATTTCCTGCGCTTCCAAAACTCCCCTCGCCACGTTTGAGATGAGTACGTCGATACCTTGCAAGGCACGTCCGATGGTAGATGGGGATTGGTAGTCGATGATATGTATCTGTGCGCCTTCGCTCACTAGTTTGTGGACAGGAGCAGCCGCAGTCGGCTGTTATAAGTTGTTAGTCGTATTTACTGCATCCTTTGGGAAAGAAATATGACTGACCTCAGAGCGGGTCAATATAGACACAGAGTGCACCATGCCTTCTCGACGGAGATTGAGTAGTTCTTCAGCTATGTCATGGCCAATGCTGCCCGATCCTGCAATAGCGAACGTTCTGAAAGCCGACGCCATCTTCAGCGGGGGTGTACTGTGGCAAGGGAGTTTCGCATTACTCGTCGAGGCATATGTACATTCTCGCCAGATGCGTTCAAGCTGATATCTAAGTTAGATGAGTATCTTGGTGCTGTACCTGCTCGCATCATCTTGAGATACGTGCTTGGTTCTCTGATTTAGAATGTGACAATTCCAGGTTGATTACGATATTGTACAGAAGGCGGCCTGTCATTTGCCTTAGGTGCGTTGACGGAACTGTTTCAGAGTTTTCGGTTTACAAAGACCTGTGTTCTCCCGATAGACGCGATCTTCCAAATATCTTTCACTGTTGGGGGAATCTGTATGTATCATGCTCTGAAACTTGATTGCACGAGTCCCGCACCCACGCCGAGACTGCAGTGGTCAGCCACTTACTGTGAACGTTCTACACAAAGAGCCTTTGGAGCGAAACCCGGAGCACGTTGTCTTCGTCAGATGTTCTGACTGTGAAAATGATTATTTATTTGGCCGTTGTGGCGCCTGATCTTTTTCTTTCGTTCACGGTTTGGGGCAAATGAATCAGTGTTTTATCCGGGAGGCTGCACATCGCTGCGAATGTCGCCCCACTCCCATCCGACGCTAACTCAGCTCATCAACGAGTTTCCACCAGCCATAGATGCTCCACAAAGTCTTACGCGGACAGAGGAGTCCCAATCGTCTGTTACATTCCCAGTCGCATGTGATTATATCAGATAGAAAAAATGCTGATCAAACTTTGGCAGCCTTACTTACGAAGTGGTAAGTGGTATCGCAAAGATGTGGAGTGCGGTACCATGCAACTCTTTTTTGCTTGAAAAATGGAATGCGACTCTATTTCAGTCGCGGAACATCAGACTTATCAGAATCTGACTGTCATTAATCAAGTCCCAGGTTCTATTCCTGCTGAACGCGCCAGCAAGGTCGGTTCATTTTTTCTTGGAATGCTGTGTTTCAGTCCCTAATGCCTCGCGGCACAGCTTGTCCTTGATACACAATCCCTCTTCCCATCTTCTTATGTCGGGGAAAATGCGGGCCTTAGTGACCTTCGGGCCGATGCTGATTCCGTTGGAGAATCATAAAGTGATGTACTTTGTGTTCTTGTCCCGCGTTGTGTATGATGCGCGCTGTCGAACATGTGAAACTAATGCTATCATATAAGTCGCTGCGAGTACCTCGAGCTCAGTTGTGAGAGCTGCGTTCCCAGACGAAGTCCGAGGCTTGCGGCTGCTTTTCACCACCTCCCGCTGTTTTCACTGATGTAACAGATGAAGTTGTGCAATAGGAAATGTGGTCTGAATATGGTAGCATGATGGATATCAACATCTAACGCCTAGTCTTGCTATGGGTCAGGATCACGACATCCGCTCAGGCTGCACCATCCAGTTGCGTATTCGACATCTTGTCTAGCACTCCCACCGTGATGCTTTAGAGTTACCGGCAGCAAAACTCAAAACTCCGTGTGAGACTGATGATCTAGAGACCTGTGCATAATAGTCCTTTCCGGACAACAGTGCTACGTATGGCTTCTGAGAACACGGCTTCGCGAAATCTTTTTGTGGCACGGAGCCTAGGACACCCCTCTCATCATCTTCTCATGTCGGACAGAATTTAGACCTGATGTTCGAGTCGATGCTGGTGTCGTTGGAGGATCAGTTATTGTAGCCCATGAGAGGATTCTCATCGCTCTGTTCTTGTAATGCCGAGGCTCAAGCTCGCCGTGGGACTGAGCCTCCTGTGGAATGCTGCTCCCAAGAGGCATCGCTGTGGCTCCGCACGTAAGGTGCCGCCATCGGATACATCTCAGGTCATACCACCGTCGAGCTTGACCCAGCCATTTTACATTACCGTTGTAGGGTTTACAAAACCCCTTGCGTCTAGTTTCGTTGACATTCGGAAACCTGCGTAAGACATGTCTGACATCCATAATTCTGCCGTACCATGAGTCCATCGTGATCCAAAATGGTATTTCACGATTGAACCAAACACAACTATCAAAGTTGTCTGTATTTTATGGGAAGTGAAGGGACAAGTTACAGAAAATTCTCTTTGACCTGGGTCTCAGGCCAAAGTGGTGGCCGAGCTGCCCGAGAAAAAAAGTGCGACACGATTTTCGGTCAGCTATGCGAAACACAGCACCACCCGATAGCTATCATGCACACGTGGACACTTAGATTCGCTGTTCCGTGGTAGAGCTTCAGATAGGTAGGAAACAGAGATAAATTGGCCTTAGTTTCAGCGGCCCAAGCAGTCAGGACTGTGCAACAACTGTGCATAACCATATTTACTACCTAATCCAGTAAATCTACTCGCATTTAGAATGGTATGCCAACCACGGTCCAGTGAATGCTTTAGAACCTCGGAGCGCAAAACTCGTACCTTGAAAATAAGAAGGTCAGTCATTTCTCACGCTCATCTAAGCAGAGAAACGCTTACGGTTCCTCGAGATACTCAACGTCCTCAAGACTGAGTCTCCTCCCTGCCAAAACTGCTTCCTTGACCCTCTCGGACTATGTGGTAGACCCGTAAGTAAAGCCCCAATGGATCACTGCACTAAACGAACGTACTGTATTAGCTCCGACGATGGGGCTCGAGACCTTTGTAAGAGACCAAGCAAGTGCAACTTGGGACATCTTCCACGAGTGCTTGCTCGCGAGCTCTTCGACGCGCTTGATTATTTGGTTGTCCGACTCCCTCCTCTTCTTTTCCAACAGATGGCCTTCGTATATTTTGCTTCGGTCCGTAGTAACCCCTACAGGGCGGGCAAGATGACCGTCCATGAGAGGGGAGTAAGACAGGATGCCGATCCCCTTGTAGTCGCAGTATGCGAACATCTCGAGCTCCTGCGGAGGCACAATGCGTCAGCATCTGTATAGCATATACCAACAGGAACTCAAAAAGAGAGAAAAGGATACAAACGTAGGGACGGTAAAGAAGTGAGTGCTCCACTTGAACGGACACGAACTGCGTCCAGCAGTTCTGCTGGGCGACGTTGTTCATCTCAATAAACTGCCACGCGCGGAGGTTGGAGGCGCCGATGTAGCGAGCTTTTCCGGACATCACAATATCGTGGAGGGCCTTCATGGTTTCTTCTACTGGCGTTTCGGGATCGAACGCGTGAATCTGAAGAAGATCAATATATTCTGTCTGGAGCCTCGCCAACGAGGCGTCGACCTGGTTGAAGATGGCGACGCGAGAGAGGCCACCTTGGTTGACGTAATCGCGGCTGTGATAGTACTTGGGGCCGGCAAAACTGGTAACGACTTGATCGTCCTCCGAGACAGGAAATCTGATTTTAGTCATGATGACGAGGTTGCGCCTTGGAATCTCATTCTACGGAAAGAATAAGCAAAACGACGACCAAACGCAGCCGATCGGACCATACGGACCTGTTTGATGAACTTGGCGATGATACGCTCGGATTCGCCATTGGAGTACATGTTGGCGGTGTCGAAGGTATTGATACCCTGATCCCAGGCCGTTTTGAGAAGGTTCAGAGCCTAACAAACAAACACGATGCTCAGTAACGTGAACGAAAATTAACAACTGCTATCGAAGCTGTATACCTTATCTTCCGGAAGCAGCCAAGGCTGGTTGAAGGAACCTCATGAGTCCCATAATAAATGAGAAACGCGTAAGGAAGAAACTTACCAGCCATTGCTGGTCTCCAATGGTCATTCCCCCAAGCTATGGACCAAGAATCAGTATGAGCAAAGACAGGCAAAGGCTGTGATGCAGACAATGGGGACTGAGACACGAAGGCCGGACTTGCCGAGCTGGCGATATTCTGCTTGGGCCATGGGAGTACAAGGAGGGATGGAATGAGCTCTGTAATTTGCGTGGACTAGATGGTCTTTTATGCTTCTGTCAGCTCCACTGCAACAATCCTCCACCAATGGAGCACGAGCATCACAGATGTGATGCAAAAGAACGCTCGCTGACTGTACTATTTAGATCGCGAGTAACAGGTTGCACGGATTGCTCAGCTCTATAATTACGTATAGCGTTCTTGAACTCTACAGAGTGGGAAGGGATCGCTCTAAAACAGGACCCAATGCAGTGCGCGCGATATCGTGCAATCTTTAAAAATACGAGCTGTATAAGTCTTCGTGCTCGTGAACAACGAACATTGAATACATGAGCGGCTACTTGATCAGACTCCTGAGTGCCACGGTCGCCTCCAGCTCCCGGTTCCATCTCCTCCAAGGCTGTCGTACAGTCTCCACTGATTGCTAAATGAAACATGAGGTCACTCAAGGCAAATAGATGTAGCTCTACAAAGGAGAAAAAATGACAGGGACCTGGGGGCCCTGATCTTCTTCGCCACGAATCCAGGGCTGCAAGCTCGAAGAAATCTTGAGAGTGAGCTCTCCCCCTGCATATTCCATGTTGAACTTCTTGACTAAGGAGCTGAAAACGACCTTTGCGGAGATAGAACGAAGGTTCAGCCATTTTTGGTCGCATATGTAACAATGAAGACGAGACCTTATATTCATAGATGGCTAGTAAAATCGCAAGGTTAATACTTATACAGCCACCTATGAAACGAGGGGTGATAAAATCTCACCAAATTTCCTGCCAATACAGGTTCTGGGCCCATTGCTGAAGCTCAAAAGGTTCGACCACCCTGACACTAAGTCCTTCTGGGCCGGAAGCTGCTCCAACCAGCGCTCAGGACGAAAGACGTCCGGGTCTCCCCAGACAGACACGGATCGATGGATAGCGATGATAGGAATAATCACAGTCTAGGGCGGGCGAAGTCATGCCACTTTAATGCTAAAGGTAAAGAGTATATTCGTGTGCTCACTTGTCCGGGGTGGACCTCGACCTCGTTAACTACACGCCCATCCGATAATCGGATTGGCAGCTGGACCGGGATCGCATCCGACTTGGTTGCTACACGCTCCATGTAAGCTAAGGCTGGATACATCCTTAACCTGTCCCCGGTACCATTATCAGCGTAAAAGCTATGATAACCATGTATCCACTCACGTTTCTCTCATCACGGCATCCAAATATGGGAGTTTAGACTCGAAGTCTTCATATGTCACTTCCCCTGGGATGCTTGCGAGCTCGTTACGCAGCCGCTCTTGGATATGCGGATTCCGAGAAATCTCGAGGACACTGAAAGCCAGAGTAAAGCTGGTGGTTTCTTGTCCTCCAACCCTAGAAATCCACTATAAGCGAGAGCTCATCGGAAGCTAAGGAGCGCACCCACATGAAGGTCGTGATCTACAACAACGGGTCAGATGATGTATTACTTGCTAAAGTGCGCTAGACATACCTGTTCGTAAAGCTCCGCTTCTGACATTCGACCTTCTCTAACAGCTGTGACTGGGATGGGTCAGAAAGGTATCAAAATATGCATTTCACTGAGGCAAGCAAAGGAGAGTTACGCAATATACTGAGTAGATCTTTGCTCTTCTTCTCAATAGGAGGTGCTGCCTCCTCATGTCTCCGAACGATCTCCCGCGCAATGCCCGACTTAAAAATAATCAGAGCTAGCTTCCAAGCATCCGTCTATGTATCTGATGCTGACTTTTATGGTTGTTGACATAATACCCTGCGCTTGGAGAGCGGGGATGGGCAGATCGTTCAGAACTGGGAATCGTCGTAGTAACATCAAAGTCTGGATGATACTCAATAACATTAGACTCCCTCCGAAGAATAGGATGAGTGAAATATACCAAGAACGCGGAATAGCGGGCGATTCCCGACAGACTCTTTGAACGTGCGCTAAGAATGTCCTTCGCGGCTGGGCTGTTACCGCCTTCAAAATCATGGAGGAAAGCCTGATTTACGGCAAAGGTAAGAGATGTAACGGTGAAACAATGTGTACAGGGCAGACTTACCACTCTGCCAATAACATTAAGACTATGCAACCATGGCTGAGCTGTCCGTGATATGTAGAGGCACAGAGAGAATGAAATTGTCCTCACGTAACCTTGTTCATCAAATCAAGGACATTTACCCGAGCGCTCCCACCACTCGCCTCCAGTAAGTGAGTGAGGTCATTCATGACCTGCAGAACAAGCTATATCAGCACTGTAAATCTGGAGCAAAGTGATTAAGTGATACCGGTATTGTTGCATCCACGATATCGTAGGACATGCCTTTGATGTTTTCGACGCTAAACAGAATTACAGCAGAGAGATATGAGCTCAATCGGAGCTATATCTGTCAATAGGGGAGTCCACGATAGCGTTTAAACCGACGTTTAAGCGTGCGTTTAAGCCCCAAAGCCGCGCTGCGGTCTTAAACGAGGGCTTAAGCCTGCTCAAACGCAGGCTTAAACGGTCATCGTGGATTCCCCTAATGTTGCACATACGTGAGCGAAGGCATGACTAGCTGCTTCATCCGTCTATGCTCGGCCTCACCCTCGACCCAGCCCAGACCTTTTCCTAGTAAGCGTCCAATCCGAGGCCGGACAACTCTGCTGTGATCTAGATAGAATTGAGCGAAGTGATTTTGAGAGAGAGATAAGTACGAACGGAAGTCGAAAATCCTCTTCTGTAGCAGGTACGAGATGCCGAGCGGGTCACTAAGTACTAGCTGTAAACCATCGAGGTTAAGGTTGCGGCAGGCGTGGCACGAAAGGTCCACACACCACATCTGGAGCCTGTAGCAATTGGTGTTATACAGTGATATTATGAATCTTCACGAAGAAGTCTCACACCAAGTGCTGCTCGGATTCTGAAGGTTAGGCCAAGCTCCCGAGTCCATTGCCTGAAGAGGTGCCCTGGCGGGTTTGAGAAGACCAACTTCTCATGACCCCATACCAGCTCGCTTACAGCCTAGCTCCGCCATCCCATTTGTCAGATACTTGAACATGGAAGGGGGAGACGGAAACGAACCGGACTAGGCAGGCGTCGGATGGCTGAATACGGGCGAAAACAAAGAGAGAGCGCGAAGGTGGCTAGGACGATAGCAGATCCAATAATCACCAACATAGTGCTCAAAGAAGGTAGCTTGGGGTATGATACGATGTGAGGGCCCGGCTCGGTTTATATGACCGAACATGGTCGTCGAGCGCACAGTGGCAATGCAGAGATTGGGCTCGGAATTAGACGGGTCTCGAGTCCCGAAGAACCACACCGAGAAAAAGACTCAAAATAGCTGTGATGATATCAGAATCATGATGAGAGCTCTGAAGGGATCTGAAACTGGTGCTACTTGAGTGCGTGGGCGTACCGGAGAGGCATTCACTTCAAGCCATCGTTTCGGGAAAGCGCGCGTAACCACCGCGGGCGAACCCGCCGTTTCAGGAACAAACAGCGTCACACTTTGTTGGACCATTGGAACACGAAAACGCCTTTGCGAGGCTTGCGACTATCATTCGTACCAGGATCAATGGCTGTCCCTCTTCATCCCAATGTATTCCCCTACCGCAACCTCTTGCCTTAGTTCGCTGTCTGATCTTCATCTTGATGTGAAGTTGACCGGCGGCTCGGTAGGCCGCAAGAAATTTGGAAGTTACGACTCCTACACTGCCAGTTCAGTGCCCTGGGGGTAGAACTACCCGTATGCGACTGTCTAGGCATGCTTATCGACTTTATAACATCTCTTAAATAGTACTGAAAGAACTTAACCCGAAGAAAAACCAGTGACTGGTGGGTTTGTACCAAAAACGGCATCGGATATGAGCCGACGTCAAGCTAGAGCCCAAGTACTGCATTACCACCTACACAAACACGGATCAAGGATGACTGATGGTCAAAGGTTTGTGCTTATATTCAGTTGTGCTTGCCTTCGCTTGCTTAGCAGTACCAGCTCATCGTTAGGCGAACCCGCGAAACGAGATGCTCCCTTCGACGTACGCCTGTGCAAAGTATCACTTGTACACCGCGGTCCTATTCACTTGGACAGATTACAAGACGATTTTACTTCCAGTTGTGTGTCCTATTCCCCGCTCATTTACTCTAGTCTCTGACACATCATGTACCCACTCGCACTTGGTAGGCCACATTTGCTTCCGCCACCGCCCCCGTTCAATCGCTCTCAAGCTTTATTCAGGCCTTGCTTTGGATATGGATCCACTTGCTTTTATGTAATGTGTCCAACCAGACAAGCGGGGTAGAAGAAGATAGGATCAACCGACACTGGCGTCCACTTCCGGCGGGCAGAATCACATCTCACCAAGCCTCCCGCCTACGCTGGACTACGGTGTTACTCTGTTTTATCTGGTCGAGCTTGTATGGCCTCCGACTAGTGTCCATCAGCACGATCCTTTTCATCACGACTTATCTTTACGACGAGATTGGGCTTTCGAACCATCCAATCGGGAAGAATTTCTGCAACATCGGAGGATACATGTCATTCGAGCTTGGTGCAACGATTCTCATAGGCACGTGACATATTTTCTTTCAGAAATACTTATTAGAACCAGGTCTATAGGACACGAAAAACAACTGGATATTATATCGCTCAGCGCTACCATGCTCAGCGCAGCTGTTATCTTCACGACCATCCAGGCACAGGACTTCTCAGACGTCGTCGGTGATAAAGCTGCAGGACGAGTTACGCTTCCGATATACGCACCAGAATTTTCCCGCTTCCTTACCTTCGTCGCCCTCACAACATGGTCCATGATTCTGTCGGTATTTTGGGGAATAGGGCTGCTGTGCGCGACAGTGCTGGTTTCGTTGGGGGCGTACGTAGGCTACCGTTATTATTTCTGGCGTACTCAGGAGATGGACGAGAAATCATATCTCATCTTCAACGTTAGTCGATCGCCTTCTCACAGCACACTATCATAGAATTATGCGTGCTAATTCTTCTTTTCATAGATATGGCTGATTGTCGTTCATCTTCTCCCTATCCACGCTCGGACGAACGTACTGAAGTTTTGATCGAAAGGTATGTTTTCGGTTGTAGATTCTATAGGCGCTATCCATGCTCACGCGTTACCCTGGTTGTCTCGACACGTACGTTCACTTGAATAGCCTCAGTTAGTTCATTCATGTATGGGATACGACATTGTTTTGTAATGCGGGAGTCGGCCGCATGGTTTATTTCTCTCTGGGTAGTGGAATTATAGCTCCGCATCACCTTCGAATAAAGGTTTTCGAACAGAGAACCTGTCCCTGGTACGGTTTTGCCCGTACTCGTTTCCTCCTTGAACCATACGCATACCCGGTACCGCATCAATTGTTTTTCAGAACGAATTGAGCTGGATGCGTGCACAGAGAAATCAGGTGGAGAATCGCAACAGTAAGACTAGCACGTTAGATGCTGACGGGTGGAGACGTACCTTTTTGTACCTGAAGTAGGGAGATTATTCAGCAGATTTGTCGTGTAGAAGGTGATACCGAGGCTGGACGTGAAACAGACCCCCGAATTGCCCCCGAGCGCCACTAACTGCATACCGTTCGATAGGATCATACATAATGTCCGCTGTCGCAGAACCCCAACAAATTCTCATGAGGGTAACACACAGCTTTGTATCAGGTTTGATTCCATGTACTCCCACCCTATCCATTGACACAACTTCCACTTCTGATTTGCCGGCGATACTCTGCGCAAATGAGCATATACTGTACTGTTGCGCGACGCCTGATAGTTCCGTCGCAGTCCAAAAAAAATGATGGATAGATGCGTGTACTTCGCATCCCTGCGCGCCTCGCTCACCAGGGGAAAATTTTCATCATAGGGGCTGCTCCGCAACTGCGAACATACATCAGCCCTAAAATTTCTCCCATACTGGGAGTATATCGTGCTTGATTATCACTGCGATGATAAAGTGCGGAAAAGGGAGAGGGAAAGAATCTTGGGGAAATGATCTTTAGGAGATCGGTATCCCTCGCCGAACAGACTGTTCAAGGAATGAAACGATATAAACCGAGCAATCAAGACCATCATGAAACGATAAAGGTACAGTATCATACACAGCCGCCGTTAGTGGCGAGACACTGGTTTGAGCATCATCACGACTCTGACTGGCACTGTACCCGTTCTGGCAAACCCAAGTCTTGACTTTAAATTTGGAACGGTATTGATGTGCCGCTCAGGCTTAGAAGTAGCACCGAGAGATGGCAGTACAGTACGTGTATTAGGCAGAGCACAAATAAGTCCGACCGTATCTAGACCATGTACGACGGCGAATACCGTTCTTGGAAAACAGACCGGGAGACTTCGGGGAGACTCGGCCCAGAGACTGTACCAACCTGAAAATTCATCGATATTGATTGACTGTCGCAGGACGTTTTCCCACCTCTTTCGCGGCTGATTCTTCCGTGTTACATACCACTAGAGCAGCAGGCTATACATATGTAAGAGTTGAAAACCAGCCGAGAAACGGCTGAGACTCCTCGCCACAAAACAACGAAAACCAAGTACCCCGGCCCGGGCACTTGCCAAGCCAGTGGCCATGTTTCAAACTCCGTCACTAAGATCCGGCGTGAGAGGAACAGTGATGCTCGTAACTTATCATCAAGCCACAGGCTAACATCCACCCGTTCAACGTACTCTGTATCTAATACTGTTTCATCTTCATCTAGGGGGAAATTCCGTAATCCGCTCTCTGTCCACAAGAACGATTCTTTTTGATGAAGCTTCCATCTCCGAGGTTATGCGCTACTCGACCGCCGAACTACTTACTAGGCCGGGTACTTGACACGACTGATCATCCACACTCTACTATAATATTGGAGCTTTGGCTGTTGCTTTACCCATGAAACTCGCTATCAACTGCTTTGTCTATCGCGATAGGTGGTCGCCTGCACATAAGTAGCCTCTCCCTCGCCACTAGCAGACCCCATCCAACGACAGCCGTCATTCTCGCCACAATCCAAAATCAGTCGCATATTACTCTGATGCCATGATCCCTACGGAATTTCCCAATGGCTCATTATTAGTCTTTGCGATCCTTGCTCTGGCTTTTCTTCTCCGAAGTTATTACCCCCACCGTCGTTTACCCGTCCCACCTCTATGTGCGTTCACCAGGATTTACCAGCTGCTGCTTGCTAATCCCCAATTGGACAGGCAGAGTGAATCAAAAACACAGCGAACAGCGCTCGTGGGTTACTTATTCCATACAGTCTAAGACACTTGGTAGTGCTTCATCGCATTCGACCTGCTCTCCTGGGCTAATTGGTATACTGCACCAGGCTCGCTAATCAGTCTTACGACTCTCTCAAGGCCGGTAGTTGTTATTAACACCCGCAATGCCGCCACAGATCTCTTGGAGAAACGCAAGTCCTTCGCCTGCCGGCCCCGTTTCCCCATGGCGGAGCTTATGGGGCGACAGAACAACGTCGGGTTTACCTACTACGGCGAGAGGCTACAGCGACTCCGGAAGACACTTCATGCTTCTTTGAATACGAAGGCGGTGACGGATACTTGGTCCAACATGCTTGAGGCCCAATCATTGGCTCTTTGTCGACACCTCTTTCGGTCTCCGACTTCATTTGTCGACTCAATAGAGATGTGAGTCTGCCCATCTCGTTTTCCCTGCCGCCGCTTGACCATACGACTTTTCTCAGAAATATACAGGAACTGATTGGAAGGTTCTCATACGGCCACAAACCAGATGCCGAGTACATACGTGTGGCTAACGATGTAATGCACCACACCGGCCAAGCTCTTCGTCCAGGAAGATGGATGGTAGATTCTGTACCAGCCTGTGGGTGCCGCTTTCCTCCAGACGCTCTCGTTCTGATTGATGCCTCAGTGAAATGGATTCCTTCCTGGATGCCGGGAGCAGGCTTCAAGCGTTGGGCTATGGAGGCTAACTCCGTATTCATCCGCATGACACGGGAGCCTTTCTACAACGTTAAGAAGGACATGGTATGCAAAACCGTACTTTGGTATGGTGCTTAGCTTAAAGTTTCACATTAGGAGTATGGACGTGCGAAGCCGTCTTTTGTGGCCAATTCGCTCATGAGCTTACCAGAGGACCATGATGCCGACGACGAAGATATCATCATGTATGCAGCCGGAAGTCTCTTTAGCGGTAAGTCTTCATTTTTTTGTCAACATATTTGAGCTGAAACTTCTTCCCAGCTGGGACGGAAACGGTGAGCTGCGCTGGTTGAATCCCAGCAAGGATCCACTAGTATAGCGTTGAAGCTGATGTTTCTGCCAAGCTATCCGGAGCAATTCTAACGTTTTTGGTGCTCATGGCATGCCATGAAGACGTCCAAGAGCGTGCGTATCAGGAGATTATCACCGTCGTCGGACGCGATCTCCTGCCAGGTCTTGAACATAGACAGTCTCTTCGATATGTCGACGTATTGATTCAAGAAGTTCACCGATTTAATCCGGCAGTCCCTCTTGCCACGCACAGCAACTACCAGGAAGAGGATTATTTGGGTCATCGAATCCCAAAGAAAACCTGGATCCTGGCAAACATCTGGTATACCTGAATTTCGTACCCTTGCTTTTTCATTTCGGCAGCTAACAGAATTGTTTATTGTCAGGGCGATGCTGCACGATGAATCAGATTATCCTAATCCTGGTTCATTCAATCCTGAAAGATTCCTAGCTGTAGACGACAAAAATGCGCAGCTTGATCCACGCTCCCTGCTGTATGGATTTGGACGGAGGCAATTATAATCAATTTCTTTGTCTGTGTATTGTAGTAGCTAATTTCTCACTCAAACTACAGACGATGTCCTGGTGCACACTTCGCAGATGCGATTGTCTACCTAATTGTTTCTCGTATCCTAACCTTATTCGTTATTCGTCCGAAGATCAAAGAGGGCCGCCCGAACCCTCCTGTGTTGGAGTTCATACAGGCATTCGTTCCGTACGTATCCTTTGTAGCCGTGCAGGAGAATGGTGTTGTTTATTCACCGCTGTGGTATAGGGCTCCAAAACCATTTGAGTGCGATATTGTCCCTCGAGATAACGCGGCGGAAATGCTAGGCGTGGACAGCGCTGCGCTTAATGGTTCCACGGATTTCTGACTTTTCCGCGACGGACAGTAAGCACATATCGCCGGTCATATATACTTCTATTAGCTTTTTGGACCAATATCGTTCTTCAAATATGAACTTTAACCTCAATGGCATGTGGCGCTATTGCTTATCGGATCTGGATTGTGTATTGGGGAGTGTGGCGTGTGGTAGTGGGCGGTGAGAGGTGCCGTATCACCTCCAAAGTGAGGATTACTGCAGATCGTCCTAATACATCTGAGACCTTCTACGAGAGTAAATGGTCTGAAACGCAACATAAATTACTCTGTCTAAACGTGCACTGCCAAGGAATATGCCGATGTACAGGTCTTTTACTCCACTTTGCACGTAGAGTCCATGATAGCTTGAGTTATAGCAGGCTGGGAACGGTCTAATTGCTCGGCGGCGGTCCTACCATTTGATGCATCTTCGGGCGAAGAATGCAGTGTGAGAACTGAGAAGTATCAGAGGTGCTGAAGATGGCTTTATTTTCACAGCAGCGCGAAGCTGATACGAGAAAGTTACAAGCTAAAGCTGGACTGTTAGCGTAGAAATGATTGGCGACGTTATGACAAGCTCAGATGGTAAAGGTGTGCACGAGTGTAGGCAGTCCGAGGATCAAGTCCGAAGGGGCATGATACTTACAGTACGCGGGATGCTCGCTTCCGGTCCAAAAAATAGAAATAAGACATGAGAATCTGATGGGGAGGAATTTACGAACGGAGCACAGCCTGCAGGAACATAGGTTCCATAACTTTAGAGTTCTAGGAAGGGGAGGCTCCTTGGAGGCTCCGGCCGCGGTGTCGCATATTTTTTAGAATGCCGACCAAGCATGTGGCATACTGGCTTCCCTCCGTATGGCCGGAGCCTAGCTCTTGGCTTAGCCTATCGCTTGACTCGGAACTTGCTGACCGAGACCTTTTGGTCTGGCTACATCCTTATTCCTCGTGCAACTCGCCACAGCTCGCCTTCATACGGGAACTTCGTGATGACTCACTGAGACCTGACATTCCTTCTTGATTCCTCCGGACCAGTTTCATTCGCCCGCATTCGGTATGGCTGTCACCATGCATAAAGGCCTGATCAAAGCATTTCACTGCACTGTATGGCACAGTGCTCTATTCCGTCCGAGTCTCAGACCGTGTACAAATGCGTCCATCTGCCACATCACTGCTCGCTGAACCGCTCCTTGTTCTCATCGATTCGGTACTCTCCGGTGGGAAGATCACGGTTACTTTCTTCGATCTTTCATGATCTGTATATTGGCCTTCTATGGATGATTAGAGACGTTTCAGTGTCATCGCATTATGACATGTTTCTCCCTCCCCATGAGCTCTTGCGCCACTGCGTTACATCGTGATGGAGATGCAGGGACTATGACTACAGTTTGGACGTCCTCGGCCTTGTGGAACTTTCTCCCATTCTGTTCCTTTTCTGATCTGACGGATGAAGAACTTGCGTCCAGCGGGCTCACCATAAATCGATCATGATCATGATATTTTTGAGCGTCGCATACCTAGAATTGCTTCCAGACACAGCTATTATTGAAATCTCCACAAATATCGCAAAGAGACCGTGTAATCCCGCACTATAGTTCATTCTCCACATCTTCTTATCTGACCCTGAGATGTCACTTGCAGCGCTCAAGTTGGAGTATGTCTAACGGGAAGCTAGTGATCCATCTTGGCTCATAATCATGGATCCAGGCGTAGCATGTATTTTTCAGATACACGGGTAGCTGAGAAACACCTGCTGATGACGACATTCCTAGTGCGGGAGAAGTGTACACACGTATTCTCGGTGAAGATGGTATCAATATGGATAGAGGCTCGTTTCTGAGACGATCTCAGGCTATACAATCTACCTGAGGCAACATATATGAACTCCAGGCCATTTTTTCAGGCATAGTTCTCGCCCAGATACCAGTCCTCATCTGACGCATCGTGATACCTTGCATCATGTCCTCTTTCTGGAGACCAGATGCCGAACTGTCCCATTCAGAACGACCCCTACACACTAAAAGTAAATCAGCGCCTTTATCCCCTGAGGCTATCGACGACCTCAAGAAAAATGAAAACAGCGAATGGGAACACCATCCGAGGAACCCTCTCAATTGGACGTCGTGGAAGAGGTGGAGCGTTATTGTCGTTGTATGTTCTCACTCTCACTCTGCGGAAATCGTGCGGTCCGCTAATTTCATTCGAACTATAGATATCTTTATACATGTTTGTAACCGTACTGGAAAGCTCTGTGATGGCCCCCGCATTGCCGGACATCAGTCGGCATTTCAGCATTAACGACCAGACTGTCGTTGTTTTGACACTATCGATATACCTACTGTCATTTGCAATTGCACCACTCCTATATGCCCCTCTTTCGGAGATGTACGGCCGTTTCTTGGTTCGTCCTCGCGATTTGTATGTTTTTTTGACATCAACTAATAGGAATGTACACTGCAGGTAGTTCAGATCAACATGGTTCTCTTCCTGGGTTTTAATATCGGATGCGTGTTCGCTCCGACCACAGGAGCTCTCATTGCTCTACGTTTTCTCAGTAGGAATCTTCCTTATCGTATCCTTCATTGCTAGCTCTGAGATTGAAGTACCCCAGGCGGATGGGTTGGCTCGGTGCCTCTAGCTTTAGGCGGTGCGATTATAGGCGATCTATTCCCTCCGGCTGGCAGAGGGCTTGCTATGGCCGTTTTCACGATGGGTGGAATGATCGGTAAGTTCTCCGGCTGTAATTCTCTCTTTAAAGTCTGCTGATTGGATCTTAACATCTTTCTTGTGGATACGCGTAGCTCCTGTGGCAGGACCAATAGCTGGCGGTTTTCTGACAGAGACCTCAGGTTTCAAGTACATCTTCGTACTCCTGGTCTGTCTCTCCGGCGTGTTTCTTCTCATTAGCATACCTTTGTTCCGGGAAACCTACGGCCCAGTCATACTAGCACGCTCTTTCCGCACCCCCAAAGACTTGGAAAATACCTCCATGGCTCTCAATAGGAGGGAGAGCATCCAAAACGTGTGGATCAATGTCAAGAGGCCCTTTGTACTACTTGCACGGAGCTTCATATGTTTCATCCTCAGCCTCTACATGGCGACGTGAGTGCTATATGAGCCTATAACATATTCTACATTACTCAATAGAATAGCTTTCTAGGATGTATGGTACGTACTGTGATAGCTGTCCTGCTAAAGAAACATATCCCTGACCTCAGTTATGCAGGCATTTGGTACTTGATGTTCACGACGTTCCCAGGCAAGTTTCTCCTATACAGATCATAATTCTATTTAGCTCATATAAGTGTGTTGTCTCAGTGCTGTTTACCGACATCTACCACTTCAACACCGGAACAGTGGGCTTGGCCTACATAGGGCTCAGTATCGGATTCGTACTGGCCACTTTCGTAGTCGCTGGGGTAGGCGACAGAGTCTTCACAGAGGTTAGATTTAGCCTCATGATAGGTTTACACTGCCAGGCCCTGACGCCACACATATACCCTTCCCAATAGCTTGTTCGTCGCAACGGTGGCAAGTCGGCCCCAGAGATGCGCATTCCTTTGCTCATCGTAGGATCGTTCTTTGTCCCCATCGGCTTATTGTGCGTCAAAATATCTGCTTCATCATTTTTTTTTCTTAATTCTCGCATATTTCTCTGTGTCAAAGCTGGTATGGCTGGTCTATTGAAGCCAAAATTCATTGGATAATGCCTATCCTCGGGACGGGAATATTTGGGTTTGGGATCGCACTTGGGATGTGAGCTCGAGTATCACTTTCTGCTATATTGAGCCCCATCTAATAACACTGCCCTCTCAGTCAATTCTCTCAACTTTACCTCATTGATGCCTTTGGGATTTACGCTGCATCAGCCCTCTCAGCTGCTGCGGTAAGCTGCTCTCATTGATATTCTCACACTGTTTGGACCCACCCTAATCCAATTCGTGTAGGTTCTTCGCTCCATGTTAGCCTTTGCATTCCCATTGTTTGGTTCTCAGTTGTACGAGACTTTGGGCAATGGAGGAGGCAACTCGCTACTCGCTGGAATCTCCATAGTTCTTGGGATCCCTTTTCCAATTTTGATTTGGTACAAAGGGGATGCAATTAGGAAGAGAAACCCCCTTGACTTGTAAGCCCATACCGCTCATACTTAGCTCACATCGTGTACGTGCACGTTGCTCTCAGAGTGCTCGTACTGGATTCCCTTACGGCATACCCTATTGTTGCTAGTGGCGAAGTTTTTGACTAGATACAATTTGTCACATTTATTATCCTCACATGAAGGGGAAGCTTGCAGTGCGTTCTGCATGTTTTCATGGCACTTGAACACAACAAGGCAGAGGGACGGTGGCACATTAGGTCAGGATTCCTGAGTGACACCCACTCAGACTTAGAGTGCCAGCCTGTGATGCACTCTGACATGAAGACTTAAGTGCAACCATAGTAGATATTCCAGAGGTTTGCATATTGGTTGTTGTACCCTGGTGTTCTGGGCGAGGGTGGGGCCACTTGGTAAACACTCCAACTGCGGTTCTGCGGTGGTGTCGTATCGAGCGGTATCATGTGGAGCACCTTATTCAAGCTCTGACGAGGTGAGCTTTGACTTGAGCAGTGTCCCCGGTCCTCATATATTTATACCTTAGAAGACTGACCCCTCTCCTTATAAGCTAACCAGCAGTCTTTAAATTCCACTCAATGTACGACTCCCGAACAATAAATAAGTATTTTCGAAGATCCTTGCAAACAATTACGGTGGCACGTTTTGCGCCAACCTGAAGCTCAGAATCATTGCGCCCGCGGTCATGCATGCACTGTCGAATCTGCATGCCTTCCTGCATATTAAATTGCAATTTGATTGTCACAGCGGTAGAGCCAGCCAGATAGCAGGGATCTCCGTCGAGACGACGAGATATACTCGAACATCTGAAGCGGTCGATCCGTAACTCGTATGTAGCACTGACCAGCATCGATAACGATCCTCACTGATAGACTGTACCGTACCGTGCATGAATATTATCTGTAAGCCTGCGCAGTTGTCGATGTGTATGGTTGGGTGCTTCCGACGAGGATGTGAGGGTAAGGGCCCGTCGAGGAATAGGAAGGTACTCCTTTCACGTATGGACCTACACATCCATACATGAGTCACACACAAAGAATCTGCAGATCCATGGATAAATGTATATGACCGCGCCGGAGCCAGACCAGACCATCAAAGATAGTACGTCTCTCTGAAATGAACGGGATTGTCCGAGCTACATGTACAATAAACTCGTTGAACTTTGTTCGATTTATAGATTTGGAATACCACGTCTACCTTCGAGTACCGCGTCGTGTATCCCTTCATTATGAAGTACTGCATGGATAAGGTCGGATGGGAGAGCGAACTGTGATAGAGGATAGGTATGCGGTGCTTGGATGAACGACAGCGATATATGGTACATTTTCGATTTAAATTTACATTGTACGAGCGCACCTCATAATCCATGGTCGCACGACGTCTCTCTCCCTTAACAACTTGGTCATCGTGATTCACAGCCCGCTCAATCCTCTGCTCGTCGCCACCTTCCCTCGTCCACGTACACGTTCCTTCATTTTCGATTAGACAGACCAAACCTCAAAAACTGTATTCTTGAGTCACACCGAGTCCTACTGCGTTCACGGAGATCTGCAGAGATATGATCCAGATATCTTCGATGAGGGGGACCCGAGTTCAACGTGAGTAATATTGTGTCGTGTAAGTGTAAGGATGCTGTGATGAGAAGAAGGTGAGTGAGTGAGTGAGTGGGTGAGTGAGTGAGTGAGTGGGTGAGTGAGTGAGTCGGAGATGCAGAGGTAGAGAAGGGTTCAAGGGACGTGGAGATGGAGATTCGGTCGAGGTTGAGGGCTGGTTCGCTATGTGGAGTTTGGGAGCGTCCATCGTCTTCCAGTCAGTTCAATTAATAACTGTAAACAGACGGATGAAATGTTTAAAGGAGGAAGAAAGCGAGCGAGCAAAGTTAAGGGCATGCATACCGATCTGAGATATAATAACATAAAAAAGAGGGCTAGACGCTCTTAGGTCCTCTAATCCTTAACCAGAGAACCTGAAAGATAGGCCCTTTATATTGATAGGGGCAGCTAAGCCAAAGTCATCGATCACGACAACTTGCCAGTGAGCGCTTATGCTTGCGGGGATGGCGTTCATGGCAAGATATCGAATGAAAATGAATTTAGCAGTGAAAAATATCGAAGAGTACGTGGTGGCCTCCCATACGGTGGAATGATCTGTCATTTTCTTTCGTGTGGTGATCATCTGGATAGAGTGGACCGTAAGTAAGTGGTTGAAGAGTGACACGAGACTGTAGGGCGATGTCTAAGATGATACACGAACATTCGCGCTGGGTGTTGTACAGGTACAAAGGGCTCTATTCTGGACAGTCGAAATAGGTTGACGCATAGTTGGAACTGCTCGCGGCGGCAAAAATTGGCGACAAAGGTGTCTAAGTTAAGAACCGGACAGAACACCTCGAGGCTGATTCGAAACTGTCTGAAGAGCGATATGACACGGTGGTGGCGACTCCAACAGTTTCCAAAGACAAAAGACTCACAGACTCTGACCAAGATTTAGAGGAACGGCTGGGGATAAATAAATATGCTCGGTATGAGGAGGGAACGATTCGAATCGGACACGCGGCTTTGCAGTACATTTATTTGTCCTTGTTAGGATCAGAAGCCTCGGTTTCAGCGAGCCAATCATCGGTTGTCACGCCACAGACCACATCGTTTTTGCCCTTGTTTCCTCGACCGTACCCTCACCTGCAGAATCCAACATGGATCAGCCACAGATATCAGCGCTAATCGTGTACATAATCTACCATTCAATGATTTTCACCGCTATATAGAAGAGTGTCCGCTTTCAGCTATCGTTAGCGTATCGAATCTCTGGTAAGTAATTCTTCTCCTCGTTTACTCCTTCAACATGCCCGTCCCGCGTCTGTACTCGCTGCTCACGGTAGCTCTCGATCAGAAATTACGGTGCAGGTGCAGAACACCTCAAACCCGGCTCTCTAGCGAACATTCTGCTGGAATTATGCCCTCGGACATTCGTTCTGCTCGCTCCTCCGGAAACGCTCGCATACATTTCTACAGTCCACAGCTGTTTCCGAACTGTCAACATCGCGTCCAGATTCGAAACACCTCGTACCCGCAAGTAAACCATTTCAAGTGCCTCCTTGCCCCATCGAGAGTTCAAACCATAATAGACAAGCCACTCATCTCCCTCACCGACTTCGTCGACCAGTTCATTGCTCTGATGGAAGGGTACGAGCGAAGGGCCTTCTCGGGATACGAGTTCGCTACATTATATGCGAGCGGTGATAGTTTCGTGTTTAGCGTTGTGTAGTCTGGATGACGAGATACCTAGGACGACGATACCCTATGCCGAGAGGCGCTTCATCCTACTTCCCCCTACTTCCTTCCAGAAAGTCCGTATTCGAGTGCGTATGGCTGATCCTTTCCGCAATACTCGACATAGGCGCAGAGCTCGAAATTCATCGTTCTCGCCACGACGAATCACGGTGGACATTTAGGATGCTCCGACGATAAAGGAGAGAGATGGTATCAACCTCCTGTATTCGAGTTTTTGGATGCGATTATTTCGGTATGTCTTCGTCATCTAAGTATGTCCCCACCTTTGAGGACTATGAGTGAGGTATAAACTCATCCGTCGTGTGTCTTTGCGGACAGCTAGGACCTCAACACCGACCTATACCCCCCCATAAACTCAATATCGAATGCTAGCGAGTGTCCTGAAGGCAAGAGATAGAGACGAGCAACATACACATGCACATGATTGATCCCGCCCATTCCTTCTAGATCTGTCCCGTTCACCTCTACGCCCCTATCGGCCTCCGACACCATCTTGCTCCGAGTCCGAGTCCGGGCCTGCACTGATTCATCCGTCCCGGTATGCGCAGATCGGACGACCTCGATAGCGGTACCCAGTTTGGACGTAGATACGGAGCTCGGTGAGAATGATACGTGAGGCGCCGAGAGCGAGGGCGTAATTAGGCGATGAAACTGGAATTAGGGTGGAAGATGGAGGCGATGGTGAGTAAATGAGTCGGCGAGGGAAGCGATGAATAGCGAGTAAGTGAAGGGATAGGGACAGGACCGGCAATATCAATGGTTTGTTTAGGAGCGCGAGGAAGGAAAGAGTAGTACATGTAGCACAGAAGAAAAACAGAGAGACGTACATCGAAGTCCCAGCAGTTCTCTGAACAAGCATACTTTGTCCTTTTTTGAACGGCACGGGACCATGGAGGGTACTGTGAGCCGTGACACCGGCGTATCTGGAGAGTGAAGACTAGTGCAAGATAATATTGTGAGGTGGGGAAACAGAATGAGTGGGTAAACGGGACGAGTGAGGCGAAGAGGGAAGCTTGAAGGAAAAGAGGGACTGCGCGTGGTAGAGTACAAATCTTCTCATACGACATCCAATCGGGGACCGGTATCAAATAATCTTCCTACATACATACATCCAATACTCAAGGTCACCTTCGTACTCTGGACCTTAACCAAGAAAAAAAAACGTACTCTCTCAATCGACACCCCACACACATACGCTCCAAGATCTCCAAACACGAGCTACGCCATCGCAAAGATAGCGCCGACGCGATCTCCGACGCCCTGGTTGAACGCAGGAGGGACGAAGGGCGATGATTCGAACATGTCGGAACATGGGTTATGTTCGGTGAGAAGCTAGTGGAGGCAGACGGTGGATTTGGGGTTAGGATACGAGGACGGGGAGGTGATGGCACTCGGCAAGGGGTGATAACATTGGCACTTGGCCACGACGAGGGCCCGTTGCTGCACGTCGCATCACACGAAGGCATAAAGTATTTGTTACTACTGGGATAAGGAGAGAGATACGCACCCAGAACGAGACGGCATAGACAGACCAGAATCGACACCTCCTTTGTCTCCAACGCATCTAACCCCATGAATTATCCATCCCGCCATCAGCAATGACCCACGCATATGCCCTACACACCAAGACCATGCGAGAAACCCACCTCAGAAAGTCTGCATTGATATTCACGCATGGTAAGTAGCCATTCCTCAACGTCGTCTTCCGTTTCGAGAAACGGCACGTTCGTGCGTTCATGCGATACTATCGGTACGGTTCCGAGCTCGCCGGCATACTTGACCAGGACATTCGCTCCCAGCGAGAAACCTGAGTGAGACGTCGAAGTTCATGTCAAGATGGGTTTACAGCGTGTATGTGAAGTAGAGCCTACCGATGCCGAACATCTCGCAGTTCGGGAATTGTTGTGTGACGTACAATGATGGGTTTCGCTTGGAGGTCGTGTGTGGCTCGCCAAGCCTTAAATATCACCAGGTACAAGTTGAAGCATGAGATCTGCAGGGATGATTCAGATGAGAATCAGTGGCGCCCACGAGTCAGCGATATTCGTATTATGTATGACCCTATGACAGAAACGGTATCGTTTAGTGTAGGCGAGTAAAGAGAGGAAATGATGCGTAGAGCCTAAGAATTCGGGCAACTAACCATGCTTTATTGTACTCACAAATGGCCGTGCGGTTCGATGATACGATATCATCTCTGTAAAGAGTGTTCAATCCATCGTGTGAGCACTGCGAGGGGATGTTGAGCCACACATGTAGTGCCTCCTTGGAAGCTATCTCACAAGCGACGCCAAGATCTCCTCCAACGAGGGACTTGGCTTCCGAGAATCGGCGTGACTTATGAATCATATAGGTATCTATATCATGCAAAGGAACTCGTAGATGCGAATCGGCACGATGTGTGGGCCTGATCACAGTGAGCAGTGAGCGAGCGTCGAAAGTAGATCTCCCTGCGAAGCATTCGCCCTTGATAGTCCCACAAGGAGAGACCGGCGATATCGCACGGTATGGTTCAAGAGTCACTGGTCTTCGCGAGAGAGGATCAATGCTGACATGTAGCCTGAGGGGTATATAAAGACGAGACGCCGTGAAAGAGGGCGAAAGTCGCAAGCACATTATGAGTAAGATAAGTCGGTTGTCGCTAGTATATCAGGAAGGACGCAAAGAAATCAGTGTCGACAAGACGTCTCATGGAGAGAGACGATCAAGGCTAGGGGGTCGACTCTCGAGAGCGGAAGGAAGGAAGGAAGGAAATGGTTGCCGCACGCGATATCACATCTCCAACGGCAGCGATAAGATTAGATCGTCGACCGATTCCCCTCAATCCCCTCATCCGTGAACGGCCTCAACACTCTATTACTACCTACCACTACTTATACATCTTCATGCCACCGCGCCAGCGCCCCTTCACCACTTCACCGTAATCTATTGAGCACAAATCCCAAACGTCAACGAACAACCCGAATGACTCCAACGACGCGTTCATCCAACTGTCTTGTGCCGGTGCCAGCCGAGTTTACGAGGCCGGCACCTGCCGTCCAGTCGAGCGCGAGCGCGAAAACTTCGCCCTCCGCTCTCCGCTCTCTCTTCATCGATTTTCTGCTCCTCGGAATCGTTCCTTCGCAACTCGCAACGTCGTCGCCGGAGTGTTCACGCTCGGCGCGCGTGTTTTTCTGTCCCGCCCACCACTCCCTTTACGTTTGCGTTAAAGTATCCGATTTGCCACTTCGTGTGTAGTAGTACATACTGTTACTTTACCGCATCTGTTCGTATTGTACAACATCCTGCGGATGTAGTGAGCGAATCGCGCTGCGGAGCCCGCCCACCCAGGCGGCTCATCTCGCACCGCGTCTGGACTTGGCCAACCAAGTCCCCTAGCCCAACCCACAGATAGCTCACCGCATTCGTACCGTCGTGACAGCGCGAGTAGATGAGACTGGAGCGAAGCGCGCCGCCTCGCGCCCTCTCACTCAACAGCTCACAGCCATCGAGCTTCAGACCAACTGTCTTGCTCGAAGAATAGCAGTGCAAGGCACGACTAGGAGAACTGTAGAGCACCAGCGTAGCTGCCATGAAAGCAGCACTCGATAGATTCTCATTACTGTTCAAGGTCCGTTTGCCACATTTTGCCTTTCCTCTCCGTAGCTAAGGCGGTACAACGGTGAATAGAAAGGAAGGAAGCTCTGAGACTCAAATTACTCCCTTTCGTGAAACTTGTACCTCGATTGAGATTGTATCCAGCATCCCCCCTTCCACGACCTCCATCTCCACCTCGGCCCGCTTTCCCTCTTTCCACCCCGCCATATCCACACCCACCACCCCACACTCGTGCACCCACCTCCACCCCACCGTGCCCACAGAAACTCTGGAGCAACTCTACGACTGGGATGCGATAGGTTAGTCGTGCACAGCTCCGAGTCACATGAAGGGAGTCGAGGATCGGTTAGGCGTTTGTTAGAAGTTGACGTCGAGAATAGAGGAAGTCGGTGCGGAAGTTCAAGCGATGTCGAGGGTGTAAAAGAATGTGTAGGTGGGAGGGTGTAGGTTTGTCAGAGGTTGACTTAGGATGAGGTGCGTTCACGTCTTGGGTTCCTATCGTACGTGTGATGAGCTTGACGCGTTTTCTGGCCGGTGTAGGAAGGATTGGTAGAGGTAGAAGACGCGATCGGACGGTGACTGTGTTATTTTCTGGAGTTGGGGCACACGACGAGGATGTTGCATCCTCCGGGCGACTCGCTCGTCCTCTAGACCGATTTCCAGTACGTTGTCGAACGCATCGATGTCCGCATCAACTTTCTCAAGGCTCACATAAGTTCGTATTTCTTCCTGCCTTTCTGCTAATCTCAATTTATTATCTTTGTTATCCCCGTCCAAATGTAGTGCCACTCCCGCGAGGCAGAGCTCTACCTCCTTCGTTTCCGAACAATGTATGACTCGCGCGATGATGCCTTTGAAGATGTTCTTTTTTGTGTTTTTACGTGCACTTTCGCAAGATAGCACCCAACGATCGTCTGAGAAGGTATGTTCTCTCTGCGAAGCCCATTTTCTCTGCGCCACAGTTTTATCTATGTCGCCCTGGTTCATTCCCTTGCACTCTCTCCCACTTTATTACGATACCGACTGACAACGTTTATACGCACCATGGTGGCACAGAACGTTTCGTCGACAGCCCAAAAACGCCTTTGAACTCGCTTCCCATCTTGCATTAACTAGCTCCGCTTCTCTCCGAACTCGACCGGCGAGCAGCGTCCCATCCCGATCAACTCGCTGCCTTGTTGCAGATACGTACGTCTCCTTCATCCACTGCGTATGTTATCCCTTTCGCCGTGGAATTCTCGTCTACTTCGCCGTACGTATCCTAACTTTCCTACCGTTTGTGCGATATTAATGCTGGACGTGGGCGCTATATCTCTCCCTGTTCGAGTTCGCAGGTGTTTTTTATTAGATGATTGCTGATGCGGATTTAGGGCTTCTTGCTCTAGCAGTGTCCCGCAGTGAGGTTCGCGGCCAGAAAAGGGTTCGTGGTGAAGGTTTGTCGAGGTCGTGAGAGGGTCGGAGGTTTGAAAGAGGGAGCTCATCGACGTGGTATGTTCGACTCTTTGGATTTTGATTCATAGTCAGCATCCTCATCCTCGTCATGATACAGCCCATCCTTCATCACCCTCAATTCCTTATCATGCCTTTGCGCCATCCGACTTCGTCGACAATTGACTTTTTTTTCTAAGGTCGACTTGGTCGAGTTTGAACGCACATATGCGCCTTGCTCTGCTCTTGGGACGATTCTCGGAAATGAAGTAAACCTACAGACCAACTAACTAGTCGATCTCAGGGAGGATCAATGACGACAGACAAGAACGGGAAAGAACTATCTGAAGGAGCTCTGCACGGCCGAGTGGCATCGCTATCGGTGCTGTTTCGAATCTGGTAGGGAATAGCCCTAGTGCGTCTTGCCTATTTTTTGTATTTCGTTTCGTTCTGGTCTTCTCGGTTTCTTCACATAGTTGTATTCATCTGATCTCGATCTCACCGTTTGATCACTATCTATCCTTTCGCGTCTGTACTATTTTCGTTGGCCACTAATGGTTTCACTCCCCTTCCTTCTCCGTTCTCAATGAAGAATCTCGACACAATTTCGTTATACTGGCCCCGACCTACTCCCGAACTCTGCAAACGCACCCCCGGAAGGTGAAGGTGAAGGTGAAGGTGAAGGTGAAGGTGAAGGTGAAGGTGAAGGTGAAGGTGAAGGTGAAGGTGAAGGTGAAGGTGAAGGTGAAGGTGAAGGTGAAGGTGAAGGTGAAGGTGAAGGTGAAGGTGAAGGTGAAGGTGAAGGTGAAGGTGAAGGTGAAGGTGAAGGAAAACGGATTGGGCGGAGCTCAGGATAGTCTTTCAGGATATGCAGACGGGCAGAGCCAGATCAGGTAGCTCGTTCCGAACGCTAGTGCTGGGAAGGAAGAGGTGGATTGGCCGGCCGTTTAGTAAGAGCGAGAGGTGAGCTAGGCTGTCATTCTTTGTTACTTCGTCAGCCTCTACCTCAACGTGACTAACTTTTACTGAATTTGACATTTCGTTCCATACCCTTAGACTCGGACGAAATGAACCTGATCGTGAAGGACAAAGACAACGAGTCGATCGCGATGGGTCTGGGCCGGATCTTCAACATCTCGCTGATTTCAATGAATGTGCCGCCTCGGACTCGGATGTCTCAGGTGGCCCGGTTACACCAGTGGCGAAAGAAGTCATGAGAGTGTGCGGTGGTGCAGGCGCATATGCGGCAGTTGTCGTCTCGACCTCGGTGGGTTTATTCCTACTGAAAACCGGGCGCTCTCAGATTCTCGAACGTAATGCTCTCTTACTGATATCCTTTATCTTTGCCCAAAGTCGGCTGTGTATAACGAAGCCCTGTGGTGTCTTTGTCAACTAGGGGTGCTCGTAATCGCAGGGATGCCCACGAACTACGTCCTGGACGTGCCAGTTTTGCTCATGGTGGTGAGAGTGCGCCTCTTGGCTCATTTCCTGAGCCATGTCGCCATATACATACGGTATTTTTCAGAGTTTGATAGCGGCATGAGCAAAGTCCCACTCACACGACGTATCTGGTTTGAATTGGTAGTACACGTCCTCAACGAGCGGGTCGTTATCCTCGTAGTGGTCATCGCTACGATCGGTGATGGAGGAACCTCGACCAATCCAGTAGCTGCCCTCTAACTTGAGTACACACCAGGCCAGATACCGAAAACATTCAATCGTAACGTGCCAGCAGAGTATCGCATGGCGAATCTCGAGTTTAACTGGCTGCGTTATATCTGGTAGACATGACGTTGGGACAAGGACGAATTGGACGTAGGGATCCGGAGGCTTAGGTACAAAGAGACGAGGAGTACTAGGCTGCTGAGGCGGAGTATCCGATGGCGGGAGAGGCTCATTGGCAGGCCGATGGAGAGCCGGAGGCAGAGGCGTACAGACAGTCTGAGGACGGGACATTCTGGTAAAGAAGATGACGAGGAACCCCAACAGTCGCTGTTTATATAGAAGCGTGGGAGAGGTGGCGTCACATGTACTCGCCGACGTGAATCAAACGACCAGCCTAAAACTACAGCGGATATATCAGTTCCAGGGTGGCGAATCTAGCAACGAAAGTGAGCACAATTGCTAGGTCGCACTGGCCGCAGGACGTCAGAGGAAGAGAAATATGAGGTACTCGCTCACAGCAGAGCCCTTAGACAGGGTTAGGGTCTACATGGGTTTGCGCTTTGAGTACGACTTGCCCAGAACGCCCCTCGTCTTTCTTGGTCTCTTCGTCTCGGTCTGTAGTCGTCCTTGTAACATTCACAACTTTGCCTTTGCTTCCAATGTGGATGGTCTTTTACTGTTACAGATTTCTCTCCGGGTTATTAAAGCCGTTGCGTCCTCTAACAGAACCTCGCCATTTCACTCACTCCGATGACTTCAACCGATCGCGCGCGAACCTCAATGAGCACCCGACACCGTAACCTCTTTACGAGTGCTAGTGTGTAGCTATCCTATTCTGCATACTGTTATTCACTGCGGACGTACTCTTGTGATGGTGATTTGCTTCCGGAAGGTGTGGGGGTCTCATCGAGGGACGGCACTTCGAGCGGTGCAAAGCGCAGTATGCTCGCTCTTTACATCGACGAAGAACGGCAAAACATCAAAACAACCAAACAGAGAGGGGAATAAGACTGCAAAGGTAATTCTCACACTGACTGTTCGTAGTATGTGCGAAACTAAATGGACGTATGTGTTGACAGCATCGGTTTCAGGGAAGAAAGGTTCCCACACACGGCGGAGCAAGTACTATTGAGACCTACTTTACCTGCGGAGTGAAGCAGAGCGTAGCTTGATCATTCCTGGCCGCCATTTTGTGGCGAGTCTCCCCTCTTTATGTTGCTGGTCGATGCAATTTGTCCCCTGAACCCTGAGCACTCGCCGCCGAACTTTTGCTCATTTCTGCTTCAACAGGGTTTTTGTCACCTGTGGCCAGGCGAAATGAAGCACAGTTCAGGTAGATCTCCCTCGAGCAAACATGTTATAAAACCAGAATGAAAGAATGACGAGGCTACAGGGTGAGAAGAACGATATTGGTTATTTTTGTTCGCCCTTCCAGCTAGACAATGTATCTTGTGTATCGACGAACAGATGGATATGAGCAGAGGCTCACAAATCGGCCCTGTCTTTCTGTTCAATAAACTCGCTTTTAGTGTGGCCCGAGTGGACAGAAGTGGGATGCATACGTCGTCTTCCAAAGTTCCTTGGGATCCTCCAGCGCTCCTAGTGATCCGAGAGGTCTCGATGTTAATGGCAATTTGATGCGCGCGCGCACTCTACATGCGAACAAGGTCAGCGTATGACTCCCGATCAACAAACAGCGCACATACCTCAATGTCCGCGGTATAGGTTCTTCCGCCAGAGGTTTGCTGAGCGCCAATGGCACCCAAGGGTACGTTGGAATCATCAGGGAATACCGATGTGAACTCGTTCCAGGTGACATGCCCATCCTTCACGTACGCTCGCGCATTGAGATTTGCGAGAAGTGATCCCACGTACAGCCCCGAGATTGTCATCTGTGGGATGCAGTAAAGGAAGGTCGTTCGGCTGCCTACCATCTGTCAAGGAGTTAGACTCGGTGTTCGTAACGAGACAGCAAGGAACTTACCATGAGGAGCGCTATCAATGATGCAAGGGCCGTCCAAGCATTGGTGTTGATGGTCACAATGAGCAGCCGCAATATCATTTGACGGGTGCTTGGGGTCATAATGAGCACTAGAATCCTGCACGAAGTAAGTTATTCTTACCCGGACCACTTCGGCATTCCTTTCCTGAGAAAAATGGCGATGATGGATAGACTTATACCAATGTCGGTAATGAGTGAGCACGACCATACAGCGATAGAAAGAGCCTGTGCTCCAGTTAGCGCGGTCAAACAGTGACACGAAATAAAACAGACAAATGGCGCGCGTGATCCGAGGTACACCAATGTATCGTGCCGATACCTAGACAATTCGGATGTCAGCACACACACGAAAAAGTAAGCCACTCTCGGGTGAGACAGACCCTAGAACTTGGTATGCTGATACCGGCGGGATATCGACCTCATTATCTTCTCTCAGCGGAAGTGTATATAGGCTTACGAATAATCAACACTGTTGGACATGTTAGGCATCAGTTGAAAGACAGGTAAAAATAGCTTACCTAGTGCAGCAAGCGCAAAGATAGACTGTAACATCGAGGTTCAGCCGATTCCGAAACAGAGGGATAGCCTACACCTACCAAGACAACGGGCGCGAGCCACCTCTGACCGCCGACTGTATGTATAACAAATCAGTGATACTCTGTCGTGGGAGGAGTCGAGAAAGACATACGGTTATAAATGCGGCGAATGAAGAACAGTTGGACAAGGTATGATACTATGGCCTGATAAATGGCAATTGCTGTTAGAGAAACTATACGGCTCGTGCTGTGGTAAATCCAGGCTGACATTGGTGATAACATGGTTCTAAGTGCAGAGAAAGCTTGTCAATACAGTGAGGACAGACAAGGATAGATTTAGGGGAAGTGTGAAACTGACCATTTCCCCACTGTAGGCGAGGACACTAGTCAGCTTTATATTTGGGACCGGCTTGGAAGAGTTTTAACGTACGGGATTAAAGAGCCGACGATGTTCAAATCGCCCCAGTGAGATACAAGGGGATTCCACACTACGTTTAAAATTGGGTCAGAGTATGACCACATGTAACTCCCGAACATCATGCACCTCCTTGTAGCAAAACAATGTTGTTTGCAGTGTCGACGAGCCTATCGGAAAACGAATCGTCATTTTAGCGTGTGTGGATAAAGTTAGGGTGCTTACCAAACGCCGATAACCTGCAGTGCAAACCATCCCTATAAATGAGCACCTGGTCTGACCCATCTGAAGATCTCACTCACGTATAGCTTCTGAGAGAGGGGATCCGAGCTGTAACTATTGATGATTACATGAGTACGAGCATCGTGTGGCTTCCACGATGACCACGCACGCGCAGAGATAGAAGAACCTGCGAGCTGTCAGCATATATATCAGCTAGAAAAAAGGAACGGTATCCCTCACAGCTGGACACCATTAGCTCCCCAAAGAACAAGAGCCCCAAAACCCCCAATGAGCATGGAGCCCTGGGTAACGGAAAGATCCAGAATAACGGGGTTGTTGAGTGGCGCAGACATCGCAGGTGGGTCGTACAAGCGATGGGGCATATCACCGTAGGTAGCGAGGTTTATATAGGGTTGGCCACGGGTCTAACCGCAGGTACAGGTCTGACTACCGTATCTGTACCCGCTGAACCTTTACCCGGAAGACCGCGGGTTTTCATGCATGGGTTTTCGTCAATTTATTCATGGAACTGTTGAATAAATGCTCAAAGACTTGTAAGGTATTTGAAATACCGCTTTTGAGACTCTGGAAGACCGCAGACCACCCGAAAAATTGCTGAAAAGGTAATTGATAATCGCAGGTCTGCAAAGGTCAAACCCGTACCCGTACCGTACGGGTCCAAAATACCCGTGGCGAACCCTAGGTTTATATTCACATACCCGTTATATTGATGACTGTTTGAGTTCGAGAAAAAGTGAGAAAGTGAGAAACTTAAGACTCAATATCGAGTGCTGTGACGCTGAACATAGATGGCGGACCATCCACAAATCACAATCATGATGTTGAGTGCGCCACAGAACATACAAATCAGTCGAGATACGAGCTGTACCCTGTTTTCGAGCTTTATGGATCCCATCTGACAATCGAAGTACAACGGAGCCATACGATTGGTACACTCCTTGATAAGTCAAAGTTCCGCGCAGAAATGCAGCTAAATGAGGCAAGGTCTCACCCATGATCGAGAATATGTTCTGTGCACTGGAAAACCATCTTTATTCCCGGCCAAAGAAGCAAGGGACTTTGACCGTGCAACGAAGTGCCTTGTGCGGTGAAACATAGCTCATATTGACGACGCTTGCGCATCATGATAGAATTGAAACAAGGGGCTCGTGTTTGTGCCTCTGAGAAGACTCCATAGAATCAACTCGGTTTGGAGTTTTTTGTACGAAACTTCACTATCTGATGAACTTTCGTTTAACATGAGCTTTCCGCGCCAACTTTGAACATTCGTTCATGCATGACATACTTCTGCGAGCCAGTGTTTTGTACAACACAGACGTTAGGTTAGCGTGAGTGGCTACCATCGAGAGCTTTAAACTTATATTATGCTACAGTCGTTTGCAAAAGAAAACGGAATCTATCGCTCCTTCACAAAACGCCTTCGTCCCGTGGACAGCCATGGAGCATTCGGTATGGTGTGAATTGGTTGGTTGAAAAGATGATCATTTTGACAGGCTTAGACTGACGGTATTGTCAGCACGACAAAGTAAGTATATCGTATTTCTAAGTCGGACGGCTCGGGACCGGCCGGTCAATGCCCGGAGCCCGGAGGATCCGAAAAAGAACACTCCCTTTGAAGTTTCAAATTCCACGGTCCTCCAAGTTCTCTGCCGTCCTGCCCTCATCTCTCATTACCACGGTCCGCCTACTACATCCGCGCTCAAACATCTTTATATGGGCCATATGCAGTAGGAGCTTGACATCAACAGGTAAGTGTATCCGCAGATGTCCAGCGTCGCATGAACAAGAGTGCCTCGATGGAGTGATGTTCCAACTCATCTTTCCTTTTGGATCCTTGTGGACAGTGATCTCTAAACAACAATCGGCTACTACTCATCTAGGCTAACGCTAGTAGAGAGACCTACATCATATCTTGATGAAGGGATGCAACTTTTTCTATTCTTCCGAGTGACTTCAGACCTCGGTAGCAAACATGTACACATCATGAAGCGCTCAGCGCGGCCCAAGCGGCGATTTCGAAGTTACCGCAGGTACCGAAATTCTCGCGCTGTATAGCTTTGGACGATATTACGACTGGAATAGCACTGATGTTATCTTCTTACGGCGTTGATGCTCCTCGCGAACTCTCAAGGGGCTTAGATCTTTATAGAAAAGTACAGTCAGCTCTTCCGCTCGTAAGTACTCGCATTTAATCTTAGCTCTGCTATTCCTGTGCTGCCGTACGTATTATGGACCATTGGATCTGAATCACGTTCTATCCCCACCTCATTCCCCGCGGAAAGATGATCTGACTGCAGGACTGTGCGACAGTCCATGTATTTCGCCTTTTTTGTTGCGAGCATTAGTATTAGACCGTATCTGCGGGTGAATTTTTGACCTCGCTAAGGCCTAATGGGACTCGACGATTGGCCCGATCGCAGTTTTAGAGCCGTTTTAAACGGTCGCAGATACGGTCTATTCTCCGAACAATGTACCATCTCAGAGCTCACAGCCTCTCAGTCCTATCTCTGGAAGCACGGATAGAGTCTGAGGGACAAGGCTTCAACATCATAATATGGGCACGTCAGTGGAGCTAGCCGTCTTCAAGTTCGCATGTGTCTTAGTTTTATCGATCATCATTGAAGGTGATACCTCAGGCTGAAGTTCTGCTTACCTCTCGTCAGATTATCTGTCATCTGTTCCATGAAACGCTTGCGTGTGATACGATCTAGCCATTTCGCTGCCACAGCTCTTCTCATCATCATGAGACATTCGATGTGATACCGTGGAGTGCGGCTTCCCAATTCCGCAGCGCTATGACAATACCCGCACGAAGAGCTCGTACTGTCTTCATCAACTTATAAAGTCCTCTCTTGGACCTGAGATCTCCACCCAGCGCCTACAGCTATGTATTTTCAGGAGAGGACTATACGACTGTTCATCATATTATGTTCTCTTTCCTTTTTCTTGAGGATCTGCGGTGCTTCCAGCTCAAAAAAATGCCTACCTCTTTCTGCGACGACATCTACCGACGATGCTATACGCTTCTCGAGTATAAAATTTGATTTCATTATCGTCGGTTCGTTCTCTCATAGTTTTGATACGCAGAGTTGGAATACTTTTACTCAATTCCGTTCTCAAGGTGGAGGAACAGCAGGGCTCACAGTAGCAACGAGGTAAGCAGGTTCCACTCACGCTGATTTCCTAAGAAATATCTCAGGATTCTTTTATCAGACTCTCGGAGAATTCCAGTTATGTGGTCGGTGTATTGGAAGGAGGTGTCTTCCATCAAAATGACCCTCTGATTGATGTTCCGGGTATGTACGAATTGTGTTGTATCATCACTCTCGGAACTAAAGCATGTTCTCTCCCCTTAGCAAATTCTGGAAACGCTACCGGGAACCCCGCGTATGATTGGGACTTCCAGACCACTCCTCAGTCTAGCGTCAACGGTCGTACGATTGCAGTTCCTAGGTATGGTATCTACTGCGTTGATACCCACTTATTAGCACTAACATGTAGTCGCACTATAGAGGTAAAATGCTCGGCGGGTCCTCTGGGCTCAATCTGATGGCATGGAATCGCCCCTCGAAAGACGAGCTGGACATATTACAGACCTTTTCTCCAAGTAACGAATGGAATTGGGACGGCTTAATCCCTTACTTCAAGAAGTCTACGTCTCTCGATGCTAGCCAGTCTTTCTCTTTTACGGACGTGTCTGGGAACAAAACGTCTTCTCACTCATTTGATACGCTCTTCGAAGACTTCAATGGGCCTGTGAACGTAAGACCATCGGTTCGACGACTGGTGAAATGCCTGACGCGTCTTCTTCCTAGGCCTCCTTCAATGACCTTTACCCGACTGTTGTTCCTGCTTACATGGACTCATTCAAATCGATAGGTATCAGCGCCAACGCCGATCCAGTATGTCTTCGTTCGCATGCTTTTAAATGCCCCTCTTATTCGGTTCTATAGGATAACGGCTCGTCTACTGGCATTTACAACTCTCGGTTGAGTGTTGATCGGCCCAATGGAGTAAGATCCTACGCTGCTCCAGCCTATTACTGCCCTGCTTCTTCACGAGGCAACTTGCATGTTCTAACGAATGCTCAAGTTTGTCCGATTCTCCAATGGCGCACGTTATTTTTCTGGCTTACCTCCTCGTCTTAGGTGACAAAAATCGTTCTTCAAAACAGCACTTCTACTCCTGGATTTCTCGAGGCGTCAGGCGTGCAGTTTGTCGCAGACGCGGGAACGTTCACAGCAAGTGTGAAAAGGGAGGTTTTACTCTCGGCCGGTACAGTGCAAACACCGCAACTGTTGGAACTATCGGGTATGGCGTACTTCCTTCTCTACGTTTCAGAGAATCTCAGCTGTTCCAACTCTTGCACAGGCATCGGGAATGCTACCTTGCTTGAATCGCTAGGCGTGGCTGCTCTGATAGACCTTCCACAAGTCGGCGAAAATCTTCAAGTGAGTGTACCGACATAGTTCAATTCTTGTTCGCATACTGAAGAAAACAATGCAGGAGCACCTTTTTGTACCACTCGAATTTCTTTTGAAGCCTGGGAGTCTCACTTTTGGTTTGCATACCGTGCATTTTTTCGTCCTTTGATTTTCTGACTCTCACGCAGACGAGCTACGGATCAACGCTACTTTTGCGAAGGAGGCAGCAGCTCAATAGTAAGCAGCTCGTTCCCCGCTCGTTTCCAAGCCTGACAATTATCCGATTAACAGTAGCGCAACGCGAACGGGCTGGCTTGCGGCTAGTGACTCTATTCTGGCCTACTTTCCTTTCCAGTCTTTCGTGGACGAGGACCAAATGGATACACTGAAGAGCGCGTTTCTTAACTCTGCTTCGCAGGGATCTCCATCACCGTTCCTGGCCGCTGAATACGATATTCAGCGCCAATGGATTAACCAAACGACTGTTCCCCAAGTTGAAACCATTCTCTTCGCAAAAGGCGTCATTTCGCCAAACAACAACGAGAGTTACATCACGGTACTTGCGGGCCTACAGGTAAAGTGATCCTTGGTCGGGTGCGCTCGGGTTAGCTAAAATCCTCTCGTAATAGCACCCTTTGAGCCGTGGCTCTGTGGTATCACATATCTACTTATAATTCTGTACCCTTGCTTCGCTAACCTACTTAACTGCGTTTTGCTCAGCACATAAATTCAAGCCAGTCGCTCGCTCAGCCCGTGATAGCCGCGAATTACCTTGAGAAAGACTTCGGTATGTGGAAAGTGATAAGCAGCGGTGTAATTTTGGCAGTCTATAACTCACTGAGATCACCTGACAGATACTTTAACCCTTCTCCACGCTGCTCGGTTGATTATTAACCTAGCAAACACGACATCGTTAAGTTCCATTGTGCAAAACATAACCAGTCCGGCTGGCATTCAGAGCGACTCTGACCTTGTTAAGTACGTGTATTGTACTATATTTTCTCGTCTCGTCTGCCTTTTACTGAAACCTACCCTAGTTACATCAAAAATACTTTGGCAGTGAGTATCGTTCTCGACCTATCGATCTCATGCTTGCGAGTAACAATGCTCACATCTTTGTTGTTCATCTTTCAGCCCGGGGACCATCTCATAGGTGCGTGGCCCATCTGATTAAAATTCCGGTTACATATTATGACTTTTATGTCAGGTACCGCTGCTATGGGCCCTCAGGAGCTGGGAGGTACAACCGCTATTGGCCCTTTCGTCTACAGATGTGCCACTGATGTGCCACTGCACATAATCTAGGCGTTGTCGACTCTTCTCTCAAGATATATGGGACGACTAACATGCGAGTCGTGGATGCGAGCATTATCCCATTACATCTTGCTGCTCACCCACAAACACTCGTGTATGCAATTGGCGAAAAGGTCGGTGTGATGCGCCGTGCTGTTGATGGACGAGTCGGGATGGCTAATATATTTCTACCAGGCAGCGGACATGATACAGAGCGAAGCAAGCCTCTAGAGGCTTTATTATTCTTGGTGCAGCTTATGTTTAATCTAAATATTCCTTTCTTCTTGCTCTGTTATATGTTGTAATTTATTTCGTAAACGCAATGATCTGAATCAGTACTTGGATGACCACTGCCCAGAACATGCTTTCCGCGTTTTCATGGCAATGGACAGCTTACTCCTTCTAAAAGCATTGAGTCGTTTACTGGTATTCAATATAACTCTCAGGAGACAGTGTTCTTCCAGAACTTGGAGACAACAGATGGTGTGTGTACGCGACCAAGGTAATATGCACCTTATTTGAGTATAGTCTAGACAATATAAGTGCTATGATGGCGAACATTCACTTGATCTACTAGGAGCTGCGCGTAAAAATCATTGCTACGTCAACGTGACATCGCAAGTCTCAACTTGACTAGGGGTATTGACCAGGTTTCAACTGTTCACCATTTGCGAAAGTGACGCCTAATGGTTGGAATTTCCACTGAAACTGGATGTGGCGCGCCGCGTCAACGGCTCATACGAGAAAAGGTCATTCACTGCATAAGGTTTTCATATCCGTCAAAGTCCAAGAGAGTACATATTTGAGAAAACGGAACAGACACCAACAACAGTACAAACAGTTCTTTCGTCCTCCGAAGATAGTCGGGCCAGAAGACTTCTTACTCCTTCGCCACCACCACCACCTTCTTCCCCGTGATCGTCGCACGCTGGACGCTAACAATCGCATCTCCGATACTCTCCCAGCCGTAGGAAATATCCTCCTTAAAACCGAACTTGCCCTCCTTCACGAGCACAGGGATCTCCTTGTAAAACTGCTCAGAGTATGAGCCTTCGATGGTGTGAACCAGGAAGCCGACGCAAGTCAGCGACTTCTCAAAGATCATGATATGGTTCTGTAAAAATGCGGGTAAGACTTTATCATAGACGACGAGACGAGCGGGGACAGATTCTATAAGTGCATAAATAGCGTACCTTCAGGCGGTAAGGGTCCGGGTCGTTGTATTGCGAGATGAGGCCACATTCCTGTTGCGGGGAGGTAAGTAGGTGAATGCAGAGCAAAAAAAATAGACAGAACAACTGACGATAAGTCGACCCTTCGACCTACAGGCAGCCAGGGCCAAGTCAAGCGTTTCGCCGCCGACATTGTCCCAGAATCTGTGAGCCCCTGTGTCATTAGCAATGACTCGACGACGGAACAGTGGCTGCTTACATATCGATGGGACCGTGCTTCTTCAGAACCTGCTCGGTGCTTTCCTTTTTGTAGTTGAATACGACGTCGGCGCCCAAGCTGCGAACGAAGTCGCACTTGTCGTCTGAACCAGCGCAGGCGATCACTTTGAGGCCATCGAGTTTGGCAAGCTGGACGACGAAGCTCCCGACGGCGCCAGAAGCGCCACTCACGAACGCAGTCTCACCCTACATCGTTCCATTCGCTCAATATCACGTATGACAATCATTCAACTGTGCAAGTATGAGCTCACCTTTTTGGCTTTGGAGAACTCTTTCCAGCCAGAGTACGCAGTTTTGCCTGAATCGAATATTTACAAATCAATCGTGTGACAGACTTAAAATACGGCGTCACGTACCAGGCATTCCAATAACTCCTACGTATTGTGTCAACGGAATGCCTTCGTCGCGAGGTATTTTCCTAAACATGAAGTGGTGTTCCACGATGCTGTACTCCTGGAAACCTAAAAATAGAGTCAACCACGCCAAGCTTAGCATTTAGCCGGAAATACGCGCAACATACCCCATGCCCCGTACATGAGATCGCCGGGCTGCCAGTCGGGTTTCTCAGAGCGAACGACGACACCGACAGCGAAGTTGAGGAGGCTTGATTGGTATAAATCGTAAATATCGCCGTCATATGTGAGAAACGAGCATGACTGACGGTTCACCCAGGGCAAAGGCGGGCTGTGGGCGCGGAGAGTTGGGAAGAGCCTCACGGTGTTGATGTACGACGGAAGACGTACCAAGTAACCCGGGACATCTGCGGGCCTCAAACGATTCCTCAAGTACGGATCGATTGAAAGGACCAATGTCTTGACCAAGACTTTGCCATTGAGGGGGATATTGTCGATGTCAATCTGTGGCGATTCATCGTAGACGACGGTTTTCCCGGGGACTGGGAAGTCTGTTAGGAGGACATGAGTTTCAACATGCCAGCTGAGTGAAAGCGAATCCGAACCATTGGGGACTTCGTTGAATATAATGCGGGAGTTTCTGACGGAAGGCATACTAGGTTGAAGCGAAGAGGATGAGGAGCGAAGTGCGGATGGTGAGGTTTGGAGTGGTCCTAGTCGAGTGACAGTGCTACCTATACTGCGGCCACCTCGAAGCGCTGAGAAGTCAGTCGTGCGAAGCGGCCAAATCCATCTCATCAGGCGCTGAGAGAGGGCTGGATGATATTGCGGGTTCCATTCCAGTCGAACTTCAGGAATAGCAAGATTCACAAGATTCGGGAATCCGCCAGCAATATGACTGGATCCGGAGTATGTACTAGTAAAGAATCTGGTCGACCTGTGCCGTACAGCCGCAAGAATCCTTTCGTGAGATGCCGGATGTTATTTCGAACTCCGCTGCGATGTCGGTGCTGAAAGTGCCAGTCAACTCTTTGGGATCCCGTTTGAACACTCTGGGTGTCTTCTCCCTGTCTGTGACTTCTTCTGATTCATGACACAAGGTCGGTGGCGTGTCTCACTTTTACATCTCACAACCAATGCCTCGGAGATTCCAAAGAGAGCTAGCTCGAGCTACACGGAAAGATGCTCAAACTTGAAGAAGCGTCTATTCAGGTGTAGATCAGGACTTCCAGCTTCCAGGGGTGATTTATAGCAGTGCATAATCTGTGTGAGATATTTGAGGAGAGCATCGGGAAGGGCATGGTCCCCTAAAGATTGGAATGATCATCCCGGCATTAGGGAAATAGACCGTAAACTCCATCGCATCTCATCGCGCTGGCAGGGCGATGCACTGTGGTGCAGAAATCTGAACACGCTTCTGAAAGGTATAGGCTGGTGCCTTTGTGGGAAGGCAAATACAATCTTGACATACCCGCAAGGTGCCTTTAGTGCGCTTACTAGGACGGAGACTACTGTACTACTTCCAACCGAAGTTCGTCCCCCGCTCATTTTGATGAACAGAACCTCCATCAGGGGCTCTGGCCTCCATTACAGAGATCCTTGCTACAATGTTTGTGCATACGCATGATTAGAAAGGTCCGCCACACGGGCTTGAACTTTGGGTTGACACGGTACCATACCCCCTGCTACTCTCTCGTAGATGAGTGGCTGAGAACGATTAAATGTGAAACGCTGATTTGCAGGTGAAAGGACGACCTTCATCATTCCCTTCCCATGTCAACCGATGACTAGCACATCGCGTCAGCACTGATACGGAGACAAATACGTATCTATTGACTTCACTGTTCTGTTGAAGAGCGTCGACATCAGACCCATCCATATTTCGGCACTCAGAGTTCTTTCCCGCCCTCACTTCATATCCTAGCTCATGATGGCTATCGCACATTTGTCTCTTCCACGAGCACACATAGACGCATTCGTCGGGACTTCACTAGCTTTCAGTCCACCGCCGATGGATGGCACATTAACAATCCCAGAGATGTTCAAGCATCATGCCGTACACAACCCAAACCACCCTTTGTTCGTTTATGCGAACGATGAGGCCAGTAGGGTGACTGTGTCCTATCTCGACATATGGCGCTTGGTCAAGAGAGCCATGACCATTATCAACGCTCATTTCATATCTGCAAAGAGGAGATACGACCTCCAAGGCCCGCAGAGACGTCTTGCCCAGGGCCCGACCATTGGCATTCTTGCTTCCACAGGTAAGACGGACGACTTCTCCAATCCTTTTTTTACTTCAAGCTTACTGGACTCGTTGCAGACACGATCACTTTCTTCTGTACGATCGTCGGTATAATGTGTCTCGGCTTTGTCCCTTTCCCTATATCTACTCGAATTCCTGCGTCCACCGTCGCCCATCTCATCAAGACTGGACACATCATTCAGCTCTTCGCTTCCTCTGATCCCGCCATGCAACGCCTTGCGGGTGATGCCATCGGGATTCTCTCACAGGATGGTATCAGCGTTGAATTACTGCCTATGCTACACCTCGATGACTTGTGGGATACCGCCCACATCCCCGACGAGGACGAGCCTGAACTCGTCAACTCGAACTTAGACAAAATCGCCATCTTTTGTCATACCTCTGGTCAGTCTTAGTTCTTTCTCCCCGGTCAGGGAATTTCGTTGCTCATCGCTTGCTATTTTCAGGATCCTCTGCTCTACCCTCTTTAGTACCTATCACCCATAGAACGTTCCTCCAGTATAGTACCATCCCCTGTGCGCGCTCAACGATAAATTTCTCCTTGAAATGACATCCTCGTACTCACACGTGTTGTATTTCTCATATGCTGCAGCTCATGGGCAAGTAAACTTATGCGGAGCCGTTATCGCTATGCATGTCGTCCCGCTTTTCCGTAGGTCCCAGGTTTTGTCTTACGGTTCACGCGACAAACAGACTCACATCATCGTCTCAATAGATACTATGGGATTTTCCAGTATCGTTTGGCCGGTGCATTTCCCACTGTGTTTGACTTATTTTTAGCAAGCCTGATGCGATCGTATTCCAAGGTCACGACCGGGTTAATCCTCGGCATCTTCAAACCCTCCATTCCGCCCATCGCACCTACCGCGGAGAACTATTTCGAAGGGATCGTCGCTACCGACAGTGATATTCTTTTCTGTGTTCCGTCGTTCATAGAGGTAAGTATTTCGTAGACCTCCACATTTTTCTCCATTTACGGTGCTGATGGTACGGCATTCAGTCGTGGTTCCAGGACCCGGAGAGGCTTCCAGCATTGCAAAGACTTACCGCCATTGTAAGTGTCCGTATTTTTTGCTTACTACTTGCGCTTCTCACTGTCAAATAAGGTCTTCGGAGGAGCGCCGTTGAACAAAAGCATAGGTGACCAACTAGCTGATATGGGCGTGGCGTTGTTCTCATCATACGGAACGTAAGTTCAGCAATATACTATATGGTCAACTTTTTACTGATGGATGATGCCGTTCGGCGTTGATATAGGAGCGAGATAGGAACTTTTAATATGTTCATTCCCGCCGAAATTCCTGCGGTCGATGAGTGGGAATACTTCCGGATCTCGCCACATCTCGAGGTAGAGATGCTGCCTCAGGAGGGTCTTCCGGGTGTCTATGAAGCCACTGTCATTGTACGTGTCCGCATTTCGTGCCTTCAGTTTGTTACAACTGAGGTCTTCTGTGCGTTTCATAAGCACACGCCAAAATTTTGCCCTAACATTCTTAACTCCAAGTCGAGCGATGGGCGTGCAAACTATCGCACTGGGGACCTGCTGGAACGGCATCCTCATGATGCTACACTATGGAGGATGTTTGGTCGTGCAGATCATATAATACCGTTAAGTAACGGAGAGAAGGTATGGTTTTTATTATACCGAAAGCGATGGTTGGCTAACACAACCCGTAGACAAATCCGGGCCCCTTAGGTGTGAAGCTGTCGCCCTGTAGCCTTGGATTATTTCTGACTACACTTATGTAGAGGATGTTCTTGTGCACGATCCTCACATCGAGTCCGCCATCATGTTCGGTCACGGACGACTCCAAAACGGCGTATTAATACAGCTAAAAAAGGAGTTTATCGTCCAGAGTGGGGATGAGAGCCAGCTGGCTCACCTTAGGAACCTTATCTGGTGCGTGTATATTCATCTACTAAGTATTTATCAACTTGCACGGCTTACATGGTAATGGCCCCGCTTTGCAGGCCATCGGTGGAAAATGTTAACGAGATAGCTCCGCAGCATTCGAGGGTGTTGAAAGAAGTACGCCCTGATATTTGCCCATCCGGCATTATATATTTTTCCTACTAACTGCTTGTACATGCTAGATGGTCTTGTTTGCCACTTTCGACAAACCATTTGGGTATACGCCCAAGGGTGCGCCCCGGCGCCACACCATCTTAGTGGCGTATAAGGATGAAATTGACGCTCTATACGAGTACTTCACTAGCTGCCTAGTCATGGACTTACCTGTCCCGCTTGAGACAAAGGAAGGGATGACCTCTCTGATCCGCACCACCCTCCAACGAGTGATGAACCAGAAGCTGGCAGACGAGGATGACTTCTTCCAGCATGGATGTGACAGGTAACCCCGCCTTCTCATCGCTTGCCGCATACCGTCTGGATGTTGAGCCACACTTTCAAACAGTCTTCAGGCGAGGTATATCCGGAACAGCATATCACACGCATTACATCGATCGATCGACCGCCCATCACTTTCACTTCTTTCGGATGTTGTCTACAGATACCCGACCATCTCTTCCTTAGCGACCTTCCTTCACCAGTCGGGTCGCCCTGATGCACTGGAGCCCTCTTCTGACGCAAAGAAGAACCCACGCCAGCTAGAGGATATGCTTGTAAAATATACCCAAGGACTTGAACCCGAAGGGCTTCATGATGTTGTCCTTCTGACTGGCTCCACTGGGTGCCTGGGTAGTCATCTTCTGGCACAGCTCATGTCAAATCCATCGATATCATATGTGTACGCCCTGAACCGAGGACGCACGTCTCACGCAGACCTTGAGCAGCACCAACGTAGAGCATTTGAGGCGTGGGGGCTCGACATTGCGTTGCTAGACACCAATAGACTCCGGTTTCTCGTCGCAGATCTCTCTTGCGCTCGGCTGGGTTTGGAGGAAGATATATATCAAGAGGTAAGCCGTCAATCTCTCCCACTATCATTACTCCGAAGGGTTCACACCGTTTGAATCCCTCTGCAGTTGAAGGAGGGCGTCAATTCTATCATTCACTGTGGTCAGTCTCCTTCAATCTCCTTAACATATATCACTGAAGGTCCTTGTTAGCCTGGCGGGTGGACTTCAACTTGAAACTCTCCTCCTTCGAACCACTGATCCGTGGCGTCCGCAACCTCGTTGATTTCGCAATGGCTTGCGTGCGCCAGCCTTCATTCATGTTCACAAGCTCTATCTCCGTTCTCCCAAGTGTGTCATTCCGCGCTTTGTGGTACATCCTCGACGCTTATATCTGTGTTGGTTCTAGACGTACCTGGTTCACCACATCCAGAACTTCCTTTGCTCGATCCGACGACAAACCTGGCCACAGGATATGCCGAAAGCAAATGGGTCGCAGAGAACATTCTTTGGCGCGCAATGAAATCCTACAGATCCAGACATAAAGTCAACATTGTCCGCATCGGACAGCTCTGCGGTAGTAGCAAGTCTGGGAGATGGAACGAGAAAGAGTGGGTGCCGGCCATGCTTCGGGTTTCTCAGGGTCTCGGTGCGGTGCCACATAACGATGAGGTCAGTCAACCCTTGTACTCGCCCCGACCTTGAGGACGAATCGCGGTGATACGGATTCTCAATCGTTATTTAATGCTTGTAGATGATCTCGTGGATTCCGGTGGATTTCGCTGCCGCTTCGATTATTGAAATGCTCGGGTCGCAAGAATCGGTGCTTCACCTTGTGCACTCCCGTCCCGTCCCATGGAGCGTCTTCAGCAACACTGTTTCGCAGTGCTTGGGATTGCCGATTATACCGTTTGAGGAATGGGTGTCGAAGTTAATTGTCCCGTCTCAATCCAAGAAGGCCGAGATCGTGAGTGGTCCTGCGGCGTCGTTGGTCGACTACTTCAAGCGCTACGAAGTGTCTGGGGCGATTAGCACGGAAAAGGCGGAGAATATATCGCCGTCATTGCGAGGAGCGGAGGTGCTTTGTGCGGAGGATGTCCGAAGATGGATAAAATACTGGAGATTTAGCGGGTTTTTGACTACGTAGACGTACTTCTGGTGTATTGTGTGCCACCTTGTTAGATCAGCACAGCTTGGAACTTCGACGCTGACCACAAGTACCGGTGAACTTGATGCGACATACATATGCACTAGTATGGTTCTATACTGGTGCGGATAAATAAGGCTCAGGCTTCAAAGTGGTTGGTGCCACCAATGTGGCACCCTCAGTCTTGCGAAGTCATTGTTTGTATGTGTTGATGGCGGTTGCGCTCAGTTCGCTCAAGACCAATATTGAGGCCCCTTCTTCTTCATCTTAATCACATGGGCTCCACTGCGCTATATCAGTATGGTATGTGCTTGGTATTTTTCTTTTCGTTCATATATTCCTGCTATCGAAAGCATGCCCCCCCCCTCGAGGCTCATGATACGCATATCTCCGACCAGAAGTTCGCCCCCCACTCCACCATGACCGGTGAACGGAACCTCCAGCAGGGAGATAGTCTACCGACCCGAAAATGAATAAAGCAATGTTTAAAATTCTGGTGGGAAATATACAGTATTGCCCGATTACACATTGCCAGTGCTTCTGTTTACCCAAAGTGACGACGTGTGACGTGCGGCTGTCCACTCTCTGTGGCTCGAGGATCGTGACTCGCTATCGCAGCGATTGATGATTCATAGAATATTCACGCAGACATCTTTGCGGCGTTATATCAGTGATACTCTAACTGGATTGCGCCGCGGAATGACGGTGAGCGAGCTCCGAGACTGCGCTGGGTTAGACCGGCCCACTGTTGATCAATCACTAGGAAAGATGCACCTGCTGCTTTCGGGCAGTAAAATAGCTCAGTGTGTCCATGTCTGCATTCTGAAACATGGGAATGAGGCACCATCAGCGTTCACTTATCTTAGGACGGCAGCATAAATACTTCAGATGATCTATCTGTATCGTTTTACAGGGGGTGCATCATGCCGCTGTACGGAAAACTTGTTGATATATCAGAATCAGAACTTCTGTTTTCTGTCGTATGAGTTGTTCCCGAAATCATATGCGGTTAATGCACTCCTCAAATGCTGTGGAGCGGGAACCGCTTGGAAATGGTACTGTACGTCCCAGCAGTTAGACGACGCTTACATAACGTGGGAACCCCCCTTTGGCGGGAGACCCGCGCAAAATTGGCGGGGGCGATGGGCCCCTTGGGACACCGGACGTCGCCTAACGTCTGGGAGGTACAGTATCTGTGCGTGTGAGGGTGAACTACTTCTTCATTCGCATAATACAAGGTTCTATCCTGGATAATTCTCGGGACTAGGATGGGACTAATGAGCCTCTTTTTCGATGCATGACCGCGAGCTTTTTGTTCGAGAATACGGAAGTCGAGCGCGTGATGAATATCTGCATCAGCTTCTTCGAAAGGGAAGCAGATGCTGTGGACGAGGATTTGAAACTCAGACCCCGGAAACTGCAAGTGCCCGCAGTACACACAGACATGGCATACGATGCCATCATAGTAGAGGCGGTGGTGAGATGGTGCTCGATAAAGCCAGTTAAGAAGAGACTGAGACACTTTATCTTTGACGTGCGTGAGCTATTCGAGAACAAGAATGGGCACCTCCAGTCTCTTCGTGACGTTTGCCTGTGGCGTGTTATGTATTCTCGTGCTTTTGGTGCTTCGGTTTAGACCAGGAGGGACGTCGCGTCTTCCAACCCCTCCTGGGCCTCGTATCTCATGGTTTGGAGCAAGTTTCCTTCCGAAGACTACACCATGGCTGACCTACGCTCAGTGGAAAAACACATATGGTACGTCCGACATCCACCACTTCAATATTTGCCATGGATTGAGTCAATTGTTGAACGTTCTAGGCGACCTCGTTTACTTCACAATATTTGGAAGAAAGATCCTTGTCTTGAATTCCGCGAAAGCGACACACGATCTCCTGGACAATCAGAGTAGCGTCTTCTCTTGCAGGCCTCACTTCATAATGTCGAAGGAACTGTATGTGTTCGCTGTTATTACATTCTCCTCAAAGCTCTGACAACTGATCGCCGTTCAGTATGGGGTGGGATTGGGATATAACTGGGATGCGCTACGGGAAGCGTCTACAAGAGCATCGCGCAATGTTCAATAGACATATGAATGCGCAAGAAGTTGCTCAGTTTCGGCATATGCAAGTCAAGGAGGCGTATAAGCTCCTTCGAGCACTTTCGAAGAGAACCGAGATGACCGACCCAAGCTCCGAGATACACCAGTGCGTAACTACCTATCATTCATTCTCCGGTTTACATACTCTAATAACGGAGCAGGAGCATCACGTCCAACATCATGCAGATTGCATATGGCCATGAAGTTCGGGACGCGAACGATTACTACGTTTCGTTGGCCGAAGATGCTATCCTTGCAATCGGAAGAGTTGTTCTTCATGGAGCCTACATGGTCGAGCTCGTTCCTATCTGTAAGTTTCATCCGTAGGACTTATGCTGTATCACGCTTGACTAACATTTTGCTATAGTAAAACATATTCCAGAGTGGATGCCTGGGGCACATTTCAAACGAGACGCTGCAGAGTGGCGGAAGGCGACGCTGGCAATGATCAATGAACCTTACTTGATGGTAAGGAAAAAAATGGCGAGCCACTTTGACTAATAATTTTGTGGACCACTCAGGCTTATCTTCACCCCCATAGGCATCTGGTACTGCCACATCTTGCATCATTACCAAAGAGCTCGAAGCTCGTCCGTTCTCAGGCTCAGGTGGACACCACATGGTAGACGAGCAAGTCATCAGAAACGTAGCAGGCATATGCTATGCAGGTGTGTTATTTGTTGTAATATGAAAATAGTGCGAACCTTACCTTCCAATCTTTGTAGCCGGAGTTGACACGGTAACGGCGAACTCAATTTTCCTATGGCCAGTAGCTGAACATATTCCTAGACTTCGGCGAGCATCATGACGTTCTTCTTGGCGATGTTACTCCACCCCGAAGTGCAGCGAAGGGCTCAAGCTGAGATAGATAGCGTCGTAGGTCGAGACAGAATACCCAATTTCTCTGACCGAAATATACTTCCATTCATCGACAACATCATCTGGGAGTGCGCCAGATGGCAACCAGCTGCCCCTCTTGCCATGGCCCACCTCTCCACAGAAGATGTTGTTTATGAGGGTTATGCAATTTCGAAGGGAACCACGATCTTACCCAATACCTGGTGTGCCTTTTAGCTCCAATCTTTCTGTGATTCGTTTGCTGAAAATGTGCTTAGGTCAATTTTGCACGATCCGGACGTGTATCCGGAACCCTCTGTCTTCAAACCTGAGCGGTATGAGCAGCAAACCGGTGCGCAAGGTCTGAACCCGATTCCACGCCAGATATTTGGTTATGGAAGACGGTTCGTGCCCTTTAAATACACTCTTGCAATGTTGTCACTGAAATATGCCACAGCGCGTGTCCGGGACGCTGGTTCGCATTTGAGACCATGTGGCTTACATTTGCATGCGTACTTTCTGCCTACAACATCTCGAAGGTCGTTAACGACGATGGCACGGTTATGGAGCCGGAGATCGAGTACGAAACATCTGTAGTTAGGTAAGCTTGTTCCTCTACTAGTGCCTAGCGGTTTAACTTACATGTTCTCCAGCCGGCCCAAAGCATTCCCGTGTTGTATCAAACCTCGGTCGCCGGCATTGCTATCCATGTTGGAAGCTATGAACGATGATATTTAAGAGACGGATTTTTGGATAGTCCGTAGCCGTAATTTTGGGTGTGGCAATACTTACCGTGCTAAATAGATACAGTATCTGCTAGCGCTGCGCGCGTATGGCTCAAAAAGCAAACTCAGCATCTTCAGAGATTTTCATCAATACAATGTGAAACAGTTCTAGACTCAAGGTTTGCGATTCACGCTCGTGAAATGCTAGTGATAGAAGCAGATTTCTGCCACTGATATGCAGAATTGCTTTACTGTGGGGTTCGCTGGATCACTCTGGTGCGCGAGGCGAAATCACGCACTACGCCACACCAGATGAAACAATCATGCATATGACTTCGGCCACAGTGACATCATAATCCTCATATCGATGTCGATAAGCATACCTACGTATGCGGATAACTTTTTCTTTGCATTTAGTGAATGGGTTGCGCGGGAAGCTTATAGCAGTAAGTACTGTACATCACTAAGCATTTACGGCAGGTTGTTCCACCAGTCAATTGCGACACAAAGGGTAGGTATCAGACAGGGTACACAATCACGCCTGAAGTGGACTAGCGCTTTAGATCGATGGAAGTAGAGCAAGGAACACGATTTCTCCATTGTACAGTAGCTCCCAAGTCGCCCCAGCGAACGTGTGTAGAGGACGGCTGCCGCCGAACGATTGCATATCTATTTCGGGAAACCCGAGGTGGGCGTGGTCGTTCTCACTGAGCGGCCAGTCGCATCTCCCCTCCGTTTTTGATCATGATGGAACACATCATCATGGAGCCCCACTTTCCGCGAAATGCATATATGGTACGAGACTGTACTTGAACGCGCTCAGTCTTCCTTGCTCTCCGGGTCTACTCCGTATCCAAACTCTGGTGTCACTTGAATCCCTGCTGGTTCTACCTCCTTTTTTTCCTCATGAATTTCGTTCCATCGGTGCCGTGGCTTGCCATCGCTGCTCTTGCTTCTCCTCTGCTGGCTCTCGTCTATAATTGGAGACAATCCGAGGGACGTCGAACTCCGTCTGGGCCGCCGTCGAGACCTATCGTGGGCAATATCCTCACTATCCCTCGGAGAGGAGCATGGAATCTGTTTGCAAAGCTCCACAATCAATTCGGTAAACGAGCTTTCTTCTGAATGCGGAAGGTAGCGCTAACATAGCGCTGCCTTAGGTGACCTGATTTTCTTCCATGGACTCGGACGCAGCGTTTTGGTTCTCAACAAACTGAGCGTCATAAACGATCTTTTCGACAAGAGAGGCGATAACTACTCTCACCGTCCTGTTTTGGCTGTACTGGGCGGGCTGATGGGCCTGGATCAGGTGCGGCGCATCTGGAACTTTCTGAATGAATGGTTCATTGAGTCCCTAAGTAGAGCATGACCATGTTGCCGTACGGCAGGGAGTGGAGAGAGCAGCGGAGACTTGCACATGTGGGGCTCAATGCCACCGTGGTGAAGAAGTATCACACGACACAAGAGGACCTTGCGTCGATAATGCTGCTTGACATGCTCAACACGCCGGAGAAATTCTTCGATCATGTTCGCTTGTGAGTGTTCCTTGCGCTTACGACAGAGTTATCCGCTGACGAGTTGTCTGCAGATACGCTGAAAGAATCATTTTATCCGTGACATATGGTCTGCCCATCGACGTCGCAGATAATGAGGTGGGTGCCAGTCTATTCCTCGTTTTCTGTCGTTCTGATAGTTTCTAGTATGTGACACAAGCGGAGGAAACTATGCACATCATTAGCGACGCAATGGTTCCTGGTGCTTTTCTTTGTGATTTGTTGCCTTGGAGTACGATGGTCTTCGCTTCAATTAGCTTTCTATGCTGACAGATAATAACAGTGAAGTGGCTTCCGTCTTGGGTTCCTTTCCAAAGAGAGGCTGCCCACGGGAGAGCCATGATCGAACACCTCGTCACAAAGCCATTTGAACATGTGAAGCAAGATATGGTAACGGGCTCACCTACTGTCAGTGTGCTGTCTCGCTGAATGATCAACCTTTAGTCTCAAGGAGCAGCAGCACCGTCCTTAACTCAAGATCTTCTCGCCCTTTCTGATGACAATGCACAACTTTTTGAGAGTCGCGTCAAGTGGGCCACAGGCTCTATGTACGGAGGTGCGTCAGTGTTATGATCCATCTTCATTGTGGCTTATTCAAACATGGGGTACAGCTGGAGGAGAAACCGTGAGTTACTTCATGGTCTGTTTCAAGTACTCCTATTGACTGATGGTTTTCTCAGACTTATGCTACTGTATTGACGTTCATGATGGCCATGGCGCTGAATCCAGAGAAGCAAAAGCGTGCTCAGGCCGAAGTTGACAACATCGTGGGCTCTGATAGGATGCCTGCGATCTCGGACATAGCACAGATGCCTTATGTCAACCTTGTGATAAAGGAGACCTTAAGGTCTCTCTCTCTCTCTCTCTCTCAGTCCCATCTCGAGAGTATTGAAATGTTCATGCTTGACACTGCGACAGGTGGCACCCGTCTTTACCCCTAGGTATATTTTCTATCCCATGCATACCTTTATACTGGCTAATTCTGTGTTTTAATAACAGGTATTGCTCGCCGCACAGATCATGACGATTTCTATGAAGGGTATTTCATTCCGAAAGGTACTGTCGTACTACCGAATGTATGGTAAGTTGTGACCTCTATCTACTGAATTGATCTATTGGATAACCTAAATGTGAGCTATGCAGGTCGATATCCCAGAAACAGAACGAGAAATATGACCCAACGATGTTCATCCCAGAGCGTTTCCTCGACCCCTCCGAAGAGATCACCGATCCTTTCACGTATGTGTTCGGATTCGGTAGAAGGTCTGTCTCTCTTCCCGCTTCGTTAGTCACACTTGTTTGGGCTCAAATAAGTCTGCTTCTAGAGTCTGTCCGGGGAAGGCTCTTGCAGAGAACTCGCTTTTCGCCGCCATTGCAGGTATCCTCTCTGTCTTCGATATCTCTGAAGTTGCGCCAGGCGAACTTGTGCCCCAGTTTGGTCCATCTCTCGTGAGGTATTGTATCACACTCTTTGATACGTGTTCTCGAGCGTTGGCCTGACACGTGCGCATAGTTACCCAGAGCCGTTCAAATGTAACATCAAGCCTCGCTCGCCTGCAAAAGCATCTCTCATTGAACGGCGCACGGGTCAGTAATTGTCTCCGAACTGGGAGACTGGAAACCATACTACTACTCAGAAGCTTGTTCTCACTCAACCTCGTGGCATTGTTTTTGGATCTTGCTCATGAGCTGCTCGTATGTGTTACTTATTTTTTGTTGCGACGGTGAAGTGGCGTCTTGGCGAGTACGGCTCCTAATTGGGTTCAGACCTTGGTTTTATAGCTCTAGAGCCGTATTTAATGCATCCGAAGACTGTGAGAACCTCACCTTCGTCAGTTATCTCCCTTCCAAAGAATTGAAGTGCAGTCATACTACAGTACATACTGCGTGCAGTGTTAACTTGCCGCTGGCAAAGGAGTCGGTGAGCTAGTCCTCAGCTCGATAGAGTACCATAAAGCTGCCATGGTCGTCGAAATGACGCCTGAGGATACCATCGTATGTAGATCACTGGAAGCCGACCGTAAATGCTTGAAACAACATGAACAATTGTGTGGATAATGGTGAAACCGACGTTATGAGCCGTCGTTCTAAGGGAGATTACTTACAGGGCTCAGCATGGTGGTTAAGGACACCTATGAACACAATCAACGGTCAGCGCTCAGCTTTGTAATGTCGGATAACGGTTCAACTTTCTAAATGCCTACCATAGTGGAGCCTTCGAATCCTTCCGCTCACAAAGACGGCCCCGATCCCTTCCCACCACTCTGTTCTATCTTATCCTTCTCCTCCTCCCACTGCGGTCTCGCCAACCTAAACCCCTCGCCCACCCTCGCATAAGTAACGTCCCCTAACCTTCCCACCGCCCTGAACTTCGCCGGATCCACCGTCTTATTCTCCGTCAACACGTCTTTCCTGACGTGTATATATTTGACGAGTCCGAGAATGAGCGTGGTGGAGACTTTGCCGGTGGCAGGTGATGGGATGTCGTGAGCAGCGTAGAGGGTGCATTCCATCGAGAAGGCGGATTCGAGGACACGCGGTGATTTGACGTGGGTCTAGATAGAACATGGAAGACATTGATGGTCAGTTGTCATTGGAGATATCAGATGTAGGAGAGAGCGTAGAATTAAACAAAGAAGTAGTCTAGTTATTGACAGTCAAGGTGCAGACCAGGGAGCCATTAGCTTGAGACCGCCGTAAAAATATAGGAACGGACGCGGTTGGCGGACATGAAGGTCTGTTGATAATGGCGTTACAACCGCATTACTCTGTACAAAGATCGATGAGTTCTCGAGTGCTAAAGAATGCCCTTTGTAAGGTGCGTGGCGCGAGACTGTGGCCCAAGTTTCAATCAAAGTCGACAAATCTCGCCGCGTTTGTACGCGCTATGCTCCACATTACAGAGAGGGTAAAAAACCTCAAACAGGCGCTTTTTGCTCCTCGTCTCAATATGTTTCGAATAGTACCCAAACTCGATGATGAACTCAAGTCTTATAATAGCAAGAACGGATGCCGACCAACGACAGAAACTAGGTCCCATGCGGTACCATCACAGGTATGCTGACCGAGATAGATGGAGAGCAAGCGGCCGAGGAAGTGATCGATCCCAGGATCAGGTCAATTCCCAATATTTTCGCCAAAGGATTACCGTAGCTCGAGGAGTAAACCAAGGAGGGTAGAAGAACAGTGTTCAGCTTTTCTGTGGATGAATTTCGTCTTGCTCGACGTGCCTCTTAATATAAGCTCACTTCATCACGAGCGCATAGGATTTTTTACGCCTCTCCGCACAGTCACCGGTGACGTCGAGGACAAAAGACACGACGCCATACCAGCATGAATAACCTAGAGAGACCAAGGGTCAAGCTCTCCAACTCCTCCGAAAACCTCTTCACGAGCCGATCGGGGGCTGCTCTCTCGCCTGCAACAACGACGAAGTGCCAAGTTCGACCATCGATGCCGAACTTCCGCTACGAGGACACTCCAGATCCACCGAATGCCATCAGCGGGACTGCTGTGATCGTCTGCAATGATAGTCTGCATGATGAAGATATTCCCCGTTGTGTCGCCGAGAACACCGTCAACTCCCCGAAAATCGATGACGGACAGCATCCAATACCAGTAATCAGAGATATTGGTGCTCTTGAGCCCGGCTGCTGTGCCAGAAACGACTTTGTGCGATGGCCGCATCTGCATCCGCCGTGGTAAGCCGTCTTCAGAGATGGCGAGAGGTGCACCAGGTCTGCTGAAAGGTGATGTGTGAGTTTCGAACTCCCAGTCAGCAGGACTCCGTGTCTGGGAGTTTGAACTAAAACCAGCCAAGCGAACAACTTTAGACAGGGTGCCTAATCCATCATAGCAAACGTAGTCGAAGTAATCGTCGACGGCGACGCAATTGAAGACGACGTCGGCATCAAGATCTGCGATGAGCCCAACTTCGGCCTTTGTGATTCTGCCTTTGTGACGAGGCCATTCGTGACCCCAAGCATTTTGATAGAACTCAAGCAGCGCAGGAGTGGAGGTCATAACGAGTGCAAGGAATTGAGGACGTCGAAGTCATGAGCAAGCGCGAAGAAAGATCGAGACGACCGAAAGGGGCAGAAACCCTGTGGCGGGGTTAGGCAGGACCCCTGCGTATGCTGACAGAGGTCCCATCCAAAAACCCCCAAAATCGGTCGTTTTCGTCGCACGATTTTGGGGGTGTTTTCGTCGCATCAGGGATGGGACATCGGATTTTTGGCCATTTCCGTCGCACGTCGGATGGAACATCGCGCCGCATAAGGCCTTCCCAAACCCTGGTCGTCAAAGAATTTCCCCAAATCATGTTTTTGGCCGTGTTTGCCAAGTTTTTACCCCATTTTTTGCGTCCCCGAGAGACATTTTCGTCGCATAGCGGGATGGAACATCAGCATCGAAAAGCCGTTTTCGTCGCACTACCGATCGGACGAAACGCGATTTTTCGCTCAAAATTCGTCGCATCAGGATGGGACCTCCGTTAGCATAAGACAGATGTCGTCAGGAACCAGCAAGGCTTACATAAAATT